TTCCCTGCTTGCTTCGGCCTGGATTTCAACATCTCGGCTCCGGGTGTGAACATTTCGCTGAAAAGGTTGGAAAAGCAGGTGCAGCAAAACACGACCGTCATGCTCTACCGGCACGTCCTCCGCGATTTCGGCTACACGAAGGTTTTCGCGGAAACTCTAGCCTTCGCGGTGATCTACGGCACCACGAATTTTCCCTGGATGAAGGACTGGCCGAAGCTGCCGAAGTTGGTGCAGGGCGCGTGTCCGGTGGAGAACGGCACGAAAACGTCGGCCGAGAACCCTCTGAATGTGACGTTGACCACTTTGCCGGACGTGGTGGAGCGCATGACGGTGTACCACGAGTTATTGCGGAACGCGGGATTCTGCGACACGTATACCACGATGCTGTTGAAAGCGGTGAATTTGAACACGGATCCTGCGGAGGTCTTACCTCTGCCGATCTTCACTGAGGAGGACAGGCAAAATGCCACGTTGATGCCGACGGCCGGGACGTCGAAAACCTTGCTGTTAACAGTGTTGAAATCGAAATCCACGGAGGAGAAGGAGGTTGAGGAACTGGAAAGGGAGAGACGGGATGGAAAAACCGCATTACTGCAACTCTCCGCATCCTATCGTCGCAATAAACGGTTCGAAGCGGAAGAATTGGAATTCCAGCCGCAAAACCCCTCGGCCACGACCAAATTTACGCCCAAGCCGAAGAACGAGACGGAGATCGACTTCTGCCGCGCGACGACCGTTGCTCTGCGGCTGAAACTCGGGTTGGATGCGACGGCGACGGTCGGGAAATTGGTCACTTGGTTGGAGTTGAAGGGCAAAATGATAGAGAGCGTGAATCAGCTCATCAGTTCCGGACCCATTTTCAAGCGGCAATTGATCAACGCTTTGGCCATGACGGAGACCCAGCCGTCCAAACCGCTGCCGGAGTTGCCACCGCAGTGCCAGGATTGGATTCCGCTGGAAAATCTGGGCGTTCCGGTGAAGGAAGCTTACTTTGTCGATAAAAACTACGACTACACCATAAGAGATCTCGGCCGAGTATCAAAATGAAAAATCCCCCCACCCCATACTCAGACTAGAAATTTGTGATGCAGATTTGTGGTCACAAATCAGCTTTGTCATGCTAGAAGGGAAAAGGTGCGGACTGTAGTGCTCGTTGGCGTGGGGAAGCCTTGCATCTTCAGCATGACAGGGGGCAGCTGGAAGTGGGAAACAGCGTGACAAATTGCCTGCAAACGAGGCCGCAGCTGCGTCTCTTGGCCTTCTAGCATTACAAGTCGATTTGTGTACTCAAATACAGCATCACAAATTTCGTTTCCAATATGGGGTGGGGGGATTTTTCATTTTGATGCCGAGCCCTGCGCGACCACAGTGTTACTAGTTCAGTGCTGGGGAAGAAGGGCTTTGGCTTCTCCGAAGAGTTTGGGCTCAACATCGCGAGCCAGTTGCACAACAGTACTTGCAGCTTTGACAAGATCGAAAAGCCGAAGGAACTGTGTAAAAATATGAAAGGATTGCGGGAATTGAGGCTTCTCCCCAGTGCTACTCTGTGCCAACTCGGAGATAGACTACAAACTCTGGTTGAGGAGGGCAGGACTATTGAACAGGTTTTAGGCGTTTTACCCCTGGAAGTGCGCGATGTGCAGCTGTCCCTGCGCAGCAGCACGTTCAACCGGAACTTTCAGTTTCCGATCAACAGTTTGACAAAGCCAATTTTGACCAAGCTTGGGTTTCAGGACCTAGACGTGCAGAGCCGGGTGATCGAAGTTTCCAAGGTGGTCAACAAAACGGAGACCGTCCGGCTGTACAGGAGGCTCTTAACCGTGAACGGGATCGACCGGGGTTACGCGGACGTGTTACTCCCGCTTCTGCTGTTCGACTTGACCAGTGTAGCAAATTTGAACAACGGCTTACCCCTCCCGCCACCCAACACCGCTTTGTACGCGCAGAACACCGCGGCGCTTTTCCGGCTCGGGCTGTCCGGGCAATCCAAAATTTTGGACTTGAAAAACGCCTTGGACTTGCGGATCAACAGATTGATTTTCCTGTCTTCCATATCCCACGAAAAAACTGTTTCACTGTGATGGTTTTGCAAGATCCACGATCACAAGTTTGCTACACATGATACAGAAAATTTGCCATGCGTGCTTCCCAAGGGAAATCACGCTTAAAAATCCAAAGCCTTGCAGGTGTAGCAACCAAGACAAATAGTTCTGTGTATACACTCTGTGCATCACAAGTTCACAGTGAAACACTTCTTTCTTGCGATATTCCAACAGCGACTACCCGGGCCGGGGGAAAATCGGGTTAGACGCCGGGTACGTAAGGAAACTGACAAAAGACTACGAATTCGCTCTCGAACAGCCGGACGAGAAACTCCCCGAGGGCTGTGGGCGGGAGGATATATTGACTTTACGGGACGTGATCCACGTGAATCCAACCTTCGGCACGAGGAAGGATTTGATCGCAGAAACCGAGAAGCTCATGGCGATTTCGACGACGACAACCACCCCGTGCCCCGAAGTGCTATCAAATGCAAATATGTCTGGGTCTGGAAGAATGCAAACTTCTCATGCATATTTTCCATGCCCCATGAGGTTTGGAATGCAGGACCTAGCATGACAGGTTCTGCGACGTCCCTATCATGCCTATCCTGCATGACAAACTGCTTCTAAACTTGTTCAAAACTGGACAGCTTTTGGTAGTCATGCAACACAAATTATTGCACGATCCAGACTTAGCATGACAAGTTCGCATCCTCCCAGGCCCAGACATATTTGCAATGCATAAGTGTGGGACCCGTACAACGATACGCTGATGGACTGGCCGGGGGAATTGAACGCGACCTGCATCAAAGCCTTAGTTATGGAGTGCAAATATGTCTGGGTCTGGAAGAATTGAAAGTCTATCATGCTCTGCTAGCATGACTCCAAAGTCTGCCATGCTCGTTACCCAAAAGCCCTTTTTTCTGTCATGCCGAAGCGCGGTTTGTCATGCAGAATACGCAACACCTAGCTAGTCAGAAACTTGTCATGCTGAGCCATCACTTGAGGCGTCCTCAACACTCGCCAACAAGCATCACAAGTTTCCAGACCCAGACAATTTTACAGTTGATATCAGTCGAGGCTGTCCGGACGAGCGACCCGGCGGCGCCGGTCCCTCTCGTTTGCGAAAACGAACTGCCGAGGGAAAACTGGGGTTTGTATGCGGACGACGATTCCGGGACGTCGTTGGCGCAGTTGAACGGAAATGACGATCCGATCACGGTGGGACTGGTCAAGGACTATTTGGACCGGAAAATCGCGCAGAAAGCAATTTTGAGGTCGATCTTCGACGACCCGACCTGTGCGGACTACTTGAAACAACTCGGCGGGGCGTTACATTCCGAGAACATCGAAGTTGGGTACAACAAGATCCTCGGAAAAAACGACACGATGCCAATACCGAAACTGCTCCCCGATCCCTTCAACATGGGCAAGTTGCAGCAACTGAGACTGTTGATCCGAGACGTGAACAATCCGAAAAATGGCGGCGTGCCGACGGTGCAGAACTTCACGGCGGTGATTCAGCGCTGGGTCGACTTGGAAAAGGTGATCCGGGATGGCGGTGTGAGTGGGGTGATCGAATCGCGAAATAACGTCGACTGCGTCCGCGAGTTGGCGAATTTCACGATGGACGGGGAGTTGCTAGCGGCCGACGTCGTGATCCCCATGTACTGGATGGAAAGTTGCGGCGGGCCGCTGGAAAACATGGGCTTTTTCAAGATTCAGACTGCTGCTGGACCCTCGCTAGCGGAGATGGTCGGCCAGGTGTTTGGGAAGGAAAAGGGACGAATGGGTGCTGTTGACGGAATAAATTCAGACGCTGGTCGTGTTGAAGAGCAAGCATCTGGACGAGCAGTGGCGTTGCTACAGGACGAACAAGAATACGACCTCCATGTGCGGCCTCCTGAAGAAATAAAGACTGCTCGTGCTCCTCCTTCTACCGTGACCTTGCAGGAGGGAGCAGCTCTTCTCCCTGTAATTACAGATGATCATCAAAGCCGCACGTCGGTAACTGGCCTCGAAACAAGCAAAACCCTGACGAGGAGAGAAGTTGCAACTACTTCGACAGATGAAGAACTTCTACACACTGCTCTCGAGAAAACCGATGTCTCTAAAACTGGTGAAAACAATTGCGAGTGCGACGAGGAGCAGAAGCAGCAACTTTTAGAAGAAAAGCAGAAACAAGAAAGCGGTAAGCAAGACCCCAAGATCGTCGTGAATATCTGTCCGTGCAAGATTTACCCGATCAAGAAACCGGTGAAGAAGTTTGACAGCTCGGCCTTCGGAAAACTCTCCGCGTCGACCGGGTTGGTTCCCAAGGGGCTACCTTTGTCCGGTTCCTACAATCCAGGGTCTTTGAACACGGCGATCCCGGTTTTTCCCGCGCTGAAAGACGTGTGGCTGCCGATAAAACAGGTGACCATTTATCTGAACAACAAAGTGTCGCAGAGAGACAGCCTTCAACGCCTCCAGTTCACCGAAACCTACACCAACGAGCTGGCGAAGGCCCTGCAATTCGCCGATACGAAGCCGAACGACCCGATGCCGCTGCCGACCCCGAGGGACACCTTCACCTTGGAGCGGTTGAAGAAAATGAAGCTTTACCCGCAGATGGCTATCAAATGTAAAAATGTCTGGGTCTGGAAGAATGCGCGATTTGTCATGCTGATCTGGCATGGCCCTTAAATCTGTATTGCGTGGCCACAGACAGCCTCTCTTGCCTGTCATGCAAAAACGCAGTTTCTCATGCGGAATAAGCAGCACAGAAGCACGAAGCAACTTGTCATGCTTGGCGGCGCATTACAGTGCATTTGTTATTGACTGACTTGCGTCACAAGTTTCCAGACCCAGACATTTCTGCATTTCATAATGGTCACGATCAAGCAATTCGCCACGCAAACGCAGCGGTTCTTCGAGATTTTGGACATTTTGGCGGACGGCGGCGTGAAGAACAACATCGCGGATTTCAAACTGGACCTTTGCCAAGACGAGCTGGCGATGGCGATTTTGTCGGGGGACAAGGAGGCCGCTATCCCGAATGTTTGCAAGCAAAACAAGATCGTCCGGCGGTGGTGCAGCAGTGGTTTATCTGCGAACAAAGACCAGAAGATCGGGCCGATCGCGTACTACTTGATGCAGAAGATGAAGCAGAAAAAAGTTTTGCTGACTTTGAACTTTCCCTCTCAATACGCAAAAGTCCTCTCCGAGCAATTGATGCAGGAGCAACTCACCCCGACGGCGTTGCTGCCGCCTCCCGATATCGTCCATTTTGCGGTTTCCGTGCAGATTCTGAAGCAGATGCGGTTGGAGCAAGGGTTTGTGAACCCGTTGATCCTGAAACCGTTGCTCGTGATCGACTTCGTGAATAGGGTCAAGGAGCTGGTCGACTTGTACGCGATCTTCGACGACGCACTGGTGGTGGACATGGATTGCAAGAAGGATTTGGGCCTCGCGATTACGGCTGGAGCAATGAAAAATTCTCAACCACCGGCGAGTTGCTCGAAGTTTGTCATTCCGATGCAGTTTTGGGATGTCAAAGACGTCCGGGAGCTCGGGAAATATTTCTACCAGCGGATCCCGATTCGGAAAGCGGTGATCCGGCTCGGATTCACAAATTCCTACACGAAAGAACTGCTGCAAGGAATCCATGGCCGAGCGAAATTCCGAGTACCGACGAAAGCGGAGGTGGAAGATTTCCGTCTGGCGGAAAAGATCGGGTTGAACGAACAGAACGACTCCCCCGAGCGGTTTGTGGAGCGATTCGGCTACGCCATGGCCCTGCAGGGGGTTTTGTCCGACGGCTTGATCCGGGATGTTTGCGACTTGGATCTTCCCTTCCCGTGCGCCGACAAGGTGGTTCTCATGGTCCTCGGGGAAAATCCTGATTTGTCGATCCCGGCGGAGTGTTCGGCGGACGTGACGCCGGCCTTCCGGGAGAATTACTGCTTGCTACCCACGAGTAAAGCGGGGGAGGTGGTCTCCTGGTTGGAGGGGAAAATCTTGGCGAAAAGGGCGTTAGACGGGCTGAAGATCACGAACGGAAAGATCCGGGAGCGGCTGGCCGCGGCTTTGCATTTAGACGTCGCGCAAGCGGAGGCAAAAATCCCGCCACAGGTTTTGCAAGTCTCCAAGAAGTTTTCGGCGTTGAATTTAGGGAACGCCACGTTCGCGGAGTACGCGAAGGGGATGTCGCAATTCGGGCGGCAGATTGAGGTGATGATCCACGCGGGGTGGACGCGACCCGGCGCTTTATTCCTCGCCGACCACATGCAGGGCGCTTTACCGGGCGCCACCGTGACCGATGCGGTGCTGGCAGACACGAATTTCCGAAAGCCGTCCGATCCGTCGAAGGTCCAAGGCCCTTTGTGGAAGCAGGCGTGGTTCATGCTGGGGATCCGGGAGAACGGGGATTTGTCAGAAATCGTCGACGCGATCGAGCGGAAGTCGAAGCAGTACGAAATGCTGGGTGAACCTGCCTTCCAAAACGAATATGGCCGGTCGCTGAGAAGATTCGTCCTGGAAACCCCCCGAACGGATAACAACGAGGACATCGTGATTCCGAAGCCGAAGGAGAAGAAGGACATCCTGACGCTCCGCGCGCTATCCCTGTCTCCGACCGCAACCTTGAAAGACTTGGCGAACGCGTTGGAGCGGAAGTGGCGGCAGAGGGAGGCGTTGTTCTCCGTCGGGTTCACCTGCCCGTATGCGCGGCTCATGTACAACACGCTGGATATGGATGTGTCAGGATTGAAATCGACAAAGTTGAAATAACTTGTAATGCATAAAATGCGATACAAAAAGTGACTCTATTGCAGAGGACGCACGGGCGGCAGATTCTAGTCCTGGTAAGGGTCAAAAGTTGGACTGCTGACTAGCATGACAGAAGGCAGCTCTTTTGCCCTAAACCGCATGACAGACTCGCTTCCAGGACCGGGAAAATTTGTCATGCACCGACTACAGACTGTAGGTCTAAGCGGTATCCGTTTTATGCATGACAAATTATTTCAATTTCAACTTTGACGATTTCAATCCTGACACTCCCATACTGGAGGATGTCTGTCTCGGCTCCGCCGCCACCGGCACCGCACCCGCAAAGACGAACAACCAAGACTACACTAGCGATAAGGTCGATTCCGCCACGGTTTTCGGGCTATCATCTGGCGCGAAATTTCCGTCGAAACTTCAAGACGTCATTCTGCTGGACCGACTCCCGCTGCAGAAAAACACGACCGCGCAACAACTCGCCGGGTTTTTAGACACAAACGGCGGCTTTTACGACGCGATCACGCACATCAACTTGACACCGAGTTACACGAAAACGCTGTTTGAAACTTTGCTGCGAAGTTACGCGGAGTCGCCGCAGCAAAGGATCCCGTTGATCACCTCGAAAGAGGATCAGCAGGCGTTATCCCTGATCGGTGTCTCCCCGAGTTCCACGCTCCAGAAGCTCGCCGCCGTTTTATCCCGGATCTACTGGTGGCGCTCGGCGCTGGAGCGGCATCTGCCGCTCGCTTTCGCGAAAACGGTAGAGGATGTGTTGGTGAAGCGGGCCTTGGGAAATCCCTTGGACTCGGTCCCTGTGCCCGCCGTGAAGTCCGAGGCGGAGCGGATCATGCAGAAGGTTTTCAAAGTCGACATCGCCGCAGCGCGGGCTGCTGGAGGAGCCGGAACAAGTGCAAATCAGCCAAGTTCATCTACTTCTCTGGCGAACATCGGCGCGAACGGCGAGTTAGTACAACAGCAACAACATGGGGGGCCACGGATTCCGGATGCGGGGGAGAACTCTGCGACCTTGCAGGGGCTGATCAGGGAGTTGGAGTGGAAGTGGTGGCAAAGAGTCGCCTTAGCGAAGCTCGATTTCGACTGCGAGTACCGGATATCCTGTGCAAAAGTATCGTACTCGTATTGCAATCATGCATTACAAATCCTTTTGTTAAGGTAAATCGGCATTACAAATTTTATTTGTCATGCTGAGGAAATTTGTAATGCATTTAAGTATACGAGTACGATACTTTTGCACTTCATACCGGATTGAGCTGACTAAGTGCTTCGCCCTTGGATTCCTGGCACCCGACACGCAACTCCCGTCTCCCGGGGTCGACACAGATCGGTTGACGAAATTGGGAAACCTGGGCGTCGGCCCGGCAAGCAGTTGTTATGATTTCGTGAAGAAGATGGACGAGCATGTGATGCGATTTCTCGCCAGAAATTGGCGCGAAGCGTTGGCCGCGTGGACGCGGAGGGACGCGCCAACGGCTTTATCGACGGATTTGTGTCAGGACGTCCGGATTCGAGACACGGTCTTGCACGATTCCGCAGTTCTCGCCTTTTCCTGTATCAAATGTAAAAATGTCTGGGTCTGGAAGATTGCGAGATTTGTCATGCTTGTCTGGCATGACAAAAAAGTTTGTGATGCGTGTCCAAGAAGAGACCCTTGTCACGCAAAAACGCAGGCTCTCATGCGAAAAACGCAACACAAAGAAGCGCAGATATTTCTCATGCTTGGCTGTGCATTACAGAGCATTCACTACTCCCAACAAAGCATTACAAGTTTCCAGACCCATACATTTTTGCATTTGATATCCTGTCAAACGGTGCAACACACCATGTCGAAGAAGCAGAGAGTGGGGTTTGTCGCGAGAATGTGTTCGCGTATCCTTGTGTTCCGCCACGGGTGGCAGCGCTCCAAGTCCAAACCCGCGGTTTTCGACGGCGATATCACGGTCGCCGGGTGCAACAGCACGAGTTTACTCACCCCGAACGCGAACCGCGCGTGGGCGGCGCCGCGAGTGATTTTGAAGCCGTTTTTGATCCGAGTGGAGACGGAGGAGGAGCTCCACGAGTCTTTCAGTCAGAACAAGCTGATCGATGATCCGTATTACACGGCGGCCAGAGCGGTCGGCTTGGCCTACGCTCTCGACGTGCCGGAAGACCAGGTGAACCTGATCGGTTTGAAAATCCGCCCGGTTTCGATCGCGCAAGACCCAAGTTCCATGATGCTCACCGCGGTGGGTGCGAATGGGGAACTGGAAGTGGTTAGTGATGAAGATGGGTCAATAACAGCAACATCTTCTACAAGTGCAACATCTTCTCGACGGGCTGAAGATAAAAATCCCTACTTAATAGGCGAGGACGTCGGAGACGACAAAGGGTCGGACGGCGGGGGCAACCCGGCCGGGATCACCTCCTCGGGCGAGGACGAGGCGGCGAAGCTGGTGTCGGTTGCCGGCTATGCATTGCAAAAGTATCGTACTGGTGTAAATTGCATTACAAATTTTGCCAAGAAAAAAAATGCAATTTGTCATGCTATTTCAGGTAGAAAGTTGAATTTTTCATGCCTATCTGCAATTAGTACGTGGGAGTACGATACTTTTGCACAGGATACCGGCAAAGGCTCGGCGGCGGAGAAGCTCCAGGCGGCGAACGTGTACAGGATGCATGTTTTGGCGGACTTCATGGTATCGGCGATCAGCGAGAAGGATTTGGTGCAGGAAATCCAAACCGCGGCGTTCCCCTGCGCGGTCAAAACGAAGCAAGCCCTGATCGCGAACGAAAAGTTCTACCAGGAACCAAATGTACCCGCGCCGATCTTGGGAAGGGTTATCGCCGTGCGACTGCTGGAAGATTCGGTGCCGGCCGCGCCGGGTACCACGATTTCTCAAGTCTCCAAACCCTGGCCGCCGTACTTGCGAAAGGTGTCCAGTTTCAACGCGAGCAATTGCGAGCAGGTGGATGTGTCACTGGGCGCACCGGTGAGCCCAGTGAAAGACTCCGAACCCGGGGTTCTCGAGTACGCCTCCGTGTCTAAGCAAGCGGCGAACATAGCGAACAGCCAGCAGACCGCGAACGCGAAACAGGCGGCCATAGCTGCGAAGGCGAACGCGGCTGCGCAATCAAATGTGGCAAAGGCGAAGGCTGCCGCGGCGGCGAAATCTGCTTCGGGGCAGATCGTCATGCTGCAGACAGAGAAAACGGAGATGAAGATGTTCTCACAGAGCAACAAGGCACTACTACAAGAGCACCAAAGTAGTAAAAACGAGCATATGCTTCTCGCAAACAGGATGCAGCAGATGAGTCGCGTGGTTTACCAGGCGGAGGCGAAGAACATCTCGTACCAAACCGTCCCGGTTGTGAAAGCCGAGCTGTGCGACCGGCTCTCGTCCACCGACGTTTTCTCGAAGGACTTGAACGCTACGGGGGGTTGCAACCAGTTTTACCTTCAGCAATTCTCGTCAGAGAGCTTTGAGAACGGGTCTCTGAAGCAATCGTGGCACAGCCGCGCGTTCCTCGACATGGAGGTGCGGAATGCGAAAATGTTCAATTGTGAGGCGATCGACCAACGGAACTATCTGGTCCCCGTCGCTCGCGTTGCGCTAGAGGCGGTTGCGTGCGACTCCGTGGAGATCGAGTCTCCCGGGCAGGGGGCGAATTACGTCGCGGCGAAAACGCCCGCGCGCGTGATCGCGCTGTCCTGTGCCGGTCACGCGTGGAAGGACAACGAGGGCGTGCACGTGGAGGAGTGCTCGAGAATTCGCATCTTCCAAAATGAGGTGGACACGGAGGAGGACGCGCTTTCCTGGCGGGGATCGGCGTTGTTGAAAAACTGCGACCGCACCACGACAATCTTAGTCCACCCGGAAGCAGACTACGTGGAGATCGCGGGACAGGTTTCTTTGCTCGTGAACGCCATCAACGCCACGGGGGGGAAGCAGGAACTGGTCGCGGCTAGAGGGTGTCGGTTCGCGAACACCGCGGGGATCGGGAGGAGAGCGCTTGATCCCGGCAGGAATGTCATCGTGAAAGCGGAGAAGTGCAGGACGATGCACCACGAACGGATCGGAGCGGATCTGGTGCAAGCGCTATCAAATGTAAAAATGTCTGGGTCTGGAAACTTGTGATGCTGGGTGGCGTCTCATGATGAGGCTACAGATGCTGGCTCAGCATGACAAGTTTCTGAGCTCCTAGGTGTTGCCTATTCTGCATGACAAACTGCGCTTCTGCATCACAGAGGAACGGAGCTCTTGGGTAACGTGCATGACAGATTTGAGAGTCACGCCAGACAAGCATGACAAACATGAATTCTTCCAGACCCAGACATTTTTACATTTGATAAGCGCGCAACCTGTACAACGTGCGGCCGGTATTAAGAGGAAAAATCCCCCCTCCCCATATCGAAAAGGTATTTTTCCGAAAATTTGTGTTGCTGATTTGCGACCTCAAATCACGTCTGTCTTGCAAGAAGGCAACTCCACAAGCTCCGCAGCATTGTGCAGGCGGTTTGTGATGCTGATGGGCCTACAGCACGGACGTTTCTCATGCTAGACGCCTAGGCCAGAGCCTCTCTACTTAGGCTCAGCATGGGGCTGCATTCCTCTCCAGCAAGACAAATCGTATTTGTGTACGCAAATTCTGCATGAGAAACTTCGTTTTGATATGGGGAGGGGGCATTTTTCCTTTTGATAGCCGGATCAGGTAAACGTGCCGACCGCGACGGTGAGACCGCGGAACGAGGCGTTGTTTCATGGGACCAGGTGCGAGAGGATCGAGGTTCATAACGAGGAACGGTTCCCGATCGTCGAGAAGGGGGATTTCATTCTCGAAAACTGCACCCACCTGGAGATGGTGAAGGAGCCAAAGTGTGCGAGGGAGCAGTTGACGCCAATTGACTGCAACGGGGGGATCACGATCGGGCGGGAGAAGATTCTAGACGGGGTGGAGTTTATCACCACGACAAACTGCACAAGTTACCGGGTGAAGACCACGCCGTTATCGGGTGTGAACGTGGAAACAGACTGCGACTTCTTCGAAATACAGCTGGCACAGACGAAAGGCACGACGCCGGGCACCTTCGCGACCGCGAAGGCCGCGGCGACCGGGGGTGGCGGGGCAAGTCAGAGTGCTTCTTCTACGCCGCAGCGTATGCTGCGAAAGGGCGGGACTTTGAAATTGGAAGAGTGTGCGGACGTTTTACAAGAGATTCGGGAAACGTGCACCACCACAACCACCACCACCACCACGACAACCACCACGACGAATACGAGGATGAAATTGTTTTTTTTGGGAAGAGTTTTGAACGCTTCTGTAGCTGTCGCCGAGCGAAATCTAATTTTATGCATGCAATGCATTAATGAATTGGCAGCTCATGGTCATGATGTTCTGGTAAAACGCAGTGGCCGGGGGACAAGCACAAGCTGAACAAGAATGAGAATTCGAAAAGACAAATATGCGAACCTATGCTAGAAGGTCACCCAAGTATCCCAGAAAAGTTCTGTCTGCATAAAACCAAACACCACCACCACGACGACCACCACCACTACCACAACCACGACGACGACAAAGGCGAAGTTTGCGTTTTTCGTACACTGTGCAAACATCACCTTTCCGGAATTCGCTGGGGGCAAGGAAATCCGGATTCCCAGAGCCGAGAATGTGACCATCAAAGCGGTATTGTGTTTATTTTGAGCCAGTTTTTCATTTTATATCTATGAGCAGCGTCGGTGTTTTTTTCGTCTGGCAGAGAAACGCCTGAACTGAAATAAAAGTAAAACTACCGCATGACTTATCGTTATCCTCATCCCCACGACCTCAGACCTGCGACGAGGTGGAGCACCGCCTGAGCCCGGCTTTCCACGTGTACGGGAAGGTCTGTTCGTCCGTGGAACTAACGCCGGGGATCACGCGCGTCGGCGGCGGCGACGTGAGCATCTCCGGTTGCACGCCGCTGCCCGAGCAGCCGGAAGTGTGTTTGAACCCGACCACCAACCAGCCCGATTTGCCGATCTTTGAGTCCGGCAACTGCGATCAGATCATCATGCAGGACTTCCATCAAATGTAAAAATGTCTGGGTCTGGAAGAATGCAACTTGTCATGGTAAATCTCAAGCATGCAAAAATCTGTGTTGCATGATTACCAAAAGTCGTCCAGTTTTGACCAAGTCGGGAGGGAGTTTGCCATGCAGGACAGGCATGAGAGAGATCGCGCAGAGTCTGTCATGCTAGGTCCTGCATTCCAGACCTCATGGGTCATGGAAAAGCTGCATGACAAATCGCGCATTTTTCCAGACCCAGACATTTTTACATTTGATAACTTCACGGGCAAAACGAGCGTGGTGCACGGTTTCAAGTTAACCGCTGCGGGCGAGGGGTGTGAGTCTACCGCACAATCGAAAGCGGCGCAGACGGACCCGAACGGAATTGACGTGTTGGCGAAGATGTGCAAGCGGGTGGTGGTGGAAACGGATGCGAAGTACGTCCCGGCGTATAACGGCCTGTTCCAGGCGCTGGACTGCGAGTATTCCCAACTCGTGAAATGCCCGAGGAAGCGACAGCGATTCTTGAAAACGAATTCCGCGAAAGTTCTCCTCGGGTTCGGGCCGAAGAAGCCTCCGATCGTGGTGCACGCGGAAGTGCCGAACGGAACTCTGTGGGAGGGACCGGCCTTGGATGAGCCGAACAAAGAGATCCCGGGCCGGTTCCCGCCTTTGGGCGTGAAAGACGTGAAGCCGTTGGACTCTGTACTGCCACCGTGGTTCAAGTTGAATGTGACAAACATCGGAGTCATGCCGAATTTAGAGTACCCCTACAAATTCCCGAATCCGCCTTTTTTGCCCAACAAGGAAACGCCGGAGGTGGTGCCCTTCGGCCGGGAGGAGTACAGGATCCAGGAAAAACCGATGAAATTGGACCTGCCGAAAATTGCGGTCGAGAAGCAAGTGCTGCCCAAGTTCTGCAGGGCAGCGAACGGTATTTACGTATGCTGAAAACAAATAGGATCATTATTTTTTTATGCTGAAAACAAATAGGATCATCAATGACTGTGTCCTCTAGTGAAGATAAAAAGTTCTATTACAATTGCTTTTAGCGAACACTACTTTTACCAAAGCAGACTCGTTCATTTCCCCCCGGTGCGAATCCGCCCCAAACTGCGTCGAGGAGTCATGTGATTGCGATGAGGGGTACCGCGTCCGGAAGTGCCGGAAGTGCGTGCAGCCCCTCGGGGTCACCACCTTGCCCCACGAGGATTTCGTCGCTGGCACCTGCGCCACCTGCCGCATCCCCGATCCTTCCGAGTGCGCGAAGTACAGCACGGATTACTGCGTCTACGTCGACGAAATGCCGAAGCTGACGCAGCAGCGGGCGATATCATTTGTAAAAACATTCTGCTAGACAAGTCAGGGAGTCAAGATGGGAAATCTGCTAGACAAATCAGCCAGCTTTGGCCGTTTGGCATGACAAGTTTGTCCTCGTAGTCTCATCCTATTTAGGCAGTTCAGCAGCATCACAGACCTAGCACATCATGCTGATCATAGCATCACAAATCCCAAAACATGACTAGAAAACGCCTCTCATGGCGCTCCGCATGGCAAACTTTTTTGGCATGCAGATCGGCAGGACAACTCTGGGATGGGGAGGTTTTTACTCAGAATAACCGAACCAGATGTTGGTGGACTTCCTGGGCGGTTTCTCCCAGCCCAGTACGCCGCAGTTCCGGTGTATGGGAGTGTCAGGATCGAAATCGACAAAGTCGAAATTATCTGTCATGCATAAAATCCTACACAGAAAGCGACTCTATTGCAGAGGATGCAAGGAAGGCGGATTGTAGTCGTGGTAGGGGCCAAGTGTTGGGCTGCTGACTAGCATGACAGAATGCAGCTCTTTTGCCCTAAACCGCATGACAGATTCGGTTCCAGGACGGGGAAAATTTGTCATGCGCCGACTAAAAACTGTGGGTCTAATTGGCAACGAATTTGCGCATCACAAATTTTTCGATTTTGTCAATTTAGATTCTCTCACTTCCATACGGTGCACGCAGTGCGCGAACTTGGCGTTTACCTTGAAAAACGGGAAGTGCGAGTACGATTTGGAGAGGAAAACCGAGTTGACGGTGGGGAAGCTGGTATCTGGCGCGTGCAAATTGGATCCGAATTGCGCCGTGTTCCGCCCGAAGTGTGACGATGATGACTTCGAGTGGTGGCCGTGCAAGAGGTGCTCTCCGGAGTTCCCGGTTTTGAAAGAGGATGGAAGATGCAGGAAGGCAGGTAACAAAGGTCAACCTAGTTGTCCTCGTGTGGTTTTTTCGTTCTACTTTTGATGTTCTCCAAATGCGCTTTTATACATGGCAGAAACGAGAGGGATTCTACCCCTGATTTTTCCACCGTGTGACAAACTAAACGTCTCAGGTGTCCTCTACGAAGAGAAGTCTAAGTTTGATATTGCGGACAGCGGTTTCTACCCGCCTTCCTTCGTGGATTTTGGGAACGGCACGATCCTGCACACCTGCCAGCAACTCCCGCACAAAATGTCGATTTCCGGGGAGCTTCCCAATGTCTTGGACCCCTGGCCACCGACGAAGAAAACTAGTACAACGTCTTCCACTGCTGCAGCCGGTAAACAGAACAAGACAAACCTTCTGTTCGAGAATCATGAAAGCGACAAGAACAATTTCGCAGCCAGCACGGAGTTGGAAGTCGACCAGGAGACGGGGCAGCTGCAAATCATGCTGGAGCAAACCCCGACTATTCAACAGCAGAAGGAGCCGCCCCCGAAGTGCGGTCCCTTTTTGAAAACCTTGAATTTCACCGACATCCTGCATGCCCCCTTCGGCGTGGTGAAAATTTCTTTCCGGTTCTGGACGCTCTTCTGGGACCGCCCGAGCTTCATCTACGTGAAAATCAACGGGGAAAACGTGATCGCGCGGGAGAGCGGGAGGATTTGCGAGTTGTTTGACAACATGCACAGCTTCTACGACAGTTTGGGGAACGGATTTGAGTACTTGCTGGAAGACGCGCCGCAGGGGACCCTGGTGTGTTTCACCAATTTTACCATCGGAGCGTTTTATCACTTAGAAGACGGGTACGAGAAGTTCAATTTCACGGACGTTATTGATTACAAGTACTTGCCGGCGAAAATACGACCAGGGGGAAAATCAAATGTGGCCAGTGCCGCGGGTGCTGGTTCTCAGGGAGGAAGCAACACTAGTACAACCGCGGGGGCAACTCCTGGAGGTGCTGCGGGTGCAGCTGGTGCAGCTGCTGCGAACGGGACGGCCTCCGCAACAACAGCTGCCACACCTGGGGCTCAAACAGCGTTGTTCGCTGCGGATTCCGCCTTGTTGGCCGCAAAAGGAAAAACAAAGGCAGCACAAGAAAAGACAAAAGCAAAACCCACACCACTGCAACAGGCGAAGGAAATCATGAAGGAGATGAAATTACCGCTATCCTCTGAGGAGAAGGCGAAAAAACAACTGAACTACCGCGCTCTGGCAGCGAAAGCGCTCGGGCTGCAACTCGAAGATACGATGGGGATGAACAAAGGGAAAAGTAACAAAATATCGCTCACACAACTTAACGGTCGTTTGACGAAGCAACCGGGTGGAGCAGCCGCGCAGCTGAACACCAGTAATACAACCAGTAACGCAACTGACAACAACGACACCAATCCGCTAAATCGCGACCTCGTGCAACTCGACCCAAGTTCCGGAAACGTAAAGATCGAGATCGGCGCGCAGAACCACACACTGCTGATCGCTTTTGACCAGTTGAAGGTCACATTCGACCTGGATGAGCAGTTCGGTATTGAAGAAGACAACAAATACGACGCGAAAGAGCGAAAAGCAGCCGAGCCCCTGTTCCTGCCCGCACCGGAAAGATTTTACCCGGCTAGCTGGAACGCGACGCCGAAAGAATTCCGAGGGCCGTGCGCGCAGTCGCCCCATTGCGTGTCCATGACCCGGAACTGCGAGCCGATTTTGAACCTCTTCGAGTGCAATCAGTGCCTCGAGCCGGATTTCGGAATCGTGTTGGAAGCGCCGACGAACAAGACCGAGGGGCAGTGTGGTCTCTGCTTGCCTTATCCGAACCGGGATGAGTGCGACATTCAATCCAACAAGTTTTGCTTCATGGAGTTGAAATCAAAAGAAATACCGGTGGATGAAAACTACAAGCAGATCGTTGACGACAGTACGTCCAGTCAAGTTCCCGTCAAGGGGGAAATCAAGGGAAACAACTTTTTCTCCTTTTCCGACTACTTTCCGCAGACCATCCACGCCCTTTCCCAGTTCACGGGGATCGGGGACAACGACCAAAAATCAGTCCTCGTTTTCGAGAAAAAACCGTACTTCCAATGCACGAAGTGCAAACTCGGGTTCAACCGAACGGCAGAAGGGAAGTGCGTGGCGGAGTCACCAGTGAAAAGAGCCCTCGTCATATTGTGAGGAAAAATCCCCCCTCCCCATATCGAAGCGGTATGATTCCAAAAAATTGTGTTGCTGATTTGAGCCCACAAATCACGTCTGTCTTGCAAGAGGACAAGTGCAGAGGCTTCCGCGCCATTATGGAAGCGATTTGGCATGCTGTTGGGCCTAGGGGACGCCCGTTTGTAATGCTAAACAACTAGACCTAGGCTGAGGATCTGGCTGCGATGCCTTACCGCAAGACAGCGCGCATTTGTGTACGGAAATTCCGCATCACAGCTTCCCGTTTTGATATGGGGAAGGGGGATTTTTCATTTTGATACGCCACCGTCGGGAAAATTGCCGGCGGGTTCTGTTCGCGCGACCCCGACTGCGAATTTTTCGGGAAAGAATGTAAAAGCGAGGACATCCAGTGGCCTTGCGAGATCTGTGGCTGTGAGAAACCGGTTTTCAACGAGAAGACAAAGCTTTGTGACAGGGATGGGGAACTCTATCGGGAGAGTAGAGAGGAAATTTTAGACGGGAAGGGGTGGAGCAGTCAATACAGCCTCGTCTTAACCAAACAGCAAGCGTCGATGGAAGAGAAATCCGACGGGGATTACTGGCCGGAAGTCCTGGAAGCGCTAAACATTCCGCAAATTTCCAAAGAGCTCCCCGATTGGCCGCGGTTGGACGGTTTGGATTTGATTTTTCACGAGTCGTTCTGGGAGAAGGCCACGAAATTGAAGCAAAAAATTGACAAGTCGCTCGGCGGTGTGAACTTAGACGACCAGGTGGTGTTACACACCTGCGACGACATGAGCCGGCATTTGACCGGGCCGCTGTTGAACGCGACGGCGGAAGAGGAGGATGATGATGAAAACGCGGCCTTTTTGCAATTACAGGAGAGCAGGACAAGCACCAGAGATAGTTCTACAGGAAGTAAGGATGAGGAGAGCACTAAAGAATTGTTGTCACAGAAGATGAAAAAAATCCCCGCACCAACCACCGTGACCGCCAACCACGTCGGGCTGTCTCTCAAGGTCGATTTGAAACACGCAAATCTCCAAGACGCCGAGGCCGAAGCGAGCGGGTTGCTGCGGGAGAAGGAGACAACACAACTGCGGAAAAATAGAAAATATGATCCCAAAGCCGACCCGTCCCTGAACAACAACAACACCGGGGTCACACAGCCGGACAAAACGCGGCAGAGTCTCCAGGACCGCATCTCTCTCCACGAGGCGCTCGCGTACAAGCCGCAGTGCGGGCCGGTCTCGAAGAATTTCAACTTCACGAAAAAAATGCGAGTGAACGCCCAGGTCACCGTCTCCCTCCGCTTCTGGGCGCTGTTCTGGGACAGGCCGTATCAAAATGAAAAATCCCCTCTCCCCATATCGAAAAGGAAATCTGTCATGCTGGATTTGCGTACACAAATCAGATTTGTCTTGCAGTAGAAGACTGCTCGCAGATCGCAAGCTCAGACGGGGGCCTTTTGGTGTAGGCACCTAGCATGGTAGACGGCTGCCCTGTAGTCCTTACAGCGTTACAAGTCGCCTGCTTAGTGTGGCAGAGAGCCTGTATGTGCCTCCTAGCAAGACAGACAGGATCTGTGGCCGCGAATCTGCATCACAAATTTTCAGAAGAGACGGCTTCAATATGGGGAGAGGGGATTTTTCCTTTTGATAGACCGGGTGAAGCGTTTATCAAGTTCAACAACGAGACCGTCGCGACCGACACGACCAACGGGTTTGCCTGCGGCCGGGGGCAGAAGCACATCTCGTCCTGGCAGCCGTACGTCGGCCGCTCGCCCGGGACGGGGATTTGTCTGATCACCATGCGTATCAACTGCAAATATGTCTGGGTCTGGAAGAATCATGCTGCTTTTGCATGACACAGAAGGTCTGGCATGGACGCTCCAGCATCACAGGTTTCGAGAAGCGTTCGCAATGCCGAATCTGCATGACAAATCCCTGATTTTGGTGACAGAAAGTGGGCAACTTTTGCTGCCTATGCATGAGAGATTTTTCTGCGTTCTGAAATGCGCATCACAAGTTTCAACCTTCCAGACCCAGACATTATTGCAATCCATAATGCGGGCGAAAGTGAAGAAGCAAAATCATCAAGATTTCAGAATCACCGTCGGCTCGAAAAACGTCTCCCAGCCGTTTGCGTTCGACGACGTGCGGATCGTGTACGACGCAGCGGACCCGGGAGAAGTGAACCCGCCCGAGTGCGCGCAATTCAACGACAGCAATTGGGCGGTCAACTTCACGCCGGCGGCGAACGGGTTCTACGGCCAAAAAGGATTGAACTACACGGAAACCGCCGACTACAAGATTACCGGGGAGGATGCAGACTTGCAGACCACTGTGGACGAAGAGTTTGACGAGTTTAAATCGCTGGAGAATTGGCTTCGGACGCCGGAGGGGCGAGCCTACCTGGGCACGACCGCGGACGGACTGGCGATCGCGCGGGCAATCAAAGCGAAGTACCACATTCTCGAGTCCCTCGCCTCCGCTGTAGAATCGGACATGATCAGCAACGAGACGGCGATGAAAATCGAGCAAAAGTATCTAGAAGAGTTCTCCCTCCTGAAAGACCTACCGGAGGTGGTGAAAAAACTCGAGGAAAAAGCGAAGGAGGAAGACCTGATCGCGCCCAAAATGTCGAAGGAGACTTACGAAGTGAACGTGAACCAAGAAGAAAACAAAATTCCGAACATTCCGGTATCGAACGTGCCGTTTCTGATCCGGAAAATCGTGCGAACTTTGCGAAAGATGAAAAACAAGGCAACGAATAGACACGTGGAAGACAACATCGTCGACGAAGCATTGGATACCTTGTACAACTCGGACGGTGGGATAGCAGCAGATGAAACCTCTTCAGATGCTGCCTACGCAGACGAAGAGAGTTCATCTTCCACCTCTTCTTTCGAAGGAACGGACGAATACGGGATGAACTATCCTTCTGTCGTCCGAGAAGCAAAACTACTGCCCGAGACGAGCATGACTGAACAACAGTTCGCTCTGACCGCGGAAAAGCGGCTGCAACTGGAAAACGAGCTAGCCCACCAGGAGGAACTGCGAAAGCAGGAATGGTTCTGGCCCTTCACTAGTAGTTCGAACAGTGCAGATGAAATCCCCCCGGACGAGATCTTCACCAACGAAACAGTCACCTTCGACATGCCGCTCGGCCCCAAGACCACCCCGCCCTTTATCTCCACCGTCGCTTGGACGGACAGGCTGCCGGGGTATCTCCCACCGGGGGGGGAGATCGTCGGGTACGAACCGGATGGCACCTGGTATCTGGATTTCCTCGGCGCGAAAAAGCACTGCGAGGAGTTGGAGTACTGTGGGGGGGTGATGTCGCATGGGCTCGGGTGGTATTGGACGTTAAAAACGGCGGAGCACCTAGCAAAGGACAGCCGGCCGATCGGCGGGAGTAAATCGCCCTTCTTCACCTATTTGATCCCGGGCCGGATCGTGCAGAACGGCGGTTACCAGCAGTGCCCCGAGGAGGAGCTCCGGAACTGCGTCTTGTCGAGCTGTCTGAAAAAGCAGTACAGCAACTGGCTCTACGACAACTTGTTTTTCTTCTTCCCTTCCGCCACGGAGCTCGCTGCCGCCGGCTACATCCCGCACCACACGAACGTGATCAAATCCATACCGTCTTTACCGGGTCGGCCGAATTTGACGATGCCGGGATTTACTATGCCGAATGTTAGCATGAGCATGCCGGGCATGCCCGGGTTTCCGGCAATGCCGAATGTCTCCCTGCCCGGCATGCCACTTCCCTCTGCCTCTTCGATGAATTTCACGAGTTACTTCCCGACGATCCGGTTACCCAACGGAACCTACTGGAAGTCGAAGGTGCCAATCCCCGCGATCAGAATCAACAGCAGTTACTGGCTCAACGCGTACAACGCTTTTCCGAATGCAAGGCTAGGGAATGGGAGCAGCAATGGAAGTAATACTTCTGCATCATCATCAGCCTGGAGCTACTTGAGAGATTTTTTCGCGCAGAACAATCTGTCCGCCAAGGAGGTCGAGGAGCAAATGGGCATTGATATCAACAACCTGGCGAACAATGGGTCCGAAGCAGTAGCGGAAAATTTATCCTCCTTTGTTCTCCCCCCGCCGACGAATGATTCTGATTTTTACAGCAATGAAAGTGCCGCTTTATTTCCTTTTGCGAATAACAACACCACTTTCACCGATTTTTACCCGCACCAGAATCAGGAGATTTTGGTGGAAGATTCTGCCACCGACGCCGACCTCATCCCGCCCCCGACCACGCAAAACTACTGTCGGCTGTGCGAACCGCACTACGGGCTGCTGCGGGACCCGGAGCAGCTCGCTCTGGTGGGACGCTGCGTCCCCTGCAACCCGGCGAACCCAGGGTGCAAAGTCCCGTCCGACCGCGAGTGCGTAACTGGGGTGAACAAAACGTTACTCCAGTTAACGATGGTGAAGTACCAGTACAAGTGTTTGCAGTGCGAGTCTGGCTACCAGCTAGACCAGGACACGCAGCAGTGCAGGGTCTCCACCTCCTCGGAACTGATTATTTCCGATCCGGTTGGGAAGACGGGTCAGCAGCCGGTCGCCCATGATCTATGGCTGACCGGGTCAGAAGGAATCGCCCCGGCCGTCACGTTCATCGTGTGCCAAAAGGACCCCAACTGCCAACTGTTCGCAGACAACTGCAACAAGACGCGGCTGTGGCCGTGTTTGCAGTGCGGTCCGTCCGCGCCGGTGATGGACAACAAGCTGTGCCGGAAGAAAAAAAGCCTCCTCGACGAACGAGGGACGGAGTTAGTGGGTATCGGCTGGTCGAGCAACAGCACGGTCTACTCCGGGACCGCGAATTTGCGGACGTGTAAAAAAGTGGAGTATTACAACTACAAAAATTACAGCATTTCCAACTTCGAGGAAAGTATAATACCCAGCGGAGATCTGATGTCGAATGCAAATTTCTCCATGGGCGGCGGTAACAGCAGCAGCAACGCAAGCAAGAAGTCCTCAACAAAAGACAGCGTCGCTGCTGTCACTCTTCCGCAGTTAGCGAGAGAATTGTTCCACCTCCGCCAGGACGACCCATCGGTGCCTAATTTGCTAAACCCGCAACCTGGCCTGGACATGCTCGGGAAACGGTGCGACGCGATCAAGAAAACCATGAACTTGGAGGAGCTGGGGCTGCACCGTTCCGGCTACATCAAAATCTCGGTCGAAGTGTGGACCCTGTTCTGGTCCCCGCACGACAGTCTGCAGGGCACGGCCTCGGTGAAAAGGGAAGAGCGGGTGTGGCTGAAGGCTAACGGGGTGGAGCTCGACGGGGTCACCATCAACGACGGCAACTGCCGAAGGACGGACGTGGGGTTCTTAGGCACGACGGGGGAAAATTTCGATAGCGACGGAGACGATTTTTCGTCCTACGCTTCCGCGCTCAAGGACGCAACTGGAAGTAGTGGTGACAAAAATGATACTTCTGCCTCGCTGCAACCAGATCCCGTCACTCTGATCCAGCAATTCCCGGCGACGGCTTCCGCGGCGTACCGCATGCGTCGCTCGAGACCGCTGGCCACCTTTGCCGGCTGGCCCGCGGAGTCGGCGTATTACTTGGACGACAAAAAACATGGCGGACCGGTTTGCGTGGGCATCCTTACCGGGTACGCTTTTTACAAGTATCCGAACAACATGGAGGTCGAGATCGGTGTAAGTCAGCCGGACCGGCTCAATTTCGCGCTGGACCAGTTCCACGTCGACTATGACGCCGATCAGCAAGACTTGTGGAAGAACGCCAGCCTCGGCATTCCCGAAGCGATCGTCCGTGTGGCCGAACTCGAGGCGAAGGAGCAGGGCGTGGCGGTGCAGGAGGTTCTGCAGGGAATCGATGGACTGACTTCAAATGAAACCAACACTACGAACGAGACGAATGAAACGGGATCAACTTCTCTGTTCAACGGAACAACTGACGCAGCCGCGACTTTGTTCCCGCTTCCCACGCTCGCGTTTTCGACCTACACCCAGCTGTGGAGCGCTTTTTTCGACATGTTCTACCGAAAAAACGCGACGGGGAACTTGACAGTGGACGGGAAAATTGTGGTCGCGAATAAAAGCACCGGCAACGTGGCCATCACGGATTGGAATTACACTTGGAACGAGTCATCTAGCACTCGTCGTACTGGCGATGGTTATTCCTACAACTCAAATACAGCACCAGGAATGACGAAGGGTAACAACTCTGCTCTGAACACGACGTCCGGTGTGCCTGTCAACCAATTTTCCCCGAATTTCGGCTACAACCCCTTCGAGCAGCAATTACTCCTGCTCCAAAAAGCGCAGCGCGCCGCGTCGCAGGTTCTCTCGACGTCGCATGAGGATCAGCAGGAACATTCAAAGGTGTATTCGGATAATTCCCTTTCGAGGACGTCAACGTCAACCACGGCGGGAAGAAAAGCAAAAGACCAGAACGTCAGAGAAAACAGAAAATTGCAAAAGAAAAAAGAAAATGGAAATCTGCACCCAGTTATCGGCGCTTTGACCTCCGCACAGCAGGCGCTGGATAAACTGACGCGGCAAAGGGAGGACACCATCAAGCACAGGCGGGCACTAGACGCTGGCGACGACTATGGTGAAGACGGGAAGAAGAGTTCCGCGGCGGAAAATCGTGGCAGCGGCAGCACGGAAATAGAAAAATGGCTGAAGGACGGTGAAGACCTCGACCAAGAGAAAAAATCCGTCGTACCCACGATCGCCGGGCCGGCGGCGGTAGACAGCAGCGGGAGCGCGATACTGAATAGAAGTAAAGCTGCTGCGCAGAGAAATGGTAAGGAGACCACTCCGGGACAACTTGTAGACGGACACGAGGCAGGAGACCGCACACCACCAGTAGTTGACGAAAGCAAAAAACCGGTGCTGATCGGTGCCAAGCGAGAAGTGGAAGAATTCATTTCCGGTAATTCGAAACAGCGAGACGGACCATCATCGGAAATTGCTTCTGCTGCTGATAAAGCACCAGCATCGTCTTCCTCCTCTCTCTGGTCTGGTGTGACGGATTTGCTGGGTTTGAATGCAGGTGGACCTCCACCTCCACCAGCAGGTGCGGAGGCTCCTGCTGGTTCTGGTACCAGTAGCGAAGAAGAGAAGAAGGGTTCATCTTCTGCTACTACTTCAACCGGATTACTAGGCACTTCTTCAGTGTCGCCTAGTTCGACAGAAAATCGTGCAGATCAAATATCGTCTTCAGCCTCGAGCACTACAACTGGGGAAGAAAGCAGGAGCCATGTAGACTTGCTGTCGGGCACACTGCCGCCGGGGGGAATCGACATAAAACTCCCGGCAGACTACATGAAAAAAGATGCTCGTGGTCCCGCTGCACCGGCTCGCGCGGAGGTAAACACGCAGCAGCACGATGAAGATCAGGCACAAGAACAAAGCAAAAAGACTGCGGGAAAAAACAAATCCGAAGATGAGGAGGAAGATCATCGAATGTTGACCAGCACTACAAGGGCCGTAAAGGACGTGAAGGATACGCGTAAGGAGCAGGATCATTTTTTTCCTTCTCAGAAAGAAAAAGAGGAGGTGGAAAAGCTTGAGGACAAGATTCCAGCTGAGCGAAAGGCTGAGATCCTGCGGACGCTGACACGGGAAAGAATAGAAGACCAGACGAGAACCTCCGGTGCAAATTTGTCAGGAGATCATGGGAAGAGAGCACAACTGAAAGGAAAAAGACATCAAAACGAAAGAGAAAGAAGTTCCTTTGTGCAGGACGCTGTCGCGTCGAGTTCGTCAACGTCTACTTCCGTAGTTTTTAGAAGTAAAGACGAAAACAACTACAGCAAACAACAAGAAGATCCACGACCCCATCATCCGCAAAATGGTGAGGAGCAGACCAGCAGTGACGACAATTCCATCAAGGAGAATAAAGAACAAGTAGACGACCATGGAAGTACAACGGCCAGCGACAGCAGCGCGCCAAGTCAACATCAAGAAGATTTTCCGCACAGCGCGCTATTTCGCGCGTTCGCACCGATCGAGGCGCTTGTGCCGGTTCCGAGAGTAATCGAGAAGACGGACGAAGAAGTAGATCATGAGCAAGCGCCGGGACGACGGGGGAAGATAGATTCTCCAACTACAACCACTTCTGAAGAAGAGCAAAGCAAAGCAGGAGAAAAGGAGGGAAGTAGTAATTATTCAAGCACAGGTGGTGCTCAGGACCTATCATTGTTGCAGAAAAAGACAACGGCCTTCGCGCACGAACAAGAGGCACGGAAGAATGTCGCTCTCGCGAAAAAAACGGCGACAACTTTGACGCACGTACAGGAGGGGCAGCGGCACCCGTTGTTTGGCTCAACCCTGATCGACGACGCAAACAAACCAAACGAGCACAACAAGCATGAGCGGAATAATGCTGCTGCAGAAGGAGCTTCTGGTCCTTCTCAATCTCATGTGCCTTTAACCTCGCATGGGCATGTCGGCCTTAGTACTCAGCCAGAAAATAGCGCCAATGTGGACCCGGGTCATCAGCGGTTGCTCACCCGCTTGAAACATCTGGAGAATGATGTGGATAAAAAGCGGAGCGAAAAAGATAAAGGGAGATAGCTGAAAGGCAGAGAGCAACGAGAATAAATAGCCCCGAGGTGATTTTTTTTTGTAATTTACTAAAGTGCTGTCTACTGAGTCTGTTTTTTAGGGTTGGTTTCTTTTCCTAGTCTAAGTGTCAAGTTATTTGTGTACAAAAAATTTTGGCGGGCGAAAGTAACGCTATAGATAGTGAGTGCCTACCTTTGACGAGATTGGATGAGGATAAATTGATCTCTGCCGCCAGTGCCTACAGGCGCGGCCTCAAAAAGTCATTCTTTCAATTCCAAACACGAGTACTACCACCGGTACTCCTGCTTTTACCAAACCAGTTTCAAAACAGATCGGTTTTTGCAAATCGTTTCGAACTTTTTACTGCACATATGAAGATAAATGCTTCGTAATCTTATACCCCAAAAAAAATTTTGCAAACAAAAGATGCTCTGGTGTTTTTTGAATATCTAACGACTTCTAAAATTTATTGCAACGACAAGACGCCGGGTTTCGTTTTTGGCCTAAAAATCTACCAACACATCAACGTAGTATGTAAACTTCGATGCGTTTGCTGTTTCTGTGCAGAAAACAACTCAGCAGCTGCTTTCCGAGAAAAGTGAAGGGATTCCGTACTTACTTTCACAGAAACGCTGCGTCTATCGACGTACTATGAAAAGACGTATTGCGTTTCGTATTTTTTTGAAAGGAATAACAGACTGTAGTAAACTAGTAGGTACATCAACACCGCTAGCATCGCGTGCAGCTGAACACAGTTGCGTTTCGTAGAGCAATCCAATCATAATTTTTGACGAGCACAGTTTGCAAAGCGGTAGCGCAGGAGATGGCGATGATCCAGAACCTGCGCTGGTGCTGCGCAAGCCATTGCCATTCTAAATTTGCTGAATTCATAAAGTTTTAGTTTACGTACGTTTATCTGAAAAAGACTAAGTAAGCAGTAGGGGTTTAGCGCACTTCCACTGACAAGCACCTTCATTTTCTGCAATGAAAATCACAACCGTATTCGTAATCGACTTCCAAGAAAAAAAGGACGAGACGCACAAAAACTTCTGACGCATGTTCGAATTTTGGGAAAATTTTGCAACGATTTCGCAAAGAAAATAGTAAGAACGAACTACAGAAACCACAGTGGTTTGGATTCCAGCAAAGCATCTCTGGGAGTTCGCACTACCGGTAGGCGAACTTAGCCGGAGAGTCTAGCGACTCCGATCTGTGTCAGTTGTTTTCAGGCTTTTTTAGAACAAAAAAAGTGCATTATCGCTACTATCCCACCGTAGTCCTAAGACTTCAACAACGCCACCGCCAGAAGTTACACGCGAAGATTTTGCGACTTTATCGCTACGTCGACGTAGAAACAAAAGTGGGACGAGAAAAACTCGTGGTGAGATCCGACAATGAGAAGAAACAGCTCCGAGGATGAACATAGTAAGCTCGTATACCTCGCCTAAAAAAACGAACAGAAATTGTCGACCTTACCGTGTGACGATGCTAATTTTTCTCGAATCAATGTAGACCTGTAGCTCCTTTTTCCTTTTTCTAGCCGATAGCTTGGTTTCCGCCACCAGTCTGCTTACTACAAGCGTTTGATCTTCCAGTTAGGAAAGTTCTGTATCTCTCAGTTTATCCGCATCTGTAGCTGTTGTAGAAGTCAGTCTCTCCGCTTTATCCTTAAGTTAGTTGCAGTCAAAGTTGTCAACACATTTTCTACACTCACTCTGTTGAAAAAGCTCTACCATTGGACGCTTTGTGCTCTCCGCCTCCGGGTGTTGAGAAGCATCTTGTTAAACACAAGAATTGTTTTTAATGGGCATGTGCTCCTGCCCGGATTGGCGTCCACACTGGCATTTGGTAGTCGCGTGCCCGCGGTGCATAGCGTTGCGTCGTTCCCTGCCCCGGTCTAGTGAGCCACATGCAAAGAGGCCACCGCCAACCACCACCCTCTGAAGAATTTTCTGTATCTGTATCTGAGCTTGAGACGTCAACCGCAGACCTGGCCAAGACATGTGGACCAAAAAATAAAAATGACATGTGGATGATGAAGACACCAAGATCCATGGCTGAGATCCTGATGATCCCGTGCAACCTGTTGATCGTGCTAAAAAGGAAATAACGGTGAGGTCCGAAAGTTTATCTGTGTGTGCTAGCCAGATGATGATGATGATGATGTGGCGCTCATCCGCGTCTTTGGTTGACATAAGTGCAGCCACAAAATGTAAATGCGCGATCATTCTCTGCTGATCGTAAAAGAAGATCGAGATCTTGGATTTTTCGATGGTTTGTCTGCAATACAACATACAGAACGCATCGATCATCGCAGGAGGAAGATCGTTGACGCGTTTAGCCAGTCTGGTGGTCCTGGTTCCCTTAGTTCCTGAGATCGAGGAGCTCGTGAGATGAATTAGCGTTCTTACGAGGACAGAACTACCTACAAGCGCTACCATGTTGGTATGCCATGATCTACTTCTACATCAAACTCACACGCCCGCAACAACGTTGAACAGATAAGTAGTAGTAGCCAGCACAGAAAAAATGTCCCCTATCACACAAATAAACCACAACACAACCGCCGCTGCGGTCCACGCCTTTAGGCTGCCGACTAGGAACGGGTGCTGTGTGGCTGCGGACGGAAAAAAATCTCTAATCGCCTACGGGACATACCGACTGGAGGAGAAAGAATGGCACTGTGAGGAGAATTTTTGTCCCGAAGGCGACGATAGGGATAGTCTAAGACGGATTGATTCGACGTTTGAAAGCAAAAATCTAGTTGAAAGCAGCAACTCGCCAGAAAGAGTCCTTGCCGCAGGCAACGATCTTCCCCTCCTGGCGCGGTCCGGCTCAATATTTTCCCGCAGTCCTCGAGAAGACCCTTTCCGGGCGGGGGAGATTTATATCTACGACGATTCACATTCATCACATGGAGCGTCTTCCACCACAACCCGTTGGAACAGCTACAATTCAGACCCCCCTTTATTGCACACGATTCCTCTCCCCGGCGGCTGCTACGACCTGACTTTCGACCGAGATTTGGAGGCCTTTCTCGCGGTCTGCACGAACGGCGACCTGTTCTTCGTCCAGATTTTTGACGCCGACGCGGATGTTGAACTCGGCACCGGCAGATGGGGAAAGGAAAACGACGAGCATGGTGCGAGTTTGATTACTGAAGTCGAACTTCGGAGGCTGCGAGAGCTGGGTGAACAAAGTCCGGGTGAGCGAAAACTTGCCCCGCGAATTAGTACCACCCCGCTGGCGGCCCAGGTTGTACCTGCACTTGTGTGCTCGGTGCCGGTGGGGCAAAAAAATGTATGCGAAACATACGACAAAACTGGCTTGTGGTCATCATCATCCTCAGCGACTGCTTCAGCACGACCTGCAAATAGAACGCCCCCGCCGTTGCTGACCCACATTGCGACAGACGGAAATTTCGTCGCGATAACCGACCAGTCCGGGCAGGTTCACGTCGGGGACAAGTTTCGCTTGCTCGAGGTAGCGAAAACGTTGAAGAAAGATGAAGTGGCCTGTAGTTCCACGCAGCTGCGGAATGGCGGGATGAAGACGGGAAGTTGTACTGAGACCTGGAGTTGTTCCGATCTTGAAGAAAGAACTAAAAGTTGCAGCACACAAGGACCTGCGATGGACAAAATGGAAATCTTAAAACCGCAAGAACAAATACACGACTATCTCGCCCACCTGTGGAGCAGCATACAAGCCCACGCTCCCAGTACGCCCGCCTGGACTTGCGCATTTGCGCCGGAGGAGGAGGTACCTCGAGACGAAGGAATCGATAAGAACCTTATTCCAACAAGCGCACCAACTACGACGAGAAACTCGAAAATCTTAGCGACGGGTGGTGATGACGGGCTGATGTGCTTGCTGCGAATTGATTTCGATACGGATCTTTACATCGGTGCACAACTTCCGCTTCCGGAACAAAGCCAAACTCAAACAAAAAGCATCAAAACCGAAGAACCAGAAGTTGCCCCAGAACCCGTAGAAGATAAGTCTACTGTCCTGGCGATGTTGACGTCAACCCCCGAGAAGGAAAAAAATCAAAGCCCCTTCGACACACAGCACGAGGACTTATTTCAAAAAAAGACAACAATTAGTTGTGTCCGCAGTATTAATATCGAGATCCGCGTGGTCGCACAGACCTCTTGTCGCCAACACGACGCCGGGGTGACGTCTCTGGCATGGGTGGACGCCCGAACCTTGGTAACGGGGAGCTACGACGAAAAAATCAGGGTCTTCGATGTTGTTTTTCACGAACGAGACGAGTCGGATGGAGAGGTTCCTCACACAACTGACAGAACAGCTTCGATCGACACTTTGTTCGAAAGCAAACGACAGGGGGATGGCGTCTACCGGCTGCAGCTTGTGGAAGATCAAGGAACAAGAAAAGACGATGAAAACGGTGGCTCTACGTCTACTCCCGTCCGTCGCTTGTTTCTGTTCGCCGCCACCATGCGCGAAGGCTTCCAGCGGTTCACACTTAATTATGATGCCACAACAAGAACATCATCCGATGCTGGCAAAAGCAAGGCTTCTCGGCTCGAACTCTCTCCACCGTGCGCCTGGAACGTGATCGTACAGGACGAGGACAAGAACTTGCTGGTCTGTTGTATTGGCGACCGCGTAGCTCCTCTCCAAGAATCGAGGACGAGCCCGCTGATTTCTTGCGCTAAACCGCCCCTCCAGATAACGACCTCATCGTTGAAGCCGTGGAAGATGATGAAAAGTACTGTACAAGCCAGAGAACAAGTAGAACACGAACAAGAGCAGGAGGAGACAGACCTGTCAGAAACTGATCCGGACGACTGTCCGCTGGCTTACGGGATGACCGTGGTCGGTAAAAACCGCTTGTTTCTCACCTGCTTTCGCGAAGAGGCGTACTGCGTAAATATGGATTTTAGTGAAGTAGATGTGAACATGGATTTGGTAGCGACATGATGTTGGTTCTTTTTTGATCTAGATGCAAGTCGAACTAACCACGACAAGGACGATGTTTTTGAAAAAGACCGTATGCGTCATTTCGAATTTTTCGCACGGGCAAGTTCAGAAGCGACTTTATTTTCACACGATCGATGAGGTAATAAGTTAAAGTATTCCTATTGCTTTAGAACGACTCTGATGTTCGTCCATCGCGCCACTTGCTCGTTGGGTCACCATTCAGGTGTTAGTTTGTTGCCGAAATGGTTGTTCCTAACACTTAAAATGAATCCGCCGTGTTCATCCTACAAACGAATTGTACGTAAAACGAAACTTTTTCAATGGAGCGTGAGTGAGTATGTGCTTATAAGAATTTGATCCTAAAATAAATTGTACATACTGTAAATTCAGCACCAGCTAATAACGCCTGTGTCATTTTTCGATTGAACGACTTGGCATGGAAGGAGCATGGGAGAGCAAGAGGAGTGAGACCGAGAAATGCTGAATTTTTCAAGACGCGCCAACGACTAGGGGTGAGGCATTAAATGAGGCAGTAGATGATTGTCCTCACCCTCAGATCATGTCACGAAAAAGATGGCGCTTCTATGAAGCCGGTCTGAAATTTTTGTCTTGTTTGAAAGAATGAGAACCGTACGCCGAGAAGTTTCTGCAAGAACCGCGGGTGCCGTGCCCGGTACGCACTCGCGTTTTTGCAGACCCACGTTTCTTGTGCTTGCTCTTCATCTACACCTGGATTTCTTCTTTGATCCCAGCAGCCAGGCGCTGGTTCGCGCTATCCAGGCTGGTGTCGCCGAGAAAGGCGCAGCGAGTTCGCGTGCGGTCAAGACTGACGAAAGAACTGCAGATCTTCATGCTGGCGGGTCCACTACTTTTTCCCAGCAGGGTGGAGACAATTTGCACGACATCAACTATTCGCACGGCTACAGTGAGACGGCCGGTGGGGAGGGGACACTAACGAGTGGCGGCGGCGACTCATTACAGCAGAGAAGGGTCTTGCAGCTCCACAACGACGGTGACTCCGAGGCGTATTCTCCGGAGGAAGCCAATGATCATGATCATGCACAGGCATCATTGCCTGGAAAAGCATAGACGCAACGGCCTTCTTCCTTCGCCAAGCTCGAGGACCAGGACAAGTACTATGAAGCATTCGAACAAGCAGCTGCACCAGCTGCACGGCAACAGCCGCAAAGCGAACCAGCCCAATCAACACAGCAAGAAAAATCGACCGCTGCTTCTCAGGATCATGTTCATCAGGATCAACATGCGGAAAACGAACAACAATCGCACGGAAATTTAGTTCCTGTGGACAGCTACAGCAACAGCGCCACGAGCTTGGAGGCCCGGGTGGAGCGGGCGGAAGCGGAAATGGCGCGGATGAGACAGCAGATGCTGGAAATGGAGGAGACCAAACGGGAGCTCGCAGCTCTGAAGAACGCTTTTGGAGAGGAAACCTCGTTTGTGCGGAAAGCGCTCGCGCGCGTTCGCTGGTGCGGGGCCATCACCGTCAGCTTGATCCGCTTTCTGCTCGAGTCGTTCATTTGCTACGAACGGGTAGACACGGTGTTTGGGTTTTACCTGCTGCTCTTCGCGTACGTGTCGATGGTCAGCGGGACGTTGATGCCCGTCAAGATGATTTTCTTCCCGCACAAAATTCTCCTGAAGATTTCCCCCCAGGGGCTGGCGCAGAAGGTGCACGCGAAGCTTTCTCCCTTGGGTGGGCGTTTTGCCGCCACGACCGGCAGCTCCTCCTCGGGGGACCATCCTGGCGGGGACAGCACATCAGAGCAGAAGCAGGAGGGCGAGGACGCTGGCGACGAGAGGACTGGTGGTAGTCTTGCAACCATGGAGGTCGGGAGGGCAACTGCTCCTGTGAATGTTAAAGCAGAGGACGAACAGCGACAGTTGCCGGAAGAAACCGGGGCCGACGCCGAAGACCTGGACAAGCCTTCAACGAGAACAGAAGGGGAGGATCAGGCCCAAGCACAAGCCCCGGAGTACGAGGAAGGCAGAATGTTTCCGCGCGGTTTCCTGGCGGCGGGCACGCTGTCCTGCGTGTGCCAAGATAGCGACAGTGCGGAGGGGAAGCTGTTCACCCTATTCCTGGTGCTGTACATGATGGCCACCTTGGTAAGCCAGTACCCTTTTCATGCTATCCCAACAGAGAAAACGCTAGCCTGTGCTTGTAATGCAAAAGTGAATTTTTTTTTTTTTTTAGAATTTAAATTTAAATATAAGGCAAACAAGGCCTGTCGTGCATAGCCGAAACAGCGTGGTGTCCTATGGGCCTGCCCATGACAAGTTTTTTGTTCTTGCATTGGCTCTGCTAGCTCTTTTCTCTCCGTGTGATACACCCTTACCGCTCGTTCTGCCTCTGGCGAACGGAAGAAATGGCCAGTGACCGGGGCGATCTGGCGTCGCCGCGCATGAGTTCGGATTTCGAGATCGCTTTGCGCGCCGTTTGGCTGGTGGTACCCACCTACTTCTTCGTCGTAACGGCCGTGATACAAACACACAACCCGGATACAGACGAAGTCGAGAGCAGCACCGCGGCCCGCTCGGCGGCTGTATCGCGGATCGCCGCGGCGGAGGACGGCGAGGCGGCTGAGGACACGCCCCGGACGCGCACGCGAAAGCTCCGTGCGGCGACGCGGGAGAACCGCAGAGCCCAGGTGTTTTACCTCGTGCACTGGGCCGCCGCCACCACCGCCAGCCTCACCCTCCTCGTGTTCGAGATGGTGCAGCTCTTTTGGGGCGAGCAGGTTCCCCTATCGTACCTGACCGCGGTGTTCGACACCGATGCGGTGGACCTTTTCGACCAGCTGGCCACGCTATGCATTGCAAAAATGTCTGGGTCTGGAAGGTTGCAACTTGTCATGCTGTTTTTGAACTGTAAAAAAGTTTGTATTGCATGACCAGCAAGAGGGGTACAGTTTTTGCTACACGGACAGGGCATTTCTCATGCGGAAGGTGCATCAGGAAGCCCTCTAAAAGTCTGCGATGCTAGGTTAAGCATTACAGGCATCATGGGTCATGAGAAGTATGCATGACAAATCTTGCATTCTTCCAGGCCCAGGCATTTTTGCAGTTGATACACGCGGGAGGGCTACCTGTGGCACCTGGGGTGTCTGGACTATGCGCAGACCCCGCGGCCGTGGGAGCGGCATATCAAATGTAAAAATGTCTGGGTCTGGAAGAATGCAACTTGTCATGCTGCATTTGGATTCCAGAAAAATCTGTATTGCATGAGTACCAAAAGGAATGTGATTTTTGCTACGCGGAGAGGGCATTTGTCATGCGGAATAGGCATCAAGAAGCTCTGAAAAAATCTGTCATGCCAGGGCATGCATCACAGACATCAGGGCTCATGCAAAACGTGCATGACAAGTGTCAGAATGTTCCAGACCCAGACATTTTTACAGTTGATACGGCATACCTGGCTCCGACTCCTCGGCATCTGCCTGGCCCTTTGCTGCGCGATTTCGTTCCTCACCATGCGGGCCATCCTGAAGAAAGTGCTCCCGCCCATGCAGGATTCCTCACTGGTGCAGCTACCCTCGTCCACCTCCCGGACCACCCGAGGCCACGTATCAAAAATGCAAATATCGATCTGGGTTTGGAAGAAACTCTTGTGATACAACTAAAATCATCGACATTAAGATGAGAGCACATCTAAGTGCAGCCGAGCATGACCGGTTTTATTTGAGACCCTCCGTCATGACATCAGTTGTGCGCACTACTTTCACTTTCTGCATGTACGACATCAAATGAGGCCTTTAGTCTCGTCCCAACGTGGCATCACATCAATGAAGCTGCGCTCTCGATTAATCGGTCATGCAAAAATGTTACAGATTTATTGCCCGGACCCGAATGGGCCACACATGCAATACACGTTGACCTTTTCGTCCAGGCCCAGATCAATAGCTGCAATGGATAAGGAGGACCGCACGACGACGTCTTGTGGGCGAACACAGTGACTAGGATTAGCGTCGCGCGATGTTCGTTTCTCTCGGAAGTGCTCCTGTGCTACCTCCTCTTCGCCTTGCCGCTGATTGCCTCGCACCACATGGTATCAATTGCAAATGTGTCTAGGTTAATATCCGGATGAGTGCAGACGTTTGTCATGCGCATTTTTTCGCATGACGCAACACGCATCACAGATTTGTTGAGGGCCTCTTGATAGTACCTGTTCCGCATGAGAGATGCCCTCTCCGCGTGCCACGAAATGGACTTCCGCTCCTCTGGCTGCTCATGCGAAAATGCCGACGTTTTCCTTTTCCTTTTGAATTTGAGAATAAATATGAAGGCAGCTGCATCACAAGTCTTGCTATCGTTCAGCCCCGGACGAGGACGTCTTTGCAATGCATACATGGTCACCCGCCACGCCCTTTCGCTGGATGACCACATGAATGCGGAGCAGCTCGCGGAAATGGTGCTCATTCGCGGTGTATCAAATGCAAAAATGTCTGGGTCTGGGAGGAAGAGGATAGAACTTTTGATGCGTGCTGTGGGTCACACAACAATCTGTGTTGCGTGATCACCAAAAGCTGTCCTTTTTTGACCAACATGCGCGGGAGTTTCTCATGCAGGATTGGCATGATAGAGATTTCGCAGAATCTGTCATGCTAGGTCCTGCATTCCAGACCTCATGGGTCATGGAAAGGCAGCATGACAAATCTCGCAATCTCCCAGACCCAGACATTTTTACATTTGGTACGGTGTGGTGGAGCGCTACGAGCGACTTCTGCCCCCAGAGGACCTCTACACGGAAGACTTGCACAAAGTTCGGTTTTATGCATTGCAAATATGTCTGGATCTGGAGGAGTGGTGCAAGTAGAGAGAAGTGTGCTCCTGAACTCCCAAGAACATAAGTACTTCCCAACTCATCTGTCATGCGTGTTGCGGAAAAATATTCAGTTGGCGCTAGTTGAAGCGCAGCTTCTGATGCGCCTTACGCACCACAGGATCGTTCAGGTCTGATCTGCGGTGCTTGGCTGCGTGCTGACATTGGAGCTGGCATGACAACTATTATTGGATCCAGACATATTGGCACTCGATAGGCGCCAGTCGTTCTGGGACTTTGTGTCGTACCCGGAATTTTCCGAACTCCACGAAGTCATGGGGCGCAAGAAAGGCGAATTGGACACCCTCGCGGATAAACTGCTCATGAACCCCGCCAACCAGCTATCCTGCGCGGGAACGTGCCCACCTTCATCCCATAGTCCAGACGCGACTCGTTCCAGACAAAAAATTGATTCAGACATTTTGCATGCAAATATGCACGACAGCTCTCTGTTGGTGGGTACGGTTTTGAGCAGCATACCCGCGCGCCTCACACCTGTCAAAGGTTCTGGCGGACCGGAAGAAGTTCGGCGGGATGGTCCGACACATGAACACGCCATATGATGTATCATACAGAAAAAATCTAGCTGGTGCTTAGCACTACACATGTGATGCATAGAATGAATTCCTTTTTTCGCAGAAGGATCTCGCCACGGGGTAAGTAGTTCACCCATAGCATGCTGCTTGAGACTTCTTGCAAGAGCGCTTTTTTTGCGGATCTATTTTTGCACTATGCAAGCTTTTTTCTGTGTGATAGGATGAGTGGATCGCACAAACACGGCATATATCAAATGTAAAAATGTCTGGGTCTGGAAGATTCTGAGATTTGTCATGCAGTTTTTCCAAGCTCCGCCAAGTCTCGAATGCAGGGCCTAGCATCACAGGTTCTGCAGCCCCTCGGTGATGCCTATTCTGCATGAGAAATGCCCCCTCGGCATGGCTAGAAATGGGGACCTTTTGCAAGTCATGCAACACAGATTTTTGTATGATCCGCAACACGCATCACAAGTTCGCATCCTTCCAGACCCAGACATTTTTACATTTGATAGCATATGACTCGTGACTTCGCGGAACTCGCAGCGGTGCTGCGCGAAATGTTGGAGCAGAGGGACAGCTATCAAATGCAAATATGTCTGGGTCTGGAACGTTGCAGGACTTGTCATGCAAGTTTTCCATGACCCATGAGGTCTGGAATGCGAGACCCAGCATCACAGATTCTTTGAGGTCTCTACCATGCCTTTCCTGCATGAGAAACTTCCTCTCAACTTGGTCAAAAGCGGACAGCTTTTGGCACTCACGCAACACAGATTTTTGCATCATTCAGATTTAGCATGACAAGTTGCAGTGTTCCAGACCCAGACATATTTGCATCTGATAACAGCAAAAAAGAAAAAGCAGGATCCTATGGAGCCGCGGCGGCATATTTCCGCAACCACGTGGGGCCGAAACCACAAGCGCTTGACCACAAGCACATCAAGAATGGGAGGCAGGAGGACTTCGCGCTTGCCTTCGAAGAGGAGGACTTCGGGCCCGCTCTATCAGATCGATAGAGCGGGCGAAGCTGGTACAGGATTTGTACTTTTGGTACTAAAAGGAAAATGTAGTAGGGCGGGAAAGTAGACATAAGGATTTTTTATCCACCAGCACATGGCCCAGAAATGATAATGCAGTTGTAATAGGAGCGAGAAGGAGAACGAGAAGTTGAACTTGAAGTACAACTTCAACTACCTCTACCTCAATCAGCTGCAGCTGTGGATAAAGAGCGAAGAAACTACCCTACTTTGACGTGGTCAACAACACAGAAGTGTTTCTTCGGCAGTTGAGACAACCATAGCCAATTCACGGGCGTTTACGCTTAAGGAGAAATTTTAATTTTTGTCTTTTGAAGAAATAACTTCTGTATCGATAGGTAGCTGAATCGTGGATCAGCAAGCAACATATGAAATAGAGGACACGAAGAACGCAAAAAAGTAGATTTAAATGTTATGAACTTTGTTGGGCTTTTTTTTCAAAATTTGAGGAACTTATTTATTTATCGCAATAAAAAATCGAAATCGTGAACGACAACGAAATGGAAGTCGGTTTTTGATGTTGAGCCAGCTAGCTGTGAAAAAATATACACGACAACTACTCGGACTTGTTCATCTTCTTGCGATGAACATCATCAGTGAACTCCGATCTTCGAGGTGTGAGCGAAGTAGAAAAATCTGTTTCGTTGGACAAGAATCAGTCATCGGTCAATATTCCACCCTACGAAGACACCGGTGGAATAAAGAAACAGTCGGTCCAGAGCAGAAAAATTCGCGAGTACAAGTGCGTCGGCCGTACTGTTGATAGCGAACAGAGAACATACCGAATCGGAAGAAATGCTGCTACACATTATACAAGTGTGAAGATCCAAAAATTATTGAAGAACAAGAAACCCACAATTAATGGCGCATCGAGTAGTAAAAAGTGATCTGTTATTTTCTAGCTACGGAGCTGCATTTTTGTGCCAATTATGTTTTTGTGTTTTGCGATGGCCCAGATGATCCCCTTTTCGAAACATTGACACTTGCCACACGCACGACAGGTCCACTGTGCTCATTTGTGATTCTTTATTTCCCTTTTTACTGAAGATCCGCCGATCGAACTTTTGTTTCTGCCAATGAATTAAGTAACGTAGACGCTGCAAATATAGTAGAAGCAACAATCACGAGGACGAGAAGAACGAATCCCGTGAGACGTAGCGCATAGTCGTGTACTACTAGTAAAAGCGAGTCCAATTATACGTGTTTGTACTTGTCGGTTACAAGAAGGAACAAACCACAAACACGACGACCCCACTGCGGCACTAGAACTTTTCCTCTTTGTCGTTGAACCGCTGGTTGATGCTGTCCACCTACTAGAAGTGGCTTTACGTCGACCACAGAGGCAGTAAAATATTCGTCCCGCGGCATCCATCTTCGGTCCTGCTAAAGCACAAAGCACTGTGAAAACGGTCACGCCGGTTCGGACAAGGTCATCTTCCTGCAAGCGGACCGCTCGCAACGCACGCGGGAAGAACAGGAGCAGGCTCTTTTTCGAGGAAGAAGAGAGGCGTTAAGTTTTGAATTTGCCGTCGGAGCAGTTGCAGCACGTTCGAACTAGGGCGACAGTCATCTGACGGAGAAATTACAAAGGCTGACCAAAAAAATAATTGAAGTTGGAGCTCCACGCAGGAAGAATTTTTCCACAACCACCCTGCCACGACCCACGGAGATAAACCGTCGCGACAGGAGGAGCATAGGAGCAGAAGAACCCACGGAATATAAACACATCGCGAACTAGAGGAACTACACACGACCTTGTTGGACTCCTTCCGCTTCACTTGTAGTACCAAAATACTAGATCGCCCAGCATGGAGATCGTGATCTACCTTCTCGGCAACTGGTGTTGCATAGGGGCGGCCTCCATCATCATATACAACTTCATCATCCGCAGGGGGCACTGCAAGGACAGCGAACGCGACCTGCAGATATCAAAAGACATGCAGCTCATGCTCTTTCTCGGGACCTTCGTCCGCTTCTACTGGTCCATGAGCCCACCACCAATCTGGTACAGAAGATTTTTTGCTTCCGACGTTTATAATTCTTCAAATTACACTCCTGTAATGTACTCATGACACCAGAGCAGCTCGTGTGTGATTGTGCGGCAGCAGTGTCATTGCTGTCAGTCTGTAATACCTCAACAGTATCACAACACGCAGTTCATTCTAGAAGAGTCGGTGCTGCAATCTAGATGTACTGGATGCTCTTCATTTCGCCCTCCACCGCTGATAGAGAAATACATTGCACTTCGAATATAAACTGATCTTGTTCTGCTCAGCAACAAATAAATTGGAGTGGTTTGTTTCCGAAAATACAGAGTGGTTTGTGCTTGAGTCGATTGCTTGAATTATCACAGGTCTGAGGAGCCGGTACCAATTCAATGGGTGTCAATTTTCGACCTGATTTTTTCCATTCTGATGTGGGGCCTCTGCGTGTGCTGCTCAACAGACTACGGCGTGCAGTTTATGAATTCCATGGGCGGAGTTGGCCGTGGCGGATACAACGCAGTCCCGGGACAGGCGGAGTTTGGTATTCATTGCGACTTTATCTTCCTCTCGCTCTCGACAACTTACTACGCAGATCTAGTAGCTACCATACGAACTTTTCTCGATATGACGGAAGAGACCCGAGATTTCTTTCAGTTTTCCGGGAAGAAGTTTTCAACAAAAGTTTTTCTTTGTGTAGCCTCATGCGCTATCTATCGATCTATTAGTAGAGGACGGCGACCGCTTGTTCCAAATCCAAAAGCATCCATTTTTTCATCGCTAACAAATCGTACGACAACAGACGGCCTGGTGCAAGACGACTCAACTGGTTATGCGGGCGGCTCGGGCGGCGTAGGAGGTTTCGGGTCGGGCAAACCGCAAAACCAGTCGGCCCTCTACCGGTACACGCGATGGCCCTTCCTGACCGGCGGCGCCGCGGTCACCGCTTGGCTGCTCACCCACCTGCTCCCCAGTCTGCACATGCCGGGCGCCTGGATACTAGTCGACTTCGCGGTGGTCTTCAACATGCTCCTGGACGGCTGCGCCATGGTGCCGCAGGTGATACTCATCCACTCCAGCAGGACAAAAACTCCGGTGGAGGCCAGCCACTTCGTCGGCCTGCTCTGCCTCGGTATGGTTCAATGTTGATAGGATACGGAGCATGTGCGTTTTTGTTCTATATTATCTGCTCAACAGGAGCAGATGCCTTTGCTTGCATCACCACCGGACTAAGTATTACGTTGCATCAAGAACTAGTACATCGAAGCATGAAGAAAGCCATCTCTTTCATTCATCACGCAGGCCGCCTACTCCGAATGATCTTCTGGCTCTGGTTGGTGCTGCACCCGGATTCCGGGCACGCAATATGGACGTTCGTCGTGCCAGATCTGCTCCACACGGTGATTATGGCAGATTACCTGTACCACTACCTGCAGAAGCTGAAAAGGGACAGGATCGACCCCTACTTCGTCGATTATATGACTCACGTATAAAAAACACACGCGATCGCGGCAGCTGCGGAATAAACATGTACGAAAGGGAAGTAAGTTGTGAGTCAAAACATTACAGATGAACACCTAACGAAAGGCGGCAAGCCCACAACTTTCAAATTTTGTACGTCGTTGGTCCTCCATTTGGGTTCACGACAAATGAATCGCTCTGTTGATTCTTCTTTTATTGTTTTATCGAAGATTACATCAAAACTAATGATAGTGTGGCGAAGTTTTTCCTGCTTCGCTTCACTTGTCCTTTTTCTTTTACAACAGGTTTGTTATACGCGTTTGTAAAAATGAATTCTTCCGCACATCACTCTATAGTGCTTCGCAGACCGGCACTGCATGACGAGCATGGGAATCGAATACTTAAATCTCTGCTGCAAACGCCCTTTGCAGCAAAGGGGGTCCAATATTCAATCCCTGGCTCTACTTTTCCGCGCCAGCACTGGCCGACAACGGAGAATTCCAGTCAACGACGTGTGACATCTGTCGCCGAAGTTAAATTTTAAGCTACAAGGACACGGGGTATCTTGAGATAGGAATCCAGAAAAGCGGATACTAGCCATAGATATCATCCTTTTCTGGTTCACTTCTGATAGAGCCTTGTTACAACTCATTACTAAACCCGGTGTAAGTTTTACCCTACGCAGCTCACTCGAAGACAAAGACGGCAGTTGTCTGTTCAAAGTAACAGACAGGTGAGCACGACGGAAAGTTTACTTTTACCACCAGCTTATCCCCAGATAAAGAACGCACAACCTGTCGCCTCCTCTTTCTATTTTTCCAAAAAGAGTTCCGGACCGCACGAGCCTGCGACGCCGGGTCGTGTTTTGTCCTGCCTTTTTCTTGCGGTTTGCGTGGTTTAGTCCTACTCTTAAGGGGGGACGCGGAAATGTAGAGAATGAATCTTACGTACCTTGAATAAGATGGCTTGTCGCTACACAGATTCTAAGTAAGTACTTACTTGCTCCCCGGAACAACATGTTACACACTTTAGACTCACTTGCTCCCCGGAACATGAACATACTACACCAGGAAATCTGCCATCCCTATTTGAGCTCCTTATCCACTTGTCCTGACAGCACCCGCGAGTAGCGTTTTCTCTGCGGTGCTCTGTTTGGGCAGGGAAGACGCAGTCGAAAAAAATTATGGTTGGAGAAAAAACAATTATACCGGGGGGCGACAGAAGACCGTGCAAGTAAAGCAAATTTCGGGCCGTACTAGAGCAAGTTCACACGACGACGACCAACAACATGCGGAAAGAGAGACGGATTTGAGGAGCGACATGCCTTGACGGCCATACACATATTCGAATCTTGAATTATCCAGCGACGCTATAGTTTTCAAACACCACCACACCCACTACCTCAACAGCGACAAAAGACCAGAAGGCGTCTGTGCTCCGTCTGTCTTCAGTTGTGAAAGAACTTGAAGAACTTCGTTAGTTGTAAAAGTACAGATGAACATCACCTGAAGAGCCTGAAGCCAGGCTGGGTACCCGATTGGGTTCGGTAATTTTTTTAGACTGTCGCCCCAGGCACCGCATCCATGCGTGTTCACCCTCACGTAGTTCCGTGCGTTGAAGAAACGAAGAAGCGCGCAAGTTATTTTTTCTTCGGTAGCTGCCGACTGGTACTGATCATCGAAACACATAGAGAGATCACCAAACTTGATCATTACTTCGCGCGCAGCACATCTACACTCGAGATCCTTTCAACACCACACTCTGTTCGTGAGTGAGATGTAGTGTGAATTGTGGGCCAGAAGCAAGTTGGCAGAGTAGATCCAAAACTAACGAAAAGCCATACGATAATCATGAGTATTCCGAACCAGTGCAACAGTATCCCAGGCGGGTCCCGTCGTGGTCCTTGCGTTATTTTCGGAAACGGCCTCGGTTGCGACGTCGCGGATGCGGTGCCGTTTTTGGAACAGCTGCGGGCGAGATTTCCCCACGTGGACGTCCTTACGCCCGCGGCGCCCGTTGTCCCCTGTAGAATGTGCGACTTCGAGGAGACCGCTTGCTGGTTTGATCTGCCGAGCATGGAAGAGTGGGAAAGCCTCTCGACGCGGGAGCAGCTGGAGTTGCCTGCGCGCGATATCGGCGACAACTGCGATCGGTACTACCTAAGGACTACGCACGGGGGCAGGTGCAGCCAAGAGCCGCCGGCGGGCGGCGAGAGGCTGCGCGCTGGCCACGGGGCCCGCGAGGATCAGTGTGCCACCTCGTCAAGCGGCTGCGGGGGTCAGAGCGGCAGAGACTCGGTTATTAGCGGGGACCGCAACCTCCAGCTGCACGTCGGAAAGGAGCAAGACCCTGCCACCTGCAAGAAGATCGGACGGGATGAAGCTATACTGGATGGAACAGACGCGAAACTCGTGCGCCAAATTCTGCATGATGTTGACGACAGCTCTTGGGGTGTTATGGAAGTGCACCCGCCTGTTGTTGGGAAACACGAAACAGACAGAGATGTTGGAGAGCGGGTCGCGCCCTCTCTTGCATCACAGAAGAAAGAGAGCCCGTCCCCATCAAGTCCGCCGCGGCCGGTGTCACTCCTGTCACCCCCCTCGCCAGCATTGCATCTCCCCGCACCCCCGCCGGGTGATTGGGGTAGCGCCGTATTTGCCGGCTTTTCGCAGGGTGCAAGCATGGCCCTTTTCGCGGGTTTGCGCGGACTGATTCGGGACGTGAAGCGGCGGCAGGAGGAGAGCGGACGCGGAGAGGACGCGCCCCCCAGTGAAATAGTAGGCGATGGCAATGGCGGCGCCGCGGAAGTCAGCAAGCACCGGGCGAAGCGGGTAAAGAAGAGCCACCCGGCAGGAACAAGCAAGGAAACATCGCCTGCGCCTTCTAGTGCTGCACGGGGCTCGGATTCTGCGGGGCTGTCACGCGGGAAGTCTTCGACGAGTCCGCTTCGCCAGCGACGAGAAGCGCCCGCCGGCATTCTGGCGCTGTCCACGTATGTGCCGGCCGCGCGCGCGCTGCAGGCCGCCGCAGAGGCGGCGGGGGTGAAAAAGCAGAAAGGCAGCCCGCCGCCAAATGGCCCGCTGCCGATTCTTCTGTGCCACGGCACGGCAGACGGAGTTCTCGATCCGAAGCTGGCCGAGGAGACCAGGGCCTGGCTGCTGGAGGTGTTCGGCGCGCGGCATGTACGTGTGGAGCTCCACATCATTGAGGGCGGCGGCCACGCCTTTGGCTACAACGAGGGGGAGATAGTTGGTTCCTGGCTGCAGAAAGTTTTTCCCTTTTCGCCTCCTGGGACTCTGGTGGAAGACGAGCGAGGCGCGCGCGTGACCAAGTAGAACGTTGTTGCTGCTGTGTTCCGGTAGTAGAACTTACGACAGTACCTACCGATGCTTCGCCGACAGCCGTGGCCAAGCAAAAGCGTTCGCACGCGTCGGTCTAGTATGAAAGCCCCTGTTCCACCACACACCTCGATCGCAACTACACCAGACAATCACACGACGTGACGAACAAGATCCCCATCGACATTACTCCTGAATTACAATGAAAATAAGCAAAGCCTGTCCCAGAATGTGGACGGAGAACAGCGCCCACTCGGAATCGCGTCGCGTTCCGCCCTGAAGACGGATCCTTTTCTTTTCAGGGTTGCAAAGTTCTTTCCAAGAAAAGGCACCCTGGTTGATGTTCTCAATGTGAAGTTTTGGCAGTTCGACGGTCCCCCGGAAGATCCGCGTTGTGCCAGTCTGGCATTACGACCGGACTGCTGTTTTTGAAAGAGCTACTGTATTAAGCTAATCGACGTGTTTGCCAATTTTGGGCCACTTGGTTATCGAAGTTATCGAGTCAATTGCTGTTTTTTTTTGTTGACAGAAGGCACGAGGGGATGATGACAGCGTAATTTTTGACATCTATTTGTCAAGAGGATCACTGTCCCTTAAGATAAAAGACCGCGAGTACAACCTCGAGAAAAATTCGAACACTTTCATACAAGGAAGGGCAGTCTACCAAGATAGAACCCCACGCCTTTCCATTTCGTTGCTCGTTGTGCTCCTTCGTCGTTCGGGCCTGCTACTTGCGCTCCGCTGACTTACTTTGGTCGTCCGGGCGTGAAGATTTGCTGACGAGTGACAAAGCTCCGGTGGCCAGGGGGGTTTGGATGACCACGCACCGGTGAAGAAGCAGGAACGCAGTAAGTCCGGAGGCAAGTAGTGGTCAGCGGGGAAGGACATCGGGCCCCGGCTGATCAAAGCGTCCTACGTGAAAATAAACGCTCGCGGATTGCTTGCAAGTAGTTTTACGAAGATCATCGAGAAACTACGATACAAGGCACGAAATACCAACGGTTTTGGAATAAAAGTAAAGGTAACTTCGAGCTGCTCTCCCTACTGCTCTTGGGCTACTTTCATCGTTTGCGAAACAGGTAAACGCCGCCCAGCGACTACTTCACACACTCCTCGGTCAAGGTGACATTAGCAAGGCAGAGAGGGTTCGGGCAAATAGAAGAAGCAGAAGAAACAAGCGGCTACACGATTCCACGCAGAGCCGCCTAGACAATTGGTCGCAACAGGGCCTAGTAATACTTCATAGGGGTGACCGTCTTGACGATTTTGGTGCACAAAATCACGATGAAGCTGTACTTCCTGCGGACCACGCCCACGTCCGGCGAAGAATAACGAGGTCCACCAACTTCTTGTAGGGAAGGCGAACAAGTAAGTAGCTCGTGCTCGTCCGGTGGTTTAGTACTATCCTCGGGGGGAGACCATCAATCGCAACAGCGGCAGACGCAGAACGAAGAAGTTTGCAGGGACCGAGAATAAGAACCACGACGGCACTCTCGGTCCGCTTGCTGCAAGGAGCAGCAGGAAAGCAAGGAAGTGGATTTCCGAAAGGCTGCTTGGGAAGTAGTGATACCAGCACGTAGTCTTGTACAAGGGGTACTACAACGTCTTTCCTCGTCGCATCAACAGCACCTGGAAAAAATTGACCGGTTTCCAAAGCCGTAAAAGAAACCATCAAGATGGAAATCCTAATTTACCTGCTCGGCAACCTGTGTTGCATTGCAGCAGCGGGGTTGCTGGCGAAGCAGCTGCTGACCAGCAATGTAAATACCGAGACGAGCCTGCACATCTCCAAAGACCTGCATATGGCGTGCTCAGCTGGAACAATCTCAACATAGAGGAATCTGTGATGCAAAGAAAACGCGGATGATCGACCTCGTCTCCTGTCTGCTCAGCATGACAAACAACTTGTGACTGCTGTAAACTGAACCAGAGCTGAACCAGAGTTGTCCATGATTAAGAAGAATTGCCGGGCTTCAAATAAGCTGCAGTAAGTACTAGTCTTCGGCACTCCGCAATTTTTGCGTGGATAAAAAATACCATGTGAAGATCTCTATTCACATCGTTCTTCCAGTTCAGATCGTTCCAGCTGAGTACGCCATAGTGCAGTACATGCTTTTCTTCGGCTCCGTATTCCGACTCTATTGGAGCTTGTCACCGCCGGAGATCTGGTAAAAGTTTTGAAATAGGAATAGCAAAAGAAATGTAGAAGTATATTAGTACTCGATCTCGAATTCTAATAAGTACCAGAGCCAGGCAGAGCATATCTTGAATCACTTTGCACGTGATTAACCCTCACACTCAAGGTCAGAAGAGGCCACAATAGTGCAGTATCTGTGCTTCGCTGACCTGGCCGGTACCGTCTTACTCTGGGGCCTGTGCGCCGTGCTTTCAACCAAGTTCGGGAAAAACCTCTACTGGGAACTCACCGGCGTCCGGTCACAAGACAGCAAAGCGAAAGGTAGGTGAAATAATTTCGATGAGTTTAGCCACGAAAGTGAAAGAATACCGCTCTTCACGTTGCTTGGATATCATATTCGCAATGTGAAGATTTGGAACTTTTTCTCAGCTTCGGCACGACTTCGCGTGTATGAAAACAATGGATATAAAAACACCACAGCGAAGAAACCAGCGGAAGGTTTTACTGCTCTCTTGACCTGGTATCGTAGAGAGAATAACTAGAATGTCGCATCTTTGTAGTTGCAAAATTCAATGACAATCAATGAAGTAAGAACTACTTGAAGAACTACAACATTTTGAGAAATTGTGTCATGGGAAAGCCCATGGCATGCATGTTAAGACCAGACGAATCTTTTCGCGTGTTCATTTCCACGGGACAAAGCCGACATACTAGCTTTTTTCTATGTGATACCTAGCCAATACTTTCGGTAGCCGCTGGCGTTCTGGCGTGGTTAGCAACGCATGTCCTGCCGAGCTTAAGTGGACCAACAGCTTGGCCCTTCGTGGATTGGGCAGTACGTTATGAAATGTTTGTTTCAATATGCTTTTTCTTGGAAAACATATGTGAATGAGCAAGTTTGTTGTTTGCTTGATACTTAGACTTACCAAAAATTCTGTCCAGGTTGTGTGGAACATGCTTATCGACGGAATGGCAATGATATCCAACGAAGATCGTTTGGATTCGTGTAATTGGAAATAAATCTGTATACACAGAGACCAAGAAGTTGCTCTTGCACCACTTCGTCTCATGCCGGATATCGATATTCTGCATGACAGGCTTCGTGCTTCGGGCAGCACAAAGATTGTTGTTTTTGTACAGAGGGAGGACGCTTCATTGACTTTGACTCCTTTTTGTTTTGTTGGATAACTGCTGCCACAAATTCTGACTCTGTCCGCGTCAGAGGAAAAAACACCAAGAATAACATCGCACTTCGTTGGCTTGCTGTGCGTAGGTACTTTATTTTACAAGAAGTGCTATACTTGAACATGATGATGATAGTGGTTCGGAATTGCCTGGAAATTATCCTGACATGTTGATTCGTAAGTCATGCGAACTTCCCTTATGTACGGAAGAACAGCTTGGATCGATTATGTCGGTCAAAAACTACAAATCAAAAAGGTCGCGTCTTGCGCATGATTTTTTGGATCTGGTTATCCACTGGGAAACATCAGGCGGAGCAAGATTGAGTAACATATTTCGGGGTCACGTCACGTTGCTCCATTAAGTTCGGCGGGGCGAAGATCTGTCATGTTTTTGTCGAAACGCGACGCCGACGCCGGGCCGTGAGTTCGGCGGAGCCAATCTGTCATTCAGATTTCTATGCGATTGCAAATCTAACAAATCCGTTGAGTCGACGAGTACTTTCGTTTCATCGACTTTGGCAGGCTGTCGAGGAGGTCATCTGAACGCAACTAAACATGATACTCACTTCTGCTTCCTTGCCTGTTTTCCATTCGATCCCATTTGGTGTTCCACCCAGAAGCCGGACACGCCATGTGGACTTTCATCCTGCCGGACCTGATGCACAGCGTGGTGATGGCGGACTTTTTGTACCACTACGTCCAGAAGGTAAAACGCGACGCGAAAGAAATGCTCAACTTCGGTTACGACTACGCGCACGCGTAAGCCAGTGCAATAGAATGTGGGTGGATTGTCAAAATGACAAGAGTACTTACTTTCTTCACTTGTTCGTACTTGTTTCTCATGCGTGAAATAAGGCTAGGCCGCCGGTCTAGCCTGTTTCACAGGGAAGGCAAGTGACGCGGCTAAAGATTGCAGGCTTGTTCATTCCCATGGACGAGGCTGCTTAAAACATTGGCAGGAGTGTCTGTCTTTGCCCCAAACCGCAGGCGAACTCGACTTTGCTTATCATGGGTAAAGTTTGCCACGCGTCGCGTGCATTTGCCGCGCCGCCAGGCTGGCGTCGTGTTTATGCGAGACAAACTGCTAATGTCCATTTTGTCGATTCCCCACCTCGCATTCGTTCCCATAACGCAGTATAAGGAGCAGGCTGACCGTCTAGTAAAACAAAAACTACCACGAGGCAGAGTCCGGATTTCCGCTTTTTCACAGAAGACGACACGACCCGGCTCCTCCTGAACCGTCTTGGAAGATGATAAAACACTACTACCTCGCGCGCACCTTAACCAGCAGACCGGCTGTTCTTGTCCTGTTCAATTTTTGCGGATTAATGTCACGAAATATCAAATATTTTTCCACAATTCCTTGCTTTTCCGCGACGCTCTGTGCCCTGTACTCCAGGCAGAGTTGGCTTCTCTTCTTTCGATGACGACAGGAGAACAAATTGTACAAAGAAAAGAAAAACTAGGACGCTTCCGATTGGAATCGTCCCTTGGTTGAAGCAATGGCCTTGGACGCAAGTATACAAACTACAAGAAACACATTCGATGCTTTTGATACACATCATTCAAAAACTCCGATAGAATCGATTTTCAAAGTTGAAAAGGTCTGGCGAAACTAAAATGATCAACTTATAAGCAGGACGACAATAAAGGAGCAGTAGCAGTACGAAGACGCTCACTTACCTTGCGAAAAAAACGCAGAAGAATTTGTTTATTGTGCATTAGACTAGTTGCCGCAATCAGCCATGTTCCTGTCTTGTTCATACAGTACGCTTAAGAAGGCACAGATTGTCAGGGGTGCAGAGCTCAAAAGTCGCTCATTTTCGTTTCGCACGTCGCTCACGGTCCTCCGTGGAATTTTCTCGAGGCGAAAAAAAATGTTTTGGAACGGAAAAAGACCGCGCCGCGAGTGGCAATCTCTGCCCTTTCCACTCTGAAAAATGCCCAGCCTGTGACAGTATAGATCGGGCTTTTTCAGAAGTAATTAGCGGAAAAACAAAAGAGCAAAGTGCCGGGAAAGCGTTTTGAGACTTTTCGAAACGTTAGTCAAAAGAACGCAGCACCGCAGTCGCGCCTGCCCTCGCTTGCCCACCCTTGTTTCTGCGCGACGGCTTTTGGAGAAGCCCCGGGCCCCAATCTCTGGGGCCGCCGGCGGAATTTTCTGTGACAGAGGCTGCAGTGAGGCCTCAATTCTCTTCGACCTTTTCTCGGGCTCCGGGTCAGAAGATTTCCTCTGAGGCGCTTTTTGCGGCGCCGTGGGTCAAAAAGCGGCAGAATTTGCGCTTTTTGGGCCGCGGCGCGCCGAAAAGCGTCTCAGAGGGTGCTTCCGACTCGTGGTCCGAAAACGATTATTCCTCTAGCTCTCGCAGAGAATGTCCGCAAGCGGCTGCGGAAATTGGGCTCCGAGGTTTCCTCAGAAAATCTTTCCGTGGAAACGCACTCCGTTCGCGGAGAGCAATTGCCCAGCGAGGGCAGCTGTGGTATGCTGCAACTCGTCAATGTTTCCGAAAAATTTCAGGCGCTTTTTCTCCTATCTGCATTTGCGTACTTCGCTCTTTGCTTCTGAGAAAATCTGGTCGCCATTCTACACAGATTGGGGCTTTTTCAGAGGCAAAATGGCAAAAATAGCAACTCGCCGAGCGCTCTTTTGCCATTCCGCAAAAAAAATTTCACGTCTGGAAATTCTCACAGACGACCGTGAGCGACGTACGAAACGAATTTGAGCGACTTTGGAGCTCTGCACCCCTGGGCCGCCCGTGCCTTCATAAGTACGCTTTCGTTCCTCCTGTCGTGCTTGAGCTCCTCATGCCCAATACTAAGGCACTCGGTACTTTCAAACCTAGTCGCCCTCGGTCTGTAGTGTTACTGCTTCTTTCTCACGTTCCCTGTCCACTGACGCGAGAGTGTGTTGAATCAGGAATATTTCGAAAAGCAATACTACAGGAGATGCTTTTTCCTGTGCTAGTAACGTAAAAATCTTGATTGGAATTTACTGAATGAGGAATTATCGTCCGCAGAAGAATTGTTGCAACAAACGGGCAAACAGATGATAAGGAAATTGCCAGGGGGGTTGCTTTAAATGAAAATTAAAATGTACAAGGGCCGCGAGTCAACAACAACGTCGTTGCTCGGTTAATATCGTTTTTTCCTTTTAAGCCAAATCGCATAGTTATGGCCACCGCTAGTACACCATCCTCCTCCTCGCCCACGCCAAACGGGAGCAATTTGAGCACGCCACTTGCCCTGGATCGCGATTGTTTCGAATTCGTGAAGCGCATGCTTGTCACGTTTGCGAGCGAGCACAACGCAGAACTGGGAGCGAGCGACACCACCGTGGCTCAGTGCCGGCACAAGGCGAACAACTATCGGCGGGAGTACGACGAGGGGCACAAGTACACTGCAGCCGGTGGAAAAAGTGACCAAAGCGGGACTTCTAAAAAAAGCGGTTTCATCTCTCGTGACAGCGACAACGGAACTTCCACGAAAAACCCTCCGGATCTTTCCTGTTTGCTGAAGGGCTGGTGCGGAGAGGAGTTTTCTTTGCTTTCGCAGTGTTGGATATGAGAGAAGTGTGCACAACAATTCCCGCTCCGCTGGTTACGCCCTAGGATTTCTTTGAAGGGCCTCGTCATGTTGGGCGATAACAAGCAGCAACAGAAATAACACGGTCTACGAATGTAGTGTCTCTCTGCCTCTCAAGAACGGGCCCAAGAACAGATTGTGATGTCGTTCGGGCTAGTACTTCCGTATCGATAATAAACCGTCGCGCTTCGCAGTGCAGGAGTGCTGTGAAGCGAATGCACATGATCAGGTGCATCTTTGTATAATATCCTTGCAGCTAGATAAGATAAAATGCAGCGGAAGTTATTGTGCACTTTCATACCGGGCCAGCAATTTCGACAAGACCATCTGCCGGAAAGACGTCTATCGGCTCTGTGATTGCATACGGCAGAAGTACACGAATGCCGTCCTCTTGACTACACAGCAAAATCATGCTACTGGAACAAATGGCAATAAAGGTCCGGCAGTTGCCCGATCGATGCCGCGTTTGTGCCGAAACGATAATTTCTAAAAAAGCGGCATGCTGCAATAATTACGTTGGATATAATCTGCTCCCGGGATTTCATCAAACTAATTTGATCCAGATGTTTTTTGTGGTGTCTCTTTCTGAACATCCCCTCGACGCAACACTCGTTCGTTGTCGATTTTTTCCGTGCCCTTGGAGTTATGTTATTCGTAGTCGTTATTTTGTTCGACTTGCTGTACTAGCTGCGTGTCGTGCTCGTGTCCGTGTGTGCGACTGCGAACAACTGTTGTGTAGCAGAAATATTGAGAGACGAGTGATTTTGACGAGTAGAAACCGTTCCGGGCGGAGAACATCAAGTGTGGTTTACGAGGGAAGCAATACGATGGTTGGCCAAGTAAATTACATTTTGCTTTAACACAGTGTATAAAAACCAGCACTGTGTATAAAAACAGAACAAACGCATGATCCAATAGGCTTGGGAGTACGACATCAGCAGAAACGCATGGATGTGCATCTTGCATTCTGGTATTTAAGACAAAAGAAAAACCATGTTTCACAACTTTGGCGTCGGGTACGGCACCCCGAACCAGATCCTGCACCAGGACTATGGAGATGGGGTCGAGCACGTGGCGAGTTTTTCGAAGTCCCGTTCGCTCGTGGACGGGAACAACATTCCCATTCGCCCGGGCGACCAGCTGGAACAGATTCGCGACTTTGAGCTGTATATGCATCACAAAAGTTGTCATTGGGTCTGGTATCTTGTCATGCTGATGCTATCGTGTGGAAGAAGGCACACGCACACGTCAAAAGACAGCTACGCACGTTTGCAAGGTTTCTCGCTACTGTGCGTTCATCGTGCCTACTGCGCATGAGAAGTCGCGGTTTCGCATGACGAAGGAGCCGCGCTTTTGCGCAATGTGCATGACAGAATCCATGACCTTGCAAGCAGCGCATTGCAAGGAAGTATGGAAACGCTCAAGTAGATCAAGACTCAGACATGTTTGCGATGCATACTCTACAAGCGGCAGCAGTTCGACGAGGCCTACCGGACCTACGAGAGTGCACAGCCCTCCATCGCTCTCATTTGTCATGCAAAATGCCGTATGTAGTTCTTCTTCTTCCTGCCTTTTGGGACAACGGGTTGCATGACACATTCAGCAAAAACATTACTACACTCGCCGCAGTACTAGCTTGCCATGCAGGCACTGGATCCATGTTAGTTCTACTTCGTTGGTCTTTCTAGCGCTGATCAACATCCCTCCCGCCTGCAAATGAGGGGAAGAGGGCGTGGCGCACGCTGATAGGACCCCGACCCTGCGGCCCGAAGAATACGGCAGCCGGGCGCGGTTGGCCGCACAGCAGCTCCTCAACGAGGTGTATGATTTGTACAAGACTGTGAAGCGCAACGTCGAGGTTCTCGTACACGAAATCTTGCCGAAAGCGAATGAGCTACTGCTCAAGGACGGCGTGGTGCAGAAGTGCGCGGTGTTTGGGTCGGAGCGGAAGCCGCAGGTGGGCGAGTACGAAGCACTGGTAAAGAAGTACGGGACCACGTCCTCTACAGCAGGGGGAAATAAACAAAATCAAGTTCTCGCGCTCGGCTTGTCCAAGGAGGAAAATTTACGGCGGCTGCGGGTCTTTCGCGCGGTGGAGCAGATTCAGACGTTTGTGAAAAATTGGACCGCGGACGAGGAGGACCGCGAGGAGCTGGAGAACAGCTTGTCCTATCTGGACTCGGCGGATTTGCGGAAAATCGAGAAGCTGCAGTTTGCGCTCCCAGACGCCGAGGAAGTGTTCGAGTTTGAGCACCAAGGAGTACTAAATGGTGCCCACCAAGGAGCCATGGGGAACCAAGAAATGCTGACCACGGAGCAGAAACTCGCTCTCAACCTCGGGCGGAAGAAGGAGCGCGAGGCGTTTTACGGCAAGCAGCTGACGACGGTGTGGAAGATGCTAGAGAAACGGATCAAGCGGCCGTTCGAGGATCCGTGCCGCGGGCCGCTGCTCGCCGCCTACGGCGAAGCGGAGAAGATCGCCAACGAGTCGGTGGCGCTGCTGAAGAAAGTGACCAACGCTTACGAGCAGGCTGAGCTCGCATATCCAGGAGAAAAGATTGCTCAGCATAGGTATCTATCAGGTTTGCGAAGATGCAAAAATGGATAGGACAACATGAGATTCATAGCGTCATGGGCCGCTCCTGCCCGTGATAAATGTTGTTTGTGTATTTGTTATTGCATGCCCTGTGCTGTTTTTTCCTCTGCGATACCGCAAGGCACGGGGTTCTGGACGTGATTGGCGTGGGCGTGCCGCCCGTGAAAATCGAAAAGGACGCGAAGACCGGCTTCCTGTACCCGCGCACCGGCACGGGGTTGCCGTTGTCCTCCTCTCCTTCATCTTCGAACTCCACCTACGGCACCAGCAGGGGCGCAATCGGTACTACTAGTAGTGCTTCTCCCAGCAGCACAACAAGAACGACCGCCGGCCCCCCACCAGGCCCGCCCTTTTCGCAACTGCCGTCGGTGCCGCCAAATGACATGGACATCGAGTTTGCCATATCAAATGCAAATATGTCTGGGTCTGGAAACTTGTAATGCTGCGTTGGGAGTAGTGAATGCTCTGCAATGCACAGCCAAGCATGAGAAATACAAATATCTGCGCTTCTTTGAGTTGCGTTTTTCGCATGACAAACTGCGTCTTTGCATGACAGGCAAAGGCGTCTCTTCTTGGACACGCATCGCAAACTTTTTGGTCATGCCAGACAAGCATGACAAATCTTGCAGTCTTCCAGGCCCAGACATTTTTGCATTTGATATGCCACCGACACCCCGGACCCGTACGCAACCGAGGAGGAAACGCTGCGCGCGCACGACGACCCCTTCGGGCTGGAGGCGAAGTACTGGCACCCGCTGGACCCGTTTCACCTGCGCAAATCGCAGGAGGTCGAGCGGGAGCTGGTGGCCCGGGCGCGGTACGAGCAGGAAAGACAGACCCTGAACCAGGGCACGCCGGAGCCGGGTACCACCAGCCCCGACCGGGATTTTGCCGCCGGCAAGGACGGCAGCGAGGGCATCTCCGGGTCCACCCCACCCGCGGAACCCGACATGGCGGAGGCGCTCATGGGGAACATTTCCAACGAGAATCCGTCCACGGCCGAGTTGCAGAGTTCCGAACCGTATCAAATGCAAAAATGTCTGGGTCTGGAAACTTGTAATGCTAAAAGTGAATGAGAATGATAGACGCGCCGCAAGACGCAGCTATGCATGACAAATTTTGTGGCTGCCATGTCTTACGTATTCCGCATGGCAAGCTGCCTTTTCGCATGACACTCAGGAGGGCTCTTTCGTGCCTATGCAACACAGATTCTCGAGTCATGCCAGACAAGCATGACAAACTTGCATTATTCCAGACCCAGACACTTTTGCACTTGATAAGCCGCAAGCGGAAAGTGGGCCGCGCGAGGAGGACGTCCCCCAGCCGTTCTCGCGCACCACACCACTGATAACCGCACCGGCCGGCCCGCAGTCCAAGCCCGGGGTGGTCATGCCGGACATCTTTCGCTCGAATCCGGCCGACATGTTCTAATGATGATTTTGCACCCTCTTTCTGTAGAAGCGTCTGTTGCTTCTATTGTTCTCTTCAAACTTATTTCAAGCTCAAGCAAGATTCGCACGTGGACGTGATTTTTTGTAAGATTTGGTTTCGGTAGTTTTGTCTTGCAGCAGTCGTTTCTTATTTTTGTGCGGTCGCCTATGCCACTGTTTTGACATCATTATGAAATAAAACTTGTCTGAAGTTTTGCCGGACTGTTTTGCAGCTGTATCCTCTTGCGAGATGTGATAAACATAAACGGCCGACGACAACAAGTTGCATTTGCGATCGCCAGTCGTCGTAGGAAGTATCTACAAAATGATGTGTTGCAGTTGGATGTACACTGCGTGTTGCCCAGAACTACACGCAACCTTGAACAGGAAGGCTTTTGTCTTTCGATCTTCTCGAAGCTTGCTTCCCTGTAGTAGAAGTCGAGCAAAGTCGCAAGGATAAGGAAGTCGACCGCCGGAGTAAATATCAGAAGACGCGCACGGGTCGTGTGGTCTTCTCGCTTTCGTTTGAAACGTTTCGACAAGTTGGAAGTAGAGCGAGCCGGGCCTCAGTTCTCTCAGCCGAGCGCGGGTAGTAGTTTTTGATAAAGCAGCACACAGACGAACACCAGGTTCGTCTTTCGTTTCGACGAGTGAAGAAACCTCGGCGCTCACAAGCAAAACAGTGCGTCATTTTTCATCAGTTTCCATTTTTCGTACGTCGATTCCTAGCTGGTGCAGCGACAAATTCGTTTGCCCGAAGCGGGGACCCGGTCGCATGGTATATCGCTGGAAAACAAAAGTATAGCATAGGCGGAGCGACCGCAGTGGGTGATTATGCTGGGGCCACCGCCGCCTCCGTGCGTCAGGCGGAAAAAAATGTAAGTAAAAACCTTCATTCTGTCTCTTTGCGGGATTGAAAATACGAAAACCACTTTAATGCCAAATTGACTCGTGAATTGCAACTGGTGTCTTGACCCAGCTCCAAGCTTGTGCAGCCGCGGCAGTTACGAAGAAGTTTTATCGACAAAATGCTGCTCTTCACCTGCGTGGTGCGGATCGGTTCTTCGTTGCTTCTCGGCCGGTGGCTTCTCGCACTGCTGCTGCACGCGGTTTTTTTGCGCGCTCGAGTGCAAAACAAGGTGGACCAGCACGTGAAAGAAGGAGAAAGGCCGGCGAAAGGGAAAGACTCGGGCTCCGGCTCCGACTCCGGTTCGGGCTCGGGGAGTGACTCGGGGTCGGGGAGTGCGGACGGTGACAGCGGGGAGGACGACAAGAAAGGCAGTAGCAGAAAAGCCGCGTCGGACGACGACAACGATAGCAGCGCCAGTGGGGAAAGCCTCGGATCAGGCGAGAGCGTATTGTATGCTGGGCAATTGATATGTTCGGATTTTTATGATATTTCTTTTTGGCAAGACGACTCCTGGTCTTGCGTGTTGTCGGAATGGTTATCCCAAGCCCAACTACCGTTCTCCGTAAAAATATTCCACAGGACAAGAAGTCCGGTGAAGCAAGTGAAGGCGATGACGATGACGACAACGGTGCTGCTGGTGCAGTCAAGGACGCAGTTACGGATGCCGTCGCGGAAGAGGCGACTGGCGCTGCGGTGGGAATGATGGGCGGCGGCCTGGTGATGGGCGACGGCGACGGCGATGCTCCGGTGGGCCCGGAAGGCCTCCCGCGGGGAGACGACGAGTCCGACAGCGAGGCGGACCAACCGACCACATACCTCGGTTTGCAGAAAGTCATCAATGCTAAGGATAAGCTCTGGGACTTGATCCTTACCGACGGCCCAGATCCGCGCTTGCACCACACCGCGGGCGATGACCTACCCAATATCGCCTACAACGCGAAAGACTGGCACCGCCCCTGGCAATATCCGACGGAAAAAGTGGTTTTTTGGAAATTTTCATGAGGAGCGCCAAGCTTGTCCAAGTAAAGAAAAAGGAAAAGCAGCAGTCATTGAATCTTCCATTGGTCAACATTGACTGAGTAAGGGCTTAGCGCTCCCAATGAACAGTATCAGAAATTTCTGTTAGGGTTGCATGTGGTGCGCATGTCAAAAAGTGTGTCTGTGATATACGAACAGAAGTGTATGAACATGTTCAACATGTTGTTGCAGAGTGCAGCGCCGTTCTTGCAGTTCTAGCTTTAGATTGATATTAGATGTATGTAGTCGAGGTTGGCAGGCCTTCTCTCCTCCTTCCAAAAGTTTCATTTTTTCAAGGCATACTTAAATCAGAGTGAGCCGACCCGGGGACGAGAGGATACCAAAGTAAGTTTTATGAGTTATCCCACTTTATTTTTTGTCATGCTCATGCGCAACCGCAAGGCAAAAAGTCCAAACATCTTGGTCTTCTTCTTCATAGATTGGGCTTCCTCAAAAAGAAAAATCATTATGCCACATTGACTCCACTTCTGCCAGGGATCTGGGTAACTGGGCAAATTGTTTGAACACTGAGTATCTGTACCACAAGCCCGACAAAGACCCGGCGGTGAGAACGCTGAAGAAGTACAATCTGCAAGGCAAATTGTATCACTACGTTGCGGCGGGAGAGTTCGAAAAAAATGGAAACAAACACAGCGGACCCTGTCGCTTGTATTGATCTGAATTACTTATTTCAATTTCGTCTTTTGGATTTGCTAAATACTTACAGCATTTCTTCTTCTTAGACCTATTTCAGGACAGCAACATGCCCATGCATCGTTTGTAGAATTTTTGTGCCACACTTCTTCCGACAGTTTTTGATTTTGTCGACTATTTTCTTTTGAAATTCGAAACAGATTTCTTACAAACGCCGGTTGGACCATTGCAAGAGACGACGAAGACTGGGCGTTGTTCTGCATATCGTTGGAAAAAAATGGTGTTTTAGTGCAACTTCGAAAACTTTCAAGAACTCATCCCAAAGCATCACAAAGTTTCCCTGCAGGGAAACACAACTGGTCATGCGCAGGTAGTTCGTTTACGTAAAAAAAAAATGAATCCTGGCACATAAAAAATGCTTGTCGGGCGCAGGCCTGGTGACTAAATACGATAGCCGTCTTCTTACGAAATTCTGCAATACAAACTCAAGCTAATATACCGATTTTTTCCTTCGACGCCGCAACTCCGAAGAGCATTGCTCGCAGCGGTTCGCGTGCCGGCGGATGACTGAAGCCATGAGACAAGAGACCAAGGCTATCACAGCGAAAATTTCAACTAGCGTGCGGCTATAGTAGCTGATTCATTTGATTTGTAAATGTAATACACTCATGAAAAAGAAAATCTGTGATGCGATGGTGTCTCTCTGACGAGGGATAGCATAAGTAGCCTTGTGCTGTTTGCTGGTTTAGGTTTAAGACGTGCATCAAGACGGGTGTATGTTTGTGTACTAGTCATTTTTGCATTGCAGCAAATATGCTCCGCGTCGCGCTCTTTCTTTTCCAAAGGATAAAGGTGAAGAAGCGGCAAGTCGAAAACGCGCTGGAAGGCGTGTCAGACGAGGGGGGAGGTATATTTCTGAGCACACGAATCTTTTACTAGTTGGATACGGTATCTTTTCTGACCCCACTATTCATCAATTATCTGCGATGCATAAATACAACAATATCAAGGGTACAACTATTGATGCTGTTGTAGTAGTTTTCTACGTGCTGTACTAGCTGAAAAGAAATTTCACACGCAAAAAAATCTTCAACCCCTATGATCAGCGATCGTGGCTCGGAACAATGCGAGGCGGGCGCAGGCAAAGCGAATCACGAACGAAATGAAGCGGGAGGAAACCCTAGCTATGATCAATGCCGAGGAGGAGGACGAGTTGCGGGCCTTGACCAAGTCGAGCCGGAAGAGCGAAAGGCAAGTCAATCAGTTGGACTGGGAGCAGCGCGACGTCTACGCCATTGTGAACCGCGATAAGGACTGCAACGACGTATAGACTCAGACAATTTGATTGATGTCTAGTACTACGGTTTTCGTTTTTTAGATAGAACACTCGTCCGCCTCTCGGAAGACCAAGACGAGAGCGATGCCCAGTCGTCCATTTTTAAGTGGTAAAGAATCAGCATGACGATCTTGTTGATCGTGAATCATTTGAAGTCTTATTTGTTTCCAAGCTATATGTCCAAAAATAGCTCGTCGAGCGGCAGGGCAATGGTTTGAACCGTTTGGAATCTTGGGGCATCAACAGTCTGATTGCGGCCCACGCGGACGACCCGGCCCCCTGGATTTTCACCCACACGGACCGGTCAAAACTCCGGGGCCCCATGAAGATCGCGCTCGAAATCAACCCGAGCTGGATCGGCGGCAACGCCGAGCCGCCCCCCGGGGACGCCATCTCGGACCTGGAGATCAAGGGCTTTTCCCGCGTCTCCGGGACCTACAGTTTCCTCCCCTTCCCGCCGAAAGAGGCGCCCGAGGAAAGCATGAAACCAGGGCAGAAAAAAAACCGCGAGTACATGGAAACCAGGACGGGTATAGAAGTGCTGTTGGAACAGCTGTTTTTTCTTTTTTATGGATGATATGAGTGGGCACGAGCTCGTGCTTGCCGATCGTGATTACTGAACTGCATCAAGACCATGTAGTACGTTGATTTATTGAAATTGAAATCATATGAAAAATGATCTCTCGCCGTCCACTCACAGCGTTGCAAGCTACGGGCGCCGGCTTGGATTTTCACTTCCAGCTAATCGGGAAGGGGAAGTCAACATCGGGCGTGTTAGGGAAGAAGCCAGAGGGAAACTATCGGTTAATGAATACTCTCCGATTTTCGTACGATAAGGCCCACAAGGTGCGCAACTCCTTACTCTTCAAATCTGCGGCGTCGAGCAGCAGTAGCTCGTTTCTGGAACAAAATACAAACGAGATGAATGCAGCTCTTCCCAGGAGTTCAAAACTACTATCAGAAGACGAGGACGGCGAATTGCGCATAGAAGAAAATCATCGAGCGATGGAACAAGAAGAATCAACGGCTTCGACCCCGCCGTCTTCGTTTGCTTCGTCCAAGAGAAACAAAAAGGCCGGCAACCTGCGCGGGGCGGGCAAGAGGAAAAGTGAAATAGAAAAAGACGAGTCGCCGCTGCTGCTTTCCTCAACTTCAGTCTCCGTCTCGAACCATGATGAAATAGAACCAGCATCGTTGTCCTTGTCCTCCGACTCCGGTGGACGATCTTCTGTTTCGAGCTCCGTCCTAGAACTCGCCGAGGAGCAAAAGCCACTCACCGGCTCGTTCGGGAGCAGCAAAGCCAGCTCGTTCGGGATTTTGGGGGGGAAGGGCAGCGACGAGAAGCAGTACCAGTGGGCAATCCAGCAGTGGTAGGCATCGCAAATGTAGTGTCTGGGTCTGGAAATAAAAAGCCAAAGTTTAATTATTGCCACGCAGGTTTTCGTTTTGCATGGCCCCCGCTCGGAAGGTCTGAATCCGGGGACGAGCATCACAAGTTTTGTGAGGGCTTTGTACTCCCTGGTTTGCATGAGAAATGGCCCTTCATGGTGGTCCAAAGTCTGCAGCTTCTACTACTTACGCATGGCAGATTTTTGTGCGACCGAAAGAGAGCGTCACAAGTGTCCTCCTTTCCGGACCCAGATATATTTGCATTCGATAGGCGGAAATCGAACAAATGGGTGGACATGGTAATCCTGCAGGCGGTATCAAGTGCAACTATGTCTGCGTCTGGATCAGGAAGATTGCAAGACGGGTACGAACAGAAAAATCTGTCATGCGTGTTGTTTGTCATGCTCATGCAAAAACGCAGCTATTCGTATGTAGTGAGGTCACCGAACGGCTCTAACCAGGGAGTTTTTTTGACAGCCAGACAGCAAAACGGCCGCCAGTTTTCAAGCGGGCGGAAGCGTTTTTGGACATAAAAAATTTTCAATTATCAAGCGGCCGGGGCTTTGTTGTCAAACAAGCCCGAGCCAATTCTATCGATTCGCACTGGATAAAACGACGCTGGGGAGCCGGCAAAAGGCGCGCCCTTTTGAGGCGCCCGCCGCCTTGGTTTCTGGCGATTTGGGGCGCCCAAAAAGGGGCGCGCAAAAAACGCGCCCAAAATCAGAACAGCGAAACAGCATGGCACGGCCGCGATTTCGGAGCATTTTATTGGGCGGCCGCTTTCGCGGCCGCCTTTTCGCCGGTTTCAGAGCCTGGGAAGCTTTGCAAAAAGCGCCGGCGTGAAAAATAAAAACGCGAAAAAGAAGAAACGCCGAAGACGCGCAATGCCAATCCGCATGCTATGGGCCCGATTTTTCTTCGCTTTTTGGGCGCCCCCCCTGGCACCCGGATCGGCCCCATAGCATGGGGGCTGGCCTTCGCAAAGGAATTTCGGAAATTTGCCAAAATTTGCGACGTTTATCAAGCGGCCGCCATACCGTGCGGCCTAACGTTACTCACGGCGGTATGGCGAGCCCAGAAAAAGCAAAGCCGCGGCCAAGGCGATGGCCGGCAAGAAAACGCCCACGACCTCACTACCTCCGCCCCGGCGGCTATATTTGGTAACGCAGCACTCACATGAAGATGGTAACCGTGTTGACTTTAAAGTTTGTCACAGACTTGCGCACATCACATGAGTGCAAAACAAGCTTCCCGACGAGGCAGATCGATATTTGCAGTGCATAGGCGGAAAGAAAAGGGCAAAAGAACGACCAGTTTTCCTTCAACATTGGGCGCAACTTGATCAAGTCCGGGGGCAAGACGCCCCTCTTCGAGCCGTCCCTGAGCAACAAAGAGATGCACTACCCCGCGTTTTTTGCGACCAACCACTGGCCGGACAGCGGCGGCAGTTGGACGGTGACCGACGCGGCTCTGGGCTTCATGAGCCTCACGGGTTCCTCCGCGAAGCAAGAGCTCACCTTCGAGCCCCAGGTGGAAGACGGGATCGACACGGAAGAGATTATCGAACAACGCGGCGGAAGCACCATGGGAGGTTCGCAGAGGGTCTCCCACTCCTCCTCAACCAGGTCGCGGGCGATGAGCAGCCGGCAGCAGGAGTTCGAGCAGGTGGTTCCGTTCAACTCGCCGCAAAGTGTATGCGAGAAAAGAACTGTGTAAGTGTAAGTCTGTGATGCAGAAAATGCAAAACAGTATAATTTTGTTATGCTGGCCAGCCAGGGTGTCCTCTTTTCATACGTGTTTTCACGTACTAGCTGTGCATGACAGGACTTGTCTGTCATGCAGAGCGAATTTGTAATGCTGTCACCTGAAGAGGAAGACACCTACACTAACACAGTTTTTTTCTTGCATAAAGTGCCTGCTGTCTGGAGCTGGACGTTGGAGTAGACCACAAAGAGCAAGGAGAAGAAGAAAATAACGCGCAGGTGGGCATAGAGCATGGCGTAGAAGATGTGAACAACAACAGGATCATCGGTGGCGTTGGCATCGCAGCCCCGGTTAATGACAATGAAGCCCAACAAGACGGTCGTGTGCTGCAACCGGATCTTCAGGCGAACGACGTGGAGGTACCTCCTCTTCGAAGCGGACAAAGGAAATCAGCACTAGAATCTGATGACGACGACGAGAAGAACAAGAATGAAGCGGAAATGAAAATAACTCGGGCAGGACGAGAGGAGGCGGCAGCGTCCTCGTTTGCGGAAAAGAGTGGTGAACAAGTCAAACAACCGGTAGAGGACAAACACCAACTAACCGCACCAGTTGTCGGAACTACAGCAACTACAGGCAGGAGTAGCTCGTCTACTTCATCTGCCGCCTATAAGAATTTCGCCGAGCAACGCACTGTGGAGGTGCCCGAGGTACCACCTTCGCCAAGTAGATCTGCAGCTCCTTCGTCGATTGAGCCCGGCGACTTACGAGGAACCAGCAGCAGCAGCGGACAAGATGATAGTCGTCCCACTGACGCTGGTCCGGCGACTGCTGCTCTGAACATCAAGCAGTCTCATGGTGCCAACGACCTCCAGGAGCTAGATCACCCGGAAAGCAGCGACAGTGGGGGTGCTGCAGCAAATACGGAGGGAGCATCTCTCGAAACTCCAGTCCGATTGCTCTCCCCGGAACACATTGCGAGTTACGAAAACGTATGAATTGCAAAAATGTCTGGGTCTGGAAGATTGCCAGATTTGTCATGCAGGTTTTCCATAACCCATGAGGTTTAATATGTAGGACATAGCATGACAGATTCTGCAAAACCTTTCCAATGCCTATCCTGCATGAGAAACTTCCTCTCGATTAGGTCAAAAGTGCACAACTTTTGGCAATCACGCAACACAGTTTTTTGCCTGATTCAGATTTAGCATGACAAGTTGCATTCTTCCAGACCCAGACATTTTTGCATTTGATAAAACGTGTTTGCCGAGGCCGTGTTGACGGTGGATGGGGAGAAGAGCTTGGAGAATTTGGGCGTGGTGCTGAACAAAAGGACCAGCACGTATCGCAAGAAAAAAGTGTTACAGTTACACATTGTGTTGCAGGCCAAGCAAGACAGACAAGCTCTGTCATGTCGGATATGCATAGGATCCTCGTTTCATAGGTGTTTTCCCGTGGGATTTCTGCAATACAAGTTTTTTCTCTCATGCAGAGAAATTTGTGTTGCTGAATTCACTACAAATGTGTAACTGTAAGGCTTTTTTCGTGGGATAGCACGGGCAAGAAGTTCTTTAACGATGCAAAATTCAACGATGAAGGTGATCATGAAAAAGCGTACTACAATAACGCAAAGTCACAACAAGCTTCTTCCTCCTCTTCCTCGACGTCCACAGGCATACCGAGCGGCAGTACGACTCCGTCTGGAGTAGGAAAATCCTCGTCCTCTCAGAACAAAAGGCCCGGGAGCCCCGGCGAAGAAGCTGCCGCTGGGACTGAGGATGCCTTCGCAGAGGTACAAGTACCGAAAATGCAGCCACCAGAAGCAGAACAAGCGGGTGGTAGCAGCAGCAGCACCACAACCTCCGAAGCAGTTAAGTCTGCGCCTGATTCGGGCAAAAGTATTAAGCCACCAGAACTACAAACATCAAAACGGAGTAAACTACAGCCCCCGTCCGTTCCGAGCATGAAAATGTTCAGCGGGGGAGCTACAACGACCGGCGCGGCGCATGCGCAGGTAAATCAAGACCAGCGAGCGCTGCAGTTGTCATTCTCACCGACGACGGACTGGGTGGACGATGTGAATTTTTGGATGACGGAGTACTGGACCGTGGTGCTGGCGCTGGGGATCCCGGCAATCATTCTCTTTGTACTCTTCCGCAACCGCAGGTGGGCGAGGACGTGGGAAATAGTCGAGCAGGAGACAAGAAAGTCGAAACAAGACACTCGATATTTTTCACAAAGACCAGCAAATGGTGCAGCAACCGATTTGCTAGTAGAGGACGAGGACGAAGTAGTAGATGACAGGAGAATTATGAACATCAAAGCGAAAAGTAGCAAAGAAAAAAAGGCTTCGAAAGATAGGCAGAAAAGGAATCATTTTTCCGAGGATGATAACCTGAACTCCTCCTCCTCCTCCGTCGGTGCTTCCTCCTCCACTAGGGGACGAAATCATACGGGCAGTTCTGCGCTGCAAGGCCTCTTCGCTGGATCATACAGCACGACTCCTTCGACCGCGGTGACGCCACGGAAACTGGACATCACGTCGAGCAGCGAGGACGGTGGAAGTAGATCCACTCTATTCGGGAGCTTTCTCAACAGCATCGGCAAAAAGATCAGTAGTGCTGGCGGTAGTCCGCGTGATCATAGTCGTGGGTCGACATCTTCGTCTAATATGCAGGGCGGAGTTGTTGATCAGCCCGGAGAGGAACTACATCGTCAAACTGGTCCCCCTGGTGAACACGACGCAAACGAATCCTCGCCCTCACCGTCTCCTGTTGCGTCCTCGTCCGAGCCGTGCGAGGAAAATGATCCTGCTGAAGCAAGCGACAGCGAAGAAGAAGATGAGGAGCAAGATAACACGATGCTGTCGAGCGTTGGGCATTTGTCTCCCATCGCTAACGCGGAGGACGAACGGCCAACGCCGCTGCGGACCTGGCGGGACATCGCTTAAGGAACATACTTATTTACACGGCGGGGGAAAGCAGCATCGTATATAACGCAAGCGACTGCTAGCTCTCATTTCTGATGAGCAAAAGTTGTCATCGTTCCTTATCCTTCGTCCAGCAACGAATCAAAAATTAATTGATGACTTTTGTTTTCCTGTCTTGTTTTCGGAAGTAGAGTTTTCTCTGAATATCAATATCATCTAAGATAATTGTCAATGAACCAGAACCAGAACTATACGCTTTTACATTACATTTCGGCCGATGGATCTGATTCTGAATTTGTTCGAATTTACGATTGTATCTATCTGAGGATATTGAATCTGTAGGATGAAGTTACATGTGCCGAGGAAAATATGCGTTAGAAATTTAGTCAAACGAAATAGAGGAAAGCGATGGAGGCGAAACTTGCTCCCTTTTTTTTGCCTAGCAAGCAGCAGCAAACTTGTAAGATTTAGTGATGGTGAAGATAGAAATCGGAATCTATACCAAAAGAAACGAAAAAAGAGGAGTCCTTTTTCGAGTGCTGCGCGCGGATAGTGGTCCTCGAGCAGGATGATGATAGATTCTCTGCTGCTGCTGCTGCTATGCCTACCTTCCTGCGTTCCAAAACTTGCGCTTCTTCATACAGTAAGTTTGAAGAGATGAACGTGAACGGATTTACTGCTTCAGCATCGTTGATCTCGATCGCTCGCACTCGCTCCGAGGAGGAACTCAAATGGCGGTAGGATGGAGAAGGTCGCAAATTAAAAACACTGCATTCGCAACATGTATCAGGCGCTAGACTTGGAGTGGAGTCGTCATCGTCCGGTCGTATGTTTTTGAATTTCGGACACTAAATTCGAACAAATTTTCTTTCGTCTATCCTCGTTTGTGTGTCGTCTGCGCTGTCGTCTTTGCGTCGTTGAAGCATGAGGGATTTTTACATGTCGAAGCAGTTGTTGTGTCGCATGAATTCTTTTCCTGGGGCGGTAAGCAAGTATCTATTGGCAGCAACAGCATTTATGACGCAGTACTTTGTTCGGCAGTACCGAAGTTATTTTTGTAAACTGCATTTTATATTCATTTCATCAACAGCATCGGTCGGAGCTCTTGTGTATCTGGTGTGCCTGAACCTGCATCGCAGGGTGCAAAATGGACGACTTCATCGTCTTCTTTGACACCGACGGCCGCCATGAGGGACAAGAGCCAGCGCCTGTGGCGAAGAAAATCTTGCGGCAAGATCAAACTTCCCGTCCCAGCACTGCACGCGACGAAACTACAAAAACAAAATGCCACAACACGATACCTCACCTAGAGCCGGACGAGACGGTTGAAATCAAAATTTATCTCGATGCGGCAGAAAGCACGTCAATACCACGTGGTCAAGTGCACGAGCCACCTATTTTATTACCAAGCTCGGCTTCGGCTTTCTCATTGCAGGAAAAGCTGCCTCGCGACCACACGGCGTTGACGCTTGATCACGAAGATGGTGCCAAGAGCAAAGCCACGTCCGCACGAAAAACGGATGGAGATGAGAAAAAGCCCGTCGCTGTAAAACTGAATAGAGAAAAGTTCATTCCAACAGAAACTACTACACGCGCAAATCATGGTACTAAGGCTGTCTCACGACAAATTCTGCCTGCTTCGCCCACCCGTGTTTCCTCCTTGCCTCCAGCCTCCGCTCGTGTGAAACGGAACCGAAAGCGCTACTTCTGCTACCGCACAATCGAGTTTCTGCTCTACGACAGGGACGACGAGAAGAAGTGTTCTTTTGAAGATGGACAAGCTGGATTTCACTATCGCGATCTGGAGCTCGGGGAAGGAACAGGAGTAGGTCATATCGACGACGACGATGTTGAAAGCGAAGCCTGCAAAAAGACGCAAAATGCCTGGTTCGCGCAGAGCGTCATCAACCCAGGGAAAATAAAACCAGCAGCAAAAAGTAGAACTACAACAAAAAATACAGAAAACAAAGGACACGACCAGCACCCGTTCGCGTTCCTGCGGAATTTCCTTTTCCTCCAGACGCTGAACCTGAGTATTCTGTTCCACATGATCAAAAGTAGCTTCATCAACGTCGACGCGATGTATGGTTTTCATCCGCAAGGCCTGTTCAGCAACGTCTTTACTTTTGCTAAGCATAAAGCCGCAACCTCGTTTCTCGCGGTCCGGACCGCGTTTCCCGCAGCCGCGGCGATGTTGCAGAAGCAGATGCAAAAAGAGGCGTTGGAGAAGCTGATGAACACAGTGAAACAATTCACGCTGGCGGAAATGAAAAAAAAAGCCAAGACGGCGGCAAAAGCGGCGGTGAACCAGGCCAAAAAGGCGGTAAAGAACGCAGCGAAGAGCGTGGCGGACTCCGCCAAGCGGAAGGCGAAGGCTGTGGTTGCGAAGGGCAAGGCCGTCGTGAAAGCGGTGAAGGCGGCTCCCGGGAAGGCTCTGAAGGCGATGAAAAGCGGTGCGGCAAAGGGCGCGAAGGCCGTGAAGGCAGGGGCCACGAAGGCCTTGGCTAAGGCCAAATACGCGGCGGGGGCGCCCCGAAGGTTTATGAGCCAGAAAAAGCAGGCCTTTAAGGACATGATGGCACGACGAGTCGCGAGAAACGCGCAGAAGAAAGTGGAGAAGGAGCAGAGGAAGGCCGCGAAGGCGGCCGCGAAAGCAGCGGCGAAGGCACTGAAGGCGTCGCGGCCGCCGAAACCGCCCCTGGGCACGCGGTTGAAGGGCGGCTTGAAGGCCGTCGGCGGAAAGGCAAAAGCCGGGATGAAGTTCCTCGGCAACAAGACGGCGGCCGGCGCGAGGGCCGCGGGTGGGAAAGTCAAGGGAGGCGCAAAGTTTGTCGGCGGGAAAGTCAAGGGAGGCGCCAAGTTTGCCGCAGCAAAGGCGAAGGCTGGTGCGGTAAAGGTGAAGGCGGCCGTCACCGGGGCGTACGCAAAGACTAAGGGTGCAATAACGGCGAAAGCGGTGGCGGCCTCGAACGCTTTGAAGGCCGTAAAGATGTACCGGAAGCAACACGGGATCGTCAGGACGGTGGGAAAGGGCATCGTGCTCGGAGCGAAGGGCACCGCCAAAGCCGCAAAGGCATCGGCCAAGGCCGTGCAGCGGGCGGCAAAGGCAGCCTACCGGGCCGGGCAAGCCGCCCACCGCGGCGCCACGAAGGCAACTAACGGAGTCATCAAGGCAGCCGCGGCCGCGAAGCGCACCGCGAAACTCGTGCAGGCCAAGGCGGTCAAGTTCGGCGCCAAGGTGAAAGCGGTGACCGGTGGTGCCGCCAAAGGAAAGAAAGCCGCGGCGGCCGGTGGCGGCTTGTTCGCCAAAGTGAAGAAGGTGGCGAGCAAAATATCCGAATGAAATTAATAGAATGTTGTTGAAATTGTGTATATGCCAATGAATCATCGAGTGTTACCCATGCCCTTGGCCCCCGTGATGCAAATGTGTATGATGAGCAGTATGCGGATGTTACGATCTGATTATCCTGCTGCACCAGCAGGTCTAGTAGATAAATGCCTACATGATCTCTAGCCAAAAATAGAAATAAGCTGCACAGCACAGTATAATTTCAGCAACATTTTTCCTCGTGACGCAAAACTGGCGTGACGAGAATCTTCGAGCTGCAAGAAGCTCTGTGCGGGAGCAACGACCGAAACTTCGGGGCTATCATGGGCCTGCACCCCTGCAAGTCCGTGGAGGAAAAGTCCTGCAACTTGGTCGGCGCTATGTGTGCACAGGTAGATATAATTTGATCATAGTACGTGTACGATGCACAGGTGTAATAATGTAGTGAGAGTAGGTTAATACTAATATTAGGCACCTTCTTATTCTTTTGCCTCGGCATCACAGGCAAAACGCCCCAACTACTGCTTTTAAATCCAGGTGCCGAAAAAGCTTTTTCCTCGAATGACCGACGGGATGCGCACGAAGGTGGGGAAAAAGTGCAACACCAACGACATCACGCTCGGGGTGCCCCAGCAGATGCCCGACCACAACTGCAACGCACGGTTTCTGGACATGCCGTACATGATGAAGAACGCGGTCGCGGATTTTCAGGGCAGCGTTTACACGATGATCAAGAGCAACTACTACCTCAACGCGGCCGCCCAGCTTGCGGGCATCACAAAATTCCCCGTCGACGCCACCCCGGCGCAAACCGTGTGGGGCACCGCGATTCACGGCAAGACCGGCTCGTGGTCGATGGACAGCGGAACCCCGGAGATCTACGACCACATCTACCGAGTCCCGCAGTACCTATCAAATTTTGCAACATTGGCGTGGTGGTACTGTATGATGAAAGTACATCAAGAAAAATTAAGCTTTTTACATCGCCTCTACAATGCCGGTCGTCTTCACGAAGCTGTGTACGAGACGAGATGTAGTTGGGAAAAGAAAGGGACGCATAATATCACATCCCAACAATATGTTTTTTTTGCATGGTCATACCTTCAACCTCTACGTCTACCGCCACGCCACATATTTGAAATCGATACCCTTTACCCGGCTTCCCCCCTGCTATGCTGGAAAAGGCGATCCCGAAGGCGATGAAAATCATGGCCGGCGAGCTGGAGTACGGCTACGTCGGCAAATATGGGAGTGTCAGGATCGAAATCGTCAAAGTTGAAATAATCTGTAATGCAAAAAAGCGATACCAGCTGGAGCCCAGTTTGCAAGTGGCGCATGACAAATTTTGGCAGCATGGAGATCCAATTTACCATGCTGTTTGAGCAGAGAAGACTGCTTTTGTCATGTTATTCTAACAGCTCTATCTCACACCCCAAACAGGCTTATAATCGGCCTGAGTTGCCTGCTCTGCAAGACAGGCACTTTGCGTCTAGCATTTTATGCATCACAAACTATTTCAACTTTGACGATTTCAATCCTGACGCTTCCATAGCAAAGACGACACCTACATTTGCGACTCCCGCGACAACCCGAGCCAGTGCGCCTTGATCGGTGGGGACCTGTGGAAATGCCTCAAACACTACGACGCCAAGAAGTGCCACTTTTGCGAGAACGCGGGTGACTCGCTGCGGTGCGAGGTAAGGGGATGGAACTCGCACGGGGAGTTCTGGGAGCGCGTGCCCATCTACCCCCGGGACGTGCTGGGCGAGATGTTCCGCGACGAGTGGCGCGACTTCTACGCCCGACCGCTCATGACGCAGGTGGACATTCCGAAGTCGATCACGCGGAACGTGACTAACTTCAAAACTCTGCCCTGGTACATGGTGCAGGACGCCGCGCCGGAATACGACCTAAAGTCCCGCATGTACCTGTTTCCCTTCGCCGAGGCCACGCCGACGAAGGTGCTGATGCGATAATTTTTCGCTACCGCTTTCGTCGTACTAAAAGTAAAACCAACCAAGTTGCATTTGCAAAATGAAAGGAAAATTGAATCCTACGTACGTGCTGCTCGCGTGAAGTTGTGACACCTAGTCCACTATAATTGATGAGTGCTATAATTCAATCTTACGTTTGCGTTTCTGAATTCAGTACGAGAACTACAACAGTTTCTTGTTTCTCGGTACTGTTGCTCTTTGTTCGACAAGGAGAAGGACAGTAGAACTTCGCTTCTTCCGTATACAACTGTTTCGGATTTTTGTAGAAGAACGTAAATAAGAAAGACAGATGAATCGACACGGTTTCGTAAGAAAAATAAACTGATACAGAGGAAAGCAAAAAAAAGAAACACACTGGTAGCTGGACTCTTAGTCGATGTTATTCGACATACCACTTCCTGTTCTCGCCGCTATTGCGTAGCAGCCCTACATTTGCTTTAACGAAGACATGCGGATGTTGCAACTGCCGCACAAAAAAGTAAGTACGTGCATTTGATAGCCAAGGTGCATCGTATCTATCAGCATAAAATAGTGAACTACAGGTGGAGAGAGTGAGACAAGAGAAGCTTTTTCAGGACGAGACGCTTGTGAAAAGCGAGTGATGTCTGTTAAAACTAGCCCACAAATACGGAACAGAATAGGAAAACAATTTTTCAAGCGTTTAGTTTCTTATAACTCGCGCTGGCACTCGCAGCTCCCCCACCTGAAAGGATATCAAGGAATGTGTTGCTCCTACTTGTTCTCACGTACCCAACTGCAACTACTAGAACCTTAACCTCGCTACAACACCCCCACCACGCCTTTTTCGATTAAAAGATGCCTGTCCCTGGTTCGCCAGATCTGAGCCCCACCCCGCGGCCCGCATCCGCAGCACAACCTGTCACCTTGCGCCGCAGGACGAGTAGCATCCTGGCCGCGCACTTTCGCCTGCGCCCTTCCGAAAAGGTTTGCTGCATGTCAATCCAGCAGGCGGCGAGAACAATCTGCCTCTACTTCTGCCTCAATGGGTTTTTGACGCTCTTAACGCTGATAACGGTCGGGCCGCCGAGCAGAATGGTGTATCACGCAAACAAAGACCTTTATCCAAAGGGAGATAGCACTTTGACGAAAGTAGAACAGGGAAGGATACGGAACAAGAATGATCCTGATAATGTTAGCCCGTTCTCCAATACCGACCAGCAGGAGCAACTTCAGTCCGAACTTCATAGCATCTCCGCAACGCAACCTCACGGCAACCTGAGAGGATCTGCTGCTAGTACAAAGAACTCGGCGCTTGGGACCGCGATAAGAGGTAGCGGCGCTAACAACGCGCCCAATACCGCAGGAGCCTCCGATCTTCCCGATGAGAACCACACGTCCGGCGGGCGCTGGGTGCATTTGAGCACCGTGACCACTTTTCTGCAGCAGCTGGACCTTCTGTTTCGCGGGATGTCGCTGTGGATCGGGGTTCGCGGGTACACCGGGTTCACCCTCCGGTTTCTGCCGAACATGCAAGTGTGCATCTGGTTCGCGATGACCTACTGTCTCCTCCCCCTGCTGCGCTACGCCCGCGCGTTTGTGATCTGCGACGAGACGCCCGAAATCGAGTGCAAGACGCTGCGGGGCTTGTTCTTCGCGGTCACGACCATCGAGCTCGGCTTCCACGCCTTTTTGGTGTACGTTCTCTGGTCGGCAAAGGAGATCGCGATACTGCAGGGCGCCCCGGAATTCCACCTGGAGGGCGAACAAGCCCGGGCGGCGGTCGGGATGCAGACGCTGCTGGCCGCGCGGGGAAGCAGCAATTTGTTCGCGCCCGTCGCGACCACGGCGGGGAACAGCAGTGAGGGCAGCAGTGGAGCGAACAACGCCAATAGTTCAACATCTCCGGGGACGAATAATCGCCCGGTGCCGGCGAGTTTTGAACCCTTCGCAGGACAGGGATATCGGCTGGAATGAGGTATGGCTGAAAAGAAATCATCATACAGGACGAAAGAAACCAGGTTTTGAAGTTTTTTTGCTCCCCGCCACATATTTCTGGTTATAAGAGTAAATATGTTTGTGCTGCGAGTGCGATAGGTACTTAGGTGTCGTCCAGGATCCCATTCAGTATTCTTCTGTTAGTTCTTTCTCAGTTTCACCCCCCTTTGAATTGCTTGAAAAAGTCGACTCTTTGAACGAGCTGATATCAACCGGAATTCGCATGCTTACTTATGTTTGGCGCTCGCAGTTTTCATCTCGGAAAGCGAGAATGAGATGTCGCAGAAGTGCCACATAGAATTACTTGACACTCTACCCTGCTTTTTCTGTTCTTGGCATTGACTACAGAGAAGTCAAAGTTGCTCATATAGGAGCACCCACCATTTACATGTTCGCTGTAGTAGGAGCGATGCGGAACATTTTCCAAAATTAATTATACGTCTGCTTTTCCAAGTCAGATGAAAAAATGAAAATCGCACACCGGCCAGCCATTTCCGAAAGGGGAGTTTTTGGAATGTGGGAATCACCATACTTACTTAATATCACACTGTTCCGAAACCGAATACAAGACGGTGGGTCGAAAAAGATTTTTACCGTCATCGTCTCACCCGCTTTTCTTTATTTGAAGGTCTGTGGATGTGGTAAAACTGAAAGTTTGTCGCAATTAAGATCTTGAGGTCGTTGTCGTATTTCTTCTCGTGGATCAGTTATGCAGTGCAAATTGTAGTACAATTTCGTGCGAGAAAAATATGTGCGATCTTGATGATCTGTCTGCATGAATTTTGGCCGCTTGCGCTTTCTATACAAAATCAAAATGCAGATACGGCGGGATTTATCGATGTATGTATGATCTTCGTCCCAGTCTTATTGGCGCTTGTCTTCCCGGTCGTTTACGTTTTCGTTTTCATGGTCGTTTCTCTGATCCATTTTTCCTTTATTGACTCGTGTTGAGGATTAGAGAGTACTGCTCGGCTCATTCTCCCAAAATCAGAGTAATTTGAACTTTCTTCAACGAAGTAAAGTGTATTTTGTTCGCCTTTATTTTTACACACGTTTATTTGGTTTTCTAGAACTTAGAATCGCAAAATCCCAGAGCCGTATCGCCTTCAACAATGGCCTCCTCCTCCTCCTCGTCCTCGCATCACCTCCGCGCCAGCTTCGCGAAAGAGGCGCGGGTCCGGGAGCTACTTGCCTCGCCCTTCCGCAACCCGCGGCATGCCGTCGACGTGGCTTTCAAAGCGTTTCACGACCTGGGGCTGAGTGGCGACCACTTTCTGTTCAAACGCGTCAGCTTGTACTTCTTGTCGGTGAGTCTGGAAGAAAAGAAACGAACAAAACCTTTTCTGGCGTACAAAACCCTGCCGACGTCGTACGGCATAACACCTTTGCAAGCGATAAAAAACACCCAATGCACCGCTCGCGACTGGTGTTTGCTGTTTACCATTTTCGTGAAAGCGCACGTCTGCGACCGGGAGTTGCTGCAATTTTTCAAAGACGAGGTCTTCTGTAAAAAGCAAGCTGAGGCAGCTACGGAGAGTACAAGAGATCTTGAAGTGCAGAGCGCTGAAGACCACTCCTTTTCGACAGCCTCTTCAACTTCTTCGCTTCACCGCAGACCTACATCTAGCTCCCTCGAGCAGCTGACGGAGCTCGCGCACGGGCTGCAGAGATTTTTGAAACCCGCGGCACGAAGAGGACGGGACCACTGTGCTGCGGGTACCTCAATACCGGGTTCGACAGTCAATTTTGCTGAGGCCGAAGAACTTACTGCTGAAACTGGCGAAGACGACCACGCGCCCGACCAAGAGTTTGGCTTTCGCGAGCTCACCGTTATCGGGGGGTACTACTCCCTGTACGCCCCCGAGGAGACGCAGGTGTTCGCGGAAATCGATCGGCGCCTTGCGGAAACAGGCGCCGAGGTGTCCACCTTCGCGCTCTCGGAGCTGTGCCGCGCCTACGCGAGAGCCGGCTTTTTCAAGGCGAATTTGGGTAGTACTGGTAGTACCACTTCTGGAAAGAGCCGGACGGAGGTGGAGACAACCACTCCAGACGTTCTCTCGAAGACCAAATCAAACGAAATAGAAACAGCGGCAAATTTCTTCGCAGCACAACGAAAATTATTGCCACAGAAAACCGAGAAAGCGACGACAATGTTGGAAAAGTTGGTCGCGAGCGAACTGCCGAAGAAGTTAGAACAAGACGCTTGCTCCGTTGAGGATTTGAGCCACTTTTGCTGGTTTTTTTCCAAACAAAAACAGATCATGGAAGAGGAGGAAGGCAGTCTTGAAGCTGTTGCTGGTAGTACACCTAGCGCGCATGGCCGAACCTCCACGCAAGAAGCTACGAAGACTACTACTTCCCATTCGCCGTCAACAATAAAAACGCAACGATTCATCTTACAGAACCAACTAGCCGATACCTGTTTGCGACAAATCAAGCAGAGACCCCAAAGTTTTCTCGCCAATCTGGATGCACTCGCAAACGTTGTTTTCTTCTGCGCGGAGAGAAAGTTGCACTGGAACGCGGTGGTCCGGTGGGCGCTGCAGGAATTGCCGGGGGGTGGACGTAGTACAACTAGCATAAAGATGTTGAAATCCACTTCAACTGCAAGTAAAAAACCGAGTGCCAATATGAAAATCGCGTCCACAACGTTGCTGAAATTCCTGCAAGCCGCCAGCCTGGTGAAATACCCACATCTTGGCTTTTGGCAGTTTGTCAGTCGACAATTTATGGAGCGACTCAGGTTGGAGAGGATGGGAACTGAAGATCCGATGTCATCTACTTCTGGGGCTTTTATAACTGCGCCTGGTCCTCATTTTATTTCCCATTCTTCGAGTTTGATCTCCCGCGAGGAAGCTGTGCTGATCATGCGCTGCTACACGAAAGCCAAGATGCGGTCCGCTGCTTTGTTTCGGAGTCTGGCAATGCATCTCGTCTTACTGGCGTCGAGCTCGAGCCTGCAAGCTGGTGCAGCAAGACCTTCCGGTGGTCGTCCCTCAGGAGGTCAAAACCAATTCTCGTCAAGAATGCCCGCGTCGATGAACACACAGCAGAAGATGCTTTCTTTCTACGAGGCCATGACCATTCTGCAGGGGTCAGAAAAGTTGGAAACCGCCCTACCTAAGAGCGTTGTGGATTTGCTGCCAAAAAGCTTCGGAAGCACCACGAAAGATCGAATTGCAGTGGACGCAATGAAAAGGGCGAGGCTCGTGTGAATATATGGACGCACCAGAGAAAGTATTGCCTGCTGCTGTAGCTGAGCACTGCTATAATCGCTTTCGTGATCCATCAGGAGCAAGAGATCAAGCTATGTAGTGTCTTTCGCGAGTTAGACAAGAATGAAAATACGCAGACTTTTCTATATTTCTTGCCGTCTTTTCGCACTTTAATGAAGGATATAGTAACGTAGCACCAGCTACATCACCTGCGGAATTTGCAATTGCAAAAAGCAACCTGCTTTTTTTCTGCCTCTTTGTCTTTATTTTTTAGCTGAGGCCAAAACAGATAGGACTAGGAGCTTCGCACTTAGTGCAACAGTCAGTTGTCATGATCGATGTGAAGTCATTTCGTACTCCCCCAATTTCCGTCGTAGTCCTAGAAGAACGCAATGGGGACCTGTGAATGATCAAGGCAGCTCCCCCATCGTAGGTCGTACACATTCACTTGGTTCTGCTCGTACTTCATATCTGTGCTCGTGGTGAAAATCGCGAGTTTCGTTCATCGTTGACGTCGGGTATGTAAGTAAGTAGGCACAAACCACTGGCTCTGGGGATAGACGTGGACGTCGTAAAGTAGGTTGATCGGAAATAAACGTACATACTCGAGAATTCTTGTATTCAGCTTTTTGATTTTGTTTTCGCTATGTCAGCTCCTCTTTCACACAACCAGGACCGCTTTGCAATCGTTTTTTCGACACCCAGTGGAAGGTTTGTAATTTCAAAAGAACAATTTAGCAGGACGAAGCTGCTTGGAAAGTTACTCCAGAAGTAAAAAAGTAAATAAAGCGCAGTTTACTTCAAAACAAGTAGAAGCGCGAGGGAAAATGATGAAGAAGATTGCTCTCGTTACCGCTGCCACCCCCCTGGGAGGGGAGTTCGCCTCTGCGCTGGTGCAGAAGCAAGCTGGGAGTGCGACGCATTTTTGGTATCAAAGCGAAGTTTTATTTAAGCTGAGAGGTCATGATTCACACTTGGGATAACATAATGCATTATGCAGGAGAACAAGAACATAGAACGACACTGAAAGCGTGCTCACATCAATATTTCTCCGTCGTCCAGTGGTGGGCACGAACGCGTCTCGTTGCAAATGCACTCTGTGCAAGGAATTCTCATCTCTGTACCATAGAATAGATAATCCGCAAAGTCGTGAACGTGTGCGCTACGTCTACGCAAAGCCGCGACAGCTCGCCGTGCCATGAATGCTGGCAAGATCATCCTGCGCCCCCATATCGTACATTCGTGTGCTGCTAGCTCGGCTAAAAACTTTCGGTGCATACTTAGGCTGGGAGTGAAGCAACGCCGTCCGGCTTCATGCAGAATGAGCGCGTTGACGTTGAGCATGGCGGGAAGAAAAAGAGATTGAACAAGGGGAAGACCGAGGAGAAGAAGGTGGAGAACAAGAAGAAGAAGGTGGACGAGAAGGCCGAGAAGAAGCACGAGCGGATGGCTACCACTGCGTCTCCTGCCCCTGCGCTTACCACAAGCGAACCACCCACGACACTACAACCAGAAGCGCCCCAATATGCGCCGGAACCGGAGATACAACCAGAAGTGCCCCAATATGCGCCGGAACCGGAGACGCCCGCGCCGGAGGTGGCAGTGTCGCAGTAAGACACAGCGAGACGCAAGGTGAAAATTTTCGTAGCAAGGAAGAGCGCACGTTTAATCACGCATACAGGTTTTTACAAAAAAGGAAAATCTTTCGTGTATTATTCTCTTTCCGACATTGCGGCCACTCTCTTTCTAGATGCAGAGCGAGAATTCACATCGTGGAGTGCTCACTCACCTCCTAAGAAAGAAGTTCGTTCCGGCTACTGTGATTTACTTGCAGTTCTGTTTTCTTTGTCAATTTTGCTTTTGTTCACCAGAAAATATCGGTTTTTACTTCTGAAATTTTTATTTTTTATTGCAATTCACAAACTCAACATTTTTCAAGTTCCGCAGCATCAAGTTCAGGTTTAAGAAACTTCTCTACGATCTCTGTCGCTTGCGCAGTGAAATTTTTGCTCTGCCCGGAACGCGTACAAGACAGCGCGAAATAGTACCGGGCACTCACCGGGTCATCAAGATGCAGAATTATAACGTACCAATATTTCGCATAGGCATAACATGGAATGCATAACCTGCTTCACACTGAGTCACTTCAGCATGCAGCATCGTCATACTAGAAAATGTTACCCTGCACCACAAGAAGTCGATGTCGACATGGCGCAAGTGATAGGCATAACCTGCGAATTTTCTGTGCTTGCAGTACCAGACTTTTCAGGCCGTATTCAATCAGAGCAGTCGTGCGATGAACTACAGCTGAAAACACTTTTTGTTGCTACCCTGAAACCCTAATAAGACATAATGTAATTATACAACTCAACAAGGTCAGGTGGTGCATGGTGATCGGTTGTTCGACGATTACAGGGCAGAAAAAGAAAACAAAACCTTGCTTCTGATCTGTACTTTTTGCTGCAAAACCGCAATCTTCGGTCCTTGGAGTATCGCAGTTTCATGGAAACAATGATCTGCATCTGATCGACGAGCAATTTTTGTTTAGTCAAGGCCGCCCATATGAACAATATCTGCTTTCCTCTTATTGATCCGAGGAACGCGCAGGAGCGTCTTGTCGATACAAAAATGCCTATTACATTTCTTTGGTGTCGATCAGATTTTTTGCATGTCATTTTGTCATCGGTACTTGCTCTTGTCGCCATAGCCAATTGGAGCAATGCTAATATAGCAGAGTGTAACCTAGATTGTTGGTAGATCATCTCCTTTGATAAGCGTCAATATCGCAAATGATGTCTATCCTCGTGTTTCCCATTTTCAGCAGCCATCTCTGTGACGACTTTTACCCCCGAAAAACCTCACATTTTTTTTGGAAGCGTACGTTCCTCATAGGGAACATGCCTGGTGATGTCATGACCACCGGAGTCGCGCAACATTTTGTCAGTATTTTTGAGTGATATGAATTTTATATATTATTACCCTGCGTTTCATATTTCAGTTTATCGTATTAATGTGTAAATTGAAAATTTATTTAGACCTTTTTCTTGATTTCCAATCCAGCAATGAGCCTTCGGAACAAGAGTACCAGTGGTTCTGCCAACTCAGCCTTCCCGATGCAGAAGCGACAAAAGCAGCGGGAGGGCCAGGTGCTGTTCCGCATCCGGCGGGGGTTCTGCGATCTGGACGAGTCCGCGATAACCGTCACCGCGGCCGATCTGGTGGCGAAGACGGGCAGAATACGGCTCAAAACGGTCGAGGACTTACTGAAGAAAGTGGTGGTGCCGAAAATTGGTACGCACCGGGTTTTTCTGCAACTTATCTCCTTTAAGTCGGGCGAAAGGCTCCCGTTGGTGACGCCAATGGCCTACATTTTGAATCACGTGGTGAACGTCAGCTGGAAAAAGGACGCGACGGTGAGCAACGCGCAGGTGAACCTGTTCACGGAGGAACAGGATTTTTTACCCGTCGACGCGGTATTGTTGTCACCGGAAGATAGTGGGTTTCAGCAACATTATGGTACTGCATCCGCGTCCGCTTCGGAGCAAGAAGAACCAGACGTGGATCTTTGCGTGATGGTGACGCAAAAAGCATTAAATTTCGAGTGGGGCGCGACGGAAAGAGGGTTGCGGGTGAAACGCACCCCTGCGGCAGCGCCGACCGCCTTGGTGTGTAGTTTCCCGCCGAGAACGACGGGGACTACTAGTCCTGCTGAGACGAGGGAAAAAAGCGCCGCCGCATCTTCATCCGGAGAAGTGAAGGCAGCTTCTGAAGAGTCTTCTGCAAGAAAGGACACTTTTCCTGCTGGAGGAGCTCTTTCCACTGAGAGTATACCGGAACAGGATAAAGCGCCACCGAATCTTCAAGGCGGCGGGGAGAGCTCCTCACCTCTGTCGGCAAAAGCAGGTGGGAAAATGAACACCAGCAGTTCTGCTCCGCCAAACTCAATATCAAGCCCCAACAAGGAAAATAACAGTTCGTCGTCATCTCCAGCCGCGGCACCTAGCTCCGCCGAAGAGGTGTTTCAAATCAACGTGACCTCCGAAGACGCGGACAATATGCCGGAACTGATTGGCATCCTCCTCGAAGACGCCATCACCTGCCTGCCCAAGCAAATCCGCGCCACCGCGAGTGGCGCCGAGCTGCTGCAGAAGATCCGGGCGTCCGTGTGGAAAAATCTCCCGTTTGACCTGGTCTCGCAGCCACCGTATTTGAAACTGCGGTACCGAAACATGGACAGTGACGATGATGACCATTTCGACAGCGGCTCCATGCGCCCGACAAATCTCTTTCACGTGGCCTGTTCGCTCGGGGAGCTGCAGGCGGTCTTGGAGATGCTGCTGGAGTTGTTCGAGGAACTGAAGCTGGACGGGACGACACTGGAGAACTGCGTGAAAGAATTGTGTTCAAACGCGTTTGTAGAACAAACGGAAAGCATAAAAAGCAGTGAAGAAACAAGAAGGAAAGAAACAACTTCTGGAGTTGATGAGGACTTTGAAGAGCTGCAGGGAGCAGGCGGTGCTGAAGACGATATCGATGGTTTTATGCCCACAAATGAGACCAGCGACGGCACGACCTCCGACGCGGCGTTGCAACAGCACTTGCTAGCTTCCGCGGTAATTACGGGACGAGTAGGAGCAACAGCCACTTATAATCCTCTATCCAGTGCCGAATCGGGCACCGCGACAGACGCGGACACCGTGCTGTCCAGGAGGGAACTACAGGCCGAGGGCCACTATTACAGTTCCACCATGGGCGAGACAACCACGCAGTCCGAAGCAGAGCAGCCGCTTGGAGGGGCGGCTGTTAAAGTACTAGGCGAGGAAGATGGTGCACAACGTTCGCAAACGACCCTAAATAAAGATCAGGAAGAAACTAACGACTCTACAAAAGGAGCAAAGCTTGACAAGGAAGTACTAGATGCAAATCCGGCCACTACGACTTCCACTGCACCGCCGAACAAGGGCCGGGGCCGCCGAAACAACCGCCGGGGCTCGTGGAAGAAACGGCAAAAAGAAAAGGAAAAAGAGAAGAAATCGAAGGAGGAGAGCCGGTGGCAAACGTTGAGTTGCGGCAAAGAGCGGCAAAATATCACGGTGACAGACTTGGACCTCGTGCTCGGACTGTTTTTTTCCAGCGCAAGTGACCAGCTCGGGGTAAGGAGGAGTTATATTTTTCTTAGTTGTAGCTAGGCTCTTTCTCTTGTACTACGCAAAAATGAATCGCTTGTGGATGGATTTAATGACGAGCGTGCGGTGCTTTCTTTCCATCTGTTTGATGACAGATGGTTCGAGTGTATTTCTATCGTCACGACTGGTCCTTCAAATATTGATATAAGTACCTCCCTAGAAAATCAAAACCACCACTACGTACAGGTCTTCCGCCTACTTCTCACCGCTATCAAGGAGCTCCTAAAGCACAAGAAACTCTTCGCGCCGCAGATCACCTTTTCGGACGTTTTGAACGCAACCATCATCGTGAAGCCGCAGGAGAGCAACGAAAACAAACAGCAGCACAAGCGCGGGCGCAATCGGATGAACAGGAGGGTGCAGCGCTTGGAAAGCTTGAAGCCTGTGGAATACATTTGGGTCAACGGGAAGATCCAAACGGTGGAACAGGAGCAGTGGCTGATGAACGAAAATATGAAAGAGCACAACAGCCCAGAGGGAACAGGCTCGAGTAGCAACTTCCACCCGCTGGCGCTGCTGAACCAAATCGTCAACGAGGAGGCGATTTGCTGTCTCAAGGAGCTCTTGGAATTCAGTCACAAGCAGACCCAGCAGAGTTCTTCTTCATCATCCGCCTTTCCCGAGCTCATTCTGGAAACGGATTTCCAAAATCTGATAACGCGGGACTTCGCCGCCGAGTACTACCGCAGCGGAATTCATACAAGTGCGGACGGCAGCCGGGCAAACACTGTCGGGTCTGCCGACACGCATTTGCTGCACTGGGTTCTAGAAAACGTGGACGAGTGGCGGTTGCTATCCCTGGTGAAGATCCTCGCACCTACCTACGCCCGGAAGTGCAGAATGGAGCAGCGGAAGTACAAAGCAGACCACCTTGGTTTAACACCATCGTCAAATAAGGCCAACACTTCATCTGTAGTCGCAAGAGGGCCTGGATCTGGATCTGCTTTCTCCACCGCGCCGCCCGCGGCAAAACTGGAGCAAGAAGAAGACAACTCCATACCATGGGTAGACATACACATATCTTCACGTCACGATCCTTCAGTGGCGAAGGAAAAACAAGCAGAGCAAGCGTCTGCATCTAGTTCCGCTGCGCAAGGAAATGATCAAGATGGAGCGGTTGCTAAAGATGCAACAGGAACAAACATTTCCGCTGCAGCTGCTGATGCAGTTCCAGCAGAACCTGCAAAGGACGAAACACTTCTTCCAACATCAAGTAACAACAGCGTGGTCAAGCCGCCCAGCCCGAATCCCGTCCTCAAAGATAACTCCGTGTGCAGCTCTTGCGGGAATCAGACTGCGAGTGCAATGGAGCTCGTCACCGAGACATTCCTCTACGATTTTAAGTATAACGCGATCTACTCCCTGTGCAATCGCGTGGACAATTTCCAGGACGCGGAAAAGGTCGTGCCGGTGTTGCGCTGCCTACACAAGAACGGGGTCAATCTGAAAGCGAAAAACAACATGATGACCCGGGAAACGGCCCTGCACAAGCTGGCGAAACGGTCGTGGGCGCGGGTGGAGGCCGGCGCGCGGATGGTGGAGGAACTCAGCCGGCTGGAACCCAGTCTTCTCAGCTGCAAAAACCTGCAGGGGTTGACGCCACTGCACCTGTGGGCGCAGCACACGAGCGGGCACTACGGGTCGAGTCACGCGAGCAGCAGCAGTTCTAGCTCCTCGTCCCGGGCGAAGATTTCCATCGAGGAGCGCGTTCTCCACGCACTCCTTCCGGCGGACAAGTTTGAGCTCTGCGAGCCGTGCGGCCACGACCAGCGCACCGTGCTGCACCGGTTGGCGACCCGGGGCCTCGCCTGGGGCGGGCGCAGCACGTGGACCGACGCGGACACGGGGGCGTCAACGTGGTCGTTGGCAGGGGTCACGGATTTCATCTTGTTAAGAGCCGGAAGGGAATGCGCGGTAAACCTGTTGAACGCGCGGGACTGCAAACAGCGCACGGCTTTGGTCTTGGCGTGCAAAAGAGGGCACGACGAAATCGTGCGGTACTTGCTGCCGCGGATGAACCTCCGCGGGTTGCAACTCGCGGATTTGCGAAAGAAAACCGCGTACTTGTACGCGGTGCGGAGTGTGGCGCCCAAGGAGGTGCTGTACGCGTTTGAGAAAAGGCTGGCGAACGAAAAACTGCCGCTCGGGTGCAAGGACAGAGAGACAAAGGTACTTACTACGTGGTACTTGATGGTTTTTGAAAATGTTTGCGAGTTCATTTCTCGCTTGATTTTGATATCTACGGTATGTGGCTTTGAATTGCACTCACGGTTGCAGCTTTAGTTACTGGCAAAGAACAAGCACACGGTCCTCGTCCATTTTCGAAAATACAAACTCGAACTCCACTCCAGGCCGAGCTTTCCGAAGTTCTTCGCCTAAACGACGAGGCAACAACAGCAGCAGCGTCGGAGGAGCAGCAAGACGTCCCCGGGGGTGTTGACGTATCAACTGTAAAAATGTCTGGGTCTGGAAGATTCTGACACTTGTCATGCACGTTTTGCATGAGCCATGATGTCTGTGATGCATCCCCTAGCCATACAGATTTTTTGAGGGCTTCTTGATGCCTATTCCGCATGACAAATGCCTTCTCAGCGTAGCAAAAACTGTATTCCCTTTGCTGCTCATGCAATACAGATTTTTTTGGAATCCAAATTCAGCATCACAAGTTCCAATCCTCCAGACCCAGAAATTTTTACAGTTGATACGACCTCTCCTTTCACGATTCGGACGGCGCGGCGTCCGATATTTCCGCCAACTTTATCCTGTGCAAAAGTATCGTACTCGTATAAATGCAAGTCTTGCATTACAAATATTTTTCTTAAGGTAAATCAGCATGACAAATTTTATTTGTCATGCTGAGAAAATTTGTAATGCATTTATACGAATACGATACATACTTTTGCAGTTCATAAACTTTTCTAGTTCGCAAAATTCCAGCGATGCAACGAGCGACGACGACGATGACGACGACGGGGATGACGACAGCGACTTTTCGGACGACAGCGATGATTCCTCGGGCGATGGGGGGGACTACGATGAAGGCTGGTAGATCAACTGGATTCGAAAATCAGAATTATTCCGCGGTGTTGTAGAGTATAGTGATGGGGAAGTTTTTGCGCATGGCGTCGAGGCTTCACGTCCAATCCAAAATCAAGTGTGCCTCTACTCCGGCGAGTCTTTCTCGAAGCCGCTTGATCTGCCCTAGTGGCGTATCATCTGAAACTGTGTTCAATCCAGAGGGGCGATTGCGAGCAGCGGAAAGAGTTTCTGCTTGGAAAAACGCCTGTCGACAGTGCCGCGCGTCTACATCTTCAACTTTGTCATCGAGGGAGACAAAGATGAGGGGGCGTTACGAGAAATTGAACATACGCGTACTAATCAAAATCATAATCATGTGATGCTCCACTATTACGACCATTCTTCGTTCGCCTTCGTGCAGGAAAATTGACGCTTGATATTTGTCGCATTTCGTTTTCGTATCTCGTTCGTGGGCAAAAGATTCGTCACAAAAGGACTAGCAATGAACATGAAGAAGTTTGCCTTTGCATGCGTACTATAATAACATCGTCAAGCAGTCGCGTCCATATCCATTGCAAGGAAGGACTCTGTATCTTGTTCGTTCATCATTGTTGCGTCCAAATCACCGACGTTCAAGAGACACGAAGGCTACAAATTTGTTTTCTCTGTAACTGCCGATGATAAGTAATTTCATTTGACCAAACAGGATTTGCGTATTTTTTTCCCGGGAAGACGAAGCGGAAAAACGATAAACCTCGACCAAAAAAAATCATCGTGACAAACAAGCCTGTGCCTTAGTGTACAAAAAGCCAATTCCAGAACATTTCTGTTTAGCACGTAGTACCAGTTGTGCCTACAAGCTTTGCTATTGCAGGGTTATCAAATAAGGCAAACTCCACAACAATGGCAAAGATCGCGAAGATCGGCACGGCAGCCGCCGTGATTCTCCCCCTGATGGGTGGGGAGGGAGGCGTTCTCGCCGCCAAGAAGAAAACGGCCGCTACGCACTTCTGGGTCGGCAGTGAATCCTCGCCGATTGGGCTGATGGAAGTGGACCGCGTGGACAAAAAATCCGAGGGAAAGAAGAAGGAAAACAAGACGGCCGAGGGAAAAAAGGAAAAGAAGAAGAAGGAAGAGGCGGCGGAAAAGAAGAAGGAAAAGAAGAAGTCTGCGGGAGAGCTATTATTATTGCCGAAGGACATTGCGACCCAGGTGGCTACAGATGCTAGCGAGGCAAAAGGAAACGTTCAGGCCGCAGCAGGAGCGGTGCAAGGAGCGGCGCAAAGTGCGGCAACCCGGATCCATAGCAGATGATGCGGGCAATCCGTTCGCACCATCTGCGCAACCTTGTGAATCTGAAAGCAAGAAAGCAGGCAAATAGCTTCGAGCGTATTCTCTTTGCTTCTTCGTCAAGTTCTCGCTTTCTTTTGTCTTCTCTTTCTTCTTCCCGAAAGAAAGCCCGATGTTGCAAAGATGGTTTATTTTTTACGTAGATGCTTATGCTTTGCGATGAGTATGTAAATGTATGTATGCTACGGAACCGGTAGTAAGAGTAACTCGCTCAACCTCAAACCCGCTGCACTGGGATCATTTTGAATGAATATTTTATTTCTACAGTTGCTCGTCAGAGATCGCCATACATGTTCCTAGTACAGTCTTCGTTGTTTTTCTCCTCAAGTAGTACTCCATCCAGACCGGGCACGAGCTGCCCTACCACTCATGAACCCCAACTGAACCATACCCATAAGTCACGTTAAAAAATTTTATGTTTTGCAAAAAACTAAAAATGTTTAGTTTTCGCAAATACGAAGAAATTTAAATTGAAATTCAAATTTTCCCTTGCGATGCCACCCCCTACTCGACATTCATTCTAAGTATCTGCTGCTACGTACAGCAGGAAAAATACCTAAAAATACATTTTTTCAAATCATTCCCAACCCCCCTCGACAAAAGTTTGTATGTTTCATCAACCTCTGTCGACACAAGGCACTGTTAACATACGTTGTGACAGATGATGATGGACGCGATTTTTCTTAACTTTTCCAACCTTATTTATCAAGGGGGATGACGATGAAGAACCAGGTTGGTGTTTTGGTTTTTACAAAATGGGAACATTTGTATTCCGTCCTGAGAGAATGAACGAGCGAAACCAAACCGCGCAGAGCGACATCAAAAACGAGCGAATAGGACGAGAGATTTCTCCAAAGAGAAGATATAGGTAATAAATCTTTGTTCCACTGTAATATACTCAGGTCCTGACTCCTTGCGTGACAAGTTTGCCAAAAAAAAGAGCGCCAATCTCACGTCAGCAGGTTTGCTAAAGTACATACCACTTAACGAAGGGATACCGCAGTTTTCTGCCCGTGTTCGCCCAATTCAACGTAATCTAGAAACAAAACCGATCGCTCCCCCGTAGAGCACCAATATGGGCTTCGCTCTGGACCCGTATATGCCGATCACGGCCGGCGTGGCGGTCGCCGTGTTGACGGGCCATTGCGCCCTGACCAAGATGATGCAGACGGTGATGTTTCGCCTGAAGCTCACTACCACCGCAACCCCGGAGGCGGAGCGCAACAAGGTCAAGGAGTCCACGTTTTTCAAGCGGGTTTGCTCCGCGCAGCTGAACGAGGCGGAGTACGCGCCGCTCTTCGTCGCCGGGTTGGGGTATTTGGCTTTGCAGAAATCCCCGTCCCCCACCGTCGCTACGCTCGCGGTGTTCGGGCAAATCTCCTACTACTGGGCCCGGGCCTTCTGCGGCAACTCTACCGAGGGCGGCATCGACCCGCCGCCCTACGTGCCGGGCGCGCTCGCGAGGTACTTCGCGCTCATGCTGATGGCCTGGGAAATGTACCTGGTGGCCGTGTAAGGTGAGGTGGAATAAAGTCTTGTACTTTTGAGGTCGAGCTACGATGATCTGGTATCGATTGGCTTGTGTCAAGCGACACAGTCTTAGACTTACTTTCCACACAGCATGAACACCCGTTTAGTTCTGATTAACGTCGTTTTACCCGTATGGGCAATTGAAGAAGAAAAATATTTGAATCTGATGCAGGTATCATCAATTATGATTATGAAAGAGAAAATTTGGTGGCCGCAATTTTTCAAAAAATTGTTGAACAGATGATAATGGAGTGGTTGTGTAAACAAATAAGACAGGCGGCACTAGGTCAGCTCAGTCTATAATTTCGATGAAAAATAGCCTTTGCGATCAACTAAGTTTTTTGCTTGTGGGCCATGAATTTTCATCGATTCACTCACGTCTCACTCTCGCAAGACCACTACACACGTGCTGGGCCAAGAAGATGCTCAGCTCGGAAGGCGAGCTGCACTCACTGGTAGAAGTCACTGTGTTTTTGTTTTTGGTTGGTCAACCCGCAAATCGCCTACGCTTCAGGCACTGACTTTTTCGTTTGTGGTACGTGCCATGGTAGAAAACCCTTTGTATCGTTTTCTTCTTTTCTGGTCGGAGGTTGTATTGGCCCTCGTTTCGTTCAGGCAAATCGTTTCCCTTGTGTATATATTTATACCCTGTTGTCGAATGTCTCTCGCTTGCGCTTTTTGCTCGTGGTCTGAACATGGCGCTTATGTTTTCCATGAATCGCACTAGGTGGTACTTAGTTTTTTCATACCCGCATGCTTTCTCCTTGACTGAATGCAGTCGCATTATCTCGTGCTTGGCGTCCCGCGAAAAGCAACACAAGATGTCATCAAGAAGGCCTACCGCGAGCTCGCGAAAAAGTACCACCCGGATCGCAACGCCGGGCACACGGCGGCCGGCCTTTTTCAGAAGGTTCAGGAGGCATACGACGTGTTGTCGGACGAAAAGAGGCGAAAGGAGTACGACCAGACAGCAGTAAGTTCGATAAATTTTTCGTAAGTTCCAAAAGCGATTGTATGATTTGCATCTGTTGAACCCGTAATCGTAAAAAAGGGCAGGTGATGAAAAAAAATCAGACCTAGTCTTTATTTATTAAAATCAGCCTGGCACCTCCAGCTCAAGCAGCTCTTCCTCCTCCAGCACTGACCCCACGAAGGGCCGCCCAGTCGAGGGCAGCTGGATGGACCCGAACGCCGCCAGAAACCGCAATCCGAATGTCGAACTGGCGAAGAAACTCCGGCTGAAAAAGGAATACTACGAGAAGCACGGCTCGGGCCGGTATGTCAACCCCGTGACAGGACAAACCTCGGACGAGCACCTCGCACAGTCCGGCTTCCTCTGGCGGTACACGTTTTACTGCCGCCAGATGCTCTTGGTCGTGCCCTTTTTCGTGTTACCGGTTTCGCTTCTGGGGTTTGTCTTCTGCACCTGCATCGACCATTCGATGACCGGGTTGACAAAGAAAAAGTCGGGGAAAAACCGCATCCTGTACGACGAACACGGGAAGGCGTACTGCAGAGACGCGCAGGGGGTCTATCGCAAATTGTCCTCGGCGCTAGATATCGCAGACTGAGAATATTGCGAAGGAAGAAGAAGAAAATTTTGGAGTGGATTCTTGAGCATCAACATGTGATCGATAGACACAACTGGATCTTGTCGACGAGGTCATGACCAGTATTTGGTGGTCCTCTCCCCCGGGGCCGTTGCTATGATTAGTGAGTTCAGTGAACCTTGCAATAGCAGTTACTGCATGAAAATTGTACTACGAACCCTCTGTCACTGTCGACTCGATTCTTTGTAAGTATCATTGTACTTTCTCGTGTGGAAAATGAAAAATTTTCGTTCTAACAACCGCACTTCCTTCTCTCGGTTTCTACGTCGCGTACTTCACTATTGATTCGTGGTCCGGATGTTTTAGTGAAACACTTTTAGATCATCGGTTCTCTTGATGTCGTTAAGATCGGTCCTTATTTACAAAAAACTTGGCAACGAAGTAAAAACGAATGTCGTCCGTCGGTTTTCGTGCGAAAACGAGCCGCGTGCTGTCTCAACACTTCGTCGGTCGTCATCGTCCTACTCCTTGTCGTTCAAGATTCATGCACACAGTATTAATCCTCTTCTTTTGTTGCAGCTGAGTAATGGACAAATGCAAAAACAAACAGTGTATGACACGAACCATGCTACGAAGATTTTTGACCCCACAAGTAAAGTAATTTTCCAAAAGACACCATTCGATACACCCGTACCGCTAGCATTTAAAGACGCAGCACTATTAAAGACCCAGCAGTAGCATTTAAAGACTAATGAATTTCCTCGACGTATACCTGTCAAAAATAATTATAAGTCTTTCATCTTTAAGAACTTTTCTACACTCAATCCTTTTACACTGGAAAATGAAAATGCGTAAGAACAAGCTGCAAGAGCTACGACGAAAACAACAACTCCGAGAAGTACCATTTTAAAAGCAGTTTATTTCTGAGGTTGCAGCACTTGCACTACACAAGAACGACCACCAGTACCAGTTTCGTCTTTACGTTACGAGTATCCAGCAGTGATCGAACGAAGAAGCAAGCAGGATGGTGAACTGGACGAGCTGGCTGCCTTCCCTGCCGAACCCGAGCGAGTACATTAGCAGCACGAGCGACAGCGAGGATCTGGACGGGCGGTGGCAGGCTCAAGAACAGCACCAGCACCTCCCAGAAGAGGATCTCCCTGGCGAGCTGGATTTCTATTCGACAAACCCAATCGTCGATACAAACTTCTTGGTGCAGAACCATCATCCATCAAATGGTCCTCCTCCTCGCGGGGCGGGACAAGGACAACCACTGCATCATCAGCTTCATCAAGGTCACCAAACTACCACGACCCAGCACGTCGTTCACCACGTGGTGTACCACCACCACCATTCGTCCGGTCCAGGAACAAGCAGCGGTGGATTATCATCTTCGCATGCGGTTGCTGGGCCCCCGCACGCGCCCCTCACCATGCGGGAGGCGATTCAGCAACAGCGGTTGCAGCGCCACCAGGAGGGGAGTGCCATGATGAGGATGATGAATCACAGTGATCACGACAATCTTCACGGAGAAGTAGATGCTGAAGTAGATCACGGAACATCAGCGTCGGTTACCTCGAGTGCGTTGTTGACAAGTAAAAACAATTTCGAAGATCATGCGTCCGATTACCTTCCCTCGGAGAGCGGCAACATTGATCCCTCGGAGGCCGGAGAGGAGGACCACGGGAGCAGCGTTGTCAACGAAAGCAACTTTGGTGATGAGGAATCCGCGTCGCACCAACCCTTTCAGGGCGTCACGGTCCAGAATGACCACACCCACTCCGACTACTCCGGCGAACCCACGACGTCAAATTCTGAAGAGCAACTGACCTCGTCGCAGTCGGAGGAATATGCAAGAAAAAAACTGTGTAAGTGTAACTCTGTAATGCAGAACATGCAACAGAGTTACACCTGTCATGCCAGACAACCATGACCCCCTCTTTTAATGTGTGTTTTCCCTTACAAGCCGCGCATGACAGGTTTTCTCTGTCATGTAGAGCAAATTTGTGATGCTGTTGCTGTCAACCAAAGAAGGTTACACTAACACAGTTTTTTTCTTGGATAAGGAGCAGGAGGAAAGCAGTACGACCTCGGACGAGCAGGCGGAGCTGCTCGGTCAGCAGCAGATGATGACCGGCGGAGCACTATCCTGAGTAAAAACGTACCCACACCAGAGTCAGGATGAGGATTTTGCAACACAAACCTAGGAGTTTTGTGAGTCACGCATGACAAGTTGCACTATGCAGTGTAGGGCAGGTTAGCAAGTGCAGCCGCATCACAGATTCACCTGCTCATCCTGTTCACAGCATCACAAATTCCAAAACGCGATTGGAAATGGCTCTCATGGGGGTGCGCGTTAAAAGTCTTTCTGTCTTTGCAAATCTGCATTACAACTCTGGCGTGGGTACGTTTTTACTCAGGATATGCACCAGGTGTCGTGGCAATCAAGATGCAGAAGATGGGCCAATCCCTGTTGCAGACCTTCCAAAAGAACAAATCGAGAAGCAAAAACATGCGAAACGAGGGGGAAGCACTCATTCCTGCTATTCCGACGAAGCACCTGAGAGAACCGCAAGAACCAGCGCAAGCGAAGAGTAAGAAGAAGAAAAGCAGAAGCTCCAGCACCGTGGTATCTACAACCCAGGAAATAGTACACAAGTCGGACGATAATTTGCGGCACTCGGGTCTCCTCGAGTACGTTGGCAGCCAGCTGGAAAAAGGTGCGACCGCGACGAAGAAGAACAAAAAGCAAGAGAATAAAACCGCAGGAACATCAATTGGGAGCGGTCGCGCTTCTTCCAGTACTGCAGGAGACGGCTTGAAGTCCGGCGCCGGGACCACAAGTGCGACGACTTCCAATAAGCGCCCGTCCGCGCGGGCGGCGAAAGAGGAGACGGGCTCGTTTTTAGACGATGTCTTAGCCTTCACCGGGTTTCGAGTGGAGGCGGTTGATACAAACAAGGACCACCCGGAGTGGGGGTTCGGGATCAATCGCGGAGAAACCGATAACAAGGTACACTTATATAAAAATGGCGGAAATTATCGAAACGCTGTTCATGCATGAATAAAATTTCATTTTCACATTCATTATGTTCGTGTCTCGTTTGTCATTCACGTTGTCTGTCTCTGTCATTCTGATTTGCGTCTTGTTCTGTGCGCGCCAACGAAAAAGACATGACTGCTCCACTGGTAGACTGAGACACACCAGCGCGACAATCAATCTAAACCACTAATCTCACAACAGCGCCTGTCGCAGATGCCGAACAAGATGTCGCCCAAAAAGAAAAAGAAGGCGAAAGCCAAGGCCGAGGTGGATCGCGGCGCTTATAGCTACCGGTCCTCGAGAGCTTCCAGCCAGCCGCTAAGTGAGATGAAGAAGAGCGACCTAGCAATGCCACTCCAGCAGAACGATGGAAGCGGAGAGGGAATGAACCAAACGGAAAGTAGCCATTTTGCCGACCAACAGAATGAACAATCTGAAGATGATGTTCCTTTCGCTCCCTTTCAGCCTTCGCAAAGCTCCATGCTGAGAGACCATTCCTCGTCGCAGCAGAGCCACGGGTCCATGCACGAAGGAACAAGTACGGCGTTTGGCTTTGGAGCTGCTCCGCAGCCGAAAGTAGCCACAAGTACAACTGCGGGCGCCTTCGGTGCAGCTCTTGTCAACAGCAACGCTGGCGGTGGTTCTGGTGCTCCATCCCCCAAGCGATCTTTCTTCACGGGTCGATCCGGTCCTGGCGGGTTCCAGACGGGTAACTTGACGAACAATAGCGCCACCGTCGGGAAGATTGATACAGGAGCCACTACGAACATGATGTCAGTGGAAGATACCCCGTTTGTTCTCCCAGCACAGTATACAAACCCCTCCCAGACACCAAATAGTACTCCGGCGACTAGGAGTAACAAGAATCCGGTACTAAGTAGCTCGAATGTCGTGCGTGGTGGCCTGACCAACAAGATGTTCGCTCACAACAACTACGCGGGGATGGACCAAGTTATTCCCGGCGCTGGTACAACCCACGCAAGCGATCGCTCAGGCATCAATAGTGTCGCTGGGAAACATCAAAAGGCACCGAATCTTCAAAAGCACATTAGTACACAGCAGCAGCAGCAGCCGTCTTCTTTCGCGGAAATTTTGTTGCAGGATGTCTACGGAGTGCCAGAGCTGCAGGATCTCCACGACGACGAGACCGATACAACCGTACTGGGGAACAAAAACACCATCACCATGCACCAAAACTTCAGGAAGACCCGGTATAAACCCGGCTCTTTGAACTACCGGATTTTTGGCCAGGCGAAACTGAAGCGCACGGGGTTTTGCCTGCTCGTGGTCATGTTCTTCATTTACGTGATTCCAGTGGTCTTTTTGCTCTTTATTCGCTTTTTTGGCCCGGAAGCATTGCGCGTACGGGTTTCGGCCGACTGAGAAGTGGCACAACTGCTCGAGTGGTGCTCAAATTCCAAAATAACCTACAGGAGCACTACTTCTGATCCTACTTTCGAACTTCGATTTTTCGCGTTCTTTTTTTTTGGGCCTCCCACCCACAGCAGCCGGAAGCGTTTTTTTTTTGAAAAGCGGTCCTTCTGTCCCCGCATTTTTCGTACCTCAGAGCTGTCTTTTACGCTTCAAGCATAAACTGTTTTCCGATATATTGAAGATTTTTACGCATAATTGACATCTGACATGAAGAAGGTTTGAGTGTAGATTAGTTTTTTGTACTACCAAGAATAAAGCCGTTTTATATTTGAAGAAAATTCAAGAACCCAATAGTCCCTGCTCCCAAATTATATCCGAAAAATTAGCCCCGACGAGGAAAAGTAAAACCCCCCCGCACGTTGGTGTTGATTCTAGGATACAGATGTAAAAAGTGTCACTGATTTTTTGCGAGTAGCTGACGAAAATGAACAGCACCCTCACGCTTGCAAGTACTTGTGCCGCCGCACAAGCTCAAGCACGGTAGTAGATCAATAGCCGCAGGGTGGTCCCAAATTACTTATTGCATCGCACCGAACCCGAAGTGGTCGCGCGCGCGGGAACAAGAAAAACCACACGAAAAAAGCTAACTCGCAACTAATCGGCAACCTTCAACAAGTAACATGCACAGAAACAGGTAGACTGTGCAGTGCTTTTGGCAACTGTGCTTGTGCATTGAAGAGCAAAACGCGCAGGTACATTGTCGACTGAAGTAACTGCTTTCGCACGACAAACTTCTTTCAACTCTACTTTGTGCCTGCGCTGGAACAACAATTATTCGATGCCAGTATGCCTACAAATACGGACGATTTTTGTTTATTTTTTGCACGTCGGTGCTTGTACTTTAGCTTTACCTTTTTATTTTTTTTCGATTTCGATTTTCCCCCCCCCCTCACGTGTTTTTTTAACTTTGTTGTTCGACTTTCTCTTTCGCTTCTTCTTGGACTCTTCTAGCCCGGATATATTTATTGTTCATGCCTTGCTCGTTTATTTCTATTTGACAAACTACAGAAAACGAAGCACTCGCTGTTTCTCTTTGATCTCTGACAGCTGCACCACATCGAATCTCAGAGAGGTAGTTTAGCCGCGCAAGAATGGCTTCTGTTGACCGCGGTTCGTTGCTGGCGTTATTGTGTTCAACGAACTGTCGAAAACATATAGAAAATCGGCTTCGGCACGGTACGCTCGAACATCCAAATCGTATCTATGTGAATCAACGAAGGTGTACACCATTCTATGGAAAAATCGTAAGTCTGACTTCGTAGGATTCGTGAAAGCATCACATCTGGCGAAGGTGAAGAAACAAAGATCATTCGTCGTAGCATTCTCGCTTATTTAAATTGTGGTAACTGCAAGCAATCGTCAAAGCAATCGTCTTCCTGGGTCAGTCGTGTCTAGGAAAAGTCCCACCATTGTGGTCCCTGAAAGGAAAACTTGTGAAGTAGCCGTTCGTTTTGAAGCACAGATGGGTTCGTTGTCATGCACCTGCTCAATGTCATTGACACAATGCTTGTGCCACTAATATATTATCGTCAAGAACTCTGGATCATTGTTTCGTCTTTTCCTTTTCTGAACAGCTTCTTTAACGAAGATTTTTTTCTTGCGTGCTCTTAAAAGTAAACGGGGACACAATCTACGAAGTTTGCTCCCCGGGAATTTTCCTTCTGAAAACGACTTCGATTTGTACAACTTATTGTAGAAAGCAGCAAGAATGAAGAAGCCCGGCCCACCCCCTGGCGGAGGCGGCAAGCCGATGATGATGATGATGCAACAAGGAAGTGCGAAAGGTAGCTCCAAAGGCTCTGTCTACGGTGCTGCAGGCGGTGCACCCGGGAAGACCAGTGTTTACTACGGCAAAGGCGCGAAACAAATGATGCAGCAGGTGCTGTCCCCGAGAACAACGGCCTTGCAGATGCAGCAACAACAAATGCAGCAACAGCAAATGCAGCAACAGCAGCAGCTGATGTCACCGAGGTCCACGGCAGCCATGCAAATGCAGCAACCCCCAAAAGTGTCGACAATGAGCGCCGGCGGAATGCAGCGAGGGACGGTAGCACCCTCGGAGGCGTACTATGGATCCGTGTACGGTGGAAATAGAGGGTCAGGCGCCGGATCAATGGGCAGCAGGGGTAAAGGATCTTCGCTGTCCCGTGACCAGCGGTTCTTCATCGGAGACGAAGAAGATGAGGAATACGAAAGTATCTATTTCAGTGTCATGTTTGTATTTTGTATGACGAATGCGATGAAATGCCAATACATCTAGAAATATTTAGACTTAGAGATGGAAAACAAACAAGATAGAAACTGATTATCCAAAAAACTACTTCAAATATCAGGCGACCTGTGGTGCTATGGGAAGACAGGGGCTTTTTGGAAAAAGTTGATCACCTTCTGGTGCATATGCTTTTTTCTCCTCCTGGCTTTCATCATCTGCATGGCCCACCCGATGATCGGCTGCCGAATCGGCGGATGCTGCGAAGCCGGGGAGTGCTGCGGCGCCACGCCGCCAGGGCAAGCGCCATGATTGAGGGAAGAAGATCGATCTTGTTTGTTGTTTTTTGTAGCCGAAAAAATTTGGCCCGTCAAGGGTTCGAAATCAAGTATTGAGTAGATATGATGTTGAACGGTTCCAATCTTCGATTTTTTGCAATTTTTACACCTATCACCTTTTGTTTGACTTGTTTAGCACACTTAGCATCATGATGAAATCACTGGTCTTTTCACAACTGTACGATAGCATTTACATTACACTTGTTTACGACTTTGTTGGATGAAAAATTTGTTGAGGAGAGGTTTATGCGTAACAAAACTTAAACTGTAACTTAAGTTGTGGTATAGGTATCGATTCGACTAATACCCAGCGACAGGAGCCGGCTACTCATCGGGAGAAGTTCCCCCGCCGTGCCCGCTTGCACAGTCTTGTACTTACATCGTATCGCCTGCAGGAGCGTTGTTTTGCGAAAAGGATTTTTGCGGTAGCGGTTGGCTAGCATGTAAAAATCCATTGTCTCGTCTTGTTTTTGCAAGAATCGTTGCACTACGTAATACACGAACGAACTACGTCGGGTCGTTGAAAAATAGCAACTGAGAGAAAAAAAAGAACATCGCGTGGTGAGGCTGAGGACTACTTTCTTCGTGCACACATGCCGGAAAATGAAAGGGAACACAACCATGTACCGAGAGAAGAGAAGTCCTACTAGCTATTTCTTGAAATAAGATCCATCGTGGCGCAGCACTACTAAGTCTAGGTAGCAGCTAGCGCCTGTTTGGTCGTCGTTGCTGAAAGTAACTGCCGGACTTTCTACACGAATTCACCTAGAATTTTTTTTTTGGGGGGGACCACAATACGGAGACGTAGCAGCAACAGGAACAAGGGAGCCAACGATTAGGGTCCTCTCTTGTGTTCTTCCCTGTTGCTGTTTATGTAACTACATAAAGAGGCTCTATACAACAACTACAATAATGGTATTCTCGGCGGATCCGCCGTTGTTCACGACGCCTCCTGGCCGGCCTACGTGTGGCAGTTGAGAGGTGAACCGGGACAAACTAGTTCGTCCCCATGTCGGGCCAGGGACCGCAGGAGTCCCACGTGGGTCCGAAGTTCACGCTCGGGAACGTCCCCGATGTGAATAAGTACCGCGACCGGCGAATCCACGACCAAGATGCGCCGAAGATCGTGGAGCTCGGCCAGGCATGGGCCCAGCTGGGGCCAAGGCCCATCATCAAGAGCTACTCCACCAGCACGTTCAAGAAGCCGACCAAGCTGCCCAGGTAGAATTTTTGTATTGGTCTTGGTTTGTGTCATGGACATGGAGCATAGCCAAATGTAAATGTTTTTTTGCGCTACGATCTATTACAAACTTGCTCCTGTCATGCGATTTTCTGTCAAGCTGCGCCGCAAGACTTGGTAATGCAAAGTGCAAATTCCAAAGCTTAACTAAAACAGGATATCAAAGAAGAAGATGGCTCGTGCAGAAACCGAGCCTCACGGGCTGCCTCCACCACCGCAAAAGCAGCCGCTTGCTGTGGAGGAGATCTCCAGCGACGATCTCATGGGCACGATTTTGCACCAAACAGAGGAGCTGGGCGACTTCACGGCAATACACGAACTCCTCCCCGAGGCGGCAACGAACGTAAATGTTCCGGTGAAGCTAAAAAAGTCCGACGACGTCGGCGGACTTGCGCCGAGCCAGCTCAACAAACCGCTGCCACCATATGGTGTGCTGGTACCTCCGAAACACTTGGAGGAGACCGCACCGGAGGCGGATTTGGTGCTGGGCGCGCGACTGGACGACATAGAGCACCACTTTGGCGACAGTCACGCAGGTGAAAGGCCAGGAAGAAAACCAAGGGCGCTGAGTCCAGGTATGGGTTGATTTGTTCTTGTTGGTGTCCACGCCTTCGATTGCATGACAGAACCTCGTCTTACGCATAGATGTTGTGCCTGGCACTCGAAATTTTTCGTGCAAAAAGATTATGAAGACAAAAATCATATCAGTGATGGTCGGCAGTAGTGCCGCCTCCTCGTCCAGCCTCGACCCAGACGACACTGTGGAGGGCCGGAAGCAGCGGCAGCGACAAGCGCTGCTCCGCGGATCGCAGCTGTTCCAAAACCCGGACGAGATCGACCTGCAGGCGCTTGCGTCCGACGAATTGGAGGCGTTCGACGTACCCGATCGCTTCGAGGACAAGACCGAGGCCGAGTGGATAGAAGAGTGCAGCGCGGAGCCCGACAGCATCCACGCCCACGTCCTGCATTTCGAGGACGGCGACTGGATCCTGAAGGAGTGCTGGGTGCGCGACTTCCGAGAAGGCCGGTACCTCTGTGAGCTGCTCGGCGGCGCGATAAAGTGGGTGAAGCGGCTTTGTCTGCGCTTTGTGCGAGAAAATCCGCGCAAGTGGGCGGACCGTATTAAGACGGCGAAAATGAAGAGGCAGCAGGCGATTCTGCAGCAGAAGTTGCTGCGGTACATCGACAGTATCTCTGGAGAATCCACCACGGAAATGGCAAGAACGACAAAAGAGAAGTTCGTGACGCAGGGGCTCTCTTTGCTCGAGCCGAAGCAGTTCCAGAAGGACCCCATGTCGCCCTACTACGTGGACACCACGGTCGAGGCACATTTGCTCGAAAACACGCCCGGCGCGAACGAGAAGTCACAGTACCTGCAGGGATACGTGCCGAAAATCCGGGACCTCATGTACGACGTGGAAGCGGTGTATTTGTGGAGCATGAAACTCTCCATCACGAAGCAGAACCTGATCGAGCGAAACGGCTTCCTCGACGCGTTTATCCCCGACGACCAGGAGTTTCAGCCGTTGTTGGTTCCTTTTCTCCCGCCCAACCAGCAGTTTGCGATGCTGGGGCGGGAAGAGTTGGCGGACCTGGAGAAGAAGAAGCAAATGGAGGCGGAGGTGACCGCAACGTCACCCGCATCGCCTTCGTTGCGCCGGGCCGCCCCCCGGCCCGAACTGGACATGATGGAGCGGAGAAAACAGCACGTGTACGACGCGTATACGTTGGCGTCGAGTCGGGAGGCGCTGATCTACTTCGGGCTGGTCGAGCCCATGCCGCAAGACTCTCTACACGTTAGCGCGCGCGTCCCGGTTCTCATGTCGCACATGCACGAGAAGCGGGAGCATTTAGTGCGGACGACGTTCGAGAAGTTCCGGCAAATCATGGATTTGTCCCTCCTAGACACAGAACGCGGGCAGAACCTGGCGATCCTGCAGATGGGCATGTCGAACGCGGATCCGAGCCGGACCGCGCAGAAGCTGAAACAGTTGAAGAAGCAGCAGCAGCAGAAGCTGCAGATCGGCACTTCCGCAGCTGCGTCCTCTTCGGCAAAGAAGCTCGATTACGTTTCTTTCGGCCGAAACAACAACTTCCCGGAGTTCATTTTCGGCTCCACCGGCGCGGACTTCTACCGGAATTACCAGCACCCGGCGCGGGACAAGGAGGCATTGGACTTCCTGCAAAGTCCGGTCGAGTTGGAGGATTTTTTGAAGCACATGACCACGCACCGCGCGAATGTGCAGAACATTTTGGCGCAGGACTGGCGGGATTTCATCGTGTCCGACGTGGTGGACCAGTGTGGGGACAGCTACAACTTTTTCACGGACAACCTGGAGAAGCACTTGGCTTCCGACTTCCACCCCTTTTTGCACAAGTTGGACCTGGTGTTGCACTCCCAGCTCCGGTATGGATTGCAAAAATGTCTGGGTCTGGAAAGAATGGGATTTGTAATGCTACCTGTCGACCACGATAGAAAAATCTGTATTGCATGAGCAGCAAAAGCTGCTTGAGTTTTTGCCACTCGGAGAGGGCATTTCTCATGCACAATAGGCATTGCCAAGGCTTTGCGAGAACTGTGATGCTACAGCATGCATCACAGGCATCTTGGGTCATGTACAATTGTGCATGACAAACTCCCCGAATCTTCCAGACCCAGACATTTTTGCATTTGATATGCAGGCGTTTTTTCAAATGTCCATGCAGCGGTGGGTGGAGTTCTTCCTGCTGTATAAGGACGTATCAAATGCAAAAGTGTCTGGGTCTGGAACAAAGCAACTTGTCATGCTAAATCTGAATCATGTAAAAATCTGTGTTGCATCATTACCAAAAGCTGTCCACTTTTGACCTAATCGAGAGGCAGTTTCTTATGCAGAATAGGCATGATAGAACTCTCACAGAATCTGTCATGCTATGTCCTGCATACCAGACCCCATGCGTCATGGAAAACCTGCATGACAAGGCTGGTACTCTTCCAGACCCAGACACTTTTGCAGTTCATAAGACGCGTCGTTGAACATCTTGCGCACGGGCGACCACTACATTCCGGACAACACCCCGGGGTCCGGCATGATCGAGCGTCGGCGCCGGCGGATCGAGGAGGCGAAGCGAAAGGCCGAGGAGGAGGAGAGGTTGCGCAGAGAAGCCGAGGAGGCCAGAATAGCGGCGGAACAAGCCGCTTTAGAGGCCGCCCGGAAAGCGGAGGAGGAGGGGAAACCCATCCCGAAAGCCGCGCCACCAGCACCCGCCGCGGCTGCTCCTGCGGCAACAACACCCGCCCCAGCGGCTCCTGCAGAAGGAGATGCGGCTGAGGGAGCGGGTGGAGACGGCGCAGAGGCCGCGCCGAACGCACAGGACGCAGACGAGGACAGTGCGGCGTTCGGCGACGAGTCCGTCGCGGTCTCCCCGATGCGGGTGCAACTGCTCGGCCAGAAGAAAAAACAGAAGGAAATCCCGTTTGAGTGCGTGGTGCCGCAGCCGAGCCCCATGCTGATCGTCCATTGCATGTTCGACGAGGAGAGCAAAAAGGTCGTGTTCAAGCCGAGTCTGGAGGAACTAGAAGAGGCCTTTTCCCAGTTGACCTACAGCTGCGCGGACACCGTGTCGGAAGTTATGGCGGTCGAGTTCGAGATGGTCAGTTGCTGCAACATGCCGGCGGTGAACTTGTTTCAGGTAACCAAGGACGCCCCGGTGATTGCGGACGCGGTCAAGGTCGTGTGCGAAGTGCTACACTTGCTCTACCAGGTGCCGGAGCGGGAGATTTTGCAAAAGTACGCGAAGTTCACCTATCTTTTCGACGAACCGGAAAAGCTACAGCTCCGGGATTGGGAAACGGTGCTGGACGAGCTGCAAAAACTGCAGCAGGCCCGGGACAAGATCGACGCGCTTTCCGGCGTGGTGGAGACCTTCCCTCTGTTCGAGGTCCACTGCTACGAAGTGTTGCAGGCATACCGGGAGCGGTTGGACTTCTTGCGCGACTCGATCCTCGAGTCGCTGCAGGAGGACGCGTATGCATTGCGAAAGTAGTATCGTACTCGTATAAATGCATTACAAATTTCCTCAGCATGAGAAATAAAGTTTGTGATGCGGATTTATCTTAAGAAAAGAATGCATTTTTGCCATACGAGTACGATACTTTTGCACAGGATAACGCGCGCCTCCAACTCGACGAGTTGGACGCGGACTGGAAGGTATCAAAAGTAAAAATGTCTGGGTCTGGAAGAATGCAACTTGTCGTGCTAAATCTGAATCATGTAAAAATCTGTGTTGCGTCATTACCAAAAGCTGTCCACTTTTGACCTAATCGAGAGGCAGCGTCTCATGCAGAATAGGCATGATAGAACTCTCACAGAATCTGTCATGCTATGTCCTACATACCAGACCTCATGGGTCATGGAAAACCTGCATGACAAGTCTTGCATTCATCCAGACCCAGACACTTTTGCATTTGATAGAAGGTGTGCAGAAGAAGATTAACCGAGCCGGTCGAAAACGAGGACCAAATGAAAGATCTGAAGAAATACCTTATCAAATGTAAAAATGTCTGGGTCTGGAAGATTGCCACTGCCAGACTTGTCATGCAGGTTTTCCATAACCCATGAGGTCTGGTATGTAGGAAACAGCATGACAGATTCTGCGAAACCTCTCCAATGCCTATCCTGCATGAGAAACTGCCTCTCGATTAGGTCAAAAGTGCACAAGTTTTGGCAATCACGCAACACAGTTTTTTGCCTGATTCAGATTTAGCATGACAAGTTGCATTCTTCCAGACCCAGACATTTTTACATTTGATATACCTACCAGCATTGCAAAAGAACGTGATCAACCCGCAGATCGCGAAACTCAAGCTGATCGGCGCACAGCTGGGGGTAAGTTGACATTTTGAAGAATCTTTTTCCATTATAAATTTTCGATGCATAAATACGTTCGGTACTTACTAGTGCTAGTGACGTGACGGTGACCTGCTGCGCCGGGCTAGCTGTTTGCAGCAAGCAATTCGAAAAAGGAATTATGCCCGCTTACACCATCAAACAGGTCCTAGAAGAGCTGAACTATAAGGAGATGGATTCAACCTTAATCGAGCGGCAACTGGACGCCAACCACTGGCCGCAGACCGTGCTGGTGGACCGCGAGAAGCGGTTGACCGACCTGACGAAGGAGCAGATGAAGTTCCAGCAGGTCTTGATGGCGGAAAAGGAACAGTACGCCAAGGACTTCGCCAAGTGGAAGGAAGATTTGATCTTTGTGAAAACGAAGATGGACACGTTCGCCAAGGCCAAGGAGTACGACAAGTTGGTCACGGGTTTGAAGGACGCGCTGACCGACGCAAAGCGCCGGTTGGACGACTTCCGGAAAAGGGAAACCCTGTTCAACATAGAATTGTCCGAAACCGAGCCGCTGGACGAGTTGTCCGAGGAATACGAGGACTACTACAAGTTGTGGAACATCGCCATCGACTTCACCTACAATTTAGAAGAGTGGGTGAACGGAAAGTTCACGACGCTGGAGGCGCCGGAGATCATCGCTAACTGCGAAACCTGGTACAAGACCGCGTACAAGATGACGAAGATGTTCGACCAGAGTCCGATCCAACTCCAGGTCGCGTCCGACTTGGTGGACGCTTTGAAGCAGTTCAACACGAAGTTGCCACTCATCGAGTCCTGCTGCCACCCGGCGTTCGAAGTGCGGCACTGGAACACGATCTTCTACGAGCACATGGACCTGGAGACGGAGACGCCCGAATTCGCGGACTACAGCTTCTTATCAAATGCAAATATGTCTGGATCTGGAAGGTCGGAAGACTTGTCATGCAGGTTTGCCATGACGCGTGAGGTCTATCATACATGACCCAGCATGACAGATTTTCCCCGACCTCTATCATGCCTCGTCTGCATGAGAAACCCCCTCTCAGCTTGGTCAAAAGTGGACAGCTTTTGGTAATCATGCAACACAGATTTTTGCACTATCCAGAATTAGCATGACAAGTTGCGTTCTTGCAGATGTTTATTTGCAATGCATACTTCTCCTTGAAGCAACTGGAGGAGATCGACATCATGAGCCACATATCCTGTGCAAAAGCATCGTACTCGTATTGTAATCATGCATTACAAATCCTGTTCTTGAGGCAAATTAGCATTACAGATTTTATTTCTCATGCTGAGGAAATTTGTAATGCATTTATACGAGTGCGATACTTTTGCACTGGATACCACATCGACATCATCCAGGAGGTGTCCGCGGGCGCGCAGAAGGAGTACTCGCTGCGGGTGACGCTGAAGGGCATGAAGAAGGAGTGGGAGCTATCCCGTGTAAAAACATCCCCACACCAGAGTCAAGATGGGAAATCTGCTAGACAAATCAACCAGCTTTGGTTGCTTCGCATGACAAATTTGGCCTCGTAGTGTAATCCTGTTTAGCTAGCTCCAGCAGCATCACAGATCTAGCACATCGTGCTGGTTTGAGCATCACAAGCTCCAAAACACGACGGGTAAATGCTTCGCATGGGGTCCGCATGAGAAACATTTTTGGCATGCAGATTTGCATGACTACTCTGGGGTGGGGACGTTTTTACACAGGATAGGAGCCCATGGTGTTCGAAACCGTCGCGTACAAGGAAACCGGGACGTACCTCATGCGTGGTCTGGACGACGTCCAAACTCTTCTCGACGACCACATCATGAAGACGCAGGCCGTCCGCGGGTCGCCGTTCTGCAAGCCGTTCGAGCGGGAGTGCCGGGACTGGGAGGCGAAATTGTTGTACATTCAGGACTCGCTGGACCAGATCCTGCAGTGCCAGAAGCAGTGGCTGTACCTGGAGCCGATCTTCGCGTCCGAGGACATCGTGCGGCAGATGCCGGCCGAAGCCTCGAAGTTCCGCCGGGTGGACGAGCGGTGGAGGGAGACGATGGCGATCATCTCCGAGAACCCGGGCGTGATTGAGTTCGCGGACATCGAAAATCTGTACCAGAACTTCGTCGAGGCCAACACGCGCCTGGACCAGATCACGAAGGGGTTGAACGATTATCTGGAAACGAAGCGGTTGTACTTCCCGCGGTTCTTCTTTCTGTCCAACGACGAATTGCTCTCGATTTTGTCCGAGACGAAGGACCCCACCAAGGTGCAGCCGCACATGAACAAGGCCTTCGAGGGAATCTCGAAGGTGCGGTTCAAAAACAACCAAATCATCACGGCCATGATTTCCGCCGAGGGCGAGGTCGTGGAGCTGCTGAAACCCGTGGATGTGGACAAGGGCGAAAACAAGGGCAACGTGGAAAAGTGGCTGCTGGAGGTCGAACACTCCATGTCGGGCACACTGTATCAAAATGAAAAATTCCCCCTCCCCATATCAAAACGGAAATCTGTGATGCGGGATTTGTGTACACAAATCGGATCTGTCTTGCAGTAGAGCACTGCGCGCAAATGCTAAGCCTGAACAGGGGTATTCTGGTGTAGGTGCTTAGCATGGCAGACGTCTGCCCCGTAGAACTTACAGCATCACACACCTCCCCTATAACGCGGCGGGCTCTCTGGATTTGCGTTCTTGCAAGACAGACAGGATTTGTGGCCACAAATCTGCATCGCAAAGTTTCGGAAGGCTGCGCTCGTGATATGGGGAGGGGAGATTTTTCCTTGCAATACGCTGCGCGACATCACCACGAAGTCGATCAAGGACTACAACGAGAAGCCGCGCACCGAGTGGGTGGGGAACTGGCCGGGGCAGGTGGTCATTTGCGTGGACATGATTGTCTGGTCGGACCGGGTCGGGAAGGCGCTGGAGGTGAAGAACATCCAGGGTGCCTACGACGAAATCAATTCCGAGCTGGAAGACGTGGTCGTGCTGGTCCGCGGAGAACTGCCGAAGTTGATGCGGCGGACCCTGGGCGCCATGACCACGATCGACGTGCACAACCGCGACGTGGTGGGCGACCTGGTGCAGAAGGGCATCGACGACCCGAACGCGTTCGACTGGATCGCGCAACTTCGGTACTACTGGCACCAGCCGAAGGAGGTGGTGATGAAACTGACCGGGAAGCCGAACGACACCGTGGAGTGCGCGGTGCGGATCATCAACTCGCTGCTCTATTACGCGTTTGAGTACCTGGGTAACTCCGACCGCCTGGTGATCACCGCCCTGACGGATCGCTGCTACCGCACCCTGATGGGCGCGTTCGACCTGTACTACGGGGGCGGTCCCGAGGGGCCGGCCGGAACCGGGAAGACGGAATCCGTGAAGGATTTGGCAAAGGCGTTGGCCATCCAGTTATGCATTGCAAATATGTCTGGGTCTGGAAGAATACAAACTTGTGATGCGCATTTCAGAACACAGAAAAATCTCTTATGTATGGGTAGCAAAAGCTGCCCACTTTCTGTCACCAAAATGGGGCATTTGTCATGCGGCTTCGGCATTGCGGAAGCTTCTCGAAACCTGTGATGCTAGAGCTTCCATGCCAGACCTTCTGTGTCATGCAAAAGCAGCATGATTCTTCCAGACCCAGACATTTTTGTATTTGATACCAGTGCGTGGTGTTCAACTGCTCGGACGGTCTGGATTTCCTGGCGATGGCGAAGTTCTTCAAGGGCTTAGCCGCCTCCGGTGCCTGGTGCTGCTTCGATGAGTTCAACCGAATCAACGCGGAGGTGTTGTCCGTGATTGCGCAGCAGGTGATGACGATTCAGTTGGCAATTATCGAGAAGAAGAAGCGGTTTCTGTTCGAGGGCACGGAACTGCAACTGATCCCGACCTGCGCGGTGAACATCACGATGAACCCGGGTTACGCCGGGCGCGTCGAGCTGCCGGACAACTTGAAGGCTTTGTTCCGCCCGGTGGCGATGATGGTGCCAGACTACGCGATGATCGGGGAAATCTTTCTCTACGGGTGCGGTTTCACGTACGCGAAAGATCTCGGGATCAAAGCCACGCAGGCGCTGCGTCTCTCCTCGGAACAGCTCTCCCCGCAGGCGCACTACGATTTCGGGATGCGCGGTCTGAAATCCCTTCTCGTGGCCTCGGGAAACATGAAGCGGAAGTACGGCGACAAGTTCCCGGAGTTCACCCTCGCACTGCGCGGCTTCCTCGATGTGAACTTGCCCAAATTCACGGCCGCGGACGTGCCCCTCTTCGACGGTATCGTCGGCGATCTGTTCCCCGGGGTCGAGCTCCCGCCCGCGGACACGGAAACGCTGGAGAAGGCGCTGACCGAGGCGTGTACGGAACTGGGGCTGCAGCCAACCAAATACTTCATCCTGAAAGCGATTCAACTTTTGGAAACTCTTTTGGTCCGTCACGGGTTGATGACGGTGGGACTGCCGCCGTGCGGAAAGACGAGCATCAACAACGCGCTGTCGATCATGCTGGAGAAGTTGCAGGACGGGGAGAACTTGAGGCCGGTGCAGAAGTACATTCTGAACCCAAAATCCATCCCGAAGGACAACCTGTACGGTTCCTTTGACGAGAACACGCACGAGTGGTCTGATGGAATTCTCGCGATCTCCGTCCGCCAGGCGTCCAGTGCGGACGAGGCGTTCCGGCATTGGGTGATTATGGACGGCCCGATTGACGCGATCTGGATCGAAGACATGAACACGGTGCTGGACGATAACAAGAAGCTGTGTCTCCTCTCTGGGGAAATCGTAAAGCTTTCCCCCTCGGTGAACATGATGTTCGAGGTGTCCGACCTGGCCGTCGCTTCGCCCGCGACCGTCTCCCGTTGTGGTATGGTTTTGATGGAGCCGGAGAACGTCTCCTGGCGACCGCTCGTGCAGAGCTGGTGCCAGCGCCTGCCGGAGCATCTGCAGCCGGTAAAAGACCAAATCTACAACATGTTCGACGCGCACCTAGACATGACCATCGACCTCGTGAAGCGCATGCACGTATTGTTGCCCGCGGAAACGAGCGCCATCGGGCTGCACGGGTGGATGGGCGTGCAGGTGTCCCGCATGATGGAGTCCCTCATGCACTGCCACGCGCCACCGCCCGGGGAGACGATTGACGGGAAGCCCACGAAGACGCTGGCCGGAAAGGAGCTCGAGGTTGGTGGATAGCTTTCATTTCTTCGACTTTTGTTTATCTACTTTGTCTTTCTGCCTTTCGACACAACTTGTCTTGAATTAATTTACTGTGGGTCGCACCTAATCTATGAATCAACACAGAAATATATCGTTTTCGACCTGAAAGAAAGTGCCTGGAGGAATCAGGGTCGAGTGAACAAGATGACCCTCCGAAGATATTAAAATGAATTTCATCAGACCCGCGTGGACATTCTCTTCTACTTCGCACTTCTCTGGACGGTCGGTGGTTGCATCGACGAGTCGAAGCGCAAGTTGTTTGACCAGTTTCTCCGAGAAATCATCACCGGGGGCGACGGTGGGTTCCTCACCCCGGAACAGCTCCGCGACAAGTACGACTTGCTCGAGACGAAGTGGCGACACGTGCCTTCCAAGCAAGCGCTCCCGGATCCGGAAAAAGGCAGCATCTACGACTTTTACATCGACGAGCAGCAGGGCAAATGGACGCCGTGGGTCAGTCTGATCAAACCCCACATGACGGCTATCCCGGAAAGTAACACGCTATTATGCTTTTGAATCAATTTGATGCAGCTGCCTTCGAGCGTTATTCTTATTCTATCTATCTTCTTCATTGGGAATGAAACGAGTAATAGGATTGCTGCGTGCAAAACAATCTAATATCCACGACAAAATAACCACACGACCACCACAGATGCCCAATTCCACAACGTGATCGTTCCGACCGGAGACACGATCCGCAACCAGTACCTGATGCAGATCTACTGCGCGAAGCAGGCCCACCAGGTGAACGTGTTGTTCTGCGGTATCACGGGAACCGGGAAAACCGTGGCCGTGAAGAATCAGTTGCTAACCGGGTTCGACGAGCAGGACTACACCAGCATGTCCTTTGCCTTTTCCGCCGCCACGACGAGCAAGCAAACGCAGGACATCATCGACGGCAAACTCGACAAGCGCCGCCGCGGCGTGTTCGGGCCGCCGGTGGGGAAAACCATGGTCATTTTCGTGGACGATTTGAACATGCCCACCAAGGAGGAGTACGGGGCGCAGCCGCCGCTGGAGCTGCTGCGGCAGTTCTTCTGCCAGCAGGGGTGGTATGACCGGAAGACAAACGAATTCCGGCAGCTGGAAGACCTGCTGTTCATCGGCGCGATGGGCCCGCCGGGCGGGGGCAAAAACACGATTCCGGCGCGCTACATGTGGCACTACAACCTGATCTACGTGACGCCGTACTCCGAGGAGGGGTTAAGCCGGATTTTCACGTCGATCCTGAAGTGGTTCTTTACGCCGTTTCCGTCCTCGATTTCCCAGGCGGTGCCCAACATCGTCAAGGGCAGCATCGACGTCTACGATTCGGCCGGGCTGATCCTGCGCCCGACCCCCACGAAATCGCACTACGCGTTCAACTTGCGTGATTTGTCGAAGATCTTCCAGGGCTTGACCCTCTGCACCAAACCGTCGCTGCCGGATTTGGACACCCTGGTGCGCTGCTGGGCGCACGAGTGCAGCCGGATTTTCGCGGATCGGCTTATCAACGACGAGGACAAAGCCGCGTTCGCAGATCTCCTGAAAGAGAAGATGGATGAGCATTTCAAGAAGAAGTGGACCGTGACGGTAAAGCTGGAGCCGCTGATTTTTGTGGACTTTATGAACAGCAAGGGGATCTACGAGGAAGTAACCAGCCACACGGATCTGATCGCCAAGGTCCAGGAGTTGCTGAACGACTTCAACGCGGTGGCAAAGCACCAGATGAACTTGGTTCTGTTCCTTAACTTTGTCAACCACGTCTCGAAAATTGTGCGTGTACTCCGCTTACCATTAGGCAACGCATTGTGCGTCGGGGTCGGCGGTAGCGGACGCAAGTCGGTGTCCACGCTCGCATCGGCCATTTGCGAATATGACATCTTCAGCATCGAAATCTCCAAGTCCTATGGGCAGCAAGACTGGCACGACGACTTGAAGCGACTACTGATGGTCGTCGGTGGGAAGCAGAAGCCAAACACCTTCCTGTTTTCCGACACCCAAGTTCAGAAGGAGAGCTTCTTGGAGGATATCTCCTCGGTATTTTTATTTTACTTAGAAAAAGCTTCTGCTGATGAAGATGCATGCGAATGCGATAGAGAACCCGGCCTGCGTAGTTCTTCGCGGGTTCGAGAGTATTTTGCTTTTGCTTTTTCCCTCCTCTGATGAAGATCGTTGTCAGGAGTAGACTGGTAGTGGCCTTCTTGGTCCTGAACCTGAAGATGCATGCGCAATATTACTTACATCATCATATGCACATATCATACACCTCTTCCCACTAAACAGATTCTGAACACGGGCGAGGTGCCAAATCTCTACAACATGGAGGACAAGTCGCAAATCCTGGACATGTGCGCTAAGGGCGCGCAGGCGGATGGAAAGATGGGCAACGCGGCGGTATTTGCCTGGTACGTCGACCAGTGCAAGAAATTCCTCCACATCACGCTGTGTATACATTTTTAATATTTTTGGTTTTTGACTGATTTTCTTTTCATGATAGATGATCTTCTACGTGCTACAGATCAAGATCTTCTAGTAGCATCTTCACTGATGTAAGTAAGTAATATCCTTGCGTAAGTAACATTAACAAAAATTGCCACTCGATCTTGTTTCCACTTCACATCGTCCTCCACCTCTCCGCAGGTCTTTCTCCCATCGGCTCCGCCTTCCGCATCCGACTGCGAAATTACCCCTCGTTAGTCAATTGCTGTACCATCGACTGGTTTCTCTCCTGGCCGGAGGACGCACTGCAATCCGTCGCAGAGCAATTCCTGAAGAAGGAGTTTACGGATGCAGATGGCAAGCTGGATGAGGTTACGTTCAACGGCATCGTGAAGACCTGCGTGAAGATGCAGGGTGGCGTTTATTCCTTGACGGAGCGATTCAGGAACGAGATTAGGCGGCACTACTACGTGACTCCGACCAGTTACCTGGAGCTTGTCAACTGGTATAATTATGATAATTTTCCTTCTTCTTTTTACCTTTTGTTGAAAAACGAAATCGCTGGTGACGGTGTGGCGCCGGTTGATCAAAAATCTCCGTTGCTTTCTAGCAGATTCTCTATGCTTTTTCTTTCTAAAACAGCTTCATGGCACTGCTCGGCAAGAAGAAGGGGGAGGTTTCCGCAGCAAAGTCCCGGTACGACATTGGTTTAGACAAGATCATGAGCACGGAAGTGATGGTAAACGACATGCAGAAGGAGTTGGAGGATCTGCAACCCGTGCTGGTAAAGATGACAAAGGAGAACCAGGAGCAGATGGTGGTCATCGAGAAATCTTCCAAGGAGGCCGCGGTTACGAAGGGTTTGATTGAAAACGAGGAGAAGGAAGCGAACAAAATCTCCGCGGAGGCCGAGACCATGGCCCGGGACTGCCAGAAGGACCTGGACGAGGCGCTGCCGGCGCTGCAAGCCGCGGTGTCTGCCTTGAACTCTTTGTCCAAAGGCGATATCGTCGAGGTGAAAGCCATGAAGTCGCCGCCACCGGGGGTGATCCTCACCTCCCAGGCGCTCTGCATCATGTTCGGTGTGGACCCGATCAAGGTGAAGGACCCGGCCGGAGGAAACAAAAAGGTGGACGACTTCTGGGAACCGGCAAAGAAGAAGTTGTACGGAGACACGAATTTGCTGAAGAGGCTCATCGAATATGACAAAGACAACATCCCGGAGTCGGTCATTGCGAAGGTGAAGCCGTTCGACTCAGATCCGAATTTCGACCCGGAAGCCGTGAAAAAATCGTCCGTCGCCGCAGCGGGGATCTGTAAGTGGGTGCGGGCCATGATCGTGTACGAGAGGGTGGCAAGAGAAGTCGGCCCGAAAAGAGAAGCGTTGGCCGCGTCCAACGCGAGGCTAAAGGTAATTAAAGAAGCTTCTTTTCCACGACCTTCTTACCACTTTATAAGCCTGGTGTATTAATTGTGGAAGGAAAAGAATACAGATTTAATGATGCTTTTAGAGATGCAGGCGAAAACCAGTCTATCTTGTTCCTCACAAAAAAAACTCCCAGGCTGCACAAGACCAGCTGGCAGTAAAAAAAGCCGAGCTGAAGGAGGTGCTGGACAAGCTGCAAGCGCTGGAGGACGGTCTGAACGCCAGCAAGAAGAAGTCCGCCGAGCTGGCGCAGCAGGTGCAGGACTGCAAGACTCGACTGGCCCGGGCGGAAAAGCTGATCTCCGGTCTGGGTGGCGAGAAGGGCAGGTGGCAGACCTCCAGCGCCAAACTGGGGGAGGCGTTCGTAAATCTGGCGGGGGACATCTTGATTTCCTCCGGAATAATCGCGTACTTGGGGGTGTTCACGATGGCGTTACGACAGGAAGAGATCCACTCCTGGATCGCCACGCTGACGGAGCAGGGCATCCCCTGCACGAAGGACTTCAAATTGCCGGAGATCATCGGCGAGGCAATCAAAGTGAGGCAGTGGGTCATCGACAAACTGCCGAATGACGCCCTGTCCATCGATAACGCCATCATGAAGGAGAACTCCGCACGTATTACAATGAAAAATGCCCCCTCCCCATATCAAAACGGAAATTTGTGATGCAGATTTGTGGCCACAAATCAGCTTTGTGATGCTAGAGGGCAAAAGATGCGGACTGTAGTGCTGTCTAGCGTGGGAAAGCCTTGCAGCTCCAGGATGACAGGAGGCAACTGGAAGTGGGGAACAGCATTACAGATTACCCGCAATTTAGGCCGCAGCTTCGTCTCTTGGCCTTCTAGCAATACAAGTCGATTTGTGTACTCAGTCAAATACAGCATCACAAATTCGCGCATCTTCCCGTTCCGATATGGGGTGGGGGCTTTTTTCACTTTGATAGCACGGTGGCCGCTGATGATTGATCCGCAGTTGCAGGCCAACAAGTGGATCCGAACCACCTTCGGGGAGGAGCTGAAGGTGCTGCGGTTAACCCGGTCGGACTACGCGAGGCACCTGGAAACGTGCATCCAGTTCGGGAAACCAGTGCTGATCGAAAACATCGGGGAAACGCTGGATCCCATGCTGCAGCCGCTGCTCGAACGGGCGATCTTCAAGGCCGGAAGTTTGTCCATGATCCGCTTGGGCGATAACACGATCGAATACAACAACAAATTCAAGCTCTTCCTGACTTCCAAACTTCTATCAAATGTAAAAATGTCTGGGTCTGGAAGATTCTGAGACTTGTCATGCATGTTTTGCATGATCCAGGACGTTTATAGTGCACGCCCCAGCATCACAGACTTTTAGAGGGCTTCCTGATGCCTACTCCGCATGACAAACGCCCTCCTCGCGTAAGTAGCACAAACTAGATTCCTCTTGCTGGTCATGCAATACAGAGGTTCTTAGAGTCCGCAGTTAGCATCACAAGTTCCAACCTTCCAGACCCAGACATTTTCACATTTGATAACCGCCGAACCCGCACTACGCACCGGAGATCTGCGTAACGGTGATCATTTTGAACTTCGTCACGACCGTGGAGGGGCTCACGGACGCGCTGCTGGCGATTCTGGTACAACTTAATAGAGTGCTTCATTTTTGTGATGTGCTGTTGTATTTCTGCATCTGCTCGAAGAAGTTCGCAGGACTGACCGATTTTTCCATCTTCGAGATTGTCACAATTTTGGAGCTTCTTGACATGATGAAGCGGGATGATATTCAAAAAATTTGCGTCGATTTATCTCCGCCCGCCCCTCCAGGTTGCGAAAGAGTCCCCGGACGTGGAGCGCAAGCGCGTGGAGCTTGTGGTGGAATCCGCAAACTCGGCCGCGCAGCTGAAGGAGATTGAGGACCGCATTCTCTACCTGCTTTCCGCGTCCACGGGGAACATTCTGGATGACGAGGAGCTGATCACCACCTTGGCAAATTCCAAGGTGGCCTCCGTCCGCATCGAGGAGCGGGTGGTGGTGCAGGAGCGAACGGCGAAGGAGATCGCGGAGGTCCGGTTGTTTAACGAGCCGGTTGCCGCCAGGTCCGCGGCACTCTTCTTTGTGGTCTCCGATTTAGCGAACATCGAGTCCAACTACCAGTACTCCCTGGAGTGGTTTGTCTATCCAAGAAAAAAACGTTGTTAGTGTAAATTTGTGATGCGCAGCATGCAAATTGATTGAGCCTGTCATGCTGTGCCTGCATTGTAGGGTCCAGTCAATGGCGTTTTCCCTTACTATCTGCGCATGACAGGTTTTTGCTGTCATGCGAGAGATATTTGTCATGCTAATCCTCCAACAAAGTTACACCTACAATGTTTTTTTCTTGGATATTGTCGGTATCTTTCTGGACAGTATCGACGCCGCGGACAAAGCGAGGGGGGCGCAGCGGCTGGACGCGCTGAACCGGTCGTTTTTGTTCAAGCTCTACGTGAACATCTGCCGGTCGCTGTTCGAGAAGGACAAACTGCTCTTCTCCTTCCTCACGGTGGTGAAAATGCTGGAGTTCGACAAGGAACTGAACCGACGAGAGCTGAATCTCCTGCTGCAGGGCGGCGGTGGCGGCGGGGCGCTGCGGAAGCCGAAGCCGGAAGCGGCAACCTGGCTGACGGACGTGTCCTGGTCCAAAATTTTGGAACTCGACAAGCTGGGCGACGACGAGGGCGGGGACGGCGGAATCGCGCTGTTCAAGGACTGGTCAGACCGGTTCGCGAAGAACATCGGGCAGTGGAGCGTGGTGTTTGAGTCCGAAATCCCGCAGGAGGCCGAGTGGCCGGAGAACCTGAACGCCGACAGGTACGGCAACACGGACGACACGACTGCGCTGGAACAGGCTCTGATCCTGCTGGCTTTTCGTCCGGACGGGCTGGTGACCAGCATTCAGGACATCATCATGGAAAAGCTGGGCAAGCACTACCTGGAGCCGCCCCCCTTCGACCTGATGGTCAGCTACCAGGAGTCCAAACCGCACGTGCCTTTGATTTTCGTGCTCACCGTGGGTGCGGACCCCATGACGGCGCTGCTGAAGCTCGCCGAGGCGCTGGGCATGCAGGACCGCATGTTCCTGCTGTCGCTCGGCCAGGGCCAGGGCCCGAAGGCGGACGCGGCCATCTCGGATTCCGTCAAGAACGGAAGCTGGGTCGTGCTGCAGAACTGCCACCTGGCGGAAAGTTACATGGGTACCCTGGAGGCAACGTGCGAAAATTTTAACCCGACGGAAATTCACCCGGAATTTAGGCTGTGGTTGACAGGTAGGAAGAACTTTTTCAGCACAAGCACAAGGAAGCTTGGTTGTTTATTTTGATCCAATATGTTGTTGTCGCACCGGCAGCCCTTACCCTTAGAGAAATTTTTTTTGAGCAACTTTTGATCCTAAGATTAGCAGCCTATCTTAATCCGCACCAACACTCTACAGGTATGCCCGCGGTGCACTTTCCGGTGTCCATTCTGCAAAACGGTGTGAAAATGACAGTAGAACCGCCGAAAGGGTTAAAGCAAAACTTGACGCGAGCCTACCTGGCCTTTGAGCCCGCGTGGCTGGAGGACTGCACAAAACCACACGCATTCAAGAAGATGCTATTCGGTATAGTTCATGTTTACGAGATACGAAAGTTGTAGGAGCCACTCTGGATGATGCAATGAATGCCGCTGATAGTCCGATAATTTGATAAGGAGCAACTGCAACAGACTACATCAAACAATAATCGTCAGATCGCAAAATAAACGCGAAATAAAAGTTTACGCAACTACTCTTCATACTTCCCCTAAAGGAAAAACGGGAATAAAGAAAATGCATTCTCAAACAAACGCGACCAGGTCTTGCCTTTTTCCACTCACTGATTTTGGAGAGGAGAAAGTTCGGTCCGCTCGGGTGGAACATCCCGTATGCCTTCTCCGATCCTGATCGTACGATTTCGTCGAATCAGTTGAAAATTTTCCTCGACAGCTACGAGGAAATTCAGTGGGACGCATTGAACTACCTGGTCGCGGAAGCGAACTACGGCGGTCGAGTTATCCCAGGGAAAAATGTACCCACCCAAAGAATACATTGTCAAGATGGGAGGTTTGGGAAAAACGCATGACAAGTCAAAGTTTGAGTGTCTGCAGTTGCGTAGTCCTGGGTAACTTGCATGCGGTAGCTTGTATGGCCGCATCACTAAGCCGCTTTACTTGTCTTGATTCAAGCATGGCAATTTCCGAAGCACCACGACAGAAAAACAAAAGAATGCCTCTCCTGGGAGTGTGCGGAAGATGAACCGCAGCATGGCCCTGGGCATTTGCTTTTGTAAAGTCTGCGGTGTAGGGTACGTTTTTCCACGGCATACGACTGACCGACGGACAGGACAGAAGAACTATCAAGTGCATCCTGTCCGACTACTATTGTCCGGACATTTTGCAGGAAGACTACAAGTTCTCCATAAGTGGCGTCTACTACTCGCCGCCGAGCAACCTGAACAAGGACCAAATCCTGGACTTCATCGGGAAGCTGCCCCTGCAGGAATACCCGGAAGCCTTCTGGCTGCACAACAACGCAGATCTGACAGCGAAGATCTCCGAAGGAATGGCGATCATCAAAACAGCTGTGAATCTCTTGCCAAGGGACACGGGCAGCAGCGGAAAGTCGTCGGATGAGGTACATACAACTCTTCTACTAAATGATGGCGTTGGTGGTGGTACTTCAATATGCCGGCGCGGAAATAACACGCCGAGTTATCTGCACTGATGCTCGAAAAAAAGCATACTGACAAAGCGTTCACTTTGGGACAGCATCTACTACTTAATCAGGACAAGCCGGAATGCGGATTTAGTTCTCTACTCGTGAATGATCTTGATTGCGGATGAAATATTGTTTTGCAAAGCACGACCCAATCCTGATATCCAACAAAACAGATCTGGAACGAAAAATGCGACGAGATTCTGGCGATCCTTCCGAAGAAGCCGTACGACATTGAGGCGGTGCAACTAAAATACCCCGTAGATTACAACGAGTCCCTGAATACGGTGCTGCCGCAGGAGTGCGCGCGCTTCAACAAATTGCTCGGGAAGGTGAAGGACACCCTCGTAAACCTGAAACGCGCAGTCAAGGGCGAGGTCGTGATGACCCCGGAGCTGGATTTGGTCGGAGAGGCCTTATTCACTGCAAAAATGTCTGGGTCTGCAAGAGTGGAACTTGTAATGTTGTCTGCGGTTTCTAAAAATATCTGTGTTGCATGAACAGCAAGAAGAGTCCAGTTCTTGGCACGCGGAGAGGGCATTTCTCATGCGTGATAAGCATCAAGAAGCTCTCAAAAAACGTGTCATGCTAGGACCTGCCTCAGTGCCCCTTTTTGGTGTTGACGACATGTCTGGATGCTGGATGCCCTATGTTTACCCCTATCGTGGCCGTTCTGGTGCGCCTTCTCATGTGAGGTCGTTGACATGGCTTGGTGGGAAATTCCCGTTGCGCGAGGCTCTTGCCTTGCCCTCTGTCTTCGCCCCCAGCGGTGTTGAGATAGTAGAAGCGTCTGTTGTGGCCGTCGGAGCTTGCTCCGGGTCTTGTGGCTCCTCTCGTCCTCGGTGGAGTACCTGAGTGGCTTTTGCTGCTGCCTCCGTTGACTTTTGGCTGCTGCTTGACTGGCGGTTGGGAACACATCAGGCGTCTTTGTGCTGTTGCTTCTGCCGCGTGGTCCCCAGTGTTCCCCGGGTCCGGAACTCTGGGTTACCTTGGTCGAGTTGGTGTCACTGTCGGTTCACCTATGTCCCTGCCTTTCCGTTCTTGCCACTGGGAACAGTCTGTGCGTTTCTTTCGTCAGCGGCTTCTAGGCGCTGAAGCTCGTTGACGATTGTTTCGGGAGGTTCCTAACGGCCCCTGAGGACATTGCCTCGTTGCCGACCAGGCCGAACTTAGAGGTCGGCTTCGGGAAGGCTTCCCGGAGTTGAGTCTGCTTCGGCAGGTCTCTTGTGGATGCGAGGGCAGTGGTTGGCTGAGGTTGTTGGAGTGTTCCATAGTGTCACTCCTGATCATTTCTGATCCTTATCCAACTTCCTCATTTCCTGTGTGGTCTAATGCAGATTGCAGATCACAACACAGGGCCACCCTCGTATCTCACCTCCAGGGGGGGCGCGCGGACCTCGCTTGCCATCTTGTTTAGTCTCGCGAAAGTTCCAGCCTCCCCGAGTGGGAGTGGGGGATAGTAAAGTGCAAAATGTGCATCACAAACCTCGACGCTTCCAGACCGAGACATATTTGCATTTGATAGGCCTTCCTAGCAAACAAGGTCCCGGAGCCCTGGCTAAAGGTGAGCTTTCCGTCGTTGAAGCCACTGGGGTCCTACGTGCCGGACTTCATGAAGAGGCTGGCGCAGTTTGACGACTGGATCGCCAACGGACCGCCAAAACTGTTCTGGCTCACCGGCTTCTTCTTCGTGCAGGCGATGTTCACAGGTACTAAGCGCATGGTTTTAATCTAATAACTATAAGGGCAAGATATGTCTTTGTTCCTCCCAAAGCTTCTGAAGCTTTGACCTTCTGAAGAGCTTCTGAAGATAAAAATTTGTTTTTCAACCTTCAGAAGGTCAAAAAAACTGGCCGGCTATTTTTCATTGTAGAAAACGCAGAATTGGCTCGCGCAAACGAAATTGTGGCCCATTTTTTGCAACCTTCAGAAGGTTCAGTCTTCTGAAGGTTTTTTTTGACCTTCTGAAGAATTTTTTCGATTTTTTGACGAAAAAACCTTCAGAAGACGAAAAAGTGACCTGTTTGGAACCTTCAGAAGGTAGGCACTCTTCTGAAGGTCGGCCATTTTTGATGACGTCGCAAACCTTCAGAAGACTGCCAAGTTTTACATTCAAAAAATGGACAAAAATCGAGACACTCACAGAAAACCTTCAGAAGACTGAAATATCTTCTGAAGGTTTTTCGAAAATTGTCTCGCTTGTCAAAAAATGTAAAAATTGAAAGTGGCACACCTTCAGAAGATTGGCTGTTTGTCAACCTTCTGAAGGTGAACCTTCTGGAGACTCTCCAGAAGGTGCGCGAAAACTTCAGAAGAATCCCCAAAGACTTCAGAAGACTCTTCAGATAACTCTTCAGAAGACTCTTCAGAAGACCTTCAGAAGACTCTTCAGAAGACTCTTCAGAAGCTTTATCTAATTTATTTCTTGCTTTTCGTTGCGCCGACGCCTATTTCTTCGAACGCAAACGCCAACAAACGGCATTGCTATTGCTCGATCAAACGAGTCCGCTGCTCCTTTTGCGTTCATATCGTGCCGACTCGTTCTTTTTGTTTTTTTTGTTTATCGCTCTATCAAAAAGAGCATCGCTGCGCCTGACAAGTGTCAAGAATTTGCATGATTTTGTTGTTACGGATTTGTGTCAGGCGGTGGACGGCGGAACGAAACGAAGGCGGTGCTCTTTTTTGCTTTGAAATTATGACAAATGCAAAACTATTCTCTCGCAGCTTCGAGTATAATATACTCGAAGCTGCCAGAGAAGGCGAGCAAGCGCGAACTGGGGAAGCGGAACATACGGAACATGCCGGCGCCTTCACCTTATCCAGTCCTCAACAACAAATACAAAAATACTTGACGCGCAAGCTTTCTTTTCTTTCATAACCCACGGGAAGAACAAATACAATGCTTGCCCCGCGACGCAGTCGCGGGGAGTGGTTCTTCTTCTTCTTCGTGCAGGCGATGTTCACAGGTACTAAGCGCATGGTTTTAATCTAATAACTATAAGGAGAAGGCTTGTCCAAATTGCTGCTGAACCTTCAGAAGCTTTTTCTTCTGAAGGTCTTCTGAAGGTCCAAAATCATCACTGGAACCTTCAGAAGAAATGGAAAAAAGCCTCTTTTTTTTGAGCGAGCATGCCATCGGTTTAACCATGAGCATTTTTTTCTTCTGAAGGTCACGCCTTCAGAAGGTTTTTTTTGACCTTCAGAAGAAAAAAAAGGAAAATGAGCAAAAAAACCTTCAGAAGGTGAAAAGTGGCCGTTTTGAAATCTTCTGAAGGTTGAAAGCCTTCAGAAGGTGACACTTTTTTGACCTTCAGAAGACTTTCCGACTTTTTAGACAAAAAAAGGCCGTGAAGTGTCGCAATTTTGGCCGACCTTCTGAAGGTTGAAAACCTTCAGAAGGTTTTTCAATTGTGTCTCCAAAGCGACAACTTTTTGCGTCCTTTTTTCCGCATTCTTCAGAAGCTTTGACCTTCTGAAGACCATCTTCTGTAGAATCTTCTGAAGACCGAAAAGCTTCTGAAGGCTTTGCAGAAAATACGCAAGACGCACGAAAATGCTCAAAAGCTTTTCTGATGCGCGTTGCTTTGTTGGGCGTTTTAAAAGCATTGCTCGCGCCGCTTATTTCGAAAGTGCCACCGGCGCGCGCACGCATTTCGAAAGTGCCCACAGGCACGACTGAGTACGCGCCTTACTTTCTTGTGCGATGAAAGAGCGCTGCTTGTGCTAGAGGATATTTTCACAGGCCGCGCTTTGGAGTTATTTTTCAGCTGCTCGCTCTGCTATTGTGCTTTTTCTCAGACTCCCCTTTGGGATTTTACTTATGCATCAAAAAAAAGCCGACGGCGCCTGCGGTTCCATTCTGTGTCGAGGCCGGTGCTGCTTTTTGCCTCTGAAAAGCAGTGTCTTCGGCCGCGGTGAATGCCCTGCCCTGGAGCCGTCGGCTTTTTTTATCTTTCTTGCTTCTTCTTCGTGCAGGCGATGTTCACAGGTAAGCGCATGGTTTTGATTGAAGGACTATAAGGGAAAAAATCACCACAACCTTCAGAAGAAAATTCTTCAGAAGAACCTGCAGAAGATTCAAAAAACCTTCAGAAGGTTCAAAAAGGGGCACTTTCGAAAAAAGAGAAAATTGAAACGGGAACAGGTCCTGTTTGAGAAAAAATACTTTTTTTTTCAGACCTTCAGAAGGTTTTGTTGAGTTTTGACCTTCCTGAAGGTTTTTGTAACCTTCAGAAGATTTTTGATGAACAAAATCTTCTGAAGGTTTTGGTCCAACTCATTTGTGACCTTCAAGAAGGTTTTGAGCTTCTGAAGGTAAAACTTTCAAAACCTTCTGAAGGCTGAACGAAAAAAATGACACTTTTTGACAAAAAATATGCAAAAAGTGGCGCATTATTTTTGGACCTTCAGCAGGTCAAAACACCTTCCTGAAGGTCTTCTGAAGGTTGAGACTCTTCTGAAGGTCCGAAAACCTTCTGAAGGTTTTCTGCAGCTTTTTTCTGAAGCTTGCAAACTCAAAAAGTGGTTTCTTCGACTAAAGCGCCCTGCTTTTTCGATAAAGCGATTGAGTTGACAATTGCCAACGGCCACTACACCTACAAAAAATTTCAAAAGCCAAGGGAAAGCCGGCCGCTGGCTTTCCTTTTCCGGGTCTGGCCCTTTGTTCGAAAAGAAGCTGAAGGCGGGGACTTTTGTAAGCAGCGAGCGAGGACCTGCTTGTCTTATTGCAGATCCGAAAACTTCTTGGCGGGCCCGCTTTCTGCCAGTTTTCTCTTGTTCTCAGAACACAAGAAAGCGGGGCACTTTTGCAAGCAACAAGAAAGGGGGCGCATTGGCTTTTTCTGGATCTGGCGCTCGCGGAAGAGCCCGAAGCTCGCCCCTCGTTGCTGTTTCCGCCCCGGGAAGAAGCCAAAGCTGCCCGATTTAGTAAGCAAAAAGCGAGGCGGCTTTGGCTTTTCGCTTCTTGCGGATCTGGTCCGTCCTCCGAGAAGAGGCCGGCGCCGGCCGCTTATGTAAGCAAAAAGGAAGAGGAGCGAGCGCCCTCGCTTGGCTTCTTCCGGACCTGGCCCCCCGAAAAGTTGCCAAGGCTTTGTGGTTTTGTACAGCAGGAGGCGTCTCGGCCTTTTTCCTTAGCTTTTTTCTTCTTCGTGCAGGCGATGTTCACAGGTATTTAAAAGCGTGTGTGGTTACTTACAACGCAAGTACTTTATTGTTTGTGCAGTTTACTAAATACTATGTGAGAGGCTTTGGCACATTGACATTGGATCTGGATGTAAATGCAGTACTAGAAGATGACAGTTCCAGGACAGGTACATTTTGTTTTACTCGTAAGGAACGGATGGTGAGGGAGAATCAGAATGAGTTCCGTAATGCATGAATCATGCTGAAAAAAATTATACACAATGACCAGGTCTACTCCAAAACTTCGCGAGGAAAACGAAATACCCCATCGATAAATGCATGTGGAACTTCTACGTGCAAAAACGAGCTTTTGAGGTTACCGCGAGGCCGAGCCAAGGATGCTACGGCAACGGGTTGATTATGGAGGGCGCGAGGTGGGACGATGACCTAATGGCGATCAACGAAAGTTTGCCCAAGGTTCTGTATGACGATTTGCCAACAGTGTTGCTCGACCCGGTGCTCTCCGCCGAATCCAAAACGCCGAAACTCGTTTACCCGTGCCCGGCGTATAAGACGAGCGCAAGGCGCGGTGTGCTTTCGACAACCGGTCACTCGACGAACTTTATCATGACGCTCATGCTGCCGATTCAGGAGCAGCACACGGAGAAATTCTGGGTCAGAAGAGGAGTCGCGCTGCTTTCGCAGATGGACGACTAAGTGCAGCGGGCGAGATGACGTTTAGAAGCCTCAGGGTAATAAAGAAGGTCTGTCGCTGCAGGGGCACAGATTAGTTAAAGCGGTGCTTGATTTAGAGGAAACATCACAGAGGTTACTTTTATGAATTCGAGACAACATTACTAGCTTGACCTTAAAGATCGTCCTGTATTGCCTTTTCTTCGCTTCTACTCCACTAGGATCCATTTTCGGACCTGTGCGTGAAATGGTTTAGCTTGAAAATAAGTCAAACTAAAATTCTAATTATCACAGTAATACAATATAAACGACGCGCGGTCGAAAATCCGCAACGTCAAAATCAAATAAGTCTAAGTTTTCTATGATTTTCAAGCACCGAATGGGCCTTCTGGTCTCACTCGCAATTTTAAACGAGCCATGACCGATTCGGGCCGCGAAGGCAGAACTTTAAATGTCTTGCAAATTATACCGTGACGTCTTCTCTTCTTTACGCAATGAACATCAAATCATCCTTCTTTAGTCTTAAAATTTCCTTATTCTTTCTTTACCCTTATCCGACAGCTTTACGCAAAACATGATGTTGTTTTATCAGAATGCAACGGAAAGAAATAATCTTTCTCTTTGAGAATACAGCCGAGAGCAGTTTACCTTCAGACAAAAGTATAGGATTCAAGTGTCAACCGTTTGAAATTTTATCCCGATTTACAGTTCATTTTTCCAAATTTGGGCTAGAGTTGTTTTAGTATCCGTTTTAGCAGCGAGTCGTGAAGTGTCAGGATCGTAGCCGAATAGCGAAAAGCTATAGCAAAAGACGCAAGGTGCAGTCATTCGTGTTAAGCGCCGTCCGCAAAGAGAACTATATCGCTTAACCTGAAGCCGAACTACAGCGCATGTACACGAAGCGAAAAGAAATGGCATCATGCGACGCCGCGGTCATGTGAGGGGCACTTCAGGGGAGGATTTTCGCGCATGGTGTTCCCTTAAAATTTAGATGAAGATCGTTCACATGAGGCGGGGAGGATTTTCGCGCATGGTGTTCCCTGAAAATTTAAATCAAGATCGTTCACATGAGGTGTGCTCGCGTGGTCGGTTTGCACCCTCGCCGCCGGCGAAATTTAAAGAGACATTGTTTCTGTTTTTTGGATCTTTCATTTGGGGCGTAACTAAAGGTGGCTCGTCGCGCAGGACACTGCAGTTCGATTTTTGCGGTGCGTTTTTCCCCTGAAATAATACAAAAGTTTTTCTCTAGCAGCACAGTGCAGAGGGCCGTGGTCGTTTTCGAAAATGCGGTCGGCGTTGCTCGTCGCGGGGGCCACCGCGACGGGGCTCGTTTCTTCCGTTAGCGGCAATGACAAGATCGCGAAAGTGGTGACGATGCTGGAGGACAAAAAAACGGAAGTACAGGGCAACGTGGACGTCATGAAAACCCAGTGGGCGTCTTTCAAGACATGGTGCGACAGCACGTTTGCCAACACGCAGGAAGACATTGACAACTTCTCGACAGAGATAAAGCGACTGGATGCTGACATCGCGGGAAAGGAGCAACTGATAGTAAAATCACAAACGGCCATTGACACGGCCACGACAGAAGCGTTTAAGGACAAGAAGGACGTGGCAGGTATGAAGAATTGTGCGGTCCTTCTCTCATTTTTAAAGAAGGAGAATAAAAGCTGACATGCAGTTCTAGCAGTTCAGTTCTAAACAACTTTTTATACGCAGCTTTTATTGATGTCGTTGATCGTATCGATGGAACATCACAATGCATCTATCACACAAAGCTATGGAGAAAGTAAGGGAAGCAGAGAAGAGCGCCTTCGTCGCTGCAGAAACTGAGCTCAACGACAGCGTATGTTCGTGTGAAGACGATTTTTCTCCTCTCGTTCTCCGTTATACATTTAGGGATCATCGTCATGAACATGATCCCTTCGTGTGCAGCATTTACTTGTGGTTTTGCAACCTAAAGAGATTCGACACCTCACGAGAACTACGTCAAGAAAGATCCTTTCACACCAAGTGCATAGACTATCTACGCGTGCGAGAAAGCCCGCGAAACCCTCCAGGCCACGCCGGACGCCAGTCCCGTCGCGGCAGAGTCGCTGTTGCAGCTGGCCAGCAAAGTTCCCTTCGGCACCACGAAAAGCAGTCACAAGGAGATGATCATGAACCTGTTGGAAATGGCCCAGGCACCCGCCGCGGGCATTCCCACGCAGAAGGTGCAACAGCCGCAGGCCACGGAATACGCCATCACGCGCAACAAGGGCACCGACAAGGTGATTTCCCTGTTGGAGGAACTGCAGGACGAGTATCCATAAAAAAGATCCCTTTCCATCCAATGTGTCATGCAGAACGTGCCTAAAGCTAAAACGAATGGGGATGGTTTTTTTTCTGTGGATAACAAGTTCGAAGGCGAGCTGAAGGAACTCCAGTCCGCCGAGACCAAGAACATCCAAAGTTTTGAGATGCAATCAGCCGCGACAAAGGAACACTTGCGGATCCAGAAGGAGATCATCGCCGACGAGACCGCGGTCCGCACAAACAACGAAGCGGAGAAGGGAGAGCTGGAGCAGAGCCTGACTTCGAACAAAAACTCTTTGTCCGAATCGAAGAAGTACCTCAAGGAAACAAGCCAGGAGTGCACGCAGAAGGCCGCGGACTTCATTGCGGCGCAAAACAGCATGCAGGAGGAGATGACGGCGATCGACAAGGCCGTGGAGATCATGTCCGGCACCGCGGTCATACGCATTGCAAACACGTCTGGGACTGGATTGCGAAATTTTAAGGACGATGAGGAATTGTGATGCGTGAATGTGATTGGGCAGTTTTTTTTTGTCATGCTGATGTGAAACTCAGCAATGATTCCAAGCAAGAAATTTGTGATGCGTAGGTGCTGGACAAAAGAACACTGTGCCATGCATGACTCAGCAACACAAACTTGTTGCGTCTCTCCAGACCCAGATCGATATTTGCTTTTCATAGTTCACTACCGGCGGCAAGAATCTCGCTTCCGAAGCCTCCGCGCAAGTCTTTCTGCAGCTGGCAACCACGTCGAAGCACTTCAACAACGCTAAGATTGCGGCGTTTTTGAAATCTGCGTCCCTGAAGGAGAACAGCCGGCTGCTGATGCAGCTGGCGGCCATGTCGCAGGACGGGCCGTTTGACAAGGTGATATGACAGTGCACAACTCCCCCTCCCCCTTATTTGTATAGCATGAACGGCAATACAAGCATCATCAAGAGCGCCGGTTCTGCGTGACAAATTTACACCCGCTGGAGTGTAGTGCGATTTGGGCTACCAGGACTTGTGATGCAAACACTGCCAAGGGGAACCGACTGGGCTTGGGATTTTGCATGACAAATGAGGGCATGTTCGCAGTGCCTTGTGCACCCCTCGGACCCCGCACCCCCCCGGGCTTTAGCTGCGCAGTCTGTTAAGTATGACAAACGAGGGGTAGGGGGGGCTGTGCACTTCCATAGGTGAAGGGGTTGATCGAGAAGGAAATCAAGAAGCTGCAGGAAGTATGGATTGCAAAAATGTCGGGGTCTGGAAGATTGCAACTTGTAATGCTGTCTTTAGATCCCAAAAAAATCTGCATTGCATGATCAGCAACAGGACTCCAGTTTGTGTTACGCGGAGAGGGCATTTTTCATGCGGAATAGGCACTAGGAAGGCCTCTAAAAATCTGTGTTGCTAGATCATGCATTAGAGGCATCAATCATCATACAAAATATGCATGACAAGTTTACACTTTTCCAGACCCAGACATTTTTGCACTTGATAGGAGGAGGTGATGCAGCGGCAAACGGAGAAGAACTGGTGCGACAAGGAATATCCGAGAAGAAAATGTGTTAGTGTAACTTTCCTTGGCTGACAGCATCACAAATTTGCTCTACACAACAGAGACAACCTGTCATGCGTGGCTTGTAAGGGAAAACCCTCGACGTGAAGAGAGGACTTCATGGTTGTGCGGCATGACAGGTGTGCGTCTGTTGCATGTTCTGCATTACAGAGTGAGACTTACACAGTTTTTGTCTTGGACAAGGAACAGGCGGCGAACAACCGCAAGATCGAAAAGTTCACCACGGAGAAAGAGGACCAGACCACCGCCGTGGAGTCGCTCATATCAAAGGCAAATATGTCTGGGTCCTCTGGAAAGAATGGGACTTGTGATGCTAGCTGTCGATCACACAAAAATCTGTATTGCTATTCTTGCAAGAGAGGCAAAAGACACTCAGATTGTTGCCCCCCGGAGAGGGCATTTCTCATGCAGGATAGGCCTGAGCAAACGTTTGCGAAAGCTGTGATGCTAGAGCCTGCCTCACAGGCATCCATCGGGAGCCATGTCTATTGTCTATTGTACAATTTGCATGACAAACTCCCCAAACCTTCCAGACCCAGACATATTTGCAATGCATGCCTCACCGTCCGCGGCGAAACGCTGGAGGAAGAGATCGCGGAGCTGACCAAGTCTATCAAGGACAAGAAGAACGCCATGAACGAGGCGACGTCGATATTACAGTGAAAAATGCTTCCACCCCGGAATTTGAAAAAGTTTGTGTTTGTCATTGACAAAGTTTCCCAAGTCAAAGTTTTTTGTCTTGCATGAGGGGATGATTCCGGGCCTTTCTGATGCAGAATCTAGGTGCGCAAGGGGTCTTTTGCATCACAGACCCGGCTACTGTTGGGGTCTTATGCAATACAAATCTTTGCTATTCGCGATTGCAAACCTGTGATGCGGATAGATGCAAGCGGGTGAGTGTTTCATTTTGAAAGGTTTGCAATACAAATGCTCCCAAGTTCGGGGGTGGGGGCATTTTTCAGTGTAATAGTCGAACCGATTGGCGGAGAAGAAGGAGAACGAACGGATCATTTCCGAGTCCCGGGACGCAGAGGAGGCGGTCAAGAACGCCATCGCGGTTTTGACGGAGTACTACGGCGAGTCCGGCATCGGCGGCACTGCGCTGGTGCAGGAGGGCCAGAGCCCGAAGCCGGACTTTGCGGGCGGCGAGTACAGTTCCTCCGGGGAGGGCATTCTGGGCATGCTCACCACGATCGAGGCGGACTTTTCGACGACCGCCTCGGAAACGGAGGCGGAGGAGGGCTCCGCGCAGGAGGCATACGAGAAGTTCATGAAAGAAAGCAAGGTAGATGTGTTCGGAAATTTTTTTTTCACTGCAAGACAAACTTTTCTTTTTGTCCTCACATGCATGATAAACTCAAATTACATTACTTTCTGGTCGCATTGCAGTGCTGGGAAAACTTGTGACTGTAGTTTATGCTTTTACAAAACGCTGCTCGATTTTCACTTGCAATTAGACATTCATGCTTACATCATTTCACCAATTGCAGATCTTCCTCGCCGGCGCTGGCCCGGACCTCGAGAACAGCAAGTCGAAACTCGCCGAGACTAAACAGTCGCTTTTGGACGCACAGGACGCCGCGAAGGCCGCGACCGAGAACTTGGCCGCAGAGACGGAGTACAAGAACAAAACCATCGATCCAAAGTGCGTCAAAACCGGCGTTTCCGCGGAAGAGCGACAAGCCAAGCGTGACGCCGAAATCCAGAGTCTGAAAGAGGCCCTGCAAATTTTGAGTCAGACGGCGCCTTAGGAGGGTGTGGACATTTTACTAAAACACGACGCGGTGAAGATAGTTGTAATGAAGTCCTCCGGCGTCTGATTCCATGTTATTATCGCGAAAGTGCAGCTCTAGAGGCTACAACTTTTCGGGTTGCGACGACGAGCGTTTCACATCGTTTCTGTCCAATACAAACCATCGCGTGGTAAAGTACTGCACACCGAATCTTTTCTAAATACTTCGCAACTTGGCTTTCGATAATCTTTTCTAAATACTTCGCAACTTTATAATCTTTTCTAAATACTTCGCAACAAAATTTTAGAACTTTTTTCTTCGCAATGTGGACACTAAGTACTCAAATTCAACCCTCGTGTTTGTGTTGGAAAGAACTGGTAGAAGTGGTGCGCGCGCAATTCGGAATGGTTGCTTTTCATTGTATGATGCGTCAAACATTTGGCCTCTCCCTGCGCTAACATTCGAAAATTTTACGGGCTGCTTTTTGCGGTAAAATGTGGATGAGCGAAGATGAAAGTTATATCATCTGTGTCAAAGCGAACTGCCCAAGAGAAGAACGCGACAAAGCCTGTTCTCGTGATGGATTCCAAGCAGAATTTCAATACGCTCTGACACCATGGTTCTTGGGATGCCAGGATGATTATCTCGTCATTGAGGGCACAGTGCAGTCGGTTCGTTGCGAACTACGTGGGCTGTACATGTCTGGTTGTGGCAGCATCGGTCTAGACGACTCGTTGTGGTTGTGGTAGATTTTTTTTTGCTTTCCAATCAGAAGATCCAGAAGTCCGTGTCCACTTAAGTGCCTGTGTCAGTTCTTCGTGCGTCACTGATCAATCAATAGTCACCTGGGTCGGTCGCTGACCGCGAGTTGTTGAAATCGATGCTGTCTCGGTTTAAGTTGCATCGCTTTGACGATACGGCGGTGACGCTCACGCTAAAGCAGACCAATATTGGCTGAAGGGGGGATCGGTCAGATAGGATCCACGGCGGACCTCTTGCTGGACCGTTGGAGCCGGGATAGAAAGTCGAATTTGTGCTGCGTGTTGTAGTTGACAGCGGAATTTGGACAAAGTCGTAATAATCGTCGGTCACCTTTCCCGTCGTGTTTTTTCGTCTCAGCAGTAGAAGTAAGTCTTTGTCGCGTTCTAAACCCTATGATGGTCTATCCTGCACCATTCGAAACACGCACGCAGGTAGCAGCTGATTTTTTTCTGCGTGAAAAATTTGATAATTGAAAATGACGGTGTCTACCACACGAGGCGGGCTACATATGACAAGAGAAAAAAGCGTCTCTTGCATCAGCTCGACGTTGGCATTTTTACATGGTCTTGGATTTTCCACTAAAACAAGGAATGCATGCTACAACAACGAAAACGACAGAAAGGCGCACGTTTCCATGTGGACGTGTCGTCGGTCTGTTTTTTTTTCTTGCGCAAGTAAGTAGGTAGCACCTCTCGTTTTTTGGAAAAGTGTGCCCACGACGCTTTTGCTATTCTCTTGTCCATAGCTCGGGATATCACCAACACCTCACAAGAGCACGAGCTGGATCTCGTCAACAACAAGCAGGTCCTTGGTAACGCGCAACTTCCCAATGGCGCTTCCCAGCTGGACCCGAAAGACCAGGTCGGCGGGGGGAACGTGAAGCGCGCAAACAAGAGGAGATCGGTGTCGGGAGGTCACAACGCGGATCACGCGAGCAAAACTGGTGCTGGCGGCACTTCTTCCTCAACAGCGTCTCAGCCATCGATAGAACAGCCGTTGTCAGATCCACAAGAAGTGGAGGACTATGCGCGCGACATATACACCTTCCTGTGCAACAAGGAGAAGACGGACGACATGAGGGTAAGTACTTACTATGTTTAGCGGCTTTTATGTCATTCGACCGCAACGGTAGAAAGAGAAACAGAAACTGAAACCCATCTGTGATGTCTGTCTCTGTCTTGCAGGTGTGCCGCACAGGAGATGCATCTGATCTACAAGTTAAATTCGCCATGCAGATGCAGTGTGTAGAACAGGCAATTTGAAGATGAAGTATCGTCCTCATGCGATCCGGTTTCTATTTTGGAACAACTAAAAAAACCAGATAAATTCGGCGTTTCTCGAGGGAGCAGCGGAGGTATCAACAAGGATGCGGGGAATACTACTGGACTGGCTCATCGAGGTGCACTACAAATTCAAGTTGCTTTATGCCATGAAATAAATCTTGAGCGAACAAGGAATCTGCAAATTTTTATCTTTGTCATTCGTGTTGAGTGCAACTTTAACCGAAGGCATAGCTAGGTGAGAGATAGATCATGCTGAACGAAGCCCAGGCCTCGGGCCCTCGAATTATTTTTCCTGCCCGATGACATCGCACATGCTTATGCAAAGATGCGAAAAATCTATGGCTTCGCTCAAGATTGCGCTAGGATCGTTTGCCCGAGACGCTGTATCTGTGTGTGAATCTGATTTTATCCTGTGTGACAAGCTACTTCCATTCTTCCGGCCGGTAGATAACGTATGACGAGAGCTGGATTTATTTGTCATGGCGGCGCTGCAGCAAGGCCAGAGCCAGAAGCTGAAAATGCTTCACTTTTATTTGCATGGGACTGACTTGTTGTGCTAGATCCACTTAAAAGTGCTGTAATTTGTTGTTTTCGTGGTCGTCGTGATGTTTGAAGGACAAACCGCACCAGAAACAAAGTGAGTGGAATACATTCTTTCGCATCATTCATGTTGCGAAAGAAAACATAGTGAATTTTATCAAGAGAACGTCCTTGAGGACGGAACAGAAGTAGTTTTCACAAGCGATACCTCGACCGGTATCTCCAGCGGGACCGGGCCATCCCAAAAAGGAGATTGCAACTGATGGGGGGAACATGTAATTTTTTTTTCTCGTCGCTAAGTGTAAGTAGGACTAGGATCATCCTGTTGCTAGTTTTTCAGCGCCAGTATTTGCAAGTTCGTCTACTTCGTGCTCAGATTCGAGTTAGAGAATATGAATAGCAGAGCCTGAGGACATGATCATGTTCATGATATCAAATAAAATATGAAATCAATGACTCAGCATCAGCGTGGTTTGTTTCTACATCCTCCCAGGTATGCTGATCGCGGCGAAGTATGAGGAATACCGACCACCAGAGGTGATATCAATTGTAAAAATTTCTGGGTCTGGAAGAATGCAACTTGTGATGCTGCGTCAAGATTCCAAAAAAATCTGTATTGCATGAGTACCAAAGGGAATGCAATTTTTGCTACGCTGAGAAGGCATTTGTCATGCGGAATAGGCATCAAGAAGCCTTCAAAAGATCTGTATTGCTAGGGTATGCATCACAGACGTCAGGGCTCATGCAAAACGTGCATGACAGATCTCGCATTCTTCCAGACCCAGACATTTTTCCATTTGATAGGTGAAGGAAATCTGCTACATCATGGACAACGCGTACAAGATATCCCACAGAAAAAAGAGGCTAGAATATCACATCTGTACGGCCCATGACAGTTTTTTCTGTTTCTTATTCTCTATTTTCGCGGTACATACAACTACAATTACAAATCCAAATCCAAATCCCATCGTATGAATACGTACTACTGATATGCTAGCGCTTTTCTGTGGGATACAAGCGGGAAGACGTACTAGAGATGGAAGTCCAAATCCTGAACACACTGGTACGGGGTCGCTCTTTGAACTACTACAAGACCCGTAAAGAAGATTTGTGATGCAAACCTGCGAGAAGCGATTGACGTACTTCTTGTTATCCAAGAGGCGGCAAAATTCTTTTTTCAAATCCTGCGAAGATGAAACTTTTTACCCAACACAGAAATTCTCCATCACAAGTGCAAGTCCGCTGCAGTTCCTGGATTTCTACGCCAAGGGATATTGTGCACGAGAAAGCGAGATCCACTCTCTCGCTCAGTTCTGCCTCGAATGCTGCATAACCGACCCCGTGATGAACTCGTATTTTGGATTACTGATTTCAAATATAATCCCCCTACTTTGTTTGAATTTGACAATAAGAACAAATGAAAACGCGTGGACACAGTTTTCCCCGTCGACGTACTCATGATCTTTCTGCATGATCTAGCAGACTCCAAAAGCACAAAGGTATCTCCCGTCACAACTTGCCGGTGTGGCACTCTACGCCGCGGAGCGCATGATGCAAGGCAAGGTCGGGACGCCGGTGAGTGACAACGCAACGCCGGCAACGCCGGGGAGCTGCAGCATGAAACTCCTCAGCGAAATGGAGGAAAAGCTGATCGGGGTACTGACTATTATAGGGATCATAGTACACTGTGTTAATCTTGATATAGTCACACGATCATTTTTTTTTCAAGCCATGTTTCATTCTAGCAGGTGCTGCTGCGGCGCTAGGAGGATGCATGAGGTCAGAGGTTCAAGCAGTTGAAGTGGTGAAAGTCTACTTTTTTCTCCTCTCAGGTAATAGAAGTGCAGAAGGACAAAGCGCTGGGCAAGAAGTACGCAAAGGAACGCTACAAGAACGTGATGCAATATGTGCGCCGTTCCTTCGACATGCCCTGCGAGCAATAAGGAAAGGTGGAAAAGATACCGCTGTGGTCAATACTTTTCTTAATACTTCTTAGTTCACATTCATCATTTTTAGGTTTAGTGCAAACAGACAAGGAAGACAACTCATGTTTCAGATTTTCAGATTTCAACCGATTTTATGATTCTTTTCAGTTTGAGTTTCACAATAACAGGTCCAGATGTGTAGGTAAACAGCAGACAATGAATGATTCTGACATCATTAAAGCATGCAGTTTCATCAGAATTCAGATTTTCATTTGCAGAGACTCGTTTCCGATACTAGAGCAATCACAATTTCATGGTAAAAACTTGTATTTCAGTATGGTCACAGCACTGTTTGGCGGTTATGCTTTCATGTTTACTAACGTGGACGAACAAGAGCAAAAAACAGATTAGCAGCGACAATGGAGGCAAGGGCATTAGCATCAGTTATTGTCCCGTCTGGCGCTTCTACGTAGAACGAGGACAGTGTCTGTCCTTCTTCAGCAACAAATCATGAGAAAAACATCCACTCCTGTACACGCTTTGATGTTTATACAAATTCTACTTTTGTTGTACTGCTGTACCTGTATGTTTACGTAAAAAACCTAAATGAATTTCATTAAGTAGGCACAGCTATCATGTAACATGTAAAAACGCGTTTGTTTCATCAGCAACGTGCAACATCTCCTGTTAGAGACAGACAAAAAGTGTAAAAATGCAAAAGGTGATGGTAAGCACGGAATACATGGTGCTTTCACGACCCTAGAGCAGTAGACATCCCGACGCACTTGGGTCATATTTTTACTTCATGATTGAGCCATGTAAAATTGGAAATTCTGTCAAGTAAAAAGCGTACACAAAACTACCACAGCACAGCACTGTACAATCGGTAGACTATTGTAAACAGCACCGCAGTTCTTACAAGAACTTGCTTCTGATGATTTGTATTCCACCTCTTCTGGTATATCTGTGTTTTCTCAGGTGTTTCGTTACAGGACTTCTCTTCACCGTACGTATAAATAACATGATGGCACCTACAGTGAATTGTAGGACGACGTGGAGATGGAACCAACAGAGAAAGAACCGTCTACTTTTTCTTGTTTTCAATTAGCATATTCCTCAGAAATGACTCCCCCTTTTATGATAGATACTTCTTAGATGCAACTACTAATTGTATACACGACGACTTCACAAATAAATATAAAATCGTGCTTCGTTACTAATGTTGACAATCCGGCGGCGCAATTACAGAAAAGAACCGTCACCTCCAGCAAAGGATGGACTCAGCCAGGCTGGTTTTTCGTCCCTGCCGCCGGTGATAGACTTCTGATCGATCCATGGTGGCATTTCTAATGTCCTGTATGATTTTGATATCCCAGAAAATGACGACTTCACATGCCGCAAGAAAGAAGACTTGCTGCAGTAGGTCCGTCACGAAAATTGAACACATTTGGCTGAAGCAGAAAGCAAAAATTATACACCAAAGCTCGCTCGCTCCGACCGGACCCGGAGTGATATTTCCTGGTCGGCCGCTGGGAAAATTTTTGCTTTGTTGTTCGGCGCTGTTGGGTTTCTTTCTTTCGTGGCCCCTTTCGTCCGAAAATTTCGATCGTCGCAAGAACTGGCGAGCGAGAAAAGGGAGAGAGACCTCGTTTTTCTGATCCAGAAGTACTTCGCACCGATTTTGTCTTGAGTCTCGTCTGTTCTAGCTTTCGATCCTCTAACAGCTTCCATCGCTCGAGAACTACCTGAGTCGGTGACTACATGATCACTTGCTTCGTGTAAATCGATCCTGACCGTGGTAGTCAGCTTCGTCCTCCACAGAGGACTGCATCGGCGAAGAAGTTGTTGTAGAAGTCCATAATTAGTCTTCGTATAGATTTTCGTCGTCGTCGTGCTCATCGCGAGGGCAAGAATCAGACTACTTCTTCAATGAAAATCGTTTTGAAGATTCGTCGTCGACATCGATGAAAATCCCAACATCGAAATGATTTTTATTACTCGTGTTTGTGTGTGAAGATGTCTTGTACCATAAGACGAGGACGGGGTTCGTTTGTGAAAAGCGCGTTTTTGATGCGATAGAAAACGGAACGCGAGGCGGTCCTGGCCTGGTGGCTCTGTAATGTGTCGATTTTCTACACCCTATTGCATTCTTCAAAACAACAGATTTTTTTTTCTGTATGGAACGTAGATACGAACTGCACTACAGCAGGAAGCTTAAGTGGAGCGATCTATGCTGATGTACCTGCGCCAGTCATTTGTTCTACCAGCTATTTAGTTTTGATTTTGAGCTTTAGCTATCGAAGAAGACTGAAGAAATAGAATCGAAAGACGAGAAAGTAGTCGAAGACGAAGTCTTTGCAGGAGCTGGTGCAGTAGTCTTCTTTTCGTATAACCAGTACTACGCGCTGTTTGAAGTTGTTATTGGCAAATATTGCACAGGGGCCCGTTCTTGCAGCAATTGTACACTTCTTTATCTAATAAAAAGCCGGGCTTCAACATCTTACTTCATGTTTTCGTGTTCTGTTGCCGTTTGAGACAGAGCTAGCTAGGTTAGACAGCTCTCCTGCATTTTAATCCTGAAACGCATACAGGTTTTTATGAATCTCCTGAACTTTTTCGTCTACTGTGTGTTTCGAAGTGTTATAGAAGATGATTTTTACGGAGAAGAGGATACAAGTACCCAACCTCAGCTGCTGACTTGAGCAGAAGGTTGTGGAGAAGATTTTACCTGAGATATTGCCACCCGTAGCCTACTGCCTGCTGTTGAAGACGAGCTGACAGGTCGACCCTCTTGAGCGCACTACTTTTAAGCTTACCGAAGAAAGACGAGTTTTGCTGTTGCCAAGGATAACTTCCACACAACCTCCGGGATAATAAGTATCCATGCCTGGCTGTACTGACGCAGAAAATAACTTTCGTTTAAAATTTTGGACCACACGGACCATATAAAACGATTGATGTTTGGTGCATAAGGAGCTTTTGACCAATTCCAATTCTATGGTAGGTTGTAGAAGTAGCTGCTGCACGGTTTCCTTTTCGTCTTCTTTTCTTCCTGGTGGTTGTGGGTCATTTGATAAGCGCACACGATTTCATCTGTGCTGACCTCACCAACGACAGCCACGTAGATAGAAGTAAGTACCAAGTGAAGCACAATTAAAGGCTCGACTAGTAGGGACGTCGTGTTTTCTTTTCTGCCACGGTTTCATCCGACGAACCTCGACACGGTTGTAAACGGAGAAACGAAACACGATGGTTATCTGGTTGACGAGTTCTTGCAAAAGCAAGGAAGTGTAGCTGTATTGGCTGTTGTGAATAGAGATAGTGATAGAATGTAATTGGGCAGCACACGACGGCAACCCCCGAGAAAGAATTTGAATTTTAACGTGTATGTTGTCTCGTTAAAACAGCACGACCTACTCTTGCTACTTTGACGTGTGACGAGCCGGAAAGAAACAGAAACCGAAGCCGAAAGAAGTAGCATAACTACGGTAGATAAAAAGCTGCAGAGGAAAATAAAACAATGGTGCGCCCCGACTTGAATCCGTGGTAGAAGAGGAGATTATACAAGGACGTCCATCGTGTGCAACAACCACTCACCAGTACGGAAGCAGAAGCTACTAGGGCGGTACATCTTCAAGGCGTAAAAGCCGTGGCTATCTGGTGGAAAGGAGTTTCTAGGTACTACGCGACAAGCTGTACATCGCAGTATCCTACGGAAAAACTCTGTCGTGTAACAAATCAGCCGTGGTCTGGTCGAATCATGCAAATGTGAAAATAAATGTTGTCAGGAAGACAGCGCTCGTTTGTGCATGTAAAAGCGCTAGTACCTTTGCATACATTTTTCTGCTCGATTCATGGTTTTGGGATTTTTGCTCTCAACCTCGATACGAGTACGGCTGGATTTGCACTGTATACCACCCACGAGTAGTACAACCGGCTGGCAATTGCGTCCGAAGAGCAGGAGCATTGAGTCAACCACCAAAGCTCCTACGTTTCTAACCCCCCGACGGCCGTTGCTGGTGTCATTTTCAGTGAAGACCTCGTGGATACGGATAGTATCCTCTGGCAAGAAAAGGGCCAACCACAGCTGTCTTGCGTAGTGGTACTGCTAGCTGCGCAGGTCGGAAGCTAAGTATTACGGATCGCTCCGCTACAGTACGACACGACAGCAGTTTTGGTTCCTGCGCGACCACCAGAACAATAATAATAAACCCCCGCGCAACCGCAACGACGTAAATTCGCCGCGGCAAAACAGCTGCGAAACGACCGCGTAGTGGATTCATTTCCTCTAGAGAAGCGGGTGCGGGATCGAACCAGTCGAGTGCGCAGGTGCAGTTTCTTCTTCTTCTACCCGTAGAAGCAAGTTCCAGCTATCGTCCCAGAAAAAAATTGACGTGGACCCCGCATCTGGTTCGGGTCGGCAACTTCCGTCGCAGCAGGACATTATCGGAGGGCACTCGGCTGGAAGCTGGAAGCTGCAGAGCGTGGAGTCTCAGTCGTCCTCACAGGCGCGAGTTAAATAAACCCACTACACTCCGACGTGCGGCGGCTTTTAAGTACTACACGACCACCTCCAGTTGCTACAACTACTAGAAGAGGTGGCTCTATTTGCGGCACTACGGGTTGTACCACGACGCGACCGAGAAATATCGTCTGCGCTCCTGCTCTCGCTGGCGAGGACAGAAAGAGTGCCGCAAAATGACGCGCGTTGGCTACGGGGGGCCAAAGAAAGTGCATCGCAATCACAGTAGGCTGAACAAATTTTTCTGCAAATTCTATAATTCATCACGATTCACGACTCTCGTCGGCGACAACTTTTCCGTATCTAATATTATGTTGAGAATAGATACTGATACTTACAGCTAGATACTTGGCTGTTGTCGTTTGTGCTGACGCCATAATTTCGTCTAGTGACTCTGAGTTTGTTTCAGAATTCAGTTGTTTGGTCTTCAGTAGAACGGTGCTACTTGTGATGCAATGGGACGAGCATAAGATCGAATGAAGGTGATTGCGATGGACTTTTTTTGGTCCATAGAGGTCTTCGAGATGTTACCAACGCGGTAAAAATGTTGCTTTGTTTCTGCTTTGAACAAGAATGTTATGCATGCATAATGTGCTTAAACCGAGCTTCTGCAGCATGAAGCAGCTTTGCTTAGAAATGATAGCCAAGCGCGACACTAAGACTGACGTCACACCACAAACTATCAGCTTCCACACCAGCAGGCGGGCAATGTTGCGAATAAAAACACAAGAAAAAGCTCGCAGAAGCAGCAACCACCAGGGCAGCACCAGATACAACCACAGCCCGGGCAGACACAGAAGGTAAGTGGTTTGATACATGGAGTCTGCGCGAACAACATTGAAAATTCGACGTTGCTTGCGATGCAGTTTTGCGAAAAATTGTGCTGTTTTTTGCCATGCCAAATATGATGAAAGAAAAACCTCCGTACAGCATTCCGTGGCAGTAGGTTCAACAATAAACAAGCCGGATGTAGTAGGGAGCACAGCCGGAGTAGTTGTGCACCAGCAGCACCAGGCACCAAGCCAAAGCCAGCAGAAAGAGGAGGCTCCCCTGCCGGACCCGCAAGAGGCCCCGGAGTACGCACAAATAATCTACGAGTACCTGAGAAAAACAGAAAACGTCGAGCGGCTGAGGGTGGTACTGATGACTCTTTTCTCGAGCAGCTGTCGATACAAAAATCAACAACTGCTCATCTTCGATTGCTGCCTTTGAAAGCTGAATAAAGGCGGGTTCTTTCGCAAATATGGGGATTGGTTTTCCACTGTGATCTTGGTTTTGTTTTGTTCCTTTCTTCACCTCAATGCATTGCGATGCAGTGCAACGAATTTCAGCTGCAACTTCAATGAAAAAAATCAAACCAGACCGACCCAGAGTTTCTGGAAAACCAGAAAGAAATAAGTAGTCGGATGCGGGGGATATTACTCGACTGGCTCGTAGAAGTGCACTACAAGTTCAAGCTGGTGCCGGAGACACTGTATATTAGTAGCTGTGAAGATTTACTCATTTTTGCTTGATTTGATGAGTGGGTTTATTTCTAACTCGACGACATCGTCGCCACTATGTATCACCGCACTGTGCATGTCGATAACAGTTGAAGTTTGATGACCTTCAACAGGTTCTTTTGATTCTGTATAATGATAATCTGTAGCAGAGAAGTAGAGGATTTTTCTAGCAAACATTCATGAGATGGGAGAACCTTCGAAAACTGCCAAATAATCCAGGTACCTCTGCATCAACCTAATAGACCGCTTTCTGGATCGGGACCGCACCATCCCGAGAAATAAGCTGTGTAAAATCTTCTTCACGATCGTTTCTTCATCCAATTTGTCACAATGCGCATGGAAAAACATGCATCAAAAGCGAAAATCAAAATCTAAATAAGCTTAAGCATAAGCTGCATTTTATTCGGTGTGCACCAGCACCACAACGGCAAGTTGATATAGGAAACGGATCGTGAAGATGATGTTTTTCCTTCGGATACGAAAAAAGCTGCAATTGGTGGGCGGAACGTGCATGCTAATTGCCTCGAAATACGAGGAATTTCGACCGCCAGAAGTGGGTGACATCTGCTACATAATGGACAACGCCTACACACGAGAAGACATCCTCGAGATGGAAGTCCAAGTTCTGAACAAACTGGTACAATTGTGATTATATTTTTTTTGAAAAATCGAACTCTTTTGCAGGATGAGGGTGAAACAGAATGACGCATGGCAACTATTTAATTTGTCCTGCATGGCGTAGAAGTAGAAGCCCTAGGCGTACTTCCTCTACTTTCTCCTCAGTCGTGATACCTGATCTATGGGGGATCGAAAAAAAAAAATGCCAAAACAGAAATTCGAAGTCACCGTGCCCTCAGCGCTGCAGTTTCTGGAGTACTTCATCAAGAAGATGTCAATCAGCCGGGAGGACGACCACTTTTTCTTAGCGCAGTACCTGGTCGAAGCCACCTTGCTCGAAGTCAAGTTTTTAAAGTATACTAACTATGTATATTATACATGAACTATGAAAAAATCAACATCGGAATTACTTAATAGAACTCAATTGGCGAGATCATTATACATAATGATCTCGCCAATTGAGTTCTATTAAGTAATTCCGATGTTGATTTTTTCTCCCGCATGACAATGCGCAAGAATTTTTTTACGTTGATTCTGCATAGGAAAAAACCTTTCACACACGATACAAATCTATGCCGTCGTTGCAAGTATGGAATTGAACGAAAGGTATAAGCCATCACACCTAGCATCCGCCGCCCTGTATCTGGCAAACCGCATTCGGAAGCACGCCGTTCCATGGCCCCCCGTGCTGTACTGAAGACAATTTTCAATAATTTTTGATCGATTTGATGATTCTTGTGTGCGAAACAAATCGATGAAATCACATGGCGGCTCTTGTCGGTTCTGCCAGATGAAGCTGCCACTAGGCCTTTCGCTTTCTTATCGCACTAGGCGTTTCGGTTTCTTATCTGCATCAAAACTTGTTCATCATTTTGTTCGTGGTCAACGATATTTATTGGAAAAACCCAACCTTGAAAACCATCGCTCAGGGTCGAATTAACCGGATTGGGCGAGCAAGAAAGCGTGAAGCCATTAGCGAAGGAGATTTTCGAGATGATTCCGAACTTCCGAAACAAGTCCCTGTACAAAAAATACACCATGTATGAGACGAGTGCACAAAAACTACTCCCCATCGTCCCGCTCAACATTTGAAGGGCACGAACAGGAGCTGCAACACGAGCAGTGGCAGAAAAAATGTTGACTCTGTATGAAAAATCAATGGGCGGATCGTAGGTCTTTTCAGATTTCCGGAGGTTTTATTTCAGTGCGAAGAGGCAAAGAGCAGAAGTACAGGTAGAATTGGTATTTATTTGCAAGATGAGGAAGAGTCACAAGCGAGGGGTAGGAAGTTTCGGTGGGGGAGTTGTTTTGTGCGCTCGGATAGCATGGAGAAATACCACGGTGTGGCCCCGACCATACCCGCGCAGTGAGAGGTATGAAATAATCTCCCGGGGAACAACGATGAAGAGAAAGAAATTCGTTGTTCTCATCGGGATGATAGAAAAGAAAAATTGATAGGTTTGATATAATACGTTCGCTTTTCGTAATATTGTTGTAGACTTTGACATCATCATCATGATCTCGGCGAAGACTCAATGCCGAGTAGAAGTACACCAATCCTCATTTCATCAAGACAAGCTTGCTATCACATCTTTTCAAAAATGAACCTGAACACTAGAGAAATAACTGTTGCTAGACGTAAAAATTAGTTGTCAGGATGTTTAGCTACTAGTCGTACTATACAATCCTGTACAACAAAGGGCGCCGTCGGGGTAGTTCTTCTTCCTCTGCGCTCTGTTGTTCGTTGTTTTCGAAGATTTAGACTGTACAATGTAAAAATGTTTCAGGCTGGATGGCGCATTTTATCCGCCCTGTTGCACCTCCAACAGTTTTGTAGATAAAAATTTCTTGCAACTTTTTTACTAGCAACACAGAGATCTTCGGGAAGAGAAGAAATTCTCAACTTCTTTCGACGTTCTTGTGGCCGCTACGTAGGTTGCTTTTTATCGACTGTTTCTGAAGATATTGATTTTGTTAAAAATGAACCTCCTTGATGTTCTACTGTAGAAGCTAGTACAACTACCCTCGGGGCCGCGTCGAGCTCAAATACACGTTTCTGGGGCTTTGCCCGCCCATGCTGAGGAAGAATTGAATTTATCATCCTACGATCACACACGTTGGCGGGGTAGTCGTATTCAAAAATACAAGTGGCTGTTGTACAAGTTCACAATGGGCTTTTACAACATACAAGAGAGTTTTATTCTTGTTGACAGGACTTGCTTTCTTCACAGCTTTCGGAAAAATCGAATCATCTTCTAGGACTTCGCGGCAGGAAGAAGGACAGGAGCTCGTCCAGCTTGCTCTATGGATTGCAAATATGTCTGGGTCTGGAAGAGCCAAACTTGTGATGCTGCATTTGGATGCTAAAACAATCTGTATTGCATCAGCAGCAAGAGGAGTCAAATTTGGCTACGCTGAGAGGGCATTTGTCATGCAGGATGCTCATCGATAGGCGCTCAAAAAATCTGTGATGCTATGGCATACATCACAGACATCATGGATCATGGAAAATGTGCATGACAAACTTCTCCTCTTCCAGACCCAGACACTTTTACATTCGATATGCTCAATTATGCCGTTATTTGTAGTTTATTGGAGCTAATAAATGACGAGACGGACTCACGACTTCACGCTGAAGTATTGTACGAGTGCTCACGCAAGAAAAAAATGCTTTTGCGCTATTGATGCCAGAGTGGCCCTAGATATAGATATGATGTATCTGGATGATGCGATGGAATAATAGGCTAAAATTGCTTTCAAACCTGTCGTCCAAAATACATCAAGTACAACAGTTGCTACATACCAGTGACCACGATGAGAACTACTTATTTTCTTTTGCAGACCCCAGAATAAGAACTAACACACGCCGCTGGGAGAAATAGTAGTAGAAACAAAAAGGGAAACAGAAATAGAAGCAGTCAGCGAGCTGGGTGTGGGGTTGCTCTTGGAATATTCTGATCATTCTGGTATAGCTAGTGACAAAGTATATGATGGCTGATTACTTTTAATAAAACTCTGGCTCGCGCAGGAAATGTAGGAGTTCCACCTGTCGCAAAAGTCCACATCTTCTTCAATTTCAATCGATTACACTTCTATTCATCACACTATATTCTTGTAGCTCAATCCTGTTGAAAAATAGTTTCGGCATCAAAAATTTATTCCCACACTACAGCTCCTCTCGCAGCTATTGCAGCTGCGGCGTTGGTTCTTACGCATCCTCATGTGGTTCGATTTTAATCTGCGAAGGCTTCGACGCAATACAAAATTTACTTCAAGACAAATTGCTGTCCTGGAGGTGTGTAGTCAAAGCAGGCGGCGACCACTTGTCTTCACTTGGCCCTAGCGCGTACCGCACCGATTTCATCTATCCAGGGAATCAATTTTAGTACAATTACTGCGAGTCTCACGACGATGCGTGTCTACCTCTACTAGTACAACAGGAGAACGCCAGGCAGACGCGATTATTAGCGGGGAAGCGGGGTAGAAGCAAAGTGAAACATCATGAGTAGAAATAGAAAAACTGACGAGGATCATGTGCCTCTGTCCCTAACAAAAGCAAGTTGCGAGAAAGGCAAAAATCATTCGAAATTAAACCTACGAAATTTGGAAAGATCATAGTGATTTAGCCTAGTAGCAGTAAAGAAGGCTGCTCGCAATTAGCACTAGCAGCTTTGTCGCTTTTATGGAGTCTTACTGCGGTGAGAACTTCTACTTCCTCCACCGACGCAATACAAATTTCATAGGCACGACCGTTTTACATTTACTTATTGGCATCTACTCACACTTTGGCTCGCAGCGGCTTGTGGTCCAGTCGCCTGGGTGGAGCGCAGTGAGAACAAGAAGAGCATGCGGATATCAAAAGGAAAAATCCCCCCTTCCCATATCGAAACGAAGTTTCTGATGCTGGATATGCCTACACAAATCAGATTTGTCTTGCTGGCGAGGACTGCAGACCCATAGTAAGCCTGAGGAGACAGGTTTTGGCCTTGGCGCGTTGCATGACAGACATCTATGCTGTAGGTGCAACAGCATGACAAACCGCCTGTAGAATGCAGCGGAGCCTGTGGAGTTGCCTTCATGCAACACAGAGACGATTTGGGGCCACAAATCAGCAACACAAATTTTCAAAAACGTGCCTTGTCAATATGGGGAGGGGGGATTTTCCCTTTTGATAGCGGAGCAGCTGTCGTTTTGGGCAGAAAACGACGATGTGAGTAGGAGCGATGGTGGATATCAAAAGGAAAAACCCCCCCTCCCCATATCAAAACGAAGTTTCTGATGCTGGATTTGGGTACACAAATCAGCTTTGTATTGCAGAGAGGCATTGCGGACAGATCTCCAGGCTAGACAGGGGCGGGCGTGTCTAGTTGTTTAGCATGGCAAACGGCTCCCCTTTAGGCCCAACAGCATCACAAACCGCTTCCAGAATGGGGCTAAAGCTCCTGCCCTTGTCTTCTTGCAAGACAAAAAGGATTTGTGACCTCAAATCAGCAACACAAATTTTCGAAGTCGTGCCTTTTCAATGTGGGGAGGGGGGATTTTTCCTTTCAATAGTGGAGGAGTCATTACCTCTTCCTAAGTAGTTGCTCATGCTTAGTAAACTAGCCAGGCTGACGAGCTCGATATTGATGGGGGTGGAAAAATGCTCGAGCAGCTGCAGCCAGAGTCGTGTCAGCTTTGTTACGGGGAATCGAAATAGCACAGTTTTCCGTTTCTATCGGCAGTGGAGTTCTAGTACTGTGCTATTGAGTCGATATAATTCTTGTTCGATCTATTCATCTACGGTATTGGTTATCTGCAACTATTCTCTCTAAAAATGAATCCAATTTTTTTTACTAAGACAGAAAACTGACGACGTGAAGAGCAAGATATCGACCCTCCTGGTTCTGTGTTATTTTAAGACAGAGTTAGGGACAGCGGCAAGAAGTGCCCCCAGTGCGCCGCCTCGTGGGTAGGAGGAGCGAGTTGGCTTGACAGGCTGTTCGTGCCACTTTCACGATAGAACAGCATGTGATGTTTTTCTTTGCTGCACGTTGTAGGTTGATTTCGTCGAGGCCCTGCTTGCCAAGTGCAATGTAGCTTCCTTTAGTGCCTACTCTTTGGGTAGTCGAAACATCATCGTCGCCGCCCGTTTTGTCCATGTCATCGCATCCATGTTGGGTGATAGAGACACCACATCGACGGCGCTGTCGGTGCCGCCCGGCTTGATTTCATTTTCACAGCGTTGACATCGGAGAATCAGTTTGTGCATGGCAGTTGCCGCCCGTCGTTTGTACAATAATCAGGTGGGTCGTGTCTTTCAACTCTTGTGCGTCACGGTTTTCGTCTGGCTTCATAACCGTATTGAAATTTGTTCGCTTATGACCTCATAGATATTACTTCTTGCTGATGTTGTGTGGCTTAAAAACCTCTTACTATAGCAAGATCCTTCTGTACGCAAAAATTTAGCCGAAATTTTTTGTTGATCTTTGCACGACTATATTTACAGATTCGTTTCTTATCGCAGAGCCGACGTGCTGTACTGTCTGTGGCGCGGCTGACTTGTTTCGATAGCTTCGTCCGGTAGGAAGATGCAAACCCATCCGTGGACGACAAAAAAGCACAACTCTTTCTAGATGTTGAACCAAATAAGAGTAGATGATTTGGGGCACGCAGAAGGAGCAGAACACGACCGAAATTGAATTTACACCAAAATTGATCTTCCCACGAACGTGGTTAATAATTGTTACGGCAATTGGTCAGGCGGTGGACGTAGTACGTGGACAGCAGCCAGTACCACACCGTCGTGTAATCGTCGGCAATCGTCGGCGAGGAATTGCCCGAGTACCTACTAGTACAACTCGTGTTTCTTTAGCACTATATTTGCGGACGGCTTTTCGCTCTTTTGCATTTCTGTGTGACAACGAGAGATAGAAACGGAAACTGTCGGGGGCAGCCAACATCGTCGTGATTTGGTGTGTACTAGACATTGCAATTTATTGTGTAAAAGCAGGGAGCGAGTTGTAACTGTAAGTAAGTACCTCTATGGGATGAGAAAAAGGTAGTTCGGGCGAACTGCAAGCGAGGGCACCACGACGACACTGCGGGAGAGGAACCCTAACTACTCAAGTTATAGTGAAACGTATTTCTAATTCTATTTTATGAAGTGTGCTGGGACGGTAAACATCTAAAAGGAATCAGAATAGTGACCACGCCGGGGACATCAGCCAGAAGTACTACATTCCGTCATTTGTGTGCTTCCGCATCAATCATGGGCTAGACGTTTTTGACGCTTTCTTGTTCCGTCGCCTCGGCAGCTGCGCTCGTCGCATTTTTCTTCCTTGTGCCGTCGAGATCATAAGTATGACGTGCAAGACCAGGAAACGTCGAAAAGTCTTCTTGACCCCGTCCTCTTCGGAAGCTGCTTACGGTAGTACGTCGCTTCTGCCCGCAGCTGCTGGGCCTGGGCCACATCATCAAGGGAGAATTATGCAACCTCCTCGTCGACGACGTTGTGGCAGCTCGTTATTTCGGGTGAAGAGCACGACAGCGACCGGCAGACTCTTCACGACTAGCACAAGTGGTTATTTGTCTTTCGTGGCGCTGCTATGTGCCGTGTTTCTTCTCTTCTACAACGTCTGTTTTATTCATCACGACGAAGAAGCTCACCGGTGGACAAGAACACGGAGAAATAGCCTCATCCTGTTCTATCAAATGAAAATATGTTGTCTGGGTCTGGAAATTTGTCTTGCTGTTGATACTCGCATAGCAGAGTACTTACCCGTTTGTACGGCAGAACAGCATCAGACAGAAGTTTGGAAAGGCGTATTGCTGATTCATTTGCAAAAGAACGCATGATATTAGGCTTCCATTCTTTCAGCACGACTGCCCAAGCCCAATCGTATTCTGCATGGCAGCTCTTGGTGTGCCTGAAGTTGAATTCTTGCACTTTTACAAAAAATAAGATCCAGACCCAGACGTATTTGCAATGCATATCATCGCCCACGCGGGCGACCCCATCGTGCGGGACGACGGGCTCACCGTGAGTACCGCACTCTGGCACCGTATGCAAGAAAAAAACTGTGTAAAGAAGTGTAAGTATGTAAGTTTGTATTGCGGACGTATGTAGTTGTAGTATTAAAGCAGTCACTACTGGAAGTGCGTCATGGTGCATACTAGTTCATCAATACGTGTTTTCGCTGAGACTAGCTGCGCCTGACAGGCTTTTTCTGTAATGCAAAACGAATTTGTGACGCTGCTCATCCTACAAGGTTACACCTTACACGACACTTTTTTTCTCCGATACACCGTGCGCAACTGGGAAACATCGACTTCGAGGCAAGTTGCAGCTTTAACCCAAACCTGAAGAACGGGTGTTTGCGGGAAAACCGGTTCGATACCGAGAAACAGGCACTGATCCGGTTTTTCGTTGTCATGGACGGCTTTGCCTGGCGGGAGTCGACGAACTGGGAAATCTATGCACTTTCGCAAAAGTATCGCACCTACTACGTAGAAATTGCATATCTATGGTACTTATGCACAAATTGTTTGCACAGCATCAAAAATGGAATTTGATGTAGTCTTGCAGATCTTTTTACCTTGTTTCGCAATCGCAATGCTATTACCTTTATTTCGGTGCGACTGCGAATAAACTTTTGCAATGCACAAGATCACGTACCGCGAGGAGTTATGAAATGCAAAAGCATCGTATTCGTATAAATGCATTACAAATTTTCTCAGCATGAGAAATAGAATCTGTAATGCTGATTTGCCTTGACAAAGAAATTTGTAGTGCAAGAGCAGCATTTATACGAGTACGATACTTTTGCACAGGATAGGAGTGCGACTTCACCAATACCTGCGTGGACATCTACGAGACGGATCCGAAGAATTCACTATCAAGTGCAAAATTGTCTGGGTCTGGAAGGTGGTAACCTGTGATGCTGTCTTTGGATTCCAAAAAAATCTGTATTGCATGACTAGCAGAAGGAGTCCAGTTTGTGCTACACGGGGAGGGCGTTTCTCATGCGGAATAAGCATCAGGAAGCCTTCTAAAAATATGGGATGCTAGGGCATGCATTACAGGCGTCACTGGTCATGCAGAATATGCATATATAACAAACCTGGCAATCTTCCAGGCCCAGACATATTTGCATTTGATATTCACCGTGTTGGGACCATTGGTACGGCATCACCTGCAACGAGGAGGGGTATCAGAGTGCACAATTCATCATCCCTGTGCCATGTCCTCCTCATTTGTCATGCAAAATGTACAGTACTAACAGTAACACTAAGTGCATGTGCAGCTGCCTGTCCACCACCCTTTTGGTCTTGATTGATTGACAGCTAAATGTTCACCCGGTTGTTCCGGAAGCTAGGGCTAGTACAAAACATGTATAGAAGTCAGATACAACATTTTGATTCTGTGTGTGTAGTTAGCATGCAGATGTCACATTTTATTCGTTTTCGCTTCGTGTGTTGCTGCAAATGCGCGCCGTCAATCAGGGGGACGACGACCGAGGTTTGATGTCCACTCTCATAAGGGGCGTGTGATCGAGATCAACCTCGTCGACAATCGTCTGAACGGCACGTTCATGAACCCAGATTTCCCGGACGACGCCCAGCTTCTAAACGAATTCCCCGCCTATCCGAGAAAAAAACGTTGTTCGTGTAAATTTGTGATGCGCAACATGCAAGATGATTGCGTCTGTCATGCTGGGCATGCATCGTGGGGTCCATTCAAGGGCGTGCTCACGTAGAATCTGCGCATGGCAGGCTTCTGTTGTCATATGTAGTGAGGTCACCGAACGGTTCTAACCAGGGAGTTTTTTTGACAGCTACCCTGAAAAACGACCGGCAGTTTTCAAGCGGCCGGAGGCGTTTTTTGACATAAAAAATTTTTAATTATCAAGCGGACGGGGCTTTGCCGTCAAACAAGCCCGGTCGAAAACTATCGATTCGCACTTGATAAAACGACGCAGGGGAGCCGGCAAAAGGGCCCTTCTGAGGCGCCCGCCGCCTTGGTTTCTGGCGATTTGGGGCGCCCAAAAAGGGGCGCGCAAAAAACGCGCCCAAAATCAGAACAGCGAGACAGCATGGCACGGCCGCGATTTCGGAGCATTTTGGGCGGCCGCGAAAGCGGCCGCCTTTTCGCCGGTTTCAGAGCCTGGGAAGCTTTGCAAAAGGCGCCGGCGTGAAAAATAAAAACGCGACAAAGAAAAAGCGCTCCAGACGCGCAAAGCCAATCCGCATGCTATGGGCCCGATTTTCCTTCGCTTTTTGGGCGCCCCCCGTGGCACCCGGATCGGCCCCATAGCATGGGGGCTGGCCTTCGGGAAGGAACTTCGGGAATTTGCCAAAATTTGCGATGTTTATCAAGCGGCCGCCATACCGTGCGGCCTAACGTTACTCACGGCGGTATGGCGAGCCCAGAAAAAGCAAAGCCGCGGCCAAGGCGATGGCCGGCAAGAAAACGCCCAACGACCTCACTACCTCCGCCCCGGCGGCTATATTTGGTAACAGAGATATTTGCAATGCTGATCCTTCAAGAATGTTACACCTACAATCTTTTTTTCTTGGATACCGCCCTGCGGAGGATCAATTTCGCCACGACAAGGGCACGGTACCACAACATACCCAACCCGTACGCAAACAATGTGACCGGGGCGTGGCTATCCAAGGTAAATTCTACGATACCAGGTCGTCATCTGGGTCCGAAGACATGCAACGCTTTGTAAAGTTGTAGTTCCTTCATAACGGGCAGCGCTTGCTTGTATACGACAAACCATGTACGCAAAACACGATCCCCTTCGAGCAGTAAGCAGTTTTTTGCTCCTGCATTCGAACTGTGCAGGTTTGTTTCATATCTGCATCTCTATGAAACTGATCCAGACCCGACTCAGGCAACATGTAGTTTGCCATGCATAATTTCCCGGTATGGAGAAGTGTAAGAACCTGACGGCGGTGGAAATCAGCGGCAACAAGATCACAGACCTGCCTAATTTGTGGAGGAACGGGGACACGCTGCGAACGCTGGCCGCGTCGAGGAATAGAATAAAGTGCTTCATAGTTTATTTTCGATTTTATTTTATTTTGTCAACCTGCGTGATTTTTCGTGAATACTTGATAATTATAGCTTTAGCTCCACCTATTCCTATTATAGCTGTGAGGAGATGAAGAGAGTAGAAGTCCTCAGATGAACCACTACTCTTTTTTATTCAACAGCCGTTTCCCGCCGAACCTGATCGCGTTCACGATGCTCGAGACCCTGGACCTCGCCCACAACCTGATGGCCCAGCCCTTCCCCAAGACCTTCGGGAAGAACATGGTGCGCGCGCGGTCGGTATGCCTTGCAACTATGTCATCTAGGTCTGGAAAGGAGGAACTTCTGATGCTTGTCTTGCATGAGTGCCAAATCTGTGTTGCATGAGCAGCAAAACAAGTTGTGCTTTTTTTGTCATGCAAAGACGCGCTTTGTGTTTGTAATGCGCACAACGCATGAGAAGACGCTTGGAAAATCAAAATTAAGATTTGTCATGGTCCACTGCACTGAAAGGCGCACAGAATTATGATCATGCAGCATCACAAGTTTCCAGACATCAAGGGAGATTTGCACTTGATAGTTGGTGCGACTGGACAACAACGGGATCACCGGCGACATCGCGGAGGCCCTGGACATGGCCGACATGAGGAAGATTCTCGTCTTCACCGTAGCACACATATCCCACAGAAAAAGACTGGCAGGGCATCTTTGTAAAAATGCAAAAAATGAATATACAAAAAAATCTGTCAACATGGGCGAGCCCATAGCATGCTGCTTAGGCTATGAAGTACTTACAGACTTTTTTGGTAGTTCATTTTTGCACTACCTGCCTATCATTTTCTGTGGGATAACACAACCCGGGGCTGACTGGGGTCTTTCCGAAGGACATCGTGGATAACTTCTGGACGGAAAACGAATTCCTGGCCATCCTGAACACCTTATGGAAAAATATACACAACTAGGTACTTCTATGTTCTATGCCCCCCGGCCGGCGCCCTAGGTTTTTGATACTGCGCCACTTTAAGGAGGTTTGTGTTTCTTGTATTGATGAATTTGTGCTGTGCATAGCCTGGTTTTAACTCCACAACCAAATAAGTACACATGCAGTGGATGGTTCTCAACGGACCTTGGGTTGCGAACAATGCGACTGTAGTTAATTGAGATTCGTCTCTACTTGGATCGTGGTGTGCCTTCATTTCGTGCCAGAGCACTAGAAATCCTGTGCATAGAAGCACTAGTTTCCGGTTGCATACCTCACGATGTACGGAACTATCGCCGGTCTGTGTCTCGACGTGCCTTACTGCATGCTATCAACAGCAAAAATGTCTGGGTCTGGAAGAGTCGGGACCTGTCATGTACATTTTGCATGACCCGTGAGGTCTTTGATGCTGGTGCTAGCATCACAGATTTTTTGAGAGCTTCTTGATGCTAATTACGCATGAGAAATGCCCTCTCCGCGTGCCAAGAACTGACTCGTCTTGCTGCTCATGCAACACAGAAACACAGATACTTTTAGAATCCGCAGACAGCATTACTCTTCCAGACCCAGACATTTTTGCAATCCATACATGCGCTACATGTATAACACCGACCCGGCGCAGGGCGGGCACGGCGATCAGACGTGGGTCAACGGCATGGATCCGGTCATCCAAGAGGTGCTCGAATTAGCGATGACCGGGGGCTATCCAATGCAACAAATATGTCTGGATCTGCAATGCTGAAGTTTGGATGAGTGCTTTGACTCTTTCAAGTGCACGACCAAAGGAAGGATGATAAGTTTGTTCCACCTTGACTCATGCATCGCAAGCATCACGAAAAACTATCTTTTGGCACGACAGAGAAGATGAAAGCACGTAGCGCTTTTCAATGATGCAGGTCATGCAACAAAGATTCAAGATTCTTGGAAGAATGGAAGACACGCAACACAAGTGTGACTCTTCCGGGCCTAGACATATTTGCAAGCCATAGGGGTACCACGACCACCACCACTACCACCTTCGACTTCTCCGCGCTGCCGCTTAGGTAGCATGATACAACAGCGCCGCAAGAACTCCTTCGTGCTGCCCGCGATGGTGCGCGCTGCGTCACTACTACTTGGCGTACTTGCTACTTCTCTGGGGATAGAGTCAGCTTCGGTGCTGAAGATGTCAGGAATGAACTAGAGGCAGCCCTACTAGAGGAGATCAAATGGATGAGATAGGGGTGCCTTTGGTTCTTGCACAACACGAGTTCCGGAGGGAAGTTGCTACCCAATTATGCAGCTGGTATCGTGCAAGAAAGTGACTAGTTAAGTAGTGTCCCAGAAACTTCTGATTGCGTGACCACGTAAGTAGTGCAACGGACCTCCACACACATAATGACGAAAGCATGGAAAAAGCTGCGTTGGCGGGTTCTAACATCACGACGCCCGTGATCATGCGCAGGACAGCGAAAAAGATTTTTTACAATCTAAGCTCGGTACTACCGTGTTTGTTCCGAAGTTTGACAATGTGGAAGAAGATGAATGAGAACCACAACGCGTAGATGTGAAGTAGGAGTACCATAGGCACTTCTTTCTCTAACGAAAAAATGTTCCAGCAGTATTGTGCCCAAGGAAGAAAAAACAAAGATGAGAATGTAGGCTTGATCGATTGATTTGATGAGGAAAAAATCGCGTAGGGTCTATCCAACAAAGGTACAAGTGTCAGAAAACTCATATTTTTGTTTTTGAGTAGCTCATGTTTGCGCGACCGCACTTGTTTTTGATTTTGACTCGTACAGAAGTAGAGGCTGAAAAGTACCAGAGAACACTTTGAGTAAGTACGTTACAACAGTAGAAATACTCACTACGTCGACCTCAAGAACGCAGACTGTTGTCATCACAGTAGCCCCACCAAGAAAACGCACGAAAAACAAAGATGGACATCGCAGACGGCGATTTCGGCATGCTGGAGTTCATCTGGCGCAGCTGCAAGGTGGTCTTCGCCTTGTCTCCGCTGATCGGAATGGTCGCGCTTTTCGTGCTATGCATTGCAAAAGTACTATCGCACTAGTAGAAGGCGTGTACATCGCATGACAAACCGTATCCATTTTCAGGTATAGAAAAAATGGAGTTTTTCATGCAGATTCAGCTACTGACCCTGACCGTGACGTAGAACTGCTCCACATATCTGTCATGCGAGATTGCAATTCGTAAGGGTATGATGTCACTTTTGCAGGGCATACATGATGGCGTACGACGATCCCGCGGCCGAGAAGAAGAAGCGGGATGCTGATTTTGATTTCGCTTTAGCGGGGAACGAGGAGTAGGAGGACGAGAGGACGCGCCGTGAACGTGATGATAGAGCAGTAAAACTACTAAAATGCAGCGCTGTCAACAACTTCAACTACGACGTCAACTACTCAGCACAACTTCTTTGGTCAGATTTTGAATCGTCTGTGCGGAAGGGGTCAGTACTGATTCCGTAAAACCATCGACCACGGGTCTTTACGAAAGGAGCTAAGTACAAAGTTGGTTTTGATAAAGCGGAATCGAACAAGAAGGGCCAACTTTACCAGGGCTGTTCCTGTTGCGTCGTCGGGATTATTTCGGCCTTCCAACCGCAAAGAACTGCTCGACAGCATGCTTTCGAAGAAAGGTGATTTCCAAAGAACTTCAGACTCTGCCTCCTGCTCCATATAACATTTCTAAGCACGACGTTTTCTACCCACACGACCCAGTTTTCCCGAATTCGCTTATGCTGTCTGGGTAACGAAACATCGCCACGACCCGCCCCGACGTTCTATTTGATATTCAAAAATAGCATCTACTACGTACTGCACCAACGCCGCAGGTGTAGCTTCGCTGGTTGAAGTTGGACTGAGTGGTCAGTGTGCACTTGCGGGGTGATTTTTTTGCTGCTCTTGATGACTTTTGTTCCTCGCTCACGCTCGCGACCAAGTTTTATCTGTGCGTTTCAGTTCGTGAAAGCGTGATGTCTCTAAGGTCGGTAGTACCGGAAATGATTGAGATAGTACTTACACACGACGTTCATCACCGGGCACTTGTATCTGCCTCTGTTCTTGTGATCTGCATCGATCTGAACGCTCTCCAAGGACAACGAAGTAGCCAGGTGCTGTGCGCGTCATTGTCGACAGTTCAGTTCCATACAAGATGATCTACTAGCTACTTCGTGAGGTTCAGACAACATTGTCGTGGTCTGGTCGTGTAGTTTCACTAGACGCGCTACTTTGACTCTGATGAACGTGAACCGCGACAGAGGGGCGCTTTCAGATGTTTGAATCTGGATGTTGTACGTGAAGATCTATTCGCTCTGGAACAACTACTGTAGTGAAGCGGTTAAGTAATAACGCATATCTTCTGGTTGTGGTTTCACGTTCATCAAGCCTAGCAGGCTTTGACGGAGCAATTGCGATTTAAAGAAGGTTGCTATATAAACGCACTGCGTAAAAAATGTAAAATGATACAGAAGTAAGAAGTGGTACAAGAAAATGGGAGAGCACAGCCTGATCGGGGACGATGGCTCGGCGGTACAGCCTACATCGTCTTCGTGCTCCAGCTCCTCGACAGTGCATCAACCGCCCGAGCGCAAAACACAGCAGGTAAAAGAACGTGAGAGTTCTTGCAGCCGACGCGAGGAGACGAACATGACGAGCACAAAAACTACCCTCGAGCCCGGGGAAAAATCCGAATCACGAGAAACCGAAATAAATCTTTTTTCTGCGATGCAGAAGCAGAAGCAGCGCCGTAAGGCCGACTTGCACCTGAAATTCGGCGACTTGTGCGAACGCGGGAAAAACTTTGAGAAAGCCTACGAGCAGTACGGAAAAGCGGTTTCGATACTGCGGGACGAGGTGCAGCTGTTGGAGCAGAGGCAGAGCAAGAAAGATCCGGATGATGATCTTGACAGAGCTGCGCCGCGAAACGAGGAGAATTTGGTTGGGGACTCTTGTTCTACAACAACATCGCCGGCACCGACGAAGTTAAAAATAGTGCAACATCGTCGCCGACGACCTGCAGAAGCGGAAGCGCTGGCTGCCCTGGGACGTGTTTGCGTGAAGTTAAAGAGGTTGGATGAAGCGGAGGCTTGTTTTCAAGAATGTTTGCAACTAGTTTTGAAGAACGTGACATCTGTGGTCGGCGATAGAAGTGGAGGTCCACGAGGAGGAGAAGTGGTACGCGACAGAGAGGGAACTACAACCGGAGGAGAGCACACGAAAAACTCGGATCACCACGATGAAACGCCTGTGTCAGGAGTGGAACAGATTTTACTGCGGCTTCAGAGCGTTTTTAGTGCGCCGGATCGAGTTGGTAGTCCTTTCGGCCTGGAATCATCGGAGATGAGGGCGGTAGAGTATCGTAGAGGTAGCTCCGCAAGTGGGACGAGCACGACATCGGCAACTTATCCGCGTGATGAAGGCGTCATTGCAAATCCAGATGAAGCTGCTAACGAAGCGCATATTACTGACGAGCGGAAAGACATATCAGAATCAGCCGCACAGAGGGAAGACCGCGCTGATTTGACTCAACCACCTAGAAAAAGTGCAAAAACTACAAGCAGGATAGTGCTGAACAGGTCACCTTCACAAAAAGAGATTTTTGCGCCTTTTTTATGCGAAGTTCTGGTGAATCTGTCGAACGTGTATTTCAGGCCGTTCGACGACGAGGAGGAGGATTTGAAGACTCCGCACCGGACTGGAAGAGAGAGCGGCGAGGGCGACGAAAAATCCCCACCAGCTTCGACTTGCTGTGCGGCCAGTGGTAGTTGTGCACCAGCAGTCGAAAGAACAAAGGCAAAAATGCCAACTTCAACTTGTGTCCTTCGTCCGTCTCCGTGCGCCTCAGGAACGCCCAACAGAAAGGTTGCCTGGGCCCTCGCTCTGTCCTGCTGTGAAACCGCCCGAGTTATCGAGCCCTTCGCCCCGGAGGCGATCATGCAGTCGTCGAACGTTTTGCGCGCTTTGGGTCGGTATGAATTGCAAAAATGTCTGGGTCTGGGAGATTGCCAGACTTGTCATGCAGGTTTTCCATGATCCATGGGGTCTGGTATGTAGCACATAGCATGACAGATTCTGTGAAAGTTCTATCATGCCTATCCTGCATGAGAAACTGCCTGTCGATTAGGTCAAAAGTGGACAGCTTTATTTGGTAATCATGCAACACAGATTTTTACAGGATTCAGATATAGCATGACAAGTTGCATTCCAGACACTTTTGCAATCCATAGTCGGCGGAGGGAAGCGATTCGGCTGGTTTGGGACGCGGTGGCGCAGGAGTTGGGATCGGGTCCAGGATATGCATTGCAAATATGTCTGGGTCTGGAAACTTGTAATGCTAAAAGTGAATGATCGACGCACTGCAATACGCAGCTACGCATGACAAATAATTTGGCTGCCATGTCTTACGTATTCCGCATGGCACACTGCGTTTTTGCGTGACAGGTAAGAGGACTTTTTCGTGCCTATGCAACACAGATTCTCGAGTCATTCCAGACAAGCATGACAAACTTGCATTCTTCCAGACCCAGACACTTTTGCATTTGATACAGGAGGAGTTGCGGAAGACGAGGGAAATTGTAATCAGAAGCACGATGGGTATACTGGTCCACGACCGCGGGAAGGGTTGCCAGAAGATTCTCGCTCGTCCTGCTCGACCACTACTTTAACAGAGGCCCCGTCACCGCCTGCGGTAGAAAAAACTACTAGTAGTTCAGGGAGTACACATGTGGTAAAAAAGGAAAGGCGTTTGGACGGAAAAAATGACAAAATGGGCTTGTTCGAGACGCGCGAGGATCCCGTTGGTGATCCAGAAGATCCTCCTCACCGACGGGATCATGAAGCCGCGGTCGTCTTCGTGTGCGTTTTGTGGGGCGACAAGGTCTACACGCCGGAAGACGTTAACAAGCTGTATTGTGGAGTGTGCCGAAACTGGCACGATCATGATGAACGTACTGGAAAGTCGGAAAAAAACGATAGTATCAAGAACGATTCCGGGAGCGGGCAAATAACTACTACAACTCAGAATTCAGCATGTCCGACGTCGACAAATGCAGAAGAAGGCGGTTCCGGTAAAAAGAACGCGGCCCGCCTTGCTCCACCGTTTTATTGCTTTACTGATCAGATACAGGAACACGATCTATTCTCGTCGTGCAGACATGAACCGTTTAATCAGCAGCCCCCGAGCACGACTTCGACTGGTGTCAAAACGGAAAGACCTCCTGCACCAATAGCTGCTGCTACAGCTGCCTCTTCGACCTTCCACCCGGACATCAAACTTTGCCCGCTCCCAAAAACCAAGTTCGGCTGGTGGGGCAAGGCGTTTCTGTTCTCCGACTGTGCCCAACGTCTGATGCAGTTTCCGCGAAAGGTGATTTTTCTCGATTTGGACCAAGTCATCGTCGGAGGGTTGACGGACTGGCTTGATGGCGCATCATATCAAAAGTAAAAATGTCTGGGTCTGGAAACTTGCGATGCTGGGTGGCGTCTCATGATGAGGCAACAGATGCTGGCTCAGCATGACAAGTTTCTGAGCTCCTAGGTGTTGCCTATTCTGCATGACAGACTGCGCTTCTGCATCACAGAAAAACGGAGCTCTTGGGTAACGTGCATGACAGATTTAAGAGTCATGCCAGACAAGCATGACAAACATGAATTTTTCCAGACGGACCCAGACACTTTTACAGTTGATACATCACGAGGTCCTCCATCATTATCTGGATTTTCCACTACACGTAGTGGAGTACTACTATCTTCTTCACCGCCGGCGGCGGCCACAAGGAAAGCTGCACCGTCTGCGACTGTAAACGCGTCTGCTGAAGGTCGACTACTTGCGGACGGTTTTGCTCAAGAAGAAAATTATCCACCAGCGCCTGTAGAAGAAGAGGATCGTCACCGGCGCCCCGCCGGCGTTGTTGAAAAGAACCTTGATGACTTTCTATTACTCTCCACCTGCACTCTGCAATGCGAAATCGCCAAAGACGACGGATACAATTCCTCCGTGATGGTGTGGTATCCACCCTTTCCTTCCGCTTATTTTCCACCGCCGCTGCCTGAAGATGATCATGATAGGGCAAGCGTCGAAATGCAGCAGCCGAGTCAACATGTTGTCGGCCCTGGGCGAGAAGATGTAGATGAGAAAAACGGCACCCACGACGTGCAGCAAGAAATAAAGCGGGCCTTCTTCCATCACCTCTCCCTGCAGAATGACACTATTATCGCGCAGACAAAAGCTAGCACAGCGTATTTGTAAAAATGCAGAAATAGTTATAGTGAATACTATGCACAAGCACAGAAGTGAAGTAGAATTAGAAAAAATCTGTCATGAGCGATCCCTCATCGTTCTGGTTCAGGTATGCAAGACGGATTTTTGCGTGTTTCTAAGTATTTGTTTTGGCATACGAAAAGTGGTGCGCTAGCTTTTTGTTTTTTCTGTGGGATAGCTGTCTTTCAAGCGGTCACGAAGTACTGCCACCGGTTTGACCACTGGTTGGAAATGAATCTTTTCGACGGGCACGGGGGTCGAGATGAGGATGTGATTACGAGGTTCGCGGATCCTCGTCCGGATCAAAATACGAGGGCATGTTCCGCATCGCTACTTCCACCAAGGCTACTGCGCTCCTTTCTCCAGGTCAAATTCATCCAAAACGTGTTTGGAAGGGACAAGGTCGTGGACTTTTGGCGCATGGAGCAGTTACTTGCTGGCGTCGACAGGAGCGTGTCTGCCGGGAAAGAGACTGCCATTGTCACGTTTCCGAGGAGTCCGAAGCCAGGGGACGTGGTGGACAAGTGTGTCTGGGTGAGGGAAAATTGGAAGGCTGAGAAGGCGAAGACGACTCGCGTTCTTTGAGCTCTTCTCCTACCGAATCCTGACTACAACTTCGCGATCAGTTATTGTCCCCGCACACAGTCCACACACACGGGTCGCGACTCGACTGAACTCCCTTAACTACAAGTTGCCCACTGTTCAACTGCTTCGGTGTTCAGATGATCCTTGATACACCATAGAGTTACTTAGTCGTGCTGCAGCAAAAAGTAAATAACGATGTTGAAGAAGCGAATGGTCTCGCGCCGTTCTTCGGTGCTGCGGAAAGGCAGTGCCAGTTTTTTTCTTTGCGGAAGAGTACACGTTGTTCATGTTCTCTTTGGAGACGCAGTCGCGCAAACAAATATGTTAAGTTTGTCCCGCCCCGTAAATGCATTTGAATTCGGTAATTGCTATGATTTTATGAAAGACATGCAAGATGAGCGGGGCATTTCTGAATTCTGATTCAGTTCTGTATTCGTTACGTTTAGATGGCCTCCGGTTGGATAGTCGGTACGTATTTTTCATGACCCTCCTGGTCCTGAGCGTGCTATTGTCAATCGGTCTTCAGCTGTGAGTTTTGGCTCCTGTCGGTTTGATTGCGTTGTGAAAAAAGTGACTCGGGTCCGTGTGCGTGCCGTTATATGAAACAATATCGGTCTGAGGCCGAAGCCGAACTGCATTTGCGAGCTGGAATACGCACACTGTATTCATGTCGTTACTTAAGTTGACAGTCCTTCTTGTTGCCGTCGGTGTGAGCAACGAGTTCGGTTAGGCCACGACTGAAGCCGCTGGTCGAACGGGGTTCGTGTATGATCGTAAATAGCAAGACTTGCGATTGTTGTGTTTTTCACCGTCTTGCGTCTGTTGAACAGCCGATTACATTGATTTTGATTTTTCCGACTTGCTCCAGCTCTAATTGATGATTTTGACTATCCTAAATCCCTCTCGGTATCGGTTCACTTTAAGACCTCCTTTCGACTTGTATTTTTTCTGCGAATCCCTACGACAAATCGACTTGCTAAAACAACCTCTCAAATCGCTCCGAGCAACAACGCAAGGAGGACTAAAACTACCTACGTGAAGATCCTATCTTTCACTCAATTGCTTCGAACACAAAAATGACGATCGCCAAGAGCTGCATGCCGAACGCTCCCGCCGCACCTGCTGATGCGACTTCTTTACCGTTTTCGCAGGACGAGACGCCGGACTTGGCCGCGTCGACGTGTGGCCAAGACCGTGGTCCACCCACTGCAAAGAAGGACGGACCGAAGACGAGCGATAAATCCGTGCCCACGGGTCCCGAGGTGCACAACTACATGAAGCGCGCCGGCAAGCGCAAGCAGGTGGTAATGCACCGCTACAAGAAGCTGGAGCTCCGCTACACCTGTCAGCTGAGACACGACAAGAAGACCAAGCTGGGGGCCGCCGCAGCGGCCGTTGGGGCGCAGACGGTCGGCTTTGTGTCGGTCATGGTTGATGGCGTGCAGGGCGTGCGGACCCAGAACTTGCTGAAGCAGAAGGCGGCGCGCCTGCCGGAAAAGGGCGAGCAAATCGGTGATGGAGCAGGTGTCGCTGGTGTTGAGTTGTCCTCGGCCGCCTCGTCCGCCGATGTGCAAGCGTCGTCTGGCGGGGGACATGCGGAGCAAGACTTTGCTGTGACCATTGCGGGCGACCAACGTTCTGACGTTGCGGGCGTGGCTCTGGGTGAAGGTGGTCAGCCCGAGAAGACGAAAAAAACGGCGTTTCTGGCGAAGACGGGCACGGGCGTCGTGCGGCAGAAGAAAAAGTTGCTGGCCGGCGGCGCCCAGGGTACTTGCTTTTCTTTGGCAACTTTCCTTACAACAAAGATGAAATTCGTCATTTAGCAGCCAGGCTCCCTTGATGTTCTGTTGAATGATGGTCGTTTGAGTTAGTATGACCAGCTCTTACTAGAGAGAGGGGATAATGCTCGTCTTTCGAAAGCAGCTGCTGAGAACGAGAAGTAGAAGCTGGTACAAGCGGAAACGTGATCTAGGAAATATAGAGCATTTTATCTATGTCGCATTGATGTTTTACAGGCTGCGCGTGGTTTGCTGATCCTGTGGAGCGTCTCGACTGGACACATTTTCGGACAAACGCCTGTGAGCTCGTTGCGAATATCGTAGCGGATTCCGGTAGTGGAGACGCGGCGACCGCACCCGCAGACGCAATAAAGCCGAAGGCGCAGGCCATCAAGACCAAGGCCAGAACGATGCTGGGAGAAGTTTGGAGAGACACTGGAACTTGGCAATCTTTGCAGCACCAGGGCTGCTTCGGCACATCGCTCGGGCAAAAACTCATTCGACTGTCCACACTGTCCGAGTCCTTCTACAACAACTCGTCTTGGCGAGCAGGGTTGTGGCACGTGCGAGACGTTGACTTCGCCGCGGCTTCCTTGGCGTGTCAAATTGTCAATAGCGAAGATGAGAAGCGGGGCTGTGGCGGTGTTGATCAAACTGGTCCTGAAGGTGACAAGGTGCTCTTTGGTGGGGGCTCATCTGATGATACTTCTCACGAAAATAGAATGCAAGCAGCCAAAGAAGTCTGCAAATCCCACAAGAATTTTGGTCTACAGTCACACGCCAGGTCAATCTGGCGCCGGTTATTTAAGTACTTAGTACCCAACTGAAACTGGTCAGGGACAAAACCAGTACCCTAGTCAACCCTCTGGAGAAGATGACGAATAAGGAAGGGAAGTGACTGCCCGGTAAAAATACAAGATGCCATGCGATAGGAAAATATGATTCTTTTACCGTTTGTTTTGACTTACGCCTATATCGAAGCAGCTGATAGATATTATAGCTGTTGCTAGTTGCCGTGGTTGCCATGAAAATGAATGACACTGCTCCTCCACAATTTGCGCCTCAGGCGCAGCTCCGTTTCGTTTTCGGTCACAAATAAACCAGGAGCACGACGAAGCTAGGCCGGTAGCATCGTGGAAGATGGCGAATTAAGTAATGAAAATGAATACCAATACTCAGCTTTCTTTTGTGATTTTAATAAAGTTTTAGCTTATCTTATGATTCAGCACCTTCAAATGCAATTGCATTTCTAACTCACTGCTCAAAAACAAATTTGAACAATCTGTTTTGTACGAAGTAGAAGTCGGTCTACAGTTCCTCTTGTCTCTAGTCTCCACAGCAGTTTTTTCACCAGCACCAACGAACAGTTACTTTATTTTGTGGACGCCATCTCGGCCACGTCCACGTCCAGACGCGGACTGACATTTTGCGCCACAGCAACGGATTTGACAGTTTGATTTGATGATACAAGACATACGGATACGGAAGCACACGGACACCAGAGGGAGCAGCTAAGCGCAAGCGCTCTATCTGAGGTGCCGCGTTACTTTCCTTTCTGTAGGTTTTATCCGAAGATGAACACGGATGAAAATTTCTTGGCTTCGCAGCAGAAGAGCAATGAATGGTACAACAACTCACTTAGTTGCGATATTCAGGAGTCGAAAATAGGAAGTTGCAAGTGGTGGCTTTTCATCATCTTTGATTTTCTGTTCATCCTCCTGCTGCCAATCAGAAATACTCACTTTGTCCGCCCACCTGTACATTTATTTTATTCAGTCACTTTGCACGCATACATTGTTTCATCATGCTGGGGATCCGCATCTGCCCATTCATTTCTATCCATCCGAGTAGAAAAGGGATTCAATTCATCCAGCGAACAAGATTTGAATTTAGCTCGGGCTCGCGCGTGCGAGTTACGCCATGGCAGCGGTTTTATTTTTGAGAAGCCCTTGCACAGTGGTGTCAACACAAACGCGCATGTCCAAAGTAGTCCAACGTGTCCACGTTCAAGATGTGAGTCCAGCCTCCTTTCTTGGAGTTAGTGGTCGCTAAATGCTACTTCGAAAAACCCACAGCGCGGGCCGCGCACGCGGCCCGGGACCCTAGTGACCCCGCTAAAAGCAGTTATCGAGAACTCGTTCTCGTATTGCTCAAAACCTTTCCTCACACCCGTGCATAGCACGCACGGCGGCTGTGTGGGGTGGTGTGTGTTTTTCGGGTCAGAGACCTCAGGACTTCTCGAAAGTTTATTACCGTAGCTCGTGCTACTTCCTGCTAGTTCAGATTTCTCTGGTTAGCAGGTAGCGGCTAGTCCGCCTCACGAATTTGCAGTAGTTGTTTCATCGGCATGTTTGTCACCGGCCCTGCGAATTCCCGCTGCCAGTTTATTAGCGGCGGCTTATCCATGGTCGGTTGCCACATGTCGATGGCCTGCTGCAGCTTGTCGTACCTTGAAAAGGGGTCCGCGCAGTTCAGCTCGCTCTTCACGTACTCGCACCACGAGCGGCAGCTGTATTCGTGGCACCACATCGCTGCCCGCGTACATATGTTCGTTGTCAGCAGCGAGTTGGCCGAGCATTTCACCGCGGCGCACAGCTCGCCGGTGTTGTCCACTCGGGTGAACGTTACCGAGTGGCTGAGCTCGTGTCGCCACGTCAGCTGCGCCACCCGGATCATCATCGCCTCGTAGTGTTCGATTGTGAGCGGGTGTTTGTAGTGCTCGCTCACGTCCGGGAAGTCGTACGTGATTGCCCGGATCTGGCCTGTTCCGGTTATTAGCAGCGCCCCGCCGCATGGTCCGCCCGCCTTGGAGCCGTTGCTGCTGGCGTCCAGGTGCAGCCAGTTTGTTTTCCCGTCGTGCACCTGTGGTTTTAGCACCAGGGGCTTCTGGTTTTTCAGCACTACCTGCACGCCGCGCAGGAGCACGGCCAGCTTGCGGCGCCGCGCTTTGTCCAGCACCCAGGCGTCGAGCCGCTCGTCCGATCCCGTCCAGTCATATATTCCGCGGAGTATTTCATTGCCTGCGTGGTAGGCGGAGTTGCAGACGATGAAGTTGGCTATGCCCAGCACGCGCTGCAGGTCCTTCATTGTCAGGCCTTGGCCCGCTTCGCACTTCTCGACGCAATGTTTCGTTTGTGTTAACGCCCTGTTCATGGAGTCCGCCGTCGGTTCAACTGTGATTTTGTTCAGCTCTCTTCTCCAGAAGTAGTTGATGCCCAGCGCTTTGATGGGGTTGTGCTCACAGCTGTTTTGCGACGCTCCGGGCTTGTCGCTTATCACCAGCCCCAGCGTGCGCGCCATCTGGCGGTAGAGTTCTCGGCTAAGCATCAGCCCTTCTCGGTCCAGGGCCATGTAGTAGCCGTCGTCGATGTATATCACCGCTACCGCGTAGAAGTGGATCAAAATCGACATGCACAGCTCCGCGACCCTGCACCACGATGGAACGCTGTGCAGGTTGCCCATGTTCAGCACCAGCGCCAAGAAGTACTGGTAGGACATGGTGTGGTTTGACCACGCTGCTACCGGGTTGTGCTCCGGTATCTCACACCCGACCTGGTGGTAGGCGCCTTTGTAGTCCTCGCTGCCCAGTTCCACCAGCGGTTGTTTCGCGGTGTTGTGCGGTGTCTTTTTTATCGAGTTGCGCGCGTAGCGCGCTTCCTTTTTCACCCTGCTCATGTAGTCGCGTCCCGTCTTTTCGCCAAAGAAGGAGTCGCTGTGCGTCTGCTTTCTGTTGCGGAATTGTTCCAGGTGCTGCTGCATTTGCTCATAGACCTCCTTTTTCGAGGTGGTTGCGGGCATTCTGCAGCAGGCTTTTTCCTGTCCGACCGGTGCCGTCATGGCCTGCGTCAGTTCCTGTATGACGCGGGTTCCGTAGAGCTGCAGTTTCTCCAGCAGCACCGAGCGCATGTTCTTCCTGCGCTCGTCCACGATTGGTCGTATTTTCCGAATTTCCTCTTTCGGAAATATATACGCGGGCACGCAGTGGAGCTGGTGCTCACTGATTTCCATGTTATGCCCGCGTTTGACCATCTGCATTTGTTCTTCTAGCACCGCGTCCAGTAGCTTGTCTGAGAACCCCTTAGGCTTCAGTTTGCGCAGCGTCACTCCGGCCTCGAAGAGCGCGTCGATCTGTTCTTGTTCCAGCGGTTGCTTGGTTTCGTCGAGGCCCCACACGTTGGACTCGGTCTGGTTCCCGATGGTGGGGAAGCCCTTCAAGATCTGCTCTGGCAGCTTCTTGTCCGGGTGCCCGATCATCGCAGTCAAACGCCGCATCGCCGGTACGTTCCGCACCTGCCCGTTCTCGCTGACCAGCACGCGTTGCAGGTGCTTGGGCGCGTGTTCGCGTACCAGCTGGAGTGCCTCGTTCTTGGTCTCCAGCTCGATCTCCTTCAGTATTTCGATTCCTCTTCGCAGGTGGGCTTTCCACCTGCCGGGGTGCTGTTTACAGAGCTTTGCGTTTCTGTAAAGCTCCTCCCTGATGGTCTTGACCGCTCGGTCCTCTGCGATGCAGGCCTGTACGTAGCAGATGGCTTCGTGCGCCTGCACCTTGAGCTCCTCTGCCTCCGTCCAGTTCGCCGACGCGTACTGCATCTGTGCGGCCACCGGCGCTTCCGGTGGCGGTAGCTGCAGCTCTGCCGAGCTGTAGCCGAACCCACCATGCTTAGCGCGCTTAGCACGCGGCATCTGGGTGGCAGTTGGGGTGGTGGTGGGACAAACTTCACGATGTTGCCGCGCCGCAACGTTCGCGAGGTTCCCCGAGCGGAAACACCAACTAACCAACAGCAGTGCGTTCATGTGGACATACGCGTTTGCGTTCGTTGTGCGTGCAAATATCGATCGATCGAATCTCACTGATTGCTATAAACCCGATTGCTACTGGGATGGAATGCACTTATTCGAATTGCATTACAGACTATACCTGGCGGACATTGGCTCGTGGCGCAGGCTGTCCGCCCACCTGTACATTTATTTTATTCAGTTACTTTGCACGCATACATTGTTTCATCATGCTGGGGATCCGCATCTGCCCATTCATTTCTATCCATCCGAGTAGAAAAGGGAATCAATTCATCCAGCGAACAAGATTTGAATTCAGCTCGGGCTCGCGCGTGCGAGTTACGCCATGGCAGCGGTTTTATTTTTGAGAAGCCCTTGCACAGTGGTGTCAACACAAACGCGCATGTCCAAAGTAGTCCAACGTGTCCACGTTCAAGATGTGAGCCCAGCCTCCTTTCTTGGAGTTAGTGGTCGCTAAACGCTACTTCGAAAAACCCACAGCGCGGGCCGCGCACGCGGCCCGGGACCCTAGTGACCCCGCTAAAAGCAGTTATCGAGAACTCGTTCTCGTATTGCTCAAAACCTTTCCTCACACCCGTGCATAGCACGCACGGCGGCTTTCGCCATACGTGCCCGAAGCTCTGCTCACTGCATATCCTGGTCGTCGGCCTCCAGCTGCAGGTCTGCTTCTTTCGCCACACGTTTCCTGACGACTTTGTCGCCGAGCGTGCGCTTGCGCGGTGGAATTCGGAGGTGCTTCTTGTTGTTCACACCCTTGTGCTTTATTCCATCCACTTCGCAGTCACATGCCGGGCATATCTGCGTGTTGTGGATGTAGAAGATGCCTTGGTGGCAGTACATCTCGTCTTTCTGCGCCTTGCGTAGCACCGCCGCGGGTTTCCCCTTGTTCGGGATTAGTGCTCCCGCTTTGTGTTTCTTCTGCACCACCGGCTGTTTCGGAGGCTGCTTTACTGCCGGTTTTTTCTCCTGCCCCGCGGCGTTGTCGTCCTCTTTCTGAACCAGGTTTCTGTAAGCAGGTGGGAATGCTCCCGGCACTTTTACCCGCGGTTTCACGTCCAGCAGCTTCTTTTCCAGCGCCGTTCGCGGGTCCGGCCCCGGCTTCGGTGCGAGGAGCTTGTTTTTCTTGTTTGGCGGTGACAGCATCTCCATGTCCTCCGCTGTCAAGTCCGTTTTTTGTGCCACCTGCTTTTTCATCTCCCATAGCCTCTTCGTTATGCCCGGGCACTGCTCCTCCAGTTCGGAGTCGTTTTCCGTAAGGCAGTCATCGATGCTGTTTTTTAGCAGTGGCGCCACGTTACGGCTGTAGAGGTGCCCCTTGGGCGGTCGTTCGTCGCCTTGCAGCGCGTGCGGCCTGATGGACGAGAGCACCGGGCAGACAGCATCTGGAATGCTATCTTTCCACTTTTCGTAGTCGGCGCAGTAGCGGTTGTACGTGGCTAATTTTGTCCATCCGCGATCCATCATCCAGCTTGTCAAGTCGAATCTTGCGGCGTCGCTGGTCATCGCCCATCTGGCGTACAACGCCGCCGCCCTGCGTGGCGACTGCTGCGTCCAGCCGAGCCGACGCAGCAACGCGCGGCTTTCCGATGCTCTCGTGATTGTCTCGCTGCCGTTTCCCCACATTTGTTTCGCGATCGGCAGGTCCAGTCGCGCGTGTTCCGGGTTGTGCAGGAGGCACCAGGTGCGGTTGATCTGCTGTTTCTCCCCTGGCGGTCGCACCGCCAGGCCTCCGCCGAGGTGAGGTGGTTTTTGTAGTGGCACTGCATCGCGCAGCGCCATCCGCTCCCCGGTCTGCATGAAGCAGTTGCATCCGATCATGATGTCCCTGCCCTGGAATTTTCGCACTTTATCTTTGCCGACCGTCACGCAGAGGACTTCCTGGCCGTTGTGGACGCGGCGTTTCACGTCCTCCTCGTGTATCTCGTAGATGCTGCTGAAGCGCAGTCCGGTTTGGAGTGCGAAGCACATCTGCGTGAACTGGTTCGGATACAGCAGCTGCGTGACTGCCGGTCGCAGAATTGCTGGTTTGGCTTTGTGCGCTTCATCGCACGTCGCCGCGCGCTGCACGTCCCGCCGTGCAGCCACCAGCTCCAGCATCTCGTATCCCCACGCCGGCGCGAGGACGTGCCGCGTACTGCCATCCGGTCCTTTCGGGGGTCGGATGCACCGCAGTATCACCTGTCCCAGTATGCCGTTCGGGTCCTTCTGCCCCGACCTGGCGAGTGTGAGGCCGTACAACCTCAAGTGTTCCACTTCGATCGCACCCGGGTATACCGGCGGGAATCTCTTTGCACACCATGCTAGGAACTGGTGGTAGTATTGTTCCCGTTTTTGTAGTGTTCCCGCGGCGTTGGCCAGCAGCCCCAGCTGGTAATCCTCCTCCTGCTGCAGTTCCATCGCCGCCTGGGCCTGTAGCAGGCCGGAGTACATCCCCGCCATGGTGGTCGCTGCTTGGTGCCCCACCGCGTACGTGGTTAGGAAGCCGGCTGTTACCACTGCTACGTTCCTCGTCGCCGTCGGTCCCGCTCGTTGGCCCGCTAGCACCACGAGGAGTAACGCAAACGCATGTACGACGTGACCTAGCATTTCATCTTGCACGCAGCATCAACGATACGACAAGCCGCACAGCGCAGAACCAGAAGCATTCTCTCTCCGCTCTCTGTTCTGTTCTTCATGTCATATCCGCGCTACATGCGTTTGGTAACAGCCCTACTCGTCTGGACCATTTCGGCGACTCTTCGGGTGGGTTTACGTGCGCGCGCACGCCCTTTTTTGATACATTTTCCGTTCCGCGAACATCAGCTTGCACCTCGCATTTTTATACTCACTACTCTAGACGCGGTGCCGGACCAGCATGCCTTCCTTCTTTTTTCCGTTTTTCAAATAGCATGCTATTTCCTTTTCTTTTTTTTTTTTTTTTCACATTAGAAATTCCATAGTGCCCGTGGGACTTTTCCTTTTACATCTACCTGCGAACCGCAACAGCAACTCTAGAGTAGTAATTTTTAAAAATTTTTTGATGTTTTCCTCCAACTCCTCTTCATCGATTCCCCGGTGAGTCCTCGTTTTTTGGGGAGTCAAGCTCGACCCTACAGCGGAATTTAGTTGCTATTTCGTTGTTGTCGTCCTGCTGTTTTGTATTATTTGTTGCTCTCTAACCCTGTAGTTGCCTACAGGAGGTCGCTTTGCAGCTAATTGTTGTCTTTCCTCGTTTTCGTCAGCTGCTGTTCCCTTCGTTATTTAGTTGTTTCCGCTCCGGCTCCCGGTGCTGTTCCTGCGGCCGGCACTGGGCGTGGGGTCGCGGAACTGCACTTTCTTTTCCTTGTTTTTCTTACCCGCTTTGTCCCCCATCCCGTCCGTCTGCCTGCAGTGCGACAGCAACACGTCTTTCCAGGTGACCTCGGTGCAGATCAGGTCTTCGAAGGGCGGGGAGCCTAAATCGCGGATGTTGTCCACGTGGTGGAAGCGGCACTTGCCTTCGCCCCGGTTGCAGGCATTGCGTGCCGAATCGCGGCAGAAACAAGAGGGAGTCCCTTGGTTTGATAACCAGGCGTTTTGTACTGGGCACGGTTGTACATACCCTTGTCCGGTCACCGTCCAGAAGACGTATTTGTTCAGCTTGGTATCCCATTGACCGAGCTCCTTGCACTTGGTGGCCAGCTTCCGCGAGTAGACCGGGTCTTGCTCGCTGGTGGGTCCCGCACACAGGGCTTCCACAGCCGCTTTCGTGATGGGTTCCTTTCCAGCCAGCGCTTCCTTCTGGTCCTGGTACCCCTTCTGCGGCTGCGGGTTGAGCGTGATCTGCCCCTTGTTGGGCTTAGGCCGCTTGTCCGTTTTTCCGCGCTTCGATTCGTGGTTCACTTCCTCGTCCTGCTGCTGTCCCAGGGGGTGCAGTCCCATCTGCTGCTGCTGCTGCTGCAGGTAGTTCAGGTTATCCGGGTAGTTCGTTCCCCCCACCTGCGTGTTCGTATTGTTCTGGTTTCGCCCACCGCCAGCATGCGGATACAGCGGCAGCAATGTGTGGCCGCCCGCGGAAGTGTCGTTGTTGTTGTAGCGCTTGTTGGACTTGCGTCCAAAAGCCTGTTTCCGCTGTTCAATCATCTCGACGATCATGTGCAGACCGTGGATCAACTGCGTAGCCACTTTTGTGGTGTCCGGTTTTTGTTTCATGGTCTGCACGGCCGGCGAGTACCACTGCGAGATCAGAATCTCCGGGCTCACCTTACACAGGTGTACCGCAACTGGCACTACGTGAAACACCATGTGCGGCATCGTGATCGCATTCATCCGGTGTTTCACTGGTTCTAACATTTCCGCGGCTTCCGCTGGTCCCGTACCGTCGAGGACAGCAATCGCGAGTTTCGCGATCTCCGCCGTGACCGGAAAACGCGCCGGGTCGCGCACAAAGGTTTCCGTGATGCACACTTCCATGTGCGTGTCCAGCGGGCTCTGGTCCACCTGCCGTTTGAGCTGTAACAGCGAGGTCACGTTGATTGCTGTTAGCAAATCCCTGTCGAAGTCCGGCGACACTCTCTCGAGTGTGCGTTTTTGCACTTCCAGCATCACCTGCAGGCACCCCGTGGTCTCGTGGGTCGACAGCCCTTTGCCAGATTTCCAGCCTGCGATGCTGAAGCAGCTGACTACGTTGCCGTTCGGGTTGATCAGCGTGTTCTGCGGTTTCGGCAGCGGTGTTGATGCGAGTTGGATGTCGCTCCACACCCCATTATCCCCCGCCAGCGCCATAGCAATGCGGGCGACCTCGCTTTGTTGTTCCGTACAGGTCTGGAGGAATTTGTGCATAAAGCAATTTGGCTGTTCGTGGATGTATTTCGAAATTTTTCGCAGCCTGGCAGCCCGATCGGTGTCGTCTTTGCAGCCTTGCAACGCGTTCGAGATGCTCTGGCTGTACATTTTCGATTTCAAGTCGCTGGTGCGGCTTCCCCAGACCGGCTCGGCCCAGGCGCCCGGCGTGTTCACCCACGGCTTTTTCTTCCACTCCGTCGTTGCTCCTTCGCGGATTCGCTGCGCCGGCGAAGCGCCGTCCTCATCTGGCATTTCGCCCTGCAAGTTCACCCATCCATAGAGCTCGAAGTACATCCACGGCGAGTGGGGGTTGTCTCCCCGCGCATTGAAGTGTTCCTCTTCGCCCGTTCGCCATGGTCCCTCTGGCTCCTTGGCGGAGCGGTAGTTGACCGTGTTCGTGGTTTTGTTGGCGGAAACTTCTTCACGCTCGGTTTTCACCGCGGCTAAAATTTCCTCTTTCTGCTGCCGCATGGCTCGTGTCAACTGCTGGACGAAGTTCGGGACATTGACGTTTCCGTTGGCATCCCCCTGGAGGGCTTGGATGAGTGCGCCCATCCCGGCTTCGTTTTCGCTCGCAGAAGATGTCGTTGCCTGTTTCACCTTTGTCATGTCAGATTGTTCCGGCGGCGGCGGCGGCACGCCCGCCGATCCCCCAGCAAAGGCGATTCCACTGCCCGCTGCTGCGGCGCTGGGGGCGATAGCAATCGTGTTCTTGGTTGTGGTGCTGCTCTGCACCCCTGCGGTGGTCGTCGTGCCCACGAACAGCTGCTGTCCGTTTGGCACGATGGCAAACGGGGAGGCCGTGTTCTCATTGTTCTGTTCGTCCGGCTGCGTAAAGCTGCCTCCGAGGCCCTGCTTTTCCGCCTCGGCGCCTGCGCTCACCTCCTGTTGTTCTTCTTCTTTTTCCCGTTCCAGCTGTTGTTCCTCCTCCAGCTTGCGTTGTTCCTCTCGGAGCTGTTCCACTTTGAGGCGGATTTCCTCTTTTTTGCGTTCGCGCTCAGCCTGCTGTTCCTGGCGCTGCAGTTTTTCTTCCTCCTCCAGTTTTTTCTTGCTTCTCCAGCGCGTCCTCCATTTCCTTTTTCACCATGGCCTCGTGTTCCTCCTGCGTCGGCAGCGTATCCAGCGTGGTGTCTCGCGGCAGGAGCAGTTTGTAGAGACCATGCTCATCCGGGTACATGTCATTGAGGCCTTTTTCCTCAGGGTCGGCTAGCGACCTGATCTTGTCCATGCCCTGATAGACCCGCTCTTTCAGCACGCGCTGCTCCATGTTGAATCGTTCCCGTTCCTTTTCTTTTTCAACGCGGTCTTGTTCCTCTTTTTCCTTTCTGATGCGTTCTTCCTCCTTCCGCTGCGCTTCCACGGCGTCCGCATCAGCCATTTGCTCAAGCATCTGCCGCTTCGCCTCCAGCTCCGACATCTGCTCTTCCGCCTTCTTTTTCCCTTCCTCGAGCAGCGACTCCATGGACTGGAGGTTCGACTCCTTGAGGTTAAGGCTTTTCTCGCGCTCCTGGAGTTCTTTTTCCTTCAACTGCTGCAGTTCCTTCGCGCGCTTCGCTCGCAGTTTTTCCTTTTCCAACCGCGCGAAGTACTCCTCCATGCAGTCGTCTTCCTCGGAGTCGTTTTTGTCGTCTCCGAGGTCGCCGTCGTTTTTGTAGGTGAAGCACGCGCGGATGCGGACATCCCCTTCGTGGTTCGCCGTGAAGCAGATCGGCCCGTGGAAGCTGGTGTCGGGAACCTGCTGTGCCTGGTCGACAGCAGTGTCGATCCAGGTCTTCAACAGCTTGTCCTTTTTCATGCTTTTTACATCCGCCTCTTTCTTGACGTCGGCCTCCACCAGCAGTTTTTTCAGCTGCTTGACGTTGAGGTCACGCAGCAGCACCCAGGTGTCATCCGTGTTCTCGTCCAGCAGCGTGGTTTTGGCGAGACACAGCAGGATGCAGAACTTGTGGCGCAGTTTTCCGTTTACCACCCGTCCCGTGATGGTTCCCGTCACCGCCGGGTCGTTCACCGCCGAGCTCTTGTAGTAGTGGACGTCGTTTTCGCGCGGGAAGGCGAAGTTCGTTTTTCCCTCTCCGAGCTCGTTCACCCGCTGCTCCTGCAGCAGTTCCAGTGCGGCTGTCGTCATGTCGCCGTTTCCGAAGAGGATGGCTGCACGGTTCACCTGCTGTTTCTTCTCCGCGGTGGCCGCGTTGTACGCCGCGTACCACTTCTCCAGCACTTTCTTCACTCCGCGCGCAGCAGACAGGTCCGCCAGGCAGAACTGGAACAGTTCCTCCGCGGTCTGCGGCGCCGCGTTGCCGACCGGTCCTTCCGGGAATTTCAACATGGTTACAGCGTGGTGGTGTGTGTGCGGTGTTGAGGAAAGGTTTTAGAATTTAGGGTTAGCTTTGCTTGTTCGATGTTGTCTGCTCTTGGACTTTACAAAAACTCTTTGGCTTCTAGTTCTAGAACTAAGTGAGTTTTTATTCGCGTTTTAAAGTGGGTGTTAATACTCGCTAGAGTAAAAGTTTTTTGGTATCGACTTAACAGTCAGTACCTTCGGCCTGCGTTCGGTTGCGATTCAAACAGCTGCTTGTGGTTGGATCTGTGATCTACGTTTTCGCTCTTAGCATGCTCTATCTTCTATTCGTATACGTACTCGGTTTCTTCTGTCATGCTCCCTGTCATGCTTGCCCCTGTAATGCTCGGCATTGCCTCAACTGCCTCTATAGTTGTCTTACGTTCGCTATCGAGTTTCGATCTCGCACGCGCTCTTTCGATTTGATCTGATTTTTGATCGTGCACTTGCGTGCATGCCAACAAGGCATTTCCCACTAAGCTTGCCCAGACGCCCGGTGCCCGTGCTCAGCACACCGGCGCGTCTCGTCGGCCATTCGGAGTTCCGTGTTTTCCCTGGAGTTCACCATCAGAAGCGGCTCACCCAGAGGGCGCAAGTATGGCGTTATGCCGCCATCTAACCCTGGGGCCGAATCTGGCTGTCCCCCGGTGCCACCCGGGTTCCTGTGTTGCCGTTTACGACATGCGTTTGTATTTCCTGTGTCGGCCCGCTGTCGCGCCGCGGGTGGCCCCCGGCTCACTTTCGTGAGACCGGGTTTGCCATTAAGCGAGCAACGCTTGCCGGCAGCCAGACACACACATCCGCGGGGGACGGCTCGTCCCCCCGATGCCCTCGGTGCCTTCCCCGTGCTGTTAGCGTACAAGCACGAGGAGGCAGGAACAAACTTCACGATGTTGCCGCGCCGCAACGTTCGCGAGGTTCCCCGAGCGGAAACACCAACTAACCAACAGCAGTGTGTTCATGTGGACATACGCGTTTGCGTTCGTTGTGCGTGCAAATATCGATCGATCGAATCTCACTGATTGCTATAAACCCGATTGCTACTGGGATGGAATGCTCTTATTCGAATTGCATTACAGACTATACCTGGCGGACATTGGCTCGTGGCGCAGGCATCTTCAATTGCGACGAACTAGCTCATCTTTGTCTCTGCAAGGATGATGAAGGAAATTCACATACGAGAAATCTTCTCTCTGCGTGTTGAGTGCCTCCGCCCGTATCGTCGCTATTCGTGACCCGGCTGAACGTGGTATTGTCATTCGGTCTTCAGCTGCATGTTTTGGCTCCTGTCGGTTTGACTGCGTTGTGCAGAAAGTGATTCGGGTCCGTGTACGGTTACGTTATATATATTTAACGATATCGGTCTGAGGCTGAGCTGCACGTGCACGCTGGAAAACGCACCCAGTAAGTATTCATTTCGTTAAGTACTCAAGTTGGCACTCCTTCTCCTTGCCGTCGGTGTGAGCAACGAGTTCGGTTAGGCCACAACTGAAGCCGCTGGTCGAACGGGGTTCGTGTATGATCGTAAATAGCAAGACTTGCGATTGTTGTGTTTTTGACCGTCTTGCGTCTGAACTGCCGATTAAGTACATTCTTGATTTTTGATTTTTCCGACTTGCTCCAGCTCTCATTGATGATTTTGACTATCCTAATCCCTCTCGGTTCACTTCAAGACCTCCTTTCGACTTGTATTTTTTCTGTGAATTATCCCTACCTACGACAAATCGACCTGCTAAAACGACCCGCCAAACCGCTCCGAGCAACAACGCAAGCAGGACTAAAACCACCTACGTGAAGATCTTATCTTGCAATCAATTGCTTCGAACACAATGACGATCGCCATGAGCTGCATGCCGGACACTTCCGCCGCACCTGCTGAGGCGATTTCTTTACAATTCCAATTTTCGCAGGGCGAGACGCCGGACTTGGCCGCGTCGACGTGTGGCCAAGACCTTGGTCCACCCACGGCAAAGAAGGACGGACCCAAGACGAGCGACAAACCCGTGCCCACGGAGGTGCACAACTACATGAAGCGCGCCGGCAAGCGCAAGCAGGTGGTAATGCGCCGCTACAAGAAGCTGGAGCTCCGCTACACCTGTCAGCTGAGGAACAACAAGAAGACCAAGTTGGGGGCCGCCGCCGCGGCCGCCGGGGCGCAGACCCTTGGCTTTGTGTCGGTCATGGTTGATGGCGTGCAGGCGGTACGTCCCTCGGCGCCCCAAAACTTGCTGAAGCAGAAGGCGGCGCGCCTGGAGGAGCAGCAGCATCGTGTGGGAGGTGGGGCCGCGGCTGCTGCTGACGCAATGTCCGCGAATGTTTCGTCCGACGAGGCAGCCATGGCTGATGGACATGTTGACGGAAACTTTTCTGTGGATGATGCGGGCGAGGGACGATCTGACGCCACGGCCTCCCCGGCAGAAGATGCTGACCCCGGCTAGAAAAATACTGCATTTCTCGCGAAAACGGAAACGCGTGTGCAGAAGAAGAAATCGTGGGAATGGTTTCGCCGCATCATGCCGAAGAAGTCGTGGTTCACGACCCGCTTCCGTACGCCTTTTCTTCAACTCTTTAGTTCGTCTCAACAAAGAACCATTTTTTGTGTTTCCGTCTACTGTACTCGAACTATGAGTATGTGGAAAAGTGGAGAATGAACAGCGGCCGTCTATCTCTATCATCAAAGTAAATCCGACACGAGGAGAATTCTGTACTAGTTTCCGTGCTGCATAAGTGTGCATCCGAATACTTGTTCCTATTACTTACAATCCAGATTGCAGTGGCGCCACGTGGAAGGATTTCCGTGAGGGCGTTTGCGACAAATTATGCCGTGACCAGACCGCCACCGCAGTCCATGCCTGCCAGCGGATGCCGTTTTTGTGGCTCCGTAGATCAAGATGCATGTCGATGATCGACTTTTTCACTTGTAGTCATGTTATATTATTTATCTGGTAGTGTCAGTGTGGTCCTGCCTGCCGACGGCGGGAAAAACACATCTGGTACCGACGTACAGACAAGGCTGGTAAGTTCTCTGATTGCCGGGACGATAAACGAGGGCGCCTCGGACTTAAAAGTTGGATACTACCTATTGTAAATTCGTGGAAAAAAAGCAGCATTGATTCCGAGTGACATTACTTCGTTGGCAGTACGACTTCGTTTGGCTATTTTCATTTGTAAAGGAAGTTGCAGGCAACTTGGTTGAAGCGGTAGCAAGTGTTAAGTTCGGGCAACCGGAACCGTCTGAGTCACCACCAGAACCAGCACAGGTCGCACAGGAGTTTCGAGCTTCCCACAACGAACAAAACGACTTGGCTACCAACAAGGAACCGGGCCTGCCACATCGCAGCGCGTCACTTTCTAATTATATTCATATCTATTATGATGTTTGTACACGACCAAAACACACAAAGGCTGAGCACAAGCGCCCAGCTCGTGTATACCTAGGTACCGAGTTCATCCGTACTTAACTAAAAATCGTTTTTGCGCACGTGCGCCGCTGCCTTTCGCAAAAGCTGTCTCACTTCATGCGTGCATGGCTTGCTGTGTGTACAGGCGTAAGCGTAGGGATGTGGAGGAGTTGTATGTCCGCGCCGTGCTAGTGCTGACCAGAGCACGCAATTTTGTAAATTTCTCTGATATAATCATAACAATTGAGAAATGATGTTGGCTTGCCGGTGCCTCCACGGATACTTACTCGAAAACTTTGCCTGGTTTTAGAGTCTCTTTTTTCATCCTTGCACCCTTTTCCCGTGCGCCTAGTTTTGCTGGGTGATTATATGTTGCTAGAGGGTCTTGGGGCTCATGTAGCTAAGTTCCGGTTTTGATGTGGTTCTCGTTAGACAGGCCGCGTCGCGCTTTTTTGCTTCGTGCTGGCGCCGAGTTTGCCTTTGCGAAGCCACCATGCATATCGGCGCCCTCCCTAGTAGGAGCGTGTTATAATATTGAGGGTGCCTACGTAGTGTAGATCAACACGGATCACGAATCACGGTGCTTGTCGCTGTTTCTTCAGAAACATATTTTCATGCCCGAGCGGCCAGCTCCCTAAAAGAAGGACATCGAACGCTACTAAAGTACTGCTGCTCATCTTTGTACCTAAAGATGGCCGCCGGGTAAGTAATCGGGGCAATTCTATTGCATTGCTACGTCGACGCCTGGGTGTCCGGGCTGCTGTTTCTGTTGGATTGCAACAAATGTTTTTCATGAAGAGAAGTACCGAGAAAGCGGCTGCCAGTTCACTTCTATCGGGAGAGATTTTTCCAAGCTTCTGGAGCTTCGAGAGCGACCAACTGTTCGTTGGGGCGGAATTGCAACGGAGGACGGCACCGCGCACGCCGCCATGGAAATCGCCGCGGAGAGAAAGCGGAGTGCCCGAGATGACCGAAGCGCGGCCTCCCGGGCGTGTAAAATTCTCGAGCGTGCCTCCTGCACTCCGACGCAGCAGGACGCAGTTGGACCTGAAGTGCAACAAGTCGAAGAGGGTCGCAAGGTGTGCAAGGACAACAACAATTTCGCGTACTAGATGAGCCCCGCGGTCGCATCCGCGGACGTGTCGGAGATGAACGCACCAGCAGAGGCTTTTCACTGATGAGCCGGAGCCAGCGACCCAGTCTGGAACTGGAAGAAGATAGTCTCTTTGACCGGTCACTGTCAAGGAACCACCGGTAATTCCCGATGAAAAATGTCGGCATTTTGAATTTTTTGGAACTCAATAAACAATTTATATTTTCGTAAAAACGGACTCAGCTCACCAAGCACAAGCAGCTGATGCATGTCCTCATCATGATAGATTCACTCGCGCGACAGGGGCTTATGGGACCGGCGCAAAAGAGCTACGGCTGCAGCGATCTCACTTTTCTTTCTGTGAAGATAGCAGACTTTTTTTCGTTTTCTGGTCGGTGGAAGCGAAGGTAGTGTGTGTCTATCGTAGGACGTGTCTTGTATTCGATGGAGTGTTATTGTATCTATAGCTCCGTTCAGGCCCCTAATATTAATATACAGTTTTTTTCGTGATCATGTTGACAGTTATTTTTTACGCATCGTCTCTTTGGCTTTATCTTTATGTTTATTGTGGTTTACATCCTCTCTCTGCACCGCAAGTAGTTACTTTCGATGTAGGCCGGGATATCCAAATCCAAATCACGTGCAGAGACTGAGTTACACTCGACCACCTCGGTCCTTATTTACAACGAAAAGCTAATGAAATAGATGTACAGAGAAACAAAGAGAAACAAAATTAAGACGCTCACATGATTTTGAATTGTGAAATATGTCCTCTTTTCCCGCTTTTCTGTGTTGATCAGTGTTACTAGTGTAGTTTGTGACAGCGAAGTGATTGCATGCCTGTGCGAGGACGAGCAAGGTCATAGATGTGACAGTCACAATTTCATCAATTTCTCCACGTCGACGAGCCGAGAGCTGCTGTACAAGGATTAGCACCAGACGCTGCGGAAAAGTACTACCTTAGCGTTCATCTTCATGCGCCTGTCATTTGCCTTCTCCACTACAAGAATGAACGAGGACGTAGCTCTGTGATTCTGCAAGCACTTGAAAAATCGACGCAAAAGTACTAGTCGCAAGCTGCCTTTAACGCACTCCGCACTACACAGCAGTGAGTTTGTTAGATGGAAACAGGAGCCCAAAGCCGATCTATGTATAACAAAAGATCTTCGTGGACAAGGAGATCCGATCGAGATAGATGAAGATCAAAGAAAAGGAAAGAAGTTCCGCTGGGCGATTCAAGAAGTTCCGCTAGGCAATGAGAATTGGTTGGATCAGGTTGTCAGATGCTGGATCAGAAACGAATAAAGTCTACAATTGATGTAAGTGCTTACTTTCCACCTCATGTTGCACTTGCGAAAGCAGAAAAGAACTACCAGGAATTTGTTTGAACTTGCCTGGCGAGGAAGGTCACTTTAGTTTACCAACATAAAGAATAAAGATGGAATATTAGAAGAAGAACTTCACATCTTCATCACGCATCTTTATTCGCTTTTCTAGACGGCAAAATTGAATGAAAACCGAGAAGAATGAGCGGAAACCACGTCATGACATCCAGTTCCACGATGACCACCCCGTCTGCGCCATTTGGTGGCGACACCCAGGACGAACAAGAATACCAGCAGCGGGAGCCCTGTTCTATTTCCACGGACAACCGCGCCGCTGTTGATGCAGAACAGGCTGCGCGGGCGACAGCAACTCCGGTTCAGGACAGAACATCTGCAGGAGGTGAAGATGTTGTAGTTCCTCTCCACCGCGATGATGATGAGACTGAAAATATTAAAGGCGAAGAAGTTCCCGCTGCAGGAGCTGCCCCTAGAACAACCGGTCCTGCCTCCAAACAGCTGACAACTCGCTCCCCACGACCGGCGTTGCATCATGTTCCCGTTCCCTTGAAGGACCGACCCAACCACGTCGATTTGGTGCGCGAAGTTTCTGACACGATTTATTTCCGCGGAATTTCGCCCAAATTCCTCACCGACGAAAACTTGATCGAGCTCTTGAACCACTTTCGCCCCGTGCGGGAGATCGACCTTGCGGAGCGGCGGACCGCGGGCAGCGGCAGCGTGTGGGCGCGCTATGCGACGGTCGCGGACGCGGGGACGGTGCTGTTTCACCTACACAAGTTGCAGTTTCAGGGTTACTTTCAGGGCCTCGGGCTGATGACCAGCTTCGAGCTGGGGAGCACGGTCGGTTCCTGGTGCGAAGAAGTAGGTTCATCTTCCAGTACAAGAACTTCTTGCACACAGAGGACTACAAACACTGAAGCAATGTCCTCAACCTCTTCAGCTGGTGCAAGAACTCCTCTAGCCGAACCTAACGCCGGATCTAGTACTTCTGCCTCGGGAGCACGACAAGCTACGGCAGCGCCGCGTTTCCGCAGTACCGTGTCGTACAACCCAGTTCTCCGGCGGATCCAGCCGCTGGCGCAACGGGAGCTGCCGTCGTTGAAGGATTGGCTGCGTTATGCAATACAAATTTCCCGTACATGTACAAGGTGCATCACAAATTTCACCACTTTAGAGTGTACTATCGCTTGTCATGCTAAACTAGGATCGGAGCCAAGTTTTGTCATGCAGAGACCGCATTTGTACGTGTGCGGGAAATTTACTGTGGATATGCGTGACCGCGCGACGGGGCAACTGGACGTGACCGGGAGGTCCGCAGCAAGTAGAGCGGCGGCGGCGGGTGGAGGAGGTGCAAGTGGGAAAAAAATGAAAAAGGAGAGCACGCAGCAAGCGGGGCTCATCTACGCGACTCCGGACGGTGGAAAAGTGAAGAAGCAGAAGGGGAAAGACAAAAAAGAAAAGAACAGCACGGCGTCAATTTCCTCTGGCGTAAAAATATCACCCGCAGTGGGTCGTGGAGAGGAGCAAGAAGTAGGGCGACGAGAGAAAAATGTTGTTGAAACTAGTAGCGACACTTCTCCTGCTGCACCCGCTGGCCCCCTGACAGCGGAGAAAAGACGAAGCAGCAGTAAAGATGAAAAGGCGCAGCGCGGTCAAGATACTTGTGATGCAGGACCCAATAAACAAAAGCATTATGATCATCAAGCAGGTCGTCAACAACGTATTGGAAAAGGAGAAAGAAATGCAGCAAAGCCTGTCCTGCTCACGACTCCAAAAGCTTTCAAGTGGGGTTTCCACACCGCCGCCGGGGACGTGGCCGGGATCGAGGACGGGGAAGAACAAGAAGATCAAGACAGCACAGCGCCATCATCTTCATCTACAAGAACGGCTTCCAGAATGAATGAAGACGAAAGTGGTAAGGATCATTTAGAACAAGAAATACAGCTACCTGCGGCCTCCTCCAAAAGCTCGTTCCAAGAAGGAGAAACCAACAAGGATCTTCAGCATCAAACGCGGGATCAGCCCCCGCACACGAAGGATCATACTAGCAGCCTGCAGGCCGCCGCAAGAAAGCAAGCGCCGGCGTCGTCGAAGAATGTGGACCAGAAGCAGAAACAAACCGCGATCGCGAAGCAGAGCCCGCCGCAGAAACGCCAACTGGTGAAGAATCCGCAGGTGGCGCTTTTTCGCGTGCAGGACATGCAGTACCAGCAAAAGGCGTTTGTGATTAACAAAGAGACCAAATACCCCATGCCGACCGGGGTGTACGGGGCCAGGGTGCTGCGGGAGTGCCGGGCGCTGCTGTTTCAAAATTACAGTAGAGAACTATCAAAATCCTTGCAGACGTCGAGAGCCCTGCTGCGCCGGATCGGGGATGTCGATTTGCTCGGGGGCTTGAAGAACTACGACAAGGTATCGAAAGGAAAAATCCCCCCTCCCCATATCAAAACGGAACTTCTGATGCTGGATTTGTGTCCACAAATCTGCTTTGTATTGCAGTAAGGCACTGCGGCCAGATCCCCAGGCTAGGTGGGGTGTATGGGTCTAGTTGTTCAGCATTGCAAACGGCTGACCTTTAGGCCCAACAGCATGACAAATCGCTTCCATAATGGGGCGGAAGCTTTTGCCCTTGTTTTCTTGCAAGACAAATGTGATTTGCGACCTCAAATCAGCAACGCAAATTTTCGGTAACGTACCTTCTCGATATGGGGAGGGGGGATGTTTCCTCTCAATACAAGGAAATCTCGGAGTCCATGGCCATGGTGGACGCGGTCGAACGAGGTCTGCGGTTGCTCACTTTATCCTCGCCCCACGCCCTGCGGAATGTGAACGTATTCGTTCTCGGGGACGGAAAGTACGCGCTCACCGCCTGCTGTCTGCGCGCGTTTCTCGGCGGGGAGCGGAGCTCGAAAAAGCAAGAGGTCTTAGCGGAACAGAAGCGAATGCTGTTGCGGGGGCAAAAGGGTGGAGCTGCATCTTCATCTTCTTCTTCTAGAAGTTCTCCTGCAACAGCAACTGTTGAAAATGGTGCGACAGAACCAGTCTCTGGGAGTGTAGGAGGAGGATCTTCAAGCTTTTGGGAAGATGTTGAACAGAATCGACACGACGAACACCGTCAAGAAGCCCCCTTGTGTGCTCAGTTAGAAAACATTGAAGCGAGCAGCCGGAATTTCGAGCAAACCTGGCGGTGGTTCAGCATCGATCCGATTATGGAGGTGGAGCGAGATCTGTTGGACAACGTCCCGAATTTCCACCAATGCCCGCTCATGTCCCAAGACTTTGACATCCCAGCGCAACTGCGGACCGCCGGGTGCGAGGAGACGGCGGTGCGAAGGTTTCAAATGAACGCGGACAAAACGGCCTTCGAAGAGGATATCGGAACGAAGATTGTGTGTGAAGCAGTCGATAGTAGTTCTTCGCCAGTCGTCTTCGACAAGAAGATTATCAATGCGCATGATGTGGAAGAACGTCAAGTCGAAGAGGAATTTTCCGGTACTACAGGGAACAAAAGTTCCGCCAGCGGTGGACATGATCTTCAACCTGTAAATAAAATGCAAGATCACGTGGCCAATGTCGCAGTGGATCACGAGATCATCATGAACGCCGACGAGAAAGTTGCACGGAACGCAAATCATGGCAAAACCGCGACCTCCACTTTGGTGACGGAGCCCAGCGTGAGTTGTTCCTATGCCGGAAGTAGATCTTCTTGTTCTTACCCCAAGAACGTGTTTCCAGATTCCTCCGAAATCGATGGGAAGCTGACGATTGTGGTCGCGTGTCACAGCCACGCGCCGCTCCGGGAGTTCTGGCACCGGGTCCCGAAGCCGAAGATCTGCGCGACGCTGCCCTGCTGCGAAAACTACAGCGATTTGGGGGTCACGCCGGACCTGCAGTACGACGATTTCGAAGTCTTCACACCAAAAAGACGGGTGCGACTGTACAGGGATATTTAGATGGCAATTGCTCGGCTTTTACTCGTTGCTACTGATAAATGTTGCAACGTCCACGTCGTCGCGCATCGAATAATATTGAGACTTCTACACTCGAACGACTTTGGCTTTCCACTGTGCCAGCAGATCTTTTTCTCTTCGCGATACTCACAGCTCCGCAATTCGTTTAGCATACGACATAAAACTTCTATGGCCGCGCCGAGCTTTCTGGATAATCGACAGCTGCGTGCACTCGACACGTATTGTTTGATTATTCAAGCGGTCTGACAACATGATCTCTGTGTTGCTGCTACAGCTTCACGCGCTTTGTGGAGACGTAAGTGCGCGGCTTGAATTTTGTTCGTTGGAATGCTGCTGCTCGGAAAACTTTTCTCCGTGAAGCATGATCTATTATCTATCAGACTCACGATCGAATTTCAAGAAGCACTCGGTGAGAGCAGGAGAAAAATGTATCTTGATGACTTGAACGAATCAATAACATTTGAGTCGGTGTAGTTGCTGCTGTGAACAATATGAATCCTCAAAAATAAGTAGTGCCGCATTAAAATCCGAGATCAGGAACGTAATCGGTGCACCGCAAGCAGAGGATCCTTGGCACTATGCGCAGGATTCATCGACAAAATTCAAATTCGTTCATTGTGTTGTGATCAGAAAGTAAAAATCCTCCCTCTCGGTGCTGGCACAGTGTCGGTGAATACAAATGATCGGTGGAAACAAGATCAGTTGGATACTAGTCACGCCGGCGCATGACGGAAACAAAATCGCTGCACTGTCGTGATCTCAATTGTGAAAGAAATCGATGTGTGTTTTTTTATTCGCCTGATGAACAGGAACACTTGATTTACCTACTACTAGATATTCACAACGTCAATCAACATTTTCGTACAAAAATGTGATGTAATGTTTTTCGTGTAGCAAGCTGTAGCTGCAACCAACTTTTAAGTTATCTTTTTCCTAGAGGAATATCATAAGTTTGTCATATCTATGTATGATTAGCGTGGTAAACTCATATCCAGGTGCTAATCATGTTTTTAAGAGACCTCTAGTTTCTGTTTGTATTTGATGCCGATTCTCAGCCCCGACGCGTATGAGCGTGCACACGAGTGGGGCAATCCTGATGCTGCCAATTATAGAAGTGCCGGCTACAGACACAGAGGAAGTTCCTCGTGTTGTTCTTGCCGACGTCGGCGGAGACGGCGCACCTGGATCGTCAACACAAATTTCTTTCCTCCAAGCGACCACAACGCACCACCGCCGATATTGCAGTCGCTAGATGGAGGTGGACGAGCGCCGTCTGTTAATTATAGTCCGGGACTCCTGGCTAGAAGAACAACAACCGCAAGACGAGCACCTTTGGTCACGCCCTCGACGTCTGCGCAGCAAGCCCCGGCGGTGACCATCACCCGAGTGGGTAACGACCACGATGGCAGCAGCAGCTCTTGCAGTTGGACAGGAGGAGCTCCTGTGGGTACAGCGGGTACAATAACACCTCAGAAGATACATAACCGTACCAACGAAACTACACGGCTTGTTACGTCGGCACGACCAGCATCTTCTTCACAGGGCACCAGGGAAGATTACCAACATCTTCATGATTCTGGGGAACAAGAAAACGGTATTAATAGCAGCACCATTCGGCTTCCAGCATCATCACCTCTGGACGAGGGGATCAGACAAATCGACACCAGCACCAGAATAAAACCATCACCGCAGCTAAGTTCGACATCTAGTCCCTCGAGTAGGAGTAGAGGAGCGAAAGCCAGCGAAGGACAACATCAAAAGGAGGACAGAACATCATCATTAAAGAACCGCACTCGTTTTCTGAAAGCCCTGGCGCAGACCTCGAAGACCTTCGTTTCGGTTCTTCTTATCTGTGTGCCCTTCGTCACCGCCTATTTGTGCGGGTGGGAAGATGGTCTGGGCCAGTCCGGAATCAACATGCTGTGCTGGGCGGTGGTTGCGACGTTGTGGTGGAACGCCGGGACAACGAGCCGCTTGGAGCAGCAAATGTCCTTTCTCGTCGTGGCGCTGCTGGCCTCCCTGGTCGTCACTTTTATCGGGTATTTGTACGCGTTCTTCATTCTCGCGACCGTCCCCAACGTGGACAACTCGGACAGTTTCCGCATCCACGTCATCGTCTTTTTTTGCGCGTTTCCGCCCTTCTTGTGCCTCCTGGAGTTTCTGAACCAGTACTACTTCAACTACTACGGGTTCAAGTCCATTGTCGTCATGGCGATGTCCACACTGATCGGGCAGTTGGTGGCGGGGATGATGAACTACAATTTATCCGACGCGGCGAAGTACAATGCCGCGGTGCGGCAGAACAAGATGGTCGAGGATATCCTCGTGGAATTAGGTTCGGAAACCACAGCCACGGGGATTTTCCTCACGGAAAAGTACTCCGTCGACGAAACCGCCGTCCTTCCGGTGCACACGCAGAACATCTACCTGCTAGTTGCCCGCCGGGCCGGCGGCATGGCGATCGGGGTCATCGTTGCGGTTTTGGTGGCGTTGTTTCTGCCGCTGCTGTTTCCCACATACCTGAAAGCGAAGCGGGCGAAGGTGGAAATTTTCGACAACACAAGGCAGATCGTGTTTGACAGCTTTGAGATGCTGTTGTGCCAGTTGCGAGCCTATGTCGAGGACCAAGAGTACAGGAGAAGAATTGTCATGGCCATCGAGGGGAAAGGGGAGCGAGTTTTGATGTCGCCGAAGGGTCGTGGAGCCGCATACGGTCGCGCGGCGGGATGTTCCTCGTCCGGTGGAATTGCAACTTCCGTACAAGCTGGAGCAATTATACAAGGAAACAACGTAAAAATATTGACTGGTGGACGAACTATGCACACTGGGCAGCGCCACCAAAGTGAAGGAACATCAAGAGCTCTACCCTACTACGGATATAATTGCGCCACAACATCTCCCGGCACCGGCAGTGCGAGCACTTCGAACAATTTGTTGATGAGTCCCTCCCCTCCGCCGGGTTTGGTGTATCAACAGGCTCTGAATTCCAGGTTCGAGGCCGCCCGGAGCAGGGCAAGCAACGTCGACGCGGATTATATTGTCCACAGAACATCACCAGCTGCGCCGTTCGAGTTGGTGTTTTCTTCCGAAGAGGAGGCGGGTCAGAGGACTGCTCTGTTTGCGGATCACAGCAATCATGGCACCAGCGGAACATCATCGATTTTTGACGCCAGAACTAGTACCAGCCACAATGCAACTGCAGCAGCTCTTCACGCGAGTGCGGGCCGCGCTGAAGAAGATCCGAACCTCGTATCTACTTTGAACAGTACAGGACTTCGAACGGAGGTCGCTAGAAGTACACGAAATACTAAAACGACATCTGCTCTGATGAAAACAGCAGGAGTAGATGAACAATCTGTTCGCGGCTTCGACGACCTGGAGACTACGAGCACACAAAAATCTGGAAATTATCCCGGAACATCAAAACGTGGTGGGCTCTTTCTGTCGAACAAAAGCTCCGCTCCCCTCGCTAGTAGTACAGCTACCCTGCTAGAGGTGCCGTCAGGTGTACTACATCATGCCCATCATCATCATCGTTATCATCATCATCACCAACACCCTCACCATTACCCCAGCCACCAGTTCCTGCCTCTCCAAACCTTCCGGCACACCGTGCGAAAGGTGATTTGGTGCCGTCGCGTGTTGCTCTCCCTAAACTGGGAGTGGTCCACGGTGAAGCGGTATGCATTGCAAAACCAAAAGTATCGTACTAGTATGAATTGCAATACAAAGTTCCTCAGCATGAGAAATAAAATTTGTAATGCGGATTCAACTTGAGAAAGAAACTTGTAATGCATGTATGGGATTACTACGAGTGCGATACTTTTGCACAGGATAAGCGGAAGTGCAAGGACCTGCACGCGACATCCATGGAGCGAATCTTCGACACGCGCTCGGCCTGGAAGGACTGCGTCCAGCTGCGCCAGCTGCTCAGCGGCGTCCTGCAGTACCTGTTTCCGATGATCCGCCCCGTGGCGGAGACCAAATTGGTGTTTTCCACGCTCGACCAGTGGGCGGAACTGGTGACGGGGAGAGCGCGCGAGTTGTACGGGCGAACCGCGCGGGCCTCGGACTTGAAAGAAGCGTTACCGGTGCCCATGCGCGACATGGTGGTGGTGATCGACAAGATTCAGAAGTCCCTGGCCGCGTTGATGGTGTTCGACATGCAGGTATGCAATGTAAATTTCCCGTACATGTACAAAATGCATGACAAATTTCGCTAACTTGCAGTGTCTAACTTGTCATGCTAGACTAGGACGGAAGGCAAGTTTTGTCATGCAGAGATGATGATGCAGAGACTGCATTTGTACGTGTACGGGAAATTTACTGTGGATAGCAGGAAATGCTGTTGAAAGGGGGTGGCTGGCCGATCAAGGAGATAGACAGTAGTTGTTCGAGTCGTGGTGCAACAGCCCTGGGGGTGGCACAGAAAAATATTGAGGCACAGACTGGCACCAGATGCAATCTCCCCTACAAGAACTCTGTGGACCAACACGAGGACCCCGGCGCAGGACCAAATCCACCTCTTACGCAGGTTGACGCTGAAGCAAAGCAAGAAAGGGAACCGCTTTTATTCGTGCACGAGAATACGAACAGAAGTTCAACTTCTAGAGGTCGTCGTGTGACTGTTGACGACGGCCGCGCGCGAGGGGTTCGAAGCCGGGTGGTGGAGCGGAGAATCTTGGATGCGCTGAATGCACCATACGACAAATTTTTCACGGGACCATACGACAAATTCAGCGGCTCGGTCTTGGAACAACAACATTTACAGTATCAAGGTGAGGACCAAACAAGCGGGGAAGAAGTGATCGACGAGACTGTTCTTGCGTATTTTTTCGTGGTGTGGCACAACCTGGATGTGGTTTGCGAAGCCTTGGCCGAATTGTCGCAACTTTTGGCGGACTGGCGCGAGAACTACCTCCCCCTCGTCATCGCGCGGGACGAGCAGAGGCAGAATCTAAGGAATGCAGGAAATATTGTGGGCTTTTCTGCGAGTTTATTGTTGGAAGAAGCTGCTGCTGGTGCGTCGACCACGAGAACGACATCGGCTTCGAGTGTCGCTGCAGCGCTTGATGGGAAGAACAAAAGGACTCTATCCGACGACCGGGCTTCGACAGTTTCTGACGACTATGACTCTTGTGCCTGCCCGTTCGCAGCTAGTGAATTAAATGCTGGCGGTGGTCAGCAGGAGGAGAAAAAACAAGTGCAAGAAGGTGTTGCACTGCAAGCAAATAATCTTGAAGAAGATAAGCTCGCCGGGGGCTCCACCGCGACGAAAGGCCGGCTCTTAACGGGCAGTGATTTCTACTGGGCGAAAAACAGCGACAGTGTGCACAGCACGACCACAGGAAGAAGTACATCCGCAACCGTCAAGATGCTGCACGACGAGCAGCAGGATGAGTATAATGCCGCTTTGTCGACGAAAACGCTGCTGAGGAATTTGAAGGCGAAATCGACCATGCGGGGGCTGGGAAAATTACTCGCTCAGAGGGATCATGACTTCCACGCGCAAGTCCGAAAATCGTTCAGGGAAAGGCAGACCACCACTAAGGACGCGCATCTGTGGCACGGAGGAGCCTCCAGATCAAGCGGGAGGGGCCTTGAGGACAGCGACAGTGGACAACTCCAGACGAGCCACACTTTCGGTGGGCTCACGAGTTGGGAAGCGGCGAGACACTTTGACATGCCGGAGGACGACAGTGGGCCGCCACGTGCTGAAGAATATGGGACCAGTGCTATTCTACTTGACCAGCACAAGGAGAAGTCGGACACCACCACTATGAATCGCCTGCAGCGCCGGCTAGCGGAACTAAAAGCTACGCCTTCAAGAACGGTTGGAGGAGCTGGAATGTTGAGTGCAGCCTCGGCGTCAAGTAGGAAAGGTTTGTCGGAGGACCTTTTTGGAAGTACTTCTAGTGAGGTTGTTCTTGTTGACCCCGAGGACCATGGAGGTCCGGCTAGCAGGGACAATAATAAAGAAGTCGGAGCGGCGGCACAAGAGCAATTTTTATCTTCTGGTACAACGACGCTACGACGGAAAGAGCCGCTTTCTGCATCCTCACCGAGTTTCTTCGAGAAAACCGCGGAGAGGACGACCACGGCAAGTCCCTTAAGTCAACACGGCGCCAGCTCTTCCCCGCATGTGACCTTCAGCATCCCCTCCCCGTTGCTCCTGCACAAAACAGAAAATCATGGAAAGGCGGCACAAAGCGACCCACGACCACCTGCAAAAATTGTTCCGACTAGTAGCGAGGAGTTCTACACAGCAAATCATGAAGACACCCAGCACGAGTTCTTGGACCCCGCGGCATCGTCGCCCGACCCACATCACGGTCAACAACAATATCGTCCAGGAAGGTCTATGCCAAACAAGGTCGAATACAGTTGGGAATTTACGCACTTCCTCGGCTCCATGTCCTATCTGCATGAGGAGTGGACGCTGTTCACCTTACATTTGACGCAGTTGTTGCTGCCGCGAGACTGGGAAACCGTTCGGGATGTGAAGCTGCGACTCGAGAAGTGCCGGGTCATAACGTCTTCTTCCGCGTGATTCGAAGGCGTGTGGGCATGTTCATTGGCGGTTTCTCTTCCCTGATCACACAGGAACGCCTAGCTTCCACTTGGTACTAGAAAACAAGGCGAACCACTAGTAAGTACAACGACTGACTACGACCCTGTTGCGGGCCTCAAAGAAATTGTTCCAAAAACCAGCCGTAAGTACCTCAACATCAATCCAATGCGACAATTGATTCATCAAGCACGAAAACTCATCGACAAATCTATCATATGCAGTGTGATATCACTGTCACTCCGGGTGTTTCTGTTCACCTGAGCGTGAGCACTTTCAGTTTATAGTATGGTCGCTGCTCAGATCGGTTCGGGCTTTTTTACTGTGGACTAGAACTCACAACGAGTATGTGATCGATGCAGTCGTGCTTCTAAATATGGAAAGTGAAAACTAAAAGCAAAACAAGCAACAATTGCCAAACTCGGTGTGCTTTCCGGTCCTTTTACTTAGTTCGAAAGCGTGAAAGAAAAAGAATCAGAATTATGGTTCAAATGTCGGTTATTTAATAATTTCAAGTTCAAGATGAAGATCCGCAGAAGATCAGGAGATCCCCGCAAAAAATCCTGCTCGTAGAGGTCGCCCATGGATATTGAATACGATCAAAAGGATCCAGATCAATCTCGGAGAACGAAAAACATTAACATGGACAAGATGAAAAAGATCCGACTTATCGCGATCATCATCGTTCTTCGCACCACGGCTTGGATGTCAAGTGATTACTCAAACTCATATCATTTCGTTATGACAGGAAGTTTGTTTGCTAGTACTAGAAGTAGAACTAGTGAAACTGTGTAAGTCAAACTAGTCTTTCCAGCGCGGATTTCTTGAACTAAGTCAGTGCGCCCTTGAAGAAAAGGGCTTGTATTTTGCTCTTTTCTTTGTTGCCTGGAGATAGAGTCATCTCCGTTTCTATCTTTCATCGCCCTTGTGAAAGATAATTATGCCCTCTCGTCTACTTCCTTCTCCTAATATCTCACAGTATCTGTGACAAGCGCCTTCTTCTAAAGGAGCTGCGTTCCAACGTAATATTATAAAGATAGGACTACACAACTAGTATTAAAATGACGCTGCTAACCCCGGCAGCGTACGAGCGCGCCCGGGAGTGGGGCAACCCCGACGGCAAAATAACGGAAGATGGACGAACGAGGGCGGGTGACAGCAAGCGAAAGTGGGTGGTGAACGCGAACTTCTTCCAGAAGCCCGACGAGCCAATGCCGCCGATTGTGGCACCGTCGGGATGGCGTCGTTCCACTGGGAGTTCTGGACAACGAAACGACAGCGCGGCCCTTACCATCACTCAATCCCAGAAGCTGAAGCAAAATTTACGCATGATGAAGCCATCAGGACCTACAGGAGCTTCTGTGGCACATCAACAACTTGGGGTCAATAGTACCTCCGGAAAAACAAACACGAATGCGAAGGACATCAAGGGAAAGAAAAAGAATAAAGACCAAAGCATAAATAATTCTGCTAGTAAAGATCTCCATGCGCCGCGAGGTGGTGGAGGGTCTTCTTCGTCCTCTTCCTGCTGCAGTTCGCAAAGTAAGTGGCTGATTGCGCTGGTCGAAACTTTGCGGACCTGGGTCAGCGCGATGGTGCTCTGCGGGACCTTTTGCGGGCTTTACCTCGGAGGGTGGCAAGACGCGATGAACACGTCCGGGATCAACATGCTGGGCTGGGCGTTGGTGTCCTGTCTCTGGTGGCTGTCGGCCGCGACCAACGAGCGCCTGGAGCAAATGCTCGCCTTCCTTGTCGTCGCCCTGCTCGGGGCCGTGGCGGTGTTGGTACTGGGCCTGCTGTACGCGACTTTCGTTCTCTACTGTCTCCCGGACGTGACCTCGGAAAACAGCTTCCGCATTCACATCGTCTCCTTCCTGATTGTTTTGCCCACCTTCCTGCTCGGGGTGGGCCGTTTTTTCGATCGGTTTTACCAGCCGCATGGGTTCAAGCGGATCTATCAAGTGTAAAAACGTACCCACACCAGAGTCAAGATGGGGATTTTGCAACACAAACCTAGGAGTTTTGGGAGTCACGCATGACAAGTTTCAGTCCGTAAGGCAGTGCAAGTTAGCAAGGAAAGCCGCATCACAAATCGACCTGCTGATCCTGTTCATAGCATCACAAATTCCAAAACACGATTGGAAATGGCCCTCATGGGGATGCGCATCACAAATGTCTTTGTCATTGCAAATCTGCATTACAACTCTGGGGTGGGTACGTTTTTACTCAGGATAGGATCGTGGCGTTAACCATGTCCATCTTCGTCGTGTTGGTCTGCTCCCTCCTCATCTATCACCTAGCCGACGTATCAAATGTAGAAATGTCTGGGTCTGGAAGAATGCAACTTGTGATGCTAAATCTGAAGCATGCAAAAATCTGTGTTGCATGATTACCAAAAGTCGTCCAGTTTTGACCAAGTCGGGAGGGGTTTTCTCATGCAGGATAGGCATGAGAGAGATCGCGCAGAATCTGTCTTGCTAGGTCCTGCATTCCAGACGTCATGGGTCATGGAAAAGGTGCATGACAAATCGCGCACTCTTCCAGACCCAGACATTTTTGCATTCGATACGACGCCGGCAAGTACGATGCGGCGGTGTCGCAAAACGAGGTTCTGCGGCAGTTCTGGTTCGATCTGTTCCCCGGGTCCCCGCCGGACAGCTACCCGGGAGGAGGAGGAGGAGGGGGTGGAATAAATGTTGTCGAAGACGATGATCCCTGGGAGAGATTCGCGAAGTTTCAGGCCGCGCAACTGATCAGACGGTATCACACCGATCCGAACCAGATTCCGCAGGTGCACCGGGAGAACATGTTTCTCCTCGTGTTCCGCAGGTCGGGAGCGATGGCGATCGGGGTGGTGGTTGCGGTCCTCGTCGCCCTGATCCTCCCGTTCGTGTTTCCGAGGTACCTCAAGACAAACCGCGCCAAGGTGCAGATCTTCGACAACACCCGCGCCATCGTGTTTGACTCGTTTGAGATTTTGCTGGTACAGCTACGGGCGTATGTGGACGACCAGGAGTACAGGAGACGGCTATTGGGGGCGATCGAGATGAACGATGGCACGCCGGATGAGGGGGATGAAAATGAATACGATGGCGATAGAAGCACAGTCGGGCTGGAAGTTGATATTAATGCCGGAAGTTCATCTTCCACAACGGGAACGACGGCGACGCCGACCATAATTTGTTCCCCGCCAGCCGCCGGCCCGCAAAGTACAAGTAGATTTGGTTTTGGTCCCGTGGGCGAAAATTTGGAAGTTGGCCAGCACGACGGATCAGGTGGACGAAGTAGCCCTAGTGGTCGCAACATTTTTGCCAGTACAACTAGCCCGCACCCGCGGGGATCACCAAGAGCAGACGCCGGAATAATAAACCGATCTTCGAACCTATTGCTGTATCCCGGCGGAGGTGCTGACCAATCGAGGACGCGGGTTTACTCCATCACGTCCTCAGGATTGGTATCGTCTGGTGGAGACACTGTGCGTGACGGCGACGACGAGGACTCTCTTCACGGTCGGGAAATGTTCAACGAAAGAGTGCAAGAGGATGCTCGGGGCGGGCTACTTCATGCAGGAACAACCGGAGCTTTTGCACTTTCTGCAGGTGGTACTAGTGGTGGCGAGAGGATGAACAGCGGGGGTGGTGATAGGGGCACCTCCGGATTTTTAGCCAGATTCGGCTCCTCGTCGTCTTCGCGACCGAACTACAACTTACAACCCGAAGGTGCGAAGAACAGCAGTAAAACCACATCTACTACAGCATTGAAACGGCCGGAAGACAACAATGCGGTCCTGGCTCAACGACCCTTGTTTTCATCATCATCTAGTTTTGGTCGGGCGGGTTTGGTAGGAGCTGCGGGTGGTCCACCGGTTCATCATCCAAGAAGCATATTTTCCTCAACAAATACCGACTATTCCACAGAGGAGGAGGAAAAGTTACACCGCACGGTATCGCACCTCGACCAGCGGAAAAAGCTGTGCAGCTTTGTTTCAACCTCGTCCAGAACCCGAGCGGCGGTGGTGCCTCAGAAGTCCTTGCACGGTGCGACAGGTCGTGGTGAGACCGTTCTCGAAAGAAATACTTCGCTCGGTGCTACTGCATTACTACACCCACAACATGCAGGAGATGTAGATGAAGTTGAAGTAATTCATCCTGATAGAAACAATCCCACGATTGCATCGTTTGCTCCGCCCACAGCCTGTGGCGTAGTGGGACGAGGATTGCAGCTTCAACATCACAGCACGACAGCCCCTTCGAACTCCTGCACGACAAATTATTTGACGGCCAGCAAGCAAACTACTGCGGCCCACCAACATCATCAACTTCATCACCATCCCCTCACCCCCCTCCAGAAGTTTCGCCAGGTCGTTATGGGGCTCTCAAACGTTACATTCTCAGCTGTTACATGATTTGTCATGCAAAAACACTATCACGACTATTCACACGACCAAGTCTGCCTTGCATGACAACTTCTCGACGCGCTAAATAGCACTATAATCCGTCCCAAATCTGTAATGCAAAAGGCGCAATCTTCCTCCTGTACTTTATTGCCACTCTTGCATTACAAATTCATGTAACAGTTGAAAATGTAACGTTTGAGAACTCCATAGTCGTTCGTCGTGTGATGTGGCGCCGGCGGGTTTTGCTGTCCCTCGACGCAGGCACGGCGACTACCCGTATGGATTGTAAAAGTGTCTGGGTCTCCTGGAAGATTGCACCTTGTCATGCTGTTTTTGGACTCTAAAAAAATTTGTATTGCATGACCAGCAAGAGGGGACAGTTTTTGCTACACGGACAGGGCATTTCTCATGCGGAATGTACATCAGGAAGCCCTCGAAAAGTCTGCGATGCTAGGTCAAGCATTACAGGCATCATGGGACATGAGAAATATGCATGACAAATCTTGCATCCTTCCAGACCCAGACATTTTTGCATTTGATAACCCGGACGTGCAAGCAACTCCACGCCAAGTCCATGTCGCGTTTTTTCGCGGCGCGGTCCGCCTGGGAAGACTGCGTGCAGTTGCGACAACTGCTAAGAGGACCGCTCAAGTACTTCTTCCCCATGGTGCGCACGGTGGCGGAGGCGAAGTTACCGCTGTCCACGTTGGATCAGTGGGCGGACTTGGTGAACGGCCCCGCAAGGGAGCTGTACGGCCGGACGTCGCGGGCGTCGGACTTGAAGGAGGCGTTGCCGGTGCCCATGCGGGATTTGGTGGAGATTGTGTCGCGGGTGCAGATATCAAATGCAAAAATGTCGGGGTCTGGAAGATTCTGAAACTTGTCATGCACGTTTTGGATGAGCCATGATGTCTGTGATGCATGCCCTAGCATCCCAGGTTTTTTGAGGGATTCTTGATGCCTATTCCGCATGACAGATGCCCTCTCCGCGTAGCAGAAATTGGATTCCTTTTGCTGCTCATGCAACACAAATTTTTTAGACATCCAAATGCAGCATCACAAGTTGCATTCTTCCAGATCCAGATATTTTTGCATTTGATAGCAGAAGTCCCTCGCGGCCCTGGTGATGTTCGACATGCAGGAGATGCTGCTCAAGGGAGGCGGGTGGCCATTAAAGGAAGTCGCTGAGATGACATGTAGTTCATCTTCAGGGGAGGCCGCGTCGGAGGGGGCAGGAGATGTTCTCGAAGAGGGTGAAAATCCAGCGACAACCGCGTATGGTGGAACAAGTGCGCTGTACTCAAACTACTACCCAAGAAAGAGCGATCACAATATTAACGCATCAACAGCGGAACAAGAACAACACGAACAGCCAGGACAATCAGATCAAAATATCCAACATCTTGAAGTAGAAGTACAAGTAGATCAACATGACGAAACGAAACCGCTTCTCCGCAACAAGAAAAAGCGCACAAAAGCGGCTCAGAGTCGGGCGATCGAGAAACGGATTTTAGATGCTCTGAACTCGGGCCACGAGATCATGGGAGGTCCTGAGGTCGGAGCAGACGAAGAAATTCACGAGACTATCCTATGTAAAAACGTACCCACCCCATAGTCAAGATGGGGAATCGGCTAGACAAATCCACAAGCTTCGGCTGTTTCGCATGACAAATTTGGACGCGTAGTGTAGTGCTGTTTGAGCTAGTTCAGCAGCATTACAGATCTAGTCTCTCACGCTGATTGGAGCATGACAAATTTCAAAACACCATTAGAAAATGCTTCTCATGGGGCTCCGCATGAGAAACATTTTAAGCATGCAGATTTGCATGACAACTATGGTGTGGGTACGTTTTTACTCAGGATAGAAACCGTTCTTGCGTATTTCTTCGTTGTGTGGCACAACCTATCCTGTGCAAAAGTATCGTACTCGTAGTAATTGCATTTATGCATTACAAATCCAATTCTCAAGGTAAATCAGCATTACAAATTGACTTTGTAATGCTGGGGGAATTTGTAATGCAATTTCTACTACTACGGTACAGTACTTTTGCAGTTCATACAACCTGGACGTGTTGTGTCAAGCCTTGACCGACTTGTCCCAGCTCCTGCACGACTGGCGAGAGAACATTCTCCCGCTCGTTATCGCCCGCGACGAGCAAAAGCAGAACTTCAAGCAGGTGCACTTCTGCATGAGCTTGCTGGGAAGTTTCGCGGAGAATCATGAGGAGGAGGAGGAGGAGACAATGACGACTCTTCATTCTCATTTCGGATCCGCGACGGGGGAAAGAAGAGGAGTTCACGGAGACGAAGCGGAAGTAGAGGACTTCGACTCCTGCAAAGCACCACCTCCTGCTTCTATGCGGCCACCTCAGGACGAACAAGCGGTTGCATTTAATTCAGACGCGAAACATCAAGTAGCATCTACAACTACAAAAACGGTGGCTGGTAATTCTGCTGACGCTACGGCGCATGGCCAGAGCAAAAAAGGTACTAGCAACCAAGACGACACGACAAGCACACTGGTCCTTTTTGACCGAAACACAAATACCGTGAACAGCCACGGGAGCAGTTGCACCAGCAGCCTCCAGCAGCGATTGGACCGGAACCAAGACAGCGTGAACAGCGCCCTCTCCGCCAGAGCGCTTTTGCGCAATTTGAAAGCGAAATCCACGATTCACGGGCTTGGGAAGTTGGCGCAGATGAAGCGACGGCGACCGCGCGGCGGGCATTACCACCACCACAAATCGAACACGCACACGATCGGCGGTCTGACGACCCTCGAAACCGCGAGAGCTTTCGAAGCGACAGGGGAGGCAGAGGGAGGAGGAGGAAGTGGTCTGGGTGTCAATTTCAGGATGAACGTGGAGTCGGTCGGAGGCGCATCTTCAACCACGACGAGGGGGTCGTCGTCTTCGAGTACGCATAACTTAAATCTGTTTTCTGCGGGGCAGATGAACAATCTTAAATCGATTTCCAGGAAAGGACTCTCGGACGGATTGTTTGGCGAGGTGGTGGACGGTGGTGTTGATGCTGATCTTGCAACGATGAACCAGGAAAGAACATCAAATGGAACAAAACACAAACAGCACGAAGTTTTCACTACGGAGAAGGTGAACAAGAATGGTGCAGCAGGACCCCGAGAAGAAGAACCTGATGAGTCTTCTTTGAAACCACTACACACGGCACCTGTAACATTTCCCAAAGTTGTGTTGAAGAAGGCGATATCTTCCCCCACGTTTTCCCCTACTTGTGCAGGACGGGAGAACATCAAGACTTCCAACCACGTCACCTTCAACATCCCAGCATCACTGAAAACACAGGGCGAACGCGTCCACCGAGGCGAGGTGGATTCGTTATGCAGCACCACTAGCGACGAAGGAGGGTCTGGGTCATGCGACCCACTCTGTTCTCTGGAAAACAAGAATGCCGGTGACCGAAACAAGCCCACACCAGCCTCGCGCACCATCGAGCAGAGCTACAGGCTGTTGACCGGGAGAAAGGACAATTCTTCGACCACGTCTTTTTACAACCGAAAAAGCAACCGCGACACGCCGGAAACGAGGGAATTGAGGTCGAGGCTGAACGAAATCAATCGGCGGGCCGGGGAACACGAAGAACTGCCCAATGCTTTTGGCAAACGCGGTGGTGGAGGCGGGCAGCAGTTTGGCCGCCGGGAAGAGAACTACAACCGACCCGATCGCCGGACCAAGAAAGTGGAGTACAGCTGGGAGTTCACGCATTTTCTCGGTTCGATGTCGTATTTACACGACGAGTGGGTGCGGTTCACGCTGCACTTGCTCCATTTGCTTTTGCCCCGGGATTGGGACACCGTGTACCAGGTGAAGCTGCGACTGGAAAAATGCCGAATTCTCTCGGGGCCGGGAGAGTTGTCTTGATATAGAAGTTTATTGTGTGTAATCTCTTGAGGCTCTCTCTAGCTCTAGTAGGGTGCACTGAGATTGTAGATTCGATTTCCGAAGGATTTAAAGTTCACGTCCTTACGGGTCTCCGATGAAGCTTGTACATTCTGTAAAATCTAATGGCTGCTGTTTATGTTTTTGAATGAACTTGATGTATCTCATTAAGGAACACTCTTCTAGAGTCCGCAGATGTGAACACATTTTGCCCATCCCAGATGTCCAAGGATGTACCCGCGATCCCCGCGAAATCTTTTGTGGCACATTGACATTAATTTATCGTGGCAGTTGTAATTCATGAGCAAACGCTTACACCCCCAAGCTCAACTTCGACATCTCGAATGAACATGGTTTCTGTTCGGAACTGACGGATTTCCGTCACACTTCATCTGGTGGAGACCAGCTTGGTGTTCTATCTCTATTGATTGGTAGGAGTACTCCTTTTTCTACTGTGAGACTTGAGAAGAGGAGCGGGGTTTGGATGCGACGTATTGACTGGGAAATATTCGCGCTTGTTTTGTAGTGCGGGAAACGCAGGCACTGCATCGGCGTGAGTTGCAGCCGTTGTCGCTGCTGCCCCGGCGGCGATTTTGCGCGACTTTGCAAGGTGCCGGGCGCTGGGGTCGCCTTACCACCACCAGGCGCTGGAGTCGCCTCACCTGCGCCGGGCTGGCGCTGGAGCCGCCCCATGCAAGGCGCCTAGGTGGCAGGCGCCAACGACCAACACAGACTATTGCAGGGCAAAGAAACGCGGCAACGGGGGCCGGCAGGCGGCCGGCTCGCGTGTTCTTGGTCGGCTTGATTCGCTGAAGCCCGGCGCAAATTATCCCGGGCAGCTTCGGCTTTGGCGAAGGGCGTCGATGCATTTCCGGAGGAGCTAGGCAAATGCCCCGGCTGTCGTGGTGTTGATGCATGATGAGGATTTATCCGTGGGTTGTCCTGATGGGGAATGCTGACATGTGGAAGCGGGGTCTTAGTCGCTACTGGGGGCAGGCGCGCGAGCATTCTCGTGGGTTTGGATTTGTGTGCGAGCGTGCGCCGGGGATTTTGCGGAAGAATGCAAAGGGGCAACAAGAAGCCCGCGAAAAAAGGACGGCCGCATCCAGAAGCTTGCTAGCGGAAAGCAGGGCGCCCCAGTAATCCGAGCGCGGCAGCACGGGGCGCCCCGGGGCGGATGGGAACGAAAAGAGAGCCCGGAAGCCGCAAGCGCCGCCGCCCAGACGGGGCCAGGCAGTCGCATCAGGGGCGCGCCTTTCGCGCGCCGCCAGGCAGGCAGGGCCGCCTTGGGCCCTCTGGGGGCCGGTTTTGGGCAGCGCCGGCCGCTTGGGGGGCCCGCCGGGGCCGGGCGCCCCTTATCGCGGGAAAATTGGCGGGCCCCTTGGTCGCGCGTGCGGCGCGTCGATAAACGGGTGGGAGCCGTCGGCGCGAGAAATTGTCAGCACCTTTTAACGGTATTGAAGAACTCCGACGCGCGGCGTCAAGCGTGGCTCAGCAACTAGCTGAGTCGGCCGGAAAAGGGCCCGCGTCCGTGCCCAGCAACCCCGAGGGCCACGAGGCAGCCGCAGCAGACATCACCCAACTCGTAACAGGGATTGAAGGGCGCAAAGAACTCGAGCGCGCGGAAAGTGTGGAAAGGGGTGCGGGGAGCGGCCGGCCGCGCCCCGCCGCGCGCCCGCCCGCCTTCTGGGTGCGCGGCCTTGCCCCAGTGCCCGCAGCCAGAAGGGCGGGGCGCTAGGCCGGCCAGCCGGCCGCGCGCCTGGCTTGCTCGCTCGGAGAGGCGGCATGGTCGGTTATGTGGTCCGTCAAAGTAGCTTCCGTGAAACTTTCAATCGAAGAGCAGAGTTTAGAGGTTTAAGCGAGAGAAGGCTTAATTTGAGAAATCGAATGCTTTGAGATTTTAGCATTTAAGCACTCGAGTGCTTAATTTGAGAACTCGAATATTTTCAAGTTTAAGCGTTCGAGTGCTTAAAATAAGAAAACAGCAGATTGAACGCGAGCAAATTTCAATTTGCTCGCAGGTTTTTGAAATTTGCTCCGGAGCTTCTGCAAGAAGTCTAGAAATAGCGACTCGAACGCTTAAAGTCACCGGAAAAAAAGTAATCGCTTAGCCATTCGGATGCTTAAATGAAGAGAATTTTTGCAACCGCCCGAGCAAATTTCAAAAATGGCAGAGCAAATTCCAACTTGCTCACGCAAATAAATTTCAATCTGCTGTTTCCCTATTTTAACCCTGCGAGCCGTTATTTGCCAACTTTGTGAAGCTGCTTTGAGGCATTCGAATGTTTTATCGGGGGCGACGAAGCAAAGGGAAAGAGCACAGACAGAGCCAAGACGCTCCGGGGCGCTTGTTTTGTTAAGTGCCTGCAAGCTCCGCGCAAAACTGTCGCTAGCGTCGTGATCGCAGCAGATCGCGACGCCGGGCTCGCAGGCACTTAACATGCACTTTTGCCAAGTGCCTGCCGGCCCCGCGCGCAACTGTCGCTAGCGTCGCGATCTCAGCAGATCGCGACGCCATTCGCAACTCGCCCCAAGGGGCTCGCGCGCGGGGCAAATGGCGTCGTATGTGCCTGCGCCATACATCGCCAATGGCGTCGCGGTCTGGTGAAATCACGACGCTAGCGACAGTTTTGCGCCGGGCCCGCAGGCACTTAACATACAAAAGCGCCCCGGAGCGCCTTGGCTCTGTCTGTCGTGCTCTCACTCGTTGCCCTTTGCTTCGTCGCCCCCGATAAAAGTGCCGCCCGCGCGGCGCCGCTCCGGCGGCCACGCCCCTCCACCCCACCCGCGCGTCAGTTGGCCCAGCGAGAAGCGTGCGCGCCACGCCTTGCTCTTGAATTCGCCTCCTCGCCCTCGCGCGCCAGGCGCCCGCGCCGCGCTGCAATCTTGTGCACCGAAGCCCGCAGGGGGCCCAATGGGGCAAATTGCCCCAGGCGTCGCGATCTGGAGGGATCACGACGCCCGCGGCGGTTTTGCGCGGGGCGGGCACTTAACAAAAGCGCCGCGGGACGCTTTGGCTCTGTGCTCTTGCACCGGCGGAGCTTTTGTTTCCCATCGTGCGAAAGCTCTTTGTCTCTCGAGCAACACCAACAACACCTCCGCTCGGTCGCGGTAGATATAGCGTTTAGGCATTCGAGTGCTTAAATTCACGGAAACGCAGATTGCAATCTGCGTGAGCAAATTTGAAATTTGCTCTGGGCAAATTGAAATTTGCTCCGCAGACAAGCAATCAGCTTAGCCATTCGAATGCTTAACTGCTTGAAAATAAACAATCATTTTAAGCATTCGAGTGGCTAATTGACTGGTTATCTTTGAAGCTGTGTGAGCAAATTTGAAATTTGCTAGAGCAAATTGCAATCTGCGTTTCCGTGAGTTTAAGCATTCGAGTGCTTAAATTGCGACTTCTTAGTTTAGGCATTTTAATGCTTAAACCTTATGAACGCGATTTCCTAGATTAGGCATTAAAAGGCTTAAAACAAGGAATGTGCTGCGCGATTAAAAGTTTCACAGAAGCTGCGGGCCTTACCCAAGTAAGTCGGCCGGGGCGTCGCGTCCGTGCTCTCCTCCGCCGGAGGGCCCCCCCGGTGCCGCTCGAGCGAGGGCGCCGGCGCTCAGGTGTTTCTTTTTTCTGTGTCCGTCGCACCCTCGTCCTCGGGCGCGTAGGCATTGGTTGGAGCCCTTCGCCGCTGTCGCGCACAATGAGTGATTGTTTACTGTCCATCGTGGCGATGCGCTTGCCCTTCCTGCGTCGTCGCTATAACATACTATAGCTCATCTTCATGGGCGCGTGTCTTTGCCGGCCCTGGAGCAGTTTGCTTTCTTCTGGTTCCGACTAGCAGGAGTGGATGTGTTGGACACGGGATCTGTGCACCTATGTGGATGGTCGCGGCAAGGGTGTTCAGCTTCTAGCGCGGTGCCTCGCATTTCATTTGCTCTCGCGCGACGACGATGGTTGACTCTCACTCTGATCCCAACGTGTGTGTTTTCACTGTTCATAATAAATAAGTACTGAACCTGAAGTCTGGTGGAGGAGTCTGTGAGTTGCCGGGAGAGAACTAGCTGCTCTATTTCATCGAAACTATATTCAGAGAGACGACCTCCGCGCCAGGGTCAGTGTTGATTACGATTGTGCAGCCTGCGCTGCGGAAAGAAGTTAGTGAGACTGGTGGGGATCTCCAATTTGTTTCCGAGTGGAGTGACGAGTGAATCTTCTTGTCCAGAAGCTCCCTAAAAAAAAATGCGCGAAAAACGCCGGTGGCTCGCCCGTGCCGCTCTTTTGTGGATCAGCTCTCTTTGCGTGCATGTAACGGACGCTGCGGGTAGATTCAGGTTTCTGATTGCGTCGTCGCCAAGGCTGTCGAAGGTGTCTCTTTTTGTTTGCGCTTGTCATGCGTGTGATGAAATTCGTATTGGTTTTGCATTTGCTTTTGCGTTTGTCTTGCATGTGCATTGAATGCTTGTGTTTGTCTTAGTATCGAAGAGTGGGAAGTGGCTGCTGGCTCACCCACATTTGGCCAAACCTGAGGTTTCCTACGTCGCCTTGAATGTTCTTCGCGGGACGACATCCCTGATCCGCCCCCTCATCATTCCCGGCAACGAGGTGGACAGTCCTCGGGGCATGTGTGTGGACGTGCCGCGAAACCGCCTGTACGTCACGGACCCGGGAGTGACGTCCCGCAAGATCTACTGGTACGAACTAGAGTCCTCCGCGGAAGACGAGATCAAGATCAAGGGGCCGGGCCGACCCGCGGCCCTGCAGGTCGACGCAAACTGGTGCGCGGTAGACCACGTGGGGAACTTGTTCTTCACGGAAGCGGGGGTGAACGGGATAAAAAAGGTCCCCGCGTCCGTGCTGATCGGCGAGGGCGTGTCGAGTCCGAACTCCGCGGAAGTATTGTACACCGATGAGAAAACCGCGGAATTATCCGGTCCGGCTGGACTCGTCGCGGATAACTTCCACCTGTACTGGGGGAACACAGTCATCGGCCAGACACGAGGAACGATCGGACGGGCACCGCAAATGGCGATCTACCAGGATGCGAGCAGGGTACTTACTTGTAGTCATCTTGATGCGCGGCAGCTTCATGAACTGTTCATGGATACTGTTTTTCATGCGCGGCGTGGACAAGTCGAGTAGTTTGTCGTGCAGATCATTGTTCCGACATGTAAATTGTACAGAAAATCGCCGCGAACGCAGACACGGTCCACGGCGTGTGCAACGTCGGGAGCCACGTGTACTTCACAGAGAAGAACCAAAAGCTCCACGCGGTCGCGAAGACCGGTGGCATAATCACCCAAATAGCGGACACCTTCGTGGAGCCGAGAGGGTGCGCCTGGGACGGGGGCGGGAGTTTGTACGTTGCGGACCGCCAGGGAGGCGCGGTTTACGAACTACCGGTCAATCTGCCGCAACCCTCGAAGGCCGCGGCGGTTACCAACATGTTTTCCATCGAAGATGCGTTTGATGTGGCCTTGTTCGAAGCTGCGTGATCATATCTCTCATGCAAAAGAAGCAAATTAAAGACAAAGACATGACCACAACTACAGGTTTTCTTTTCGGTGAAATCATGTGTATGACCGATCCTGGCGAGGCGGATTTTAACGTGTTCGCTGTGAGAGCAGAGTTGCCGATGTGCGAGATGCCAATTGCACTCCCGCTATGAAAAGTTCTCTAGAGAATCACGAATGAGTTCGTGCAACTCTGACTGAGGGACGCGTCCACTCAGTGGCGGACGCGTGGCATAATTACCTGTGTAAAGTTTTGGCGAATCCTACGAGATGTAACCGCTTATCAAGTGCAGGGGCTAAAAATAGGGTATCGGATTTTTGTAGATCGGAACAACCTGGTTGCGGTTGAAGCTATTCTTCCGAAAAGATGGCGACAGGGGCACCAGCTGCCACAACCTCATCAGAGGAGGCCCCAGCTGCACCTTTTTCATCTCCGCTCTTACCCGGAGCAGAAGCAGACCCTGGTGCAGCTTTAATTCCAGATCTGCAAATTTCGCTGCAGGATCTTCCCTACGAGACTTTCGCTGAGGATTTGGAAGAGCTTCTTCCCGCGTTTTTCTACGATGACACCCCGGGAATCGTTGTTTTGGATGGTGGAGGTGGAGGTGGAGAGGGTAGTAATCACGCGAGCTGCGCATCAGGAGCACCACTAGTAGATGAAACAAGAACATCTCCGTCGTCTTCTGGTGGATCCTCAAAGAACTGCAAATCCGATCTGCTTCTTGCCAGCATGCTTCTCCTTCTTCGGCAGCACCGTGAGGAAGTGGAACTTAACCGGCGGAAAGCGAATCCGGTCGTTGACAGGCCCGAGGAGGTGGGTGTGATAAATACCCCCAGCACGACAGTTCCACCAAGAACGCCTAAACTAAGTGCTCGGCAGAACAAAAATCAGACCACCAAAGGAGATGCAGCGCTGCCTGCAACAGCATCAGCATCGCTGATAGAGGAACAGGAAATAATAAGAGCCAACATGGAGCACGAGCAGAAGATGTCCTCCGAAGACCTGCAGAGCCGAAAAGATGAGGAATTCTGCCGGCGGCTTCGTGACCAGCTTCCGGCCCTGACGGATCTTCACGACAGTGGCAGCAGCTGCCCAGGAGATGTGGAGCAACAACCTCCGCCGCCGCGGCTGAAGCAATTGCAACTAGAGTACGTGCGGAAGCTGCTGTATCGGAAGCAACAGCAGACGAAGCTCTCCCTCGGGATTGAAGCGCAGGAGAACTTGGCGAAGGATTTGCACTTGCGGATACACACGATGAACGCAGAGAGTCGGGTATCCTAAGCAAAAACGTCCCCACCCCAGAGTCACGTTGGGAATCTAGCAACACAAGTCTCCAAGTTTTGGGAGCTGTGCATGACAACTTTCGCTCTGCAGTGTAGTGCTGGTTGGCAAGGGAAGCCGCATAAGAAAGCCATTCTCTCATCCTGTTTACAGCATTACAAATGCCAAAACGCGACTGGAAACAAACGCCTCGCATGGAGCTGCGCATTACAAACGTTCCTGTCATTGCGCATTTGCATGACAACTCTGGGGTGGGGACGTTTTTACTCAGGATATCGGGCGACGACGCAGAAGCTGGTGGAGGTTACCAGAATGACGGAAAGAATGATGATGGAACAGGAATGCTGACGAAGCTAGCAGGTGTTGACCTGGATATCAAGGACACGAGAACTTGCAACGCAATAGCGGTACTAGACGTACACACAGGATCAAGAATTCACTCACCGGTGCAAAACCGAAACTGCCAGCGCCATAAATTGGAATCGGTACCATGATTTACGAGACAATACAAGAAATTTCGACAGCGACAACAATTAAGAGCAGTGTACTGAAATAATAGTGAAAAGAAGCAACTCTTGACAATGATAATCATAATAAAGTAAACACTTGAAAATAATGGGCCTCAGTAACATCTTCTACCGTAAGATTGCATTAAGCTGTCGTGATGTTGTTCTACTGACGAAAAAAGTTGAAGTTCATATGATTTGCTTTTCACGATCCCCCTGCTGATCCTCTTGAAGCGCGTGCTTTTTCTGCGATCGCAGTTTCAAGGCACTTGTTTATTTTTTCGGTCTATATACGATTTGGTCTTGTCAAAAAACAAAAAACTGAAATGACACACATGGCTGCGCTTTTTCGCCGTCGTGGATTGGACCGGCTCGGATATGATAAATGTTGACTCAGCTGCGCCGTGGAAATAGTTTTGGAAGCGGCGGCAGCGGGTGCTTACTAGTTAGCACCGAAGTACCAGCCGCGAAGGCAGCAGATGCAGCAACCGAGATTCCACCTGGACGACTAGATTTACATGCAGCAAGCGCGAGATTCAGGTTGTTGTGACGAAGACGACACGGATGAGGCTGTCGGAATACAACGATTTCGGCCAAAGGTACAGCGCCGCGACACCACAAAGAACTTCTCAAAGCCTGATCATGAACCACTTGCACGTGCTTATGAATTCGTACTGACGTTTGTGCAATAAAACCAAGAAGACCATCATCATGGCGACTTCTGCCGCAACTGCCCGCTCCTCCACGTGTCGGGAGATCGTCTCCTGCCTCCTCAAGCACGGTCACGACGCCCCTGTGGACCGCGTCGGCGATGCGCAGGTGGTTCTGGAGGAGGCCTTACGGCTTCTGGAAAAGCGGCGGGACGATGACGATGACACAGCGGTGCTGCAGGGGGTGTGGTGCTTTCTGAAAAATTGGGATAAAGAGAAGGAGGCGGAGAGCGAACAGTATGACAGCCCGAAGAAGGGAAAATTGCTCATGATCGACGAGACCATCGCTCGAAGGATGATCAACTACCTCGTGCGGGAACTCAGCCTGGGCATGCGGGAGGACCAGCGCAGGCTGCCCACGCAGGGAGTGCTGGTGGCCCTGTCGAAGGTAAAAATGTATTCTGGACCACTCCGCATTCTGGAGTAAGTACATGGAAAATCAATGCGAAGTATTTCATATCGAATGCACGAAGTATAAGTATTAGAATTAGTTGCAATGCAATTTGTATTCTCCGAAGGAACTTGACAACTGAGTGCAATGCTCCCTCCCAGGAGCTCCCTGTTTGTTACTTACTTTAACGAGAACGTGGACATCAATCGAATCAGCCAAAAATAAATTTAGATCATCAAGTCCAAGTGTAAAAAATCACCAGGCCGGCTACGCTTCGGTGGTGGTAAAGTCCGTGCTGCAAGTGCTCGACAGCAGCGTTTCTACCGAAATGGATCCCGCCGTGATGTCAACGGAGCTCCTTTGCGTCGTCCGCGAGGTCGCGACCGCTTCAGTCGTGCCCGAGCTCCTCTCGCGGCTCTTACCGCTTTTAAACGTCACCCGGAAATCCGAAGTGAAGATCGCTCTGTGCACAACGCTTTCCGCACTCTGTGGCGTCATCGTGGCTGCGAGAAACCGGACGAGAATTATCGGAGCAGGAGGTGCAGTAGGACAACCAGGCGGAACAAGTAGTTCTAGCGGACAACATCAGTTGCCACTGCCCAAGACAAGCCTCGACACGATCCCCTCCGGCCGCGCGTCGCGAGCGTCGAGCGCGAGTTCGCAAGCGTCGCTGCAGTTCGGTGAGGCGGTTGCGGGCGCCGCGCAGCCGGTAGGAGGAGGAGGTGCTGATTTTGGCAGCTCACTAGACGTGGAGGAGCATGGAGGTGGACGACCGCGAGGGTCGTCTGTACTAGCAGCTGCTGGAACAACATCAAGCAACAGGGCGTCGGCCGTACTATCGGGAGCAGACATCGCCAATGTCAGACCCGCAGCAGATCCGGACAGCTACGTGTGGTCGAACTTCACGCATTTCCCGGCGTACGCACAATTGGCGCAAAATGTTGTAGGGCACCAACAGGCACCAGAGGTACTTGCTAGTGGTACGAAAGTGTACGTGTACCACGACGTCGTGTATTTAGTGCAGATTGAAAACCTCCGGGTCTCTTTCGTGATCTCCGAATGTAGCCATATAAGAATGTGTGAGTTGAATTTGGGAACTGAAGCTACAGTCTAAAACTAAGTCACTACATGATATCAGGGCCAAACTTCTTGGGACGCGCTGCTTGACGTGCTCGTGAGTAGTTGGACGCGATCGAAAGAGGTGAAGCTGCTGAGCTACATTCTGGACACCATCGGCCACGTGTGCTTTTTGGCGAGCCGGGACAAATTAAACACCCGCGTCGTCGAAATCCTCGGTTTTTTCCAGGCGTTGGGCCAGAGACCGGCCGTGGCAGCTGCCGCCGCGAGCAGTGGTAGTACGGTAGCTTCCGGTAGTTCAACTGCTATGATTACACAAACAGCCGCGGGTAATCAAGCTGCGCAGCAACAGCCCAAGAAAAAATCGAGCACCGTCTCGGCCCCCTACCTTCGCGGCCTGGGGCTCTTTCTCGCGGCGACCCTGTCCCGGTCCGAAGACGTTCGCGCCGCGGCGACGGGCCCGATTCTGCAGGCGCTGCTCGGGTACGGCAAATTTCTGAAGGACGAGCCCCGGCAGACGCTGGTGCTGCAGGTCTTTGAAGTGATGGCCGGGCAGCTGCCGGAGGTGTTTCCCCTGCTGTTCCAGAAGTTGGAACAGTCCGTACAGGCACTGGACACCTCGCAGAAATCCATGTTTGCGTTTTTTTCCCGCACGGACACCACCAGCTCGAGCACGGACGATATCAAATGTAAAAGTGTCTGGGTCTGGAAGATTGCAACTTGTCATGCTGTTTTTGGACTCTGAAAAAAATTGTATTGCATGACCAGCAAAATGGGTACAGTTTTTGCTACACAGACAGGCCATTTCTCATGCGGAAGGTGCATCAGGAAGCCCTCTAAAAGTCTGCGATGCTAGTTCAACAATTACAGGCATCATGGGCCTTGAGAAATATGCATGACAAATCTTGCATTCTTCCAGACCCTGACATTTTTACAATCCATAGACGACCCGCTGCGCTTACTCCAGACGGTCACCCACTTGTGCCGCACGCTGCCGCTCGCGCCGCAGGCGCTCGAGGACGTCCGCGAGTCGTTGACGCGCATCGTGAAGAAGACCACGGAACAGCAAGTCCGGGGCACGCAGCCGATTGATCCAGAGCTCGCGGTGACCATCACCGAAGTTATCATCCACGCGGGGAGGCTACTGCCGAGAAGTTCTCGGGGCGGGGTCAGCGGGACGACCGGCGCCAGCAGGAACATCATGCTTTCGGACGCGACGTTCCAACCGGGCTCGAAGCAGTACAAGAGCGTGGAGGCCTCGCTGGTGATCTACGTGCAGTGGATCATCGAGCAGATTTCGCGCTCGGAAGTGGCGTCGCGAACGCCGCCGGAGGAAGGTGGGGCTAGTGGAACTGGTACTGGCATAGTTGTGCCCGGGACTGCGTCAGGAGCAGGCGTAGTTCTTGCAGAACATCAAAACAAGAAGAGCAGCCAGACGCTCGGACCACGACAAGCGTCGTACGACGCAAATACGAGCGTGGGAACAACGCCGGCCTCACCTCGAATGTCACAAATGCCACAACAACAGCAGCAACAAGTTGTAACATCATCCCCCCGCTCTGGTTCAACATCATCTGCCGCGCTGTTGAAGCAGTCCTCCTACAGCACCGCCCTGCTGCGTTTTTCCGAGAACGTCCCGGAACCGTGGCGGGAACAGGTGTTGCTCCCGACGCTCTTGAAATCTGCCGTGAATGTGAAACTTCTCCCCGCGTTGCCTGCGATTGCCACCACGCTCTCGCGCATGGAAGCAGCGGAGTTCGCTCGGTTTGCGTTCTCAACCGGTGCTGGTGGTGGTGGTGCAACTACAATGGCGTCTGACCAGGCATCCTCTTCATCTGGGACGAAGAGAACAAACAGACCAAATGAACAAGCGGGCGGGTCGTCGGGTAGCAGCGCAAATCCGACAGCAAGCGAGAATGCGCCGCAGCAAACCGGAGCGGTGGATGCTGCGGGCGTGTTCGTCTGGGTTCTGCTGGTTCTCCACGATCCGCTCTCCGTCGACGCCTTGCCGCTGCTGGACTTTCTCCGGTCCTGGGCGCCGGTGGTGCACGACGAGTTGGGGAATTTGTGGCAGCACACGGACCGGCTGCAGGTGTTGAAGCAGTTCCTGAAGAAGAAGATCGGCGCGAAACGGTTGACGCTCGCCGAACGGGAATTGGTGTTCGACCAGTGGTATGCATTGCAAAAGTAACGTACTAGTATAAATTGCATTACAAATTTTGGCAAGAAGAAAAGTGGAGTTTGTAATGCTGTTGTACCTTAGGAGGGAGATTTGACATGCATGTTTGCAATTAGTACGAGTGCGATACTTTTGCACAGCATAAATAGTTTGCGGCCCTGTCGAACGAGTTGCAGTTTTGCCTACGCGGGATGGTTTTCCATCATCATCATCACCAACATCCCAGCGCAATATTAAATCCCAGCTCCTTTGATCATGCAACATCTACTTCCGGGTACTCGTACTCCTCCCAGCAACAGTCAGACAAGATGAACCAGTTCGCAAGCCGGTTTCTGATCACCGCGACGCAGACGAAAACGCGGCTCCAGGCGTTCGGCCAGAAGCTGTTCGCGCAGTTGGCGGACGACAGCGCGACCCAGTTTCTCCAGACGGTGTTTCAGCTCTACTGCACCGCGGTCATGCGGATTGGCATCACAAACTTGCAGTCCTGTGGCATGAACCACGCTGCGACCAACGAGAACTACAACAAGATCCAGAATATCAAATGCAAAAATGTCTGGGTCTGGAAGAATCCGAACTTGTGATGCTGCATTTGGATTCCAAAAAAATCTGTATTGCATGACCAGCAAAGGGAATGCAATTTTGACCAGCAGAGGGCGTTTGTCATGCGCAATAGGTATCGCGAAGCCCTCAAAAAGTCTGTGATGCTAGGGCATGCATCACAGACATCATGGCTCATGCAAAAGAACGTGCACGACAAGTCTCAGAATCTTCCAGACCCAGACATTTTTGCATTTGATCCAGAAACTGCTGGAGCAACAGGTGTTTGCCTTCCTGCAAGAGGACGAACTCTCGCTGGTCATGGAAGACCAGGAGAGCGGCCAGCAGCTGGAACACAAACTCCTCCGCCGTTTGTCCGCTCGGGCGGTCGCGGTGTGTGCTGGCGAGCACTTCGAGGCGGTGCTGGCGACGATCGGCGTATCAAATGTAAAAATGTCTGGGTCTGGAAGAGTCATGCTGTTTTTGCATGACACAGAAGGTCTGGCATGGAAGCTCTAGCATCACAGGTCTCGAGAAGCGTTCGCAATGCCGGATCCGCATGACAAATCCCTGATTTTGGTGACAGAAAGTGGGCAGCTTTTGCTGCTTATGCATGAGAGATTTTCATTTTTCTGTGTTCTGAAATGCGCATCACAAGTTTCAAACTTCCAGACCCAGACATTTTTGCAATTGATACGGCGCGGCGTTCATCAAATTGGAATCGCAGCACGAGTATCAAATGCAAATATGTCTGGGGCTGGAAACTGGTGATGCTGGCTTGGGAATGGTGGACACACTGCAATACGCAGCCAAGCATGACAAGTTTTTGAGCTGCTATGTGTTGCGAGTTCTGCATGGCAAACTGCGCTTTTGCATGACAGGCAAGAGACTCTCATCCTGCTCATGCATCACAGAGTTAGGCGTCATGAGAGACAAGCATGGCAAACTTCCAATCTTCCAGAACCAGACATATTTGCAATGCATAACGAGCAAGACCTGTTTTACGCCAACGCCGCGAACACCCCGGGCTTGGGCGTCATGAACTGGATCGACGGGGGCAAACGCGCATATGGGGTTCTCAATTGTTACATTCTCAACTGTTACATGAATTTGTGATGCAAGAATAGCAACAGGAAAAGGCCGGATCTTGCAACTCTTGCATTACAAATTCGGCACAGATTCCCTTTCCCATGCTCTTTAGCGCTTCCAAAATTTGTCATGCGAGGCAGCTTCACTGTGTGGACGTTGGTGCTCATTTTGCATGACAAATCATGTAACAGTATGAGAATGTAACAGTTGAGAACGCCATAGCGCACTGCAGCTCCAAGCCACGGTGGACAGCCGCGTGAAGCTCACGCTCGCTTTGGGCTACTGCCTCCTCTACGCGCCGTCAAGGCGACGCTTGCTAGACCACGCGGGCCCGTTCGCACTCATGCCGCTGGCGCGGGATCTGCAGAAATTCTCGGAGCATTTGGCCACCGTGAACCAGAACACCGCTTTGGAGCAGATGGCTGGTACTAAGAGTTTTAGAATTTACTGACATCTGCTCAACACATTGATTGTCGTGAAGATGGATAACTTTGAAGATCAAGAAGATGTACTAGTCGTGATTCGCATTCGGAATGAAAAAATAAGTACGGATCTTGTAGTATTCGTGAGTGGAATTTCTGTGAAAAGCGCCGTCACCTACTCCAATCAAAAACCTAAACCCCACTTCTTTCAGGCACTACGGAGGTGCTTCTGTCCCTTCTCGAGACCATCCGGCGGTGTGCGGAGAGCATCGCCTGCCCCGACCTGGAGCAGCACCCTTCCCGAGACCCCTTCTTTGACGAACAGCACGACGGCAGCCGCTTGTCTTTCGTGATCACCGACCGGGAGGAATTGCTCGGGCTCTCCGACCTGCGTCACCAGCTGATCGAGGGTTGTCTGGACCTCATGTCCCAGCGAAAGAAACTCCAGGACCGCTTAACCCAATACCGCCAAACGGTCCTCACGCCGCAGACCCCGGCCCCGCAAATCCAGCTCCTCGGCGGAGTTACGAGTAACGGGCAAAAGTTGCCGAGGGAAACGGTGAGCGCGATCGCGAGTCTGCTGGCTTTGTCGACCGACGTCCCGCCGAATCTGTACGTCAAAAGCCTGCAGTCCGCGTTGGAGTGGCTGGTGGAAGGCACAAAGGAAGATGGTAGTATTGTTCCACCAGGTAGTAGTACAACCACTTCTAGAGGTGGAACTGGAACTGTCACAAGTCCAAGCAGTGCAGCTGCGAAAGTAAAAAATGCGTCAAAAACTACGACGCCGAAAATGATGGAGGATGAAATGACGGACGCAGTGTGGGAAAAAGTCACTACCGTCGGCGAGCTCGTCCGGGTTCTGACGCTGCAGGGCCAATCCTGGCTGTCTGTCCGTGCGATTTCCAAAGCGATCGTCGAGGCTTTGCTGCCGTTCGCAGAGCGACTGCTCTACCGCTGGGTGATGACGCATTTGCTGCGGGTGGTGTGCGAGAACAGCCCGATTTTGGATCCAATCGGGATTCCGGACGAAGACACCGCCGAGGACAAGGCGGAGCAGCTGCTCGGCCGAGCAGGCGACTCCACGCAGAGTGGCGGGTATGAGGCCGTGGCGGCGAACGCGGTTGATTTATTTCTTGGAGATGAAGATGACAGAGGGCGACGAGAAAGTCAGAATGATAATCTCCTCCAAGGAGAAAGCGAGGAGGAGGACGGCTTGGATCTAGGCGCGGGAGCGACGAGAACAACCGCAACGGTCGCTACTTCGTCCGTCGCAATGACTACAACCGGAGGTCATGCGGCGTCGACGAATCTTCAGACGCGGAGCCGGGACGTGAGTCCGACTTTTTCTTCGGTACAAACACCCCAAACGCAAGCGAACAATTTCGGTACAGATTTCGCAGCCCTCGATGAGCCGGACCTTCTTGGTGAGCTTGCAACTACCGCCTCGCCGAATTCGAGACGGGACGTGCGCGACGCAATCAAAGACAGGTTCGCGGCCGTGGAACATCAAGCACAAGAACGAGGACCACGACCCACGAGTCGTACGCCCGATAATCATATGGGGACGAACAGTCCCGCGGGCTCCTCCGTGGACAGCTTCGAGCAGCAGAAACCGCACAGGAGTCCTGCGGAAAACTTTGGCGATTGGTGCGAGGTGTTGGCCATGATCTACCCGAGGCTGGGGGACAGCGACCCTTCCGTGCAGGAGGTCGCGAAAAATGCCTTTCAGCACCTGTTCCGACGGCATCCCGAGACCGCGGAGGTGATGGCCGCGGAAGAACAAAAGGCCGCCAGTGCAGGCTCCAGACCGCAGAGCCCCAGGGGGGTGGGGGCGGAGCCACGAGCGGGTTTTATCACTGGCGGTTTGAAGACATCAGCCTCAGCGGGAACAACAGCAGCTGTGCCTCCAACGGGCGGTGGGAGCCATCAAGCCGGTCGGGCTTCCGGTGGCCGACCTCCGTTGAGGCCGAAGTTGATTCCAGCTGTGGTTCCTGCGTCTGGTCTATTTCCTCTCACCGGGTCATCAGCGGCGAGCAGTAGCACAGCAAAGGATCCGTACAAGAAAACCAAGCCATCTGGTGCCGCCACGACCCCAAGGCGAGGAGGCCGCAATGATGATCCCTCTCAACAACTCTATCATCCCCCCCAGCAGGAGGTGTTCTACTTGACAAGCCAGCCGCCAAGTCCGAAAATCTCGAGTCCCTGGCAGGAGGTCGCGCGGACGCTGGCGCGGTGTGGGATCCTGGCAACGCCACTACTGCAGCACCTGGTGTTGGGCATGCACGACGTGGATGACCGCGCGGCGGAGTCCAGCATGGACGGGTTGTTGACGCTTCTGAGCTTCGTCTTCGAAACTTCCGCGACCACGCGAGTGTCCAGGGTGCTGACGCAAAATGATTCAGAAGACCAGAGTCGCAAGTTCAACGCGCAATCGGCGGATAAGCCTCTCATAAACAAGACAACTCCAGGTGTACACCGACCAGCAAGACTCTCGTCCACTCGCGCGGAACTTCTGATCCAAGCGTTACTGCAGCACGCGGACGGGATTTTGCACCGACCGACGGTGAGGAAGAAAGTGTTCGATGTGTTGCTCCTCCTGGCCTTGAACCACTTCCGGATTTTCGCCCGGTCCTTCGTGCAGAAGTGGTCTGACGTGCGACACGAACTGATTAAGGAGATCCTCACCAAGGACGCGACTTTGACGGATATGCTCCTCCGCTACCTGGCCGCGCGGTTGCGGGGCGAGGGCGGAGACAGCGAGTCGAGCAGTCTGGTCCTGGGGCACTTAGCTTCCGTCCCGGATTCACAAGTCGCGGCGCTCTGCGACCGACATTTCATCCAGCTGTATGCGAGTTGTCTGGTGCAGTTGTCAAATTTCACGGACGTAGTGCTAGCAACCACTGCGACCACCGGGAAAATGGCCTACAGTAGTACAATTTCTACCGCGTCCTTTGGAGGCGCCGGGGGTTCTGGCGGTGGTGTCAGTAGCCCGACCGCGTCGACACGGAGTTCATTGGTCCTCAACGGTAGACTGCCGTCGGAAGAGCAGGGCTTGCTTGCAAGTGCGACGAGGGAAATAAATGATGGTGGCTCGCCGTCTTCACCTGCGAGCAAAAACCAACCGCAGAATCCAGGAACGACCAGGAACAACAAAAAGCACCGAACCAGGAGTACGAGCGATAATTTCAGTTTCCAGGAGCCAATGCTTTTTTCCGGCTCTTCGCAGAACAGCGGACTGGACTTGATAACTCCCGGGGTCGAACAGTTGCACGAGGTGGCGCGGAAACAGAACGAGCTGCTCTGGGCGCTGCAGAAAGTTTTAGAGGCAAGTGGAAATCCGTCTATGGCGTTTGCGATGGAAAGGCACTTCGGGCTTGTCGACAGAGCTGGAGCGCAAGAACAGCAAAACAACTTTGGAGGTGGTGGTCCTGCTCAAACGAATAAAAAAACATCTTATTCGACTTCGACTTCGCAGGAGCTCCTGCTACCGGACGACATGGTTGTGGAATCGTTGGTGGCTTTGTTCACCCAGTTTCACCCGAAAAAGATCCTGCAAATGGCCGACTTTTTCCGGACGGGCGTGAACGCAGAATCTCTGCACCGGCAGGGAATTGCGTTGGGAATTCTGGCACAGATGATTGCGTGCATCGACGTGCAGCAAGGTTCAGATCATGAAACACGGCATCAACCGTCGAATTATAGTACACAAGAGCAAGAAGCGGTGGATGCCAAAAATTTTCATTCCGGCGAGGGGCAGCTGTTGCTGGACTGTATTCGCAATTTCGTTCCCTTCGCGAAAACCAGTTTGGAGGAGAGCAACCGGAAGAAGCTACAGCAACATCGCGAGGTTCTTCTAGACAACGCGTTCCTGCAGCGACGATCGGTCAGGGCGTTGTCCTATCTGTTCGTCGCACTAGCGAATCCGCACAACGTCGCGTTTTTCGCCCATTTAGACGCCGACTTGACCACCCGGACGCTCAAAATCGCGTTGGAAAAACAGGACCAGGATACCGACACGGTTGCCGAGGCAGTTGAAGCGCTATCGAAGTGCGTCCTGGCGGTGGGGAGTATGCATTGCAAATACATAGAAATCTTCTGGGTCTGGAAGGGGGCAAACTTGTCGTGATGCTCTCTGCCAGTCTTCACACAAAATAAATCTGGCGTGCATGAATAGAAAAAGCTGTGCTCACGACTTTTGGCCACGCTGCGAGCAGATCTCTCATGCAGAATAGGCATCGTCGTGAAGCTCTTGCAGAAGCAGAACCTGTGACGTTGCGCCTTGCATGCCAAACCTTCCGTGCCTTGCAAAACCGGCATCACAGACATCTGCAAGCTTCCAGACCCAGCAGACCTGTATAATTTGCATTGGATAGGAGAGTTTTCCAAGTTTGCGGCGGAACAAGAATCGACACTGTTTCAGAGAAAAGAACATCACAATGGTGCGATGAATGGCAACGGGCATAGTGCTTTTCACGGCAGCTACATGGAAGATCACGCGAGCAACGCCCTGGACCTACTGGATCACGTGTTTGATGCAGGGAATTATATCACGAACGCAGCGACTGCTGCGGATCTCATCGACATCTTCGCGCCAGACCCACGGGCTGCCGGAACCAGCCCCTTGAAGAACGGAACTACAGGACCACGATCAGGAGGAAAAGAACTAGAGACTTCTCATCAACCTTATACCACAACCGCAGCGAAGTGGAAGAAGTTGCTGCTCGATCGCTGCTTCGAGCGGCTTGGCGGTTTGTTGGAGCGCCCCGACGCGAGAATACGGGCCCGCGCCATGGACCTGATGGGAAGTATGTCCTCCGGTTTGTTTCTGGAACAGGTGTCCGGGGGGACCTCGTCCAGCCCTTCTACGAGGAACAAAAACCAAAACGTCCGCGCAGATGAAGATGATTATATCCTGTCTCCGAGCAAAGCCGCCAGGCTGAACACCCCTGGCGAGGCGCTGCTCCGGCGCAACAGCATTCGCTGCTGCATCCACATTGCGGACGAGAACGTCGGCACGCGGGGCGCCGCCACCGCTTGTCTCGAGAACCTCTGCCGCAAGTTCGCCGAAGGCGGAACCACGCCCGCTGCCCGCTCGGTCATGCGCGCGCCGGATTGCTTTGTGCAAATGGTTACAACTACGACTGGTGCATCAGACTACGTGGATGAAGTAGATGCACAGAATGCGCAACAAGCGGCGACAATCACAATTATGGACGTCTCCGAGCTTGGCCGCGTGCTTCGAACGTATGTGTCGCCTTTGCTGGAAGCGGTTCTTCTCGCCGACCACGAAAGCAAAAAATCCCCGTCTGCCCAGGTGGACGCCCTGTTCAGTCCGACGAGGTCGCGAACCGTGCAGCAGACGTTGTGGCGGGAGCATTTGGAGGTTTGTGAACAGTACCTGTTGGAGGAGTACGCGGAGCAACTGCACGTTTCCGCGGGGTTCTGCGCGGTCTTCGTGCTTCGGGCCGCAAAGGTGGCCTTGCGGGGCAAAACGGAAGATCCGGTGACGGAGGCGGACTTTGAAAATCTGAGTCGAAAATTGCTGCATCTCCTGTCCACGGAAGAAACCGAGTTGCTCCCGGTATTGGCCGAACTGGCGAGATGCCAGGCGAGTGGGTGATATCATCGGATGTGGATGAAGGAGGAGATATGATCTACCTGCGATGATGTAGTTCACCATCGGAAAGAATCTTTGTTGACAGTGTGTATAGTAAAGTCGTTTTTCTCCTCGAAATATCGAAGAAATAAAGCTACCTCTTGGCATGGTGATGTCGGTTCAAGAAAAGTTGAAAATGGATTTCCAAGAAAAAGTTGCGATAGCTCCACGGTATGAATTGTTGTGAGGGAAGGTGGGTAGGATTCAAGACTGTGACAGACTACGGTCCGGCTCGAAGTCGCCTGTTGCCATGTGTCATATTAAACACCTCGAAGGACGACGACAAAAAAACGTAGATGGCTCAATACAGTTGCCACTTATTACAAAAAAAACTAAAATGAAAATCATGAAGAAAAAGAACTGGATTGCTTTGTTTTTTGGGAGTGTTAGATGAAAAAGTGCGCTTCCTAGTTGTGTATCTACTTTATTTACTTGAGAGTGAGAGAAACAGAAATTTGGAGCGTGGGAACATCAAAGAATCGTCACTGCATCGGCCGCGAGAGGATCAAAACTGCGCCCTGAAGATTGGGCACTCGTCGCATAATTTCTCAACTGTGGGCTCGAGAGAGAGTGAGTACAAAGGTTCGAAGCGCTATACGAGTAGAAGCGCAAAAAACGGTTGCGATGGCGTGGTGTGTCATCCTAGGAATTCGAGCATATGTTTTCGACGTTTGTCTCCGGGAAGAGCGAGCATCAAAAGTGGCACGTTTTATGCCTCATAGGAAGAGGGGCAGCTGCTCTCTACAATGATAATGAATTAGGACGTCACTTACCAGTTTCGTCTACATCTAGAAGAGCTTGCAATTCAGTGGGAAAAGTCACCCACAAGCAGATGCACAAAGTGAAGCAGTTCTATTTTCAAAAAAAGTTCGGCACCAATTATCGAAAATCGATGTCGCAGTCTTCTTGCAGCTGAAGCGTAGGGGCGCCTGGAAGCTCATCTTGCGCGATTTTTGCAGATTGTCCTTCAGACCACCGTCGTACCAGGAGCTGTTGTTTATTCCGCTGCGACAAAGAAGTCGAGGGGGACAGCAACACAATAACAAAGAAAGCAGCACCTCCTTACAGCGAGCCATTTATTGGTAAACCTAGACCCACTGTCCAGCACGACCACAAGCATGACCACGCTGGAACACCAGGAGAACCTGGTGAAAACCGCCGCTGCGGCGCGTCGCCGCGGTCTCCGCGACATCTCCAACACGATCGCGTCGGATATGGAATTCTCAGGCGTTTTTACATCCTCGTTTGCTGTTACATGATTTGTCATACGAAATTCCCATCAGCATCGAACTCGATCCACACGATGATCAAGCTACTTTGCATGTTGACAAATTCTTCAGGCACTACGATGGCATTGAAATCCTTGTTGCCAAACCTGTAATTCAGAGCGCGGAAGCTTCGTCCCTCTTCCGCTTTCGCTTTTGCTCTTGTTGCGTCCTCATGAATTTGCGTTGTACCAGCCGGCACTGTCCTAAGAACGTTTGAGCACTCCATAGTGGATGCAAACTGCCATGCTGGAGCAGCTTTAGTAGCTGGGCCTACTACTACAAAGCAGACCTCCACCGGGAAAATAAATTGTGTAGTTCCAATCAGTACTAACTTGAAGACTACAACGAGTACGACAACCATCAACCCAGCTGGTTCCACGACGACGGTGTATGTGCCGGAGGGAGCTGTTGTGCCGCTGACCAAGCCCTTGGTCGTTCCGGGACGAGGAGCAGCTGGTGATGCTAGTCCAGTAGTGCAACAACAACACGGGTGGTCCTCGGTGGCGGAAAGCAATAATGGCGGTGCCGGTGATGTGGGTGTGAAGACAACTACTTCTGATGTGGAAAATTATCAATCGAGTAATTCCAACATGAACATGTTCTTGGAGAATCAAAATCCGGTCGTGCACGACAACTACGTTGGAGGTCAACAGTGTCAGAATCAAAATCACCATCTGCACGACGGTGGGCACGGTCAGGATAACGGAGTTGTCCACGTTAAGAACCAATTGCAGGCCGTTCCTGCTCCAGTTCATCATTACCTTGAACCGCAAGAACAACCCTTTGTCGAACAGCGGACGCACGAAATAAACACCGCTTCCAAAGCAAACATCTTTGCAAAAAACCAGTCGGAGCAGATGAACGAGCTCTGTCCCGAAGCGAAGTTTTTACTGGAGAAAGTGACTGCGGTGGCGCTGCAAAGGGAGCAGCAAGAAGTCGTGGAGCAACTCTACTCGCTCGACGATGAATTGGACGGCGCGGTGGGGGTAGTTTCAACAGCGGCAGATGAAGCTGTAGCTGGGGCGAAAACTACAAACTCGAAAACGAATTTTGGAAACAACAACAGCAGCAGCAGCAACCAAAACCAAGAAGGAGATGAAAATCTTTCCGACATCGCCCCACCGAGTTCCGCCAATCCGTTCGAGGGCTCGGATTGCGAAACGCACCTGACCCACACCAGCAAAATCTACTCGGAAACCGCGTACAATGAGCTGCTGATGGATCCCTACCGCTCCGATTTCATTCTACCCCGGGACAACGAGCACGTGCAGCCGGTGGACCGGTCGAATCCCTGGCATAGCGGTGAGGTCGTCGCGGCCGCGCCGGAGCATCAAGGTGGAGCCCCGCCCCGGCCTCCTCCTGCCCTAGGTGGAACAAGACGAACTACGCAGAGGGTCGTGTTGGACAACAACTACGGAGAAATAAATCAAAATGATATTACCGGTGGTCAGGAGGTCCGCGGCCAGACCCAGATGAACAACAACGACGAAGATCTTGGTAGAGCCATTGGTCTCCCCAGAACCTCCAGGGCCGAACTGGTCGCGACACAAAGAACAACATCAAGTACAGAGAACTTGTCTTCCTCCGCTGGACGAGGACAAGCTGCTGTCAACGACCGGCACGAGGACCCCGCCGGCCGGGGACCGAAGAAGTCGTTTCTTGGAATGTACAGTAAGGAGGCTTTGGAAGAGGAGGGGGTTTCGAACCCGCAGTTCTGGGAGCTCGACAACAGTGAAGAAGACGAAGTTGCGAATTTGATGGACGTCGTGCAGATTGAACATCAGCAGAAGATCAACATTTTTACCAACGGTGGTTGCAGGGAAGACCAGGTCAACTTTCACTTTGACACGGAATTTACACCGTCCTTGATGGGAACTACAGTTGTCACGACCGACACAACCTCCGGCGCTGCTTTCGCGATGGTGCAGAATACAACTGCAGCTCACAACTACCAAAATAACTTGCAGCACCAAGTACTAGAGCAGGACTTCGTTTTTCACCGCGAAAACTTTCACCGGCTGGAACAAAACTTCGAGAACTTAACCCGGTTCCGGAACCGAAATCATGCAGCACCTCCTGATGCCTCGTCGAATGCTGTGCGAGGACCCAATATGCACAACAGCAGCTCGTCTGCAACTGCAGCTTCTGGTTCTGCCAGCAGCAGTTCTAGTAGCAGCATGATCCACCAGAATGCCACAGCGAGCTACGCGGCCGCCAACTCCTTTGTGGCACAGCAGATGCAGATGCAAATAATGCAGCAGCAGAATCAACCTCAAGGATTTGGATTTCACCAAATGAACCAAATTAATCAGCACGACCACCAAGGTCCTCGTGGCTACCCGCAAGGTGTGCCGACCGCTTCTGCCACCGCAAGAACGTTCGGGTACGGCGATTCGGCTCTTTCCAGCACAGCGCGAACGGAAAGAACGGAACAGCAGCGGCTACAACAACAGACTGCCGGATTTGATTTTCATGACTTGGGTGGAACAAACAGCAACGTATTGTCTGCAAGAAACGCGGTGCAGCAACGCAATAGCCGTGGCCCGTTGGACATTCGGGACCTCGCAAGCGTCACAGCCGACCAGCTGCAGCAACTGGTGCAACAGCGCGGAACTACATTAAACAGTAGTGCTGCCCAACATCAAAATCAAAATCATGCACCTGCGAACACTTATGTTCAGGACCACAACGGCATCGTCCAGCATGTGGCCGGCAGTTCTTTCCACCTCCCGCAGTTACCCATCCCGCCGCACGAACAGCGGTCACGTGACCCGTTCCCTACGAGCGAGCTCGCCTTCCGGGGTCAAATGGTGGAACGCTTGCCACCCGTGGACGTGCGACAGTTGGGGAACTGGGATCGAGTCGCCGGCGGAGGTGGGACGACGGGCCATGGACCACTTGGAGCACGTAGTTCCTCTGGTGGTCCTCTGCAACAGGAACAGCAGCAAGATCTCCATCTTCAAAACACGACGATGCATTTCAACTTTTTCCCTCAAAGAGGAACTGCTTCTACAACAGGAGCTGCAAGTTCATCTTGTACGGAGCATCGCTGGAAGGAGATCCACTACGCGTGCGGGGTGAATCTGGAGGTCGTGGATTCGGTGGAGATCAACGGCAGTGGAGCTAGTTGTGAGAACAGCAAGAGCAGTGACGGGGAAAATCAAGGGATGAAAAATGGCATTGATCTCGACGAGCTTGCCAGTAGGAGCAGTGACGAGGAAAATAATGGTAATCTGCATCACGACCGAGAAGTACAAGACCACACTGGGCGTGTTGAAAAGCCGAACACGACGACCGCGAAAGGGAAGGACAAGTCGCAGGTCGTGAATGAAACTGTGGAACGGGAACTCCAGCCCATCACGCTGAAGCGCGAGCTCCGGAAGAAGCGAGTGGACGGCACCTGGGTCGAGACCAGCTGTATTCTGACACTGCATATCAAATGTAAAAGTGTCTGGGTCTGGAAGAATCATGCTGCTTTTGCATGACACAGAAGGTCTGGCATGGAAGCTCTAGCGTCACAGGTTTCGAGAAGCGTTCGCAATGCCGAATCCGCATGACAAGTCCCTGACTTTGGTGACAGAAAGTGGGCAACTTTTGCTGCCTATGCATGAGAGATTTTTCTGTGTTCTGAAATGCGCATGACAAGTTCCAACCTTCCAGACCCAGACATTTTTACATTTGATAGTGCAGCTGAAAAGTTTTCTAGATGGAATTTTCGAACATAAAGAAGAAGACGAGTTTTATCCTGACGGCACTAAAGCGGATGGCGACGACGTGGTCGACGAGCAAAACAAAAAGCACTTCTTCTCGTTTGCTGGTCCTGCGCAAGGGGAAGATGAACTACATGCACAAGGTCCACGAGACGCAGACTTTTCCGCTTTTGCGTTCCCTGCTCGTTCGCAGAGCAAAAGCTCCTGCTCCGCGAGCGAAGAGGAGGATCGCCACGAAGGAGGGGACGTCGGTCGTGCAGGCACTGCTGCGGGCTCTGTTGGTAATAAAGGAGACCACGTCCTCGTCGAGAAAAACCACGTCGCAAGAAACGGAGTTGACTCGAGTACGAAAACAGGAACAAAGGTCGTGTCCTCGTCGTGTAAAAAACCGCGGCAACTCACGACCAAAACTCACTCTACGGTGACTGCCTTAACGGATGAACAAAAGGAACAGAAACAGCCAGAGTATGATGAAGAGCCCTGCTTCTACGTGACCACGACCGAGCTTTTCCGGACGGTACTCCACCCCCACGAAACCCGGGAAGAGGAAGATGAGAACGCGATTAATTTCATCCGGAACGAGCTGAGCAGCCCCCGGAACTTCCCGCACAAGACCTTTCGCGGGAAGAAGTGGAACTGCATCACGACGCGGCAGCAGAAGAACCGCGAGCAGGTGGTTCCGCTGGCCTGTGAGCAGCGGAAAAAGTGGCGACAGATGCGAAGACGGCTGAAGAGCGACCTACGGCCGGACCTGTACGGACACCGGGTCGTGCACGAGTACCGCGACGGCCGGATAGAGGTGGTGCACCAGCGGACGCGGCTGCTGCCGCTGCGGGGTTTGGAGGAGATCTTTTTGAGTGGAACAAATGGAGGTTGCTGTGATAAAAGTGAAAATCAATCCGGCAAGAAGAACCTCACCGGCAGCACGCTTGCGGAGCAGATTTTGAAAACGTCAAGCAATAAAGTCGATGTGAAAAAGTTGACATCCATTCTCCTCAAGCAGCTCCCCGACCCCTTCGAGTTGTTTCTGGAGCTCTGCTATGCACTGTAAAAGCTTCCTCGTAGTCGTAAGTAAAAATTAAAATTTTTGCAAATCTTGCATGAAAGGCCACAACCCTCTCGGGTTGTGGCCTTTCCTCGGAGGTGGGGTTGGGCTTGGGGCGCCAGGCGAATGGACGGCTTCGCAGCTACGTTGTGATCGACAAACTGAGATCGACGATAATAGTTGCGTTGCTGGTTCTGTGCCAGTCGCGGGGCATGTTCGGGCGTTCCGGGCTGTGCTTTGTGCACCCCTCGGACCCCGCACTCCCCCGGGCTCGGTAGCGCAGTCTGTTAAGCATGACAAATGAAATTAAGCTCCCATCATGCAGATGAGCCAGAGTCAGCATGACTTTCCTGTTCAAAAAATTTGTCATGCGCTTTATACTGCGTACGGGTACGGCAGAGCTTTTGCAATGTATATCTGCAAGGTGAACGGTCTGTCCACGCCGGAGAAAAAGCAGTTAGACGACCTGGACGCCTGCACGGCTGCGAATGCGGACTCCTTTCCCGCGGTCTTGCGGTACGAGAACGCGGTCTTGATGCAGGAAAACGACTGTTTGTTGACCAACTCGCAAAAGAAGAAATTGAAACTAGCCGCCCCGGAGGCGTTGTGGCAAAATGCGGTGGGAGTGTTGGTGGGGCAAATGCAGGCGTGTTGCACTAGTAGTGCGAGTGCGGTGCGTACTGATCGTACTTCTTCTACGATGCGCGGAGGTTTGAAGCAGAAGCTACAAGGCCCACCGGGCGGTGGACCAGCGGTGGAGGGCGTGCTGCAACAAGGAGCAGGGAGCGAGAGGAGCCACTCCTCGGTACAGTGTCCTCGTAGTTCTTTACGAGAACCCTCCGAAGTAGGACGCATCAATACGAAGACCAGTCCGCACTTCGGCCTCGCCCCCGAGAAGACTTGTGGTAATGAACAAAGTGGTCTTCATGTTGGAGATAATTTGGCTTCTAGTGCTGGTGGTGGTACCGAGGCTGCAGCTTCGGGCTCAGCATCAGCTGCACACGATAGTACTACCGTGGTCTCACCTTTGGAAATAAACCCGAACAGCAAGAACACAGTGCCCCATGAGGAAAGCAGTAAAATCATTGGTCCTTCAACAAGAACAACTACCGGTAGTTCTTGTAGTTCCAACTCAAAAAAGCAAAAACCTTCTTCCGCATCGAAATTATCGAAGAAACAGAAGCAAAACGTGGTCCTGACGAAGCAATCCGACCACTACACACAGCAAGAGCAATCCACCTTCGACGATAAACTGCAGCACTTGCTGGACATATGAGAGTTGTGCACAAATCCTCCTTTCCCTCCTGTGTCATGCAAGCTCGTCTATGTTGATCCAGTTCCATGACAAATTTTTTCGGAATAAGCTCAAAGTAGAGTAAGTACTACTCTCGGCCGCGAACTATGGAGGAAGTGCCACACACAGGCTCCTCGTCCTCTACTTCTACGTGTGCTGCTGTCTGTATAATTGCTGTTCATCGACCCATACGAATGAATCTACGAGGGGAACAAGGGGGAGTTGCGCCTGTTCATAGGACAACGAAGTGCCGTCTCCTACCAGCGCCCAGGAGATGGAGCAGGTCCGGTACCAGCAGAAGCGGTCTTTGAAGCAGTTTTTCCACGAAAACATCCAGTCCAAGCGACTGCAGTTGTCGAAGACGTTGCAGCAGCGGGCTTTGCAAACGCCGTCGTTTCTTCTCTACTCCAACGCGGATCTGGCGGGGATGTGCGAAACGATGAATTCCATGGATGTGCAGGGGAGCCACATCGATCCGGAATACTTTGCCGCGGAGTCGATGTAACTAATATAGGGCTGCTTGACAAGAACTTTTGATATTCATTGTGTCCATCACGATCGATGCATGAGCACGCCCAGGAAAGAACTACTCGCTGCATATGATACAACGTCAGTTCCGCTTCCGTCGAGAACTTTTACTTGCAATACGTAGTTGCGATACGTAGAAGTGGAGGCGCTTTTCAGTTAATCGAATGGGGATGGTACTTCTATGTACTAAAGTAGGCGATTTCTATCTACTCGAAAATAAATCGTTTATCGCAGGCTCGTCCAGCCCCAGCACCGGTTCACACTGGTCGACTGGCTCACCGAGGTGACGCGGGCATTCAATCACGCGACCGTCACGCTTGAGCTCGCGGTCAACATTTTGGACAGCTACTGCACGAAGGAAGAAAAGCAGATCCAGTTGCGGTTCTACCAGTTGATTGGCGCGGTCTGCCTCTTCATCGCGACTAAGGCGACGGAGGTGGTGCCGTTGCAACTGGACGAACTGGTGAAACTGTGCGACGCGCAATACTATCCTGTGCAAAAATAATGATATCGCACTCGTGCAAATAGTCGCAGTCGTCGTGCATGACAGATTAGTATTGCTTTCCCTAGTACAACCTCCTAAGTGGTCTGCATCTTTCTTAATATCTGAGTTGCGTTTTTTCTCCTTGAAAAAAATAATTTTTCAGCCAATTTCTAGTACAGGTACGACAGCGGTATCGTTCTTTTGCAATGCATAAATGTCAGGAGAAGGACTTTTTACAAAAAGAAGTGGATATCGTCAACTGCTTGGAGTTCGAGCTATTCCGCGAACCTTCGGTGACCGAGTACGGTGGTATGTGGATCGCACTGTGGGTGGGCAAGGTGCTGCGTGGGGAGGGGCACAGGAAGGAGCACGGGAATAGCAAATCGCTGGCGACGAGCAACAAGGATAACTGTTTATCGACCAAAAAGCCGTCACGGGTGAGCCCGAATACGGATTGGAACAGATACAACACCCTGTCGACAAGAACGCCGACTTCGTCTAGAGCGGCCGCTGGATTCAACTCCACCTCGGGAATCAAGGCGACGAACTCCGCTGCCAGGATTTGCGCAACGTCGTCTGCAGCCTCTGGTAGTAAGATGCCCAGTTGTCACCAGAGGGACCAGATGAACAATCCGCATAATTTCTCCCACGAATCTTTGAAGCGGAAGGCGGCCAGCGGCTCGACGTACTCCGGTTCTTCGCCAACATCTTCATCATCTTCCAGTCATCCGTCGTCCAATAATTCATCTTCCGGGAAGAAAAATAAATGCTACTACTATACCGATCAAAACGGGAACAAAATTGACTACCTCGTGGCACCTCGTCCCTCTGAGGATCAAGAATTGTCAAATGTTTTGTTTCCGACGTTGTCGACGAAGACAATGCGGATGTTTGAGTGCGACAACTTGATCCTGGACCCCTGGTGGATGTTTCACGCGCGGGACCAGAAGGGCTTGCTCTTCACGTTCTTCTCCTTTTTTGTCGAGTTGCAGCTGCACAACACGGACTTTCTCGTCTTCACTCCGAAGAAACGGGCCGCGTCGGCGCTGTACTGTGCGTTGTGCCTGCTGCTGCCCGCCGAGAAGGAACGACGAGAACTGATTGTGATGGAGTGTTGTAGGAATAGCGCCGTAGGTTCTAGTGGCCGGAACAAGAAGAAAAACCCGCCGCGGAAAAGTCCCCTGACGTCGTGGCAAGACGAGTCGTCGTGCAGGATTGGTATCCGTAATATGATTGCATTAGATGGCATGAGTGCTTCAACAAAATCCGGGCGACGTCCGCGACTTAGCGGGGCTGACGCTCATGTCCGTTTCAGTACTTAGTCTTGAATAGAAAACTGCAAGCCATGGCGAATTCAGTACCTAAACCTATAGATTCGTGCAAAAACAAACAAAACCAAAATCCGATGAATTCCAGATCCGATCCGCCTGGAGAAACTGCGGCGGGAACAAATCGCGACCTTGGATTCGCTACCGAAGTGGCCGTTGGAATTGATCCAGATCTCGGGTTTCTGGGCCATCGAGCTGCGAGAAGAGGTCTTGCAGCTGCGGTTGGCGTTTGAGCGGCACTTCAGCCGGCTTCGGGGGCAGGGCCTGATGAAGCGGTGGGAACCCCGGTGTGGAAAGTATTTGAAAGCGACAAACATTTTCTGAAAATGTTGTACTACGGTAGAACTGGCTCCACTAAACTACTTAAAACTTTCACGACTTGTAAGATGGAGGAGATGAGTTGGAAAAGGAACACACAACTCGAATTCGGTTGCAGCCATGAAAGAAAATCTATTACTAATTCTAGATGATGATGATCTGTTGAGCTAGTATTTATTGATCGGCTGCACTTTCAGTTTCTACTCAGCAATTTAAATTTTGGTTTGGAGCTGACGTCACATTCGTGGCGCGGGTCATGGCTTCCAAGTTTATTTGTTTCACAATTTTGGCCGAGAACTTTTTTCCCTTTCAAAAGTATATGTCAAACAGTTTCTACATTTTACCTCGCGTTTCAATGTTTTCTTCTACTAGATTACACCCTGTTTACCGTTATTTGTCTTCGCAAGACGAAAAATGCGAATATAGACGGACCATGATCTAGGTTTCTTTCGGAACGGGACTGAAACCTAAATACACCGGGCGGGAGGCTGAACACGGCGTCGCAACCCACCGCGAAATGCGAGCTAGGCCTTTCGCTTTACTATTCGCACGTTCCTAGAACCAAGTCCTAGAAATAGTTTTTCGCACGTTCCTAGAACCAAGTCCAACTTGTACTCGGCTGTCTTCAGCACCTATGTTTCTACTCTTTGTTGGTTCCTATGCGAGAATGGAAACTTTCGTGTCTTTCTTGACCTCGAGAGCTGCTTTGTCCGTTTGCCACTTCTTCCTGTTCGAGGAAGTTCTCTGATAGAAGTAGAACTAAGTTTTGACATCAGTGATGAGCTATTAATTTACTTAGGCTTTTTCCACCGTTTTTGCTATGCTTTATGAAAATGAAAATGAATCTAGCATCACTTGTACTCCTTCTAGGGGAAGTCAAGACAGATGAAGTGCGACTGCGTTGTCAAAGTTAGTAGCCACGAGGCGAGTTTGTTTTTAGTACTACGCGTCGCTGCCGGTGTGGACGGTCATTTCTGAGAACTAGGAAGTCTTTCACCATAGTACTCTTCTCGCTTTTGCTGTGTGCAAAAATAGAACTTAAACTGTATGATTTTTCAGGGAACTCTGTTTGATTTTCATCTATCTACCTAGAACTTTCTTCACACAGTCACTCGACTCGACAAGCTACTTGATGTGTCCAATGCAATTACACAATATTGTAGTCTATTATGTCACAACTCTGTACGCCGATACCGATAGCGAATTGCTTTTAGTGACATCAATGAATTTGAATTTGATTTTGCTTTGAACTTTTTGCAACACTCTACCTCCGTCTGTGTCTTGATGAAGAACTTGATCGGGAGCGGTCCTTCCTTCCGATGAAGGATATCTCCAGGCTTTTCTACGACGACCTTTCAAATGACAACGAACTGATATATGAAGGGTTTGAGCTTTTCTTTTTGTTATTTCGGACGAATGAGTTGCAAAAAAATATCTGAGGCGGTTTCTCCGTCTTGTGAGCATGACGCGAATATGGTCGTGGGCCGCGTTCGTTCCAGTATCCTAATGAGACCTACTATTGCGGAATTTGTCCGCCGCGAGCAAGCTGCACCACTTTTAACGGAGAGATGGAGAAAAACTGTGAAGGTGTTGCTGTTGCCCAGCGATGATATGCAGCCATCTACTCAGAGCTGCTTCCTTGTTTCGTAAGATGAAAGTAGGGCGATACTTCTTTGGCGGTAGCACTAGACAGAGTGCATCTTTTTTTCAACCCAGATGAGACGAGATCTCCGGGGAGCGACAGAAGCAGAGCGACACGAGTAGAGAGTTTCAGGTTTTACTGCTATGAGACGAGTATGTAACTACTTATACTTAATGCCAAAGTTTACTTCGACATCGATTTTTTTCGCTCTGGTTGTAGCCAAGAAAAAAGCGACAATATCCAGAGACACCTCCAAGATGCTGGGCCATTTTGCACGAAGAACTGGGGCAGCTGCCCGCACTACGACAAGCTCCGCTCTCCGGAATCCGGTACAGGCAGTGGCCTGCAGAGGGTACAACTATGTTTGGATTAGGGACGGTGTTTCTATATGCATTTTTAGTTCCAAGGAAGAACAACGACAACTGAGGATGCGCAGTGTCATGCGAATGAACGAAAGCAAAGCAAATCCTTCGAGAGCGAGAGTGAATTTGCGTTCTTGCGGTTGCGTGTGTCCAAACAGGTTCGCCATGAGCAAGCCAGAGGTGACGAAAAAGCTGCAAAACTACCACGACCAGCTCCTCGGCACCAACTGGGGGGATTACCTGGAATTGGTGGCAATTGCATTTTTTTTGTCTGAATTATTACATGCGCTCTTGGCATGTCCATGTTGACAACGTCAGAGACAAACAAGATCCGAGATGCAGACTTTGCAAGACAAATCGCCGAGAGAACTACAGCCTCCACAAATACTTCTACAGGTACACAACGAGCCTTTTCTGTCAGCGGAGCTGGAAAGCATAGCAGACGAGATGGGGCCCTATATGAAGGACACAGAGCTGGGACCAAAATACCAGTATGCATTACAGGCTACGGACTGTATGTATGCGTATAGTTTACTTCAAATTTTTTTTTTGTTTTCTGATTTTTTCTTCCCCGTTTGCTTTACTTTGATGCTGAGTGGTTCTTGCTTCCAACAAAAGAACTTGTGATGTAGTGGTGCTGCATCGCAGCCGGCTCTCAAAAAGAAGTATGTAAAAGCAGATGACATTCTAGCGCTTCTAGTTCTACCTGATTTACTCACTACCAGCTGTGAAGACGTCCGCGATCACCTGAACGAAATTTTGGAACTGATGACGCGAAAAACCGGGGTGCTGGGCATGGGTATCAACGCCGGGGAGCCGGTCGAGAACTTGACGGAGCAGGCCGAGATGCTGAATAACGAGTACGAAAAGCTCCTGAAGCAGTACCCGGACTTCAAGCCAAAGGTCGAGCAGTCGGTCGGGCATGGCCTTTATGCAGAGTGCAAAAGAAAGTGATAGTAAACCGGATTTTTAGGTTTTGGATTGTTTGTCTTCGCGTTCTTCCGCGTCCAAAACGTATCTTCGCATGTGTTTGTTGTATCTACTTTTGAAGCGCGCCGCGCGCGCCGCGTTGTCATTTGGCTTTTCTTGGAACATCATGTAGAGTTAAACCTGTAGACCTCAATGGAAAGTAAATAACTGTAGAAGAAGTGGACGTTGTCATGCGATAAAAATACATGCGATCGAGATCGACATCGATGTCGATGCTCACCTCCCGGGGGGCAAATCGAAGCAACGGTAAAAGATTTATTGCTACTTTTGCACGGCATATCTTGGCGATTTTGCGCATGAAGCACAAATTCGCGTTCTCGAGCGGCCATCGGTTCTTCTACTGAGCGCGGACTCGTCCGGTGGAAAACAGAAAAGGATCGTCGGACTTATCGCCCGGGAAGGATGCAAGACAAAGACTTTTTACAACCATCTCAACAGTTCACTGTAGTCCTAGTCCTAGTCGTAGTCTCTTTGTTTTCACTTTTCTCAGCAAGGAGGTCCTCGCTACTTATACAGCTCAGTGAAGATGACATAGCCTCAGGAAGTAGTGACATGATCATTACTCGGGAACAAGGCAGCAAACCAGTAGACGCAGCTGGTTTATTGGCTGGTGACCCACGGATGCTTGCCAAGAAACCTCACGCACTGCAGCTCCGGAAACGAATGTCACAGCGACGCTTGTGGTCTAATAGTAATATCTCAACGAGGATTGAACTAGTGCCCTTTCTTGTGGGGGCGAAAGCAATGGCAGAAGTGCGAACAAGAGGAGATGAAACGCGAAGAAACACATTTTTGGTCACCAAACGAATGCCGTGGGGCGGTTTATTTTCGCCAGGCTGCTACTTGTACTTTCTTAGTTACATGATCTCGCTTATGCCGAATGAAATGAACTAAAAAATTCTGTTTACAGTGGGGGGCTCAATGCAAAATTAGGGATAGACTAAGAAAAAGGTTGATACGCTCTTCAGTCGATTCGCTAGAGGTTCATTTTTCTGTGTCGGAAAGTCGGAGGCTGAAAGCGTTTTTCAGCTGATGCTTCATCTTCTACCACTCGTGCCATCGTCGCTCCTGCTGTCGCTCTTTCATTGTGTGCTGCTTTCGTTAATAGCGATGCTATGGTCGTCCTCGCTGGAGATCTCCAGATAACATTTCGTACAATCGTACGAAAATGCGCTGGCTCGTACAATCGACGACACTGGCAGGGCTGGACGTACCCCAGCCGGAAGGTGCGGGGCAGGTCCCCCAATCGCTTTTTGTACAATTGTACGAAAATAGGAGGTCGCACAGCCGCTTGCTTTGTACAAAAGGGCGCGCAAGTGTTTGTGCCAAATACGACGGCTCTGCTGCCTTGCTTCTCGGTGGTCGTTGTCGATTCCTTGTCGATTCCACTCGTTGCGCCCATGTTTCGGGGTGACCTCTGTCGAGTCCGTGTCGATTCCTTGTCGATTCCTTGTCGATTCTTTGTCGATTCTTTGTCGATTTCGTACAATTTCGTACAATTGTACGAAATTCGCAGTTTCTTTTAGAAATAATGACTTCGTACAATTGTACGAAATTAGGAAAGTGGCATTTTCTTTCAGAGCTGCTGACTTCGTACAATTGTACGAAATGAGAAAAAATCGACAAGGAATCGGCAAGGAATCGACAAAGAATCGACAAGGAATCGACAAGGAATCGACAAGGAATCGACAGAGGCTCCGCGCCGCTGTTGTGGATGCACTTGGGCGCGCGCGGACACTGGGCGCGCGGGCAGCGCTGCCGCGGCCCGCAGAATGCAAGCACGCCTGCGAAAGTGGCGGACAGTGTTGTCCCCCGTTTCGTACAATTGTACGAAAAGCGGCTTGCTCCTTTAGGTCGTCGCCTGCTGGCGCCGCCATCCCCCCGATGGTAATGTACGAAATCGCTACGCCGCAGGGTGGCGGCGTGACGCCACGTGCCACGCCGCTTTTCGTACAATTGTACAAAATCGCCACGCCGCAGGGTGAGCGGGGCCTCCATTTCGTACAAGTGTACAAAGCAAGGCTCGAACCGGATGGCGTACAGTGCAAAAGCCGCGCAGCCGGTTCGATACAGTAGAACCGCAGCGCGGCGCGCAATTGTTCGACACCGAAAGAGGACGCCAAAAACTGCCCAGCGACTTGGAGCAAAGCGCTGGCTTTGTGTGGTTTCAAGTCGCCGGCCTTCTCTCTGGCCGTGTGGCGCACGACAACAGTCGTGAGCGTAGACATTGGAGCACGTGCGCGCGATTTTCGTTTTGGATAAGGAATCGACAAAGAATCGACTAGGGGTTTGGCAAAATTCGTTGGGAGTTCACTGTCGAGGTGTTTCCGTGTCAACGATGCTATGGTCGTCCTCGCTGGAGATCTCGTTCGTCGTTGCTCTCTTGCATCGCTCGCACAAGAATATTTGAATAAGTTTCGTAATCGCTCTGTCTACTTCGAATCAAATTGTTTGTGTATCACTTCTCATTTTGATTTTTTCCTCGTTCTTTCGGATAGATGATAGAAAGTCAATTCCTCTTTTGCTCTTAGAAGTCGCGACCGAAAGCGTTTTCTGGTGCTTAACTTGCTTGTTTTTCTAGTCAGATGTGGCCGCCGTTACTGTAGATGTAAGAACAAGTGATTGTGATCATAAACAGCATCAGCTACATACCGGTCTGCTCTGCTTTTTTCCCTTTCCTAAAGCACTTAAAAGGATGATGGTTTCCTGTGTCGGGCAGCTCTTGCTGTTGTTTTCCGGCAGTTTTTCTACTACTATCGGCGTGTTGGGTCGCGAAAAAACCACATCGAGAACCACACGACTACAAAAAGAAACGAAAAAGAAACCGTCTTCAAGAACATCTTCCGGGGCCCCGATGGCAACGTCGACGAGTTCATCTTCTTTCACGCAGGAGCAGAAGAAGAAGAACTCGCCCTTCCTGCCTGATGAGCGCGTGGACTCCGACACGATTTTTCCGGACGAGGAAGTGTTAAAGCACGTTTCGCACGGGCACAGACTGGTCCGCACTGCTGGGTCCTCGTCGTGGTCACCAGTGTCCACGACCAGCACAACTGCTTCATCCCAGGGCGGCCGCAACGTGCCGGGCGGTACCTCCTTGTTCCCAGCAGGGGAACAAGAAATAAAGCCCTCGTTAGCATCTTCTTCATCTGCAGTAGGAGGGAAATTTTCATCTTCCGAGAAGTTGTCTAGCAGGAACAATGGCAGCACGGGAGATGTTGAAATCACGACGACGTCGTCGCGCTCGAACAGAAAATTTGGAACAACTACAGCCCAAAATAAAGTGTCTCCTGATCATGAAATCAGCATGAGGAGGACCGGCAGGATGAGAAAAGCGTTGGCAGATGACGTGTATCAAATGCAAGAATGTCTGGGTCGTCTGGAAACTTGCGCTGACGCATGGCAGTGAATAAGAAGCACTAGCACAGTGTAAAGATACACCGCCAAGCATGGCAGATTTAGGCGTGGCTCTTTATTGCGTATTCATCCGGATAAGAAACTGCGTTTTTGTATGACAGACAAGAGGTGCTCTTTGAGGCCACGCAATACAGGGCTCAGAGTCATGCCAAGCTAGCATGAGCATGACAAATTCAAATCTCGAGGACATTTTGAAAATGTCCTCGGGTCTGGGTCTGGAAAATTTCCAGACCCAGACATAAGTTTGCATTTCATAACGTGAAAGTCCCCGCCGCGTCAGAAGAGGAAGATGACCAACCAGTGGAGGAAGCCGAACAAGCTTCTGCGTCGGAAGAGTACAACTTTATAAAACTACACTTGATTCTTGAGATCATTTGTTCTAATATGCGCTGTAGCTGCTGTAGTTTATAGCTCCTGTTCCTCGAGCTGCACCGCCCAAGCGGGCAAGAACTGTTAAATGCAAACTGAAGAAGTTGTAGTTGTATCGCTTGAAAGTATTGAATTTGATGTGTATAATTGGAAAATGCTTGCAGAATAAAGAGCGCATGCTTTGCAGGGATGAAGCAGGAGGTGTTTCTCGTCCGACAGTTCTAACCCTAGGAGCAACCGACTCGAATCACAATTTGATATTGATTTCCCTCCCATCTGCCTGTCTTGTACAGGCGCAAAGTCTGTCTTGTACAGGAAAAAATGAACTTTTTGTTCTCTTGATGTACAGGAAAATTCAACAACCGCCTGCATCCGTGGCAGCTGATGTTCCAGTTCACCACAAGCACGCCGCTCGCGTGACCAAGTACAACTACAACCAGGAAAATGAATCGAACCTCCTAAGTAGTGGCGAACCAAATTACGGCTACGCTAGCGGTAGAAGTTATGGGAGTGCTGTCAGGACCTCGTGAAATCGACAAAGTGAAAGTACTATGAGGTATTTCGGCATGCATAAAATCGATACAAGAACCAGTAGGTTGCGCCCCGAATTTCAATTTGTAAGCAGCGAATGACAAATTTTGGCAGCGACGATCAAATTATGCAGCTTGTCATGCTGTTTGTGTTTGGTGCAATGATAATGAAATAGGCTGTTTTTGCCGTGCTCCCTTGTAGCTGTATTCCGGGCCCGAAACACGCTTACAGTGATGTCCCTCGATTGCCTTCTCTGCAAGACGGGTCCTCCGTGCCTCACATTTTATGCATCACAAATCTTTGCCGTTTCAAGCTCGTCGATTTCAAGCCTGTCACCCCCAGCTGCATAGAAGTACCAACAGCGCCACGACGGCGACACCGCCCTCTGCCGATCTGACCGAGCCGCAAGACGCGTCCGCCCTTGTCTGCCGGTTTTGCAAAGCGGTGCTGCTTTTCCTGGTTTTCCTCGTGCTGGGGGCGACTTACCCGAAAGTGGTGAAAGTGTGTATAACCCGCTCAGGTGTTACAACAATCTCAAACGTTACAATAGAATCCAGAATTTGTGTTGCATGAAGAGCATGAGGAACGTGCAGAGTATTGCGCTTTTCGCAATACAAATTTCGGCAGATTCTAGTGCGCTTTGGCACTCCAGAACTTGTCATGCGCACACCTATGCGAGTTGGGTAGATGGATCATGCACTTCTTGCATGACAAAACCCAGATTCTATTGTAACAGTTGAGATTGTAACGTCTGAGCGGGTCATAGTGTGGGACCGGTGGTTTGGCGGCGGACGGAAGATTATGCTCCGTGGAAACATGATGGCGGACACGACGGACTACAGCTGCGCTGGTGTATCAAAAAATCCAGACACGAGTATAAAATCTCGATCTGGACGATAAAGTAAGAGCGAGTGTTTTTGGTAAACCACACGAAATTTTTGACTTCGACAAGTTGAACTTCTATCTTGCATGGCAGATTGGATTCAGTGTTATAGAAACTGACAACTTCCCTTCCAAGAGCATGAGAAGAAACGACACAACAACTCCTCGACGTCATTGGCATTTTCCTATCTCGCAACACGAATATAATCCAGACCCAGATAATTAAACATGTTTGCAGTGTACGATACGCGCGTTCATTATCTTGGGAACTGCACCCGAAAATGGAGTTTCACGACTGGTCTTATCGCACGGAAAAAATGAATCATACTCATACTCGCCCGAGTTCGACCCTGAAAAGTCATCACTTTTTTGAAAAAAAGCCGGCACTCTTGCCGAAAAAGTCAAGTATTTCATCAGCGATTTTTTTTTTTCCGGCGGAGAGTTTGCGTCTCGTGGAGGTAAGGCCTGGAGTATTTTTTTGGATGAAGATCTTGCTAAGTTATGTAGTGGCGGCTTGTAGTAGTTTAACGGACTAAGACGAGGCGGCTGGCACGGATACGCCCGCGGCTCCTGTCGTGACCTTAGCCTTCTGTCCTGCTGAAGATGCTCCTCGGCGGCCCCACTCATAACACAAAACGCCGTTTTTCATCTAGGTCCTCCTCGAGATGTCGGCAGCGTCGCTTTCCTTCGGGATTGGAAGGCGGCAGCTTCGAGGTGTTGCTGGAGAAGGTCGGCGACCGTGGGAGGTGGTGCTTGTGGATGGGGTGGCTGCTCTGGGAGGCGGTGCTTGTGAATTTCGACAGCAGAATTTGACAAGAATTCTGCGTGTTGTCGAATTTCGAAAAGGTGCCAGTTTTGGACATGATTCATCGGGGTCAAAAATCGGCCATAGCATCGGCGTAAAAAAAATGAATCATACGCCTTGGCGAGTATGATTCTTGCCATTTTTCCGCTTTTTTCTAATTTTCTAAAAGAAAATGAGCGATTTGGGCGTATGATTCATTTTTTTGGGCCGATGCTATGGCAAAAAATTTGCAAAAATGCAGTTTTTAAAAAAACGCCAATCACGATGCTATGGCGCAGGTCGCCAAATATGATTCATCACGGATACAGGTCGTGCTAAAAAAAATGAATCATACCGCAAAAAGTGGTCTTTTTGGCAGATTTTGCCACGTTTTTTCATCCATTTTCACGCGTTTCGCGCACTAAAAATTGCAGTTCGGGGCGACATTTTTTGCCCTCGTCTGTGGGCGATCGCTGTGGTGGCGATCCTTTGGAGGCAAGCCAGGGGAGGCAGCCAGAGGCCTACCCAAGGGGCCCGAGACGGCCCAAAATAAAGGGCCCAGTCCTTGGGCATTTGCGCGGCCGCAAGATCGGGCTGGCCGCCGCCCCCTTATTCTCGGCGGTGGGCTGGCCCCCGACGGAGCCGAGGGGGCCAACAGCGTTCCCAGATATGCGGCACCTAGCCGCCTCCCCATAGCTAGTTAAACTACTACAAGCAGCCAAAATAGATAGATGCAGCATTCATGCCATTCGAACATAAAAAGCAAACAGGTTACCCGACTTTGCCGAACGTCGCGAAGATTTTTTGAAAAAGAAAAATTGAAAAAATTGCAATTTTTTGACTTTTTTCGGTCCGGTATGAGTATGATTCATTTTTTTTGTGGGATAGGTCTGCTTCGTCGTTACTGCACCCGAATAAAATGGAGTTTCACGACTGGTCTGCTTCGTCGTACAAAGGAGAGGTGCGGTATCCACTTAAAAAACCTACATTTTTGCTATTGACTTGCAAGAGACGAGGATTTAGTTGTGCTGTTTATTGATTAACATGAAGGTAAAAGATTTGTTTCCGCATTACAAGTTGGCACGTAAAAAGCAAGAAGGTAAGGATTTTGTATAGGATACTGGAGCACTGGAGGACATGTTGGATGACGAAGACTTGGGGAATATCCTGACTGAAAACGTACCCACACCAGAGTTGTAATGCAAATCTGCATGCTGAAAATGTTTCTCATGCGGAGCCCCATGAGAAGCATTTTCTAGTCGTGTTTTGCAATTTTTCATGCTCAAATCAGCATGAGAGACTAGATCTGTACTGCTTCTGAACTAGCTTAAACAGCACTACACTACGCGTCCAAATTTGTCATGCGAAACAGCCAAAGCTTGTGGATTTGTCTAGCCGATTCCCCATCTTGACTATGGGGTGGGTACGTTTTTACATAGGATAGGGAATATCCTGAGTGAAAACGTACCAACCCTCCATGTAGTCAAAAGGGGACGATATCAATATCGGCTAGACAGGAAGTCCAGAAGCTCTCCGCATGACAATAAACCTGGACAGGCAGTGAAGTGTGCCAGTCCTCCTCGTGCCTGGTGGATATAAAAGCCGTATCAGCAATTGATGTTAGAGCATGCCAAGTTCCAACTACGGGGCTACGCCTCTGATCATGGGGCTGCGCAAGAGATAAATCTTATCTAGGGCATCGCGCCGATTTGCATGACAAATTAATACAGGGACGTCGTCGTGGTGGGTAAGTTTTTACTCAGGATGGGCATGGACGAGCTCAGGCTTGTGTAGTAGAGGTGGGACGTCAGAAGTGAATTTGAAAAAAGTTAATTTCTTGTTTGTCTCTGACCGTCAAAATTGGATGGGAAAGCAAAGCAGGATGTTGTTGATGCGCTGACCATAGCGACAGTTGTTGTCGTCTTGTACTAGTTTCCGTTGTATCAATAGAAGTATATGTATAGAACTGTACAAAAAATGTGAAAATAACATGACTATACTGCCCTGTTTCACACTCCTATGTCGCTCCGAGAATGCCTGCCGTAAAAATAAAAAATTGTATCTTCATGAAATAAAGCTAATCGATCTAAGCCCAAGAGGCCAACCCTGATTGTTGTGACAGAAAAGATGCACTGTGAAAGCCAAAATCCAGGATTGATCCTATGAAAAAAGTGCGAAAATGTATCTACTAGCACGACGAGCTAGCAGGCTCAAACAGAATGAAACACGACACGCCATGTTGCATGGAGCAACTTCTCCTGCGCTAAGTTCTGAAAATTCTGAAGAAAATTGTAATATTGCTCAACAAGAATAAGAAAATTGAAATTACTAGATCGATCAGCAGAAATCGATAGGTCACCAGGATCTTTGTGTACCAGATGATCTAGTTGTCTGTGATCCTGCGTTCGGCGCACGGTCTATAATTGTAGAAGTTCAAGTTTCCTCTTCTTGTTCGCCAATTGTATCGCAAGAAACAACGACTTCACGGTTCTTTAACAAATCGAGTTTGCCCATAAATTGATGCAGTGACCATCTGACAACATTAGTACGTAAAGGATTTGATTGCTTCTATTCGCGATTTTTGCTTCATCTCTTCGCGATTTTTGTGTGCACCTTAAGTCTTACCTTGCTCGTGTATAATCTGAATCTGTATGCTTATTTGCATGGACCTTTCATAGAACAAACTAGAAGCTTGAAGTAAAAACCAAAACGATAAGAATTAACACAACTATAGTGGTTTTGATCAGAAGAAGTAGAAGTTGAAGCCGATATCTTCATCAAGATTGTATCTCTATTAGCGACCCCAGGATCGAGGTTCGTTGGTGGGTGCACTCAAGTGTATTATTAGTGCCCGACGAGTACGAGTTTTGCAGTCGCTCTACAACTACCAAGTAGTTGTAGAGAGTAGATTTGGTTAAAACCGTTTTGCAAAATAAAGCGTTCGAAACTTTAACGCAGAATAGCAATAGCGCCTGGTCTAATTTTGATTTTAATTTTTCACATCTATCATGATGGCGATGGCGCGGTTAATGAAGATGTTGCTGCTTTCCTCCAGCGGTGGACGCTTCGTCACTGCTGTGACGGTTGCGGCCACGGGGTTGGGTAGTAAAAGTGCACCGACCCCGACGGCACTGATCCCCCGTGGTCGGCAACTGCACCAACGTGAAGAAGATGCGCTCCGTCCTCGTCGTGCGCGAAGCGCCAACTACAACTCCGGAGGCCGCCAGTCGATGTTGCCCCGCAAGAAGAATGAAAATAAACTACGAGGCACGGGTGCTCATCAACCTCGTTCGGCCTCATCCTCGCCCACGACACCTGGTGCAGCGACCCGGTCCCCTTCCGCACCACCTCGGGTCTCGTCGCCGTCGGGTGAGGCGTCGTCGCCGTCGGGGGAAGAAGCGTCGTCCTCGCCAGGAAGCTCTGCGACGTCGAAAACTAGATCTACTTCCAGTCGTCCCAACCGCGGAGAAGTTCTTGCACTCCCGGAAAGTGGCTCTCGTGGGGATCTTCAGCAAGTAGAGGACCACGACGAGCGCCCAGCTTTGATGACATCTTCGCGATTGCTGAACGCGACCGAAAATCCGTTGCTTGGCGCGAAATTGCCCGACAACGCCGAGAAAGTGCGGGAGAAGTTCGCAGAATTTTTGGACCAGGAACTCATGAAGTGGTGGAGCATAAGACACCATCAGGAGTTCCTTCTGCTCAAGCGCAAGTACTTGGCCTTTTACAAGAGTTACTACGCAGCCACTCGACGCAACGATCCAGAACAAGCGGAGCGAATGTTCCGTCCAGAACACGTGGAGAGCGAGTTCGAAATAAAGATCGCTTCGGAAAAAGAGATGGTCCAGTGGAAGTCACCAGTCAAACCGTTGGACTATATCTCCGCCGACGACGCTCTTCATGATATTGTCCTTTTCGCCGACCACGAGGTTGCCTTCGACGAAGGCAGTTCCAAGGAACAGGTCTTGACTGGATGGTTCGGGCTGCAGACTTTCACCGGAGCTGCTCCTGCAGCTGTTGAGAGTAATTTTTTCTCGAACATTTACACCAAGCTGCTCTTCGAATACGCGACGACTCGTTCCAAAGCAAGCCATGCTGATGAAAAACTTGGCGTGAGAGTTGTGAACCCGACCCTGCACGCCTTGCTGAGCGAGAAAAAGTTTCTGACAACGATTGAGCTGTTCATGAAGAAGGGGAACGAGACTTGGCAGGTGCAAGTTCTTAGGCACTCACAGGAAGAGCACCACATGCGTGACCGTTACGAAAATGACAAACGTGTGCCGGTAACAAAAGTCCTTCCATTTAAGGCAGCGTACGACAAAGCGATCGGCGCAGAGCCGCTCGACAAACGATCGAACTATGGCTCTGAGAGCAGCGACTTCGATACCGGATTGGCTAAAGAAGTGATTAGCCAAATGGTCGATGGCAGTTTGTTCGAGCCGAATGAAGAAAAATTGCCCGAGGTAGAGCTCAGAAAAGGCGCGCCCAACTGCATCGGTGAGCTTGTCGTGCGCGTACCGGCGGTGCGTTCGGCAGTAGATAAGCTGAAGACAGGAGAATATGTTCTGCGGTTCAACATGAAGACGCTGCGCCTCCTCTCGCTGCAAGTGAAAATTGCAGACCACAGTCGGGAGGTAGCTACGCATCGCAAAGATGTAGTCAACATCTGGGTTTCGAACATGAAAAATCTATAATCATGCAGGGTTTACATTTACTTTATTTTCATGCTTGGCTGGCTTGGCTCTCAGTCTCAAGCCCTCTGGCACGCATGTTGCTACGCTATAAAAGCGGCCCCACTCTGGTGCTGTAAAAATGCAGCAATGCAGTTTTGCATGCGAAAATAAAAAGAGAACACGTACCAGCTGAAACTCAAAAACTTGCGAAGATGATTCTTCGCCGTTTATTGAGGCGTCCTGGAGGTGATGATTCTCCAACCAGCATCACAGTTTGTAGAGTTTCCAGACCCAGATGACGATGACACGTTTGCAATGCATAGCAGCTCTCCAGTGGAACTTTCGCGACCCTTTGGGATATACCTTGGGCTCCTGGGACTAGTCCGCCTTCAACAGTAGTCATTGGCGAAATCGGAAAGCAGCAGCTACCCCTACCGTAATTGCAACAAGATCGAGATCGAGGTGTATTCTGAGTTTTGGAGAAACTAAACATAAGATGCAAGTCGAGCAAGCAGTTCACAAGTGTACTAACGCCTGCAGCTCATCAACAAATGTATTGTAGAAGTCGAAGGGGGTACTACCTAGTAGTTCTATGGACATCGACATGCGCATATAAGATGAAAGTCCGCGCATTTTTAGTACTTTAGCAACGAGCAGCCCGCGCTTTCACGAGTGATCAACTTTGTGTTGATGGAACTCACTTGTTGCGAAGTAATCTCAAAGTTTGAGTTTAAGTGACAAGTTCAAGTTGTGAGCGATGTGTAACAAGATGAAGAAGTACTTTAGAGACGGCATCGCTTTTCAACTACTTTCGACCAACAGTTTAGCGTCCTTGCAATGATCAGTATGTAAAATGAAAACAAGTGCACCAGCTCGACCAGCATCAGAAAATCGAGAAGCTTCTTGTGTAAACTGAAGACAGAACGAGAATTGGTCGTGACCAGGTCAAATAAAGTACTACCCTCCACAGGATGTGCTTGCACCTATTTGTTCAGTTCGCTATGCTACTGTGCTTCTTTCAAACTTCCCTTTGGGATTTTTGTTTGAGCGGGGTAACAATTGACTCAACTAACTAGCATCGGCGAGTTAGTCGTCCGTCCGGCCGCACGGACGACTAACTCGCCACTTGTCGTGGGAAGCTTTCTCCTTCAGGGTTGGAGGGGTGCGGGACTTCGAAGTCCGGGATGTGTCGTGGAACCGCCCGGAAACCATATGGAAATCGCGCACTTTTGCAAACGATTTTCGTGCTTTCGTTGTGTTTTTCTTCGGTCGAATATCCCAACAAAAAAAAAACCTTCGTGGCATGTAAATTGTAATCTGCATAAACATAAACATGCAAAAGAAAAATCAGCAGCTCCGAGCTTTGCAAAAAAACCCCCCGAGGAAACGCTATACATTTGCAAAAGTGCTAACTTGCTCAGGGAATTTGTGGCAATCTCCCAGCACAGGGCGCGAAGTTGGAAGTAGTACGTGGTGGCTCGGTGGGTCATCCCATCCCAAGTTGCATCAGCATCATCGTCGTGTAGTATTCCAAAATCCAGCAATTCTCCCGGCTTTGGTGGGTTGCGCGTTCATCATATCCAGCAATTCTCCCGGCTTTGGTGGGTTGCGCGTTGCCAAACGCGCAACCCACCAAAGCCGGGAGAATTGCTGGATTTTGGACTACTACACGATGATATGATGCTGATGCAACTTGGGATGGGATGATGCGACCCTCGAGCGCGACTAGTGCCCACTCCACCGAGCCACCACGTACTACTTCCAACTTCGGGCCCTGTGCTGGAAACTAACTGGAAACGGAGATTGCCACAAATTCCCTGAGCAAGTTAGCACTTTTGCAAATGTATAGCGTTTCTTCGGTGGGTTTTTTTGCAAAGCTCGGAGCTGAGCTGCTGACTTTTCTTTTGCATGTTTATGCTTATGAACCCGAGCTGCAGATTACAATTTACATGCCGCGAAGGTTTTTTTTTGTTGGGATATTCGACCGAAGAAAAACACAACGAAAGCACGAAAATCGTTTGCAAAAGTGCGCGACTTCCGTATGGTTTCCGGTCGGTTCCGCGAGACATCCCGGAGCTCGAAGTCCCGCACCCTCCAACCCCTGAAGGAGAAAGTTTCCCGCGACAGATGGCGAGTTAGTCGTCCGTGCGGCCGGACGGACGACTAACTCGCCGATGCTAGTTAGTTGAGTCAATTGTTACCCCGCTCTTTTCAATATATCAGGTAGACCACCGCGAGGACCACATATTAGTGCAGAAGAAGCAAAAAAGCATTTATGTATGATGAAGAACTAGTAGACGTAGAGGATCTACGTGATGTATGATGAAGGCACGCATCAGCATCTGCTAGAGGGCGAGATGCGAGATGTGCGGCGCAGTGAGCTTGCGGCTGAAGCGCCCACACATCTAAAGACCGTGGCATAATCCATCTACAAGTCGCTTGCAGCGAGAACCGCATTGATGCAGCCATCAGGAACAAGGAATTGAGATTGCCGGAGCGAAAGCAAACGCCCGCCCCCCGCGGGGAAGCACAGGCTCCTCCAGGATCCGATGTTCACCTCTTGCGATGATCCACAGGTCTCGTCAGACCAGTAGAGTTCACAGAGGGTTGTCGTACACTCTTGCTCGTCCGAAGAAATCGTTTGAGTGGATCGCTTTCCAGGTGTCACGATCAAATACAGAGCGTCATGTACCCCAAGCGACCAAGCAAGCAAGCAAGCAAAGTGAATAATGTATGTATGTATGTGATGTATGATGAAGAACTAGAAATAGAAGGCAAAACCTCCGCCACTATTTCCAAAGCAAACGTGTATGATGAACAAGAAAAACGTGAACTAGATGCCCTTTGTCCCACAAAATTGAAGATGAAAAATGTTTAAAAAATTGCCAAGTCGCATCAAAAAGATGAAGTACAGCGAGCTATGTTGCCTTGTTCCACCTGGCTTCCTACGACCAGACATGGAAAGCCTTGACCGGCTTCGGTCGCGGTGCCATATAATCTCCTAGAAGTTCGGAAACGGAACAAAGTAACACAACGATGAAGATATTGTGAAAGAAAAGAACTTCCGGGAGATCACTTCGACAACATCAAGGTCTGCTATAATGTCAAGGTCTACGTCAAAAAAATAAATCAAGAGCAACATCATGATCTCCAGAAGGAATGAGCGGGGGTAAAATAAAAGCGGGTCATGTCGATGTCCGGCCATGAGATGGAGCAAGGAGCCTACCAGTGCCAGGATCGATGAGACCGCGCATCCAAAATCATACATAATTATGACGTTCTATATTCATCAACTTGCTTATGCTATCGCGGCGTTCCTCTCGTGACTTCTGTATCGATCATCTCCAGACAGACCGTTCGTCCCATTATTTTCAGTTGGAGCCACTGAGTCATGACGATCTTTACAAAGATTACAAAGATTACGTCAATATCTGAAAGATCGCATCAAAGTATCCCTGTCATGGATCAACTCTAGTTGAAGATGATATAAAATGATGCTCTGACGCCTGTCTATTCAAGGCACGGTCGCTCCTATGGGGGGTCTTCTAGCAATCATCTGCGTTCCACTTTCCCTCAACTTTTTCAGTTGATTTGAGGAGACAGAGCACGTGCAACCTTTTTTATAATTATGTTCGTAGTCCAAAAACAAAAGTGCTTCGCCCTGTAAGATAGAGAAGAAAAAAACGGCGAAAATAAAAAAATTGGGAAACATATGATTTTTGTATCAGCCTGCTCGACGTGTATGATAAGTTAAAGAATTAAAATCAATCACATTGTTCTATTGTTCATTTTTCCGTGGAAGATTTCCTTTTATGATTTTGGACCGATACAACGAGCCAAGCCGTAGCAAAATGAGCATCTCTGAGGTGGAGGAGGAGTGCCCCCTCGTCGGGCACACTAGTAACGGGAACGAAGTACGAGTGGAAGTGGAAAAATCGGTCATGGCAGAAGATGTCGCGGGACCGTCGGAACTAGATAATGCCGGAGCTGCAACAGGGTCGTCGGGCTCGGAGGCGTCAGCAACAGCAACGGCATCAACTTCATCTGCAGCTTCATGCCTCCTGAGGTGGAGCCCCTCGCTGATTATCACTATCCTGTCGATCCTGGTTGGCGTTCTTGCGGTGCTGTTGGTGTCTTTTGCGGTAATGTGGGGCCAAGAGCGAACCGAAGTCGAGACTTTGCATGCAGAAAAAGCCGAGCTCTTGGAGTGGATAAGCAAGAACCCGGTAGTACCCTGTGTAAAAACGTTCCCACCCTAGATTTGTCATGCAGACCTGCATGCTTGAAATGTTTTCCATGCGGAGACCCATGAGAAGCTTTTTCTAGTTGTGTTTTGAGATTTGTGACGCTCAAATCTGCACGATAAACTAGATCTGTGATGCTGCTGCACTAGCTAAACACGACTACATCACGGGCCCAAATTTGTCATGTACAACGGCCAAAGCTTGGTGATTTTTGTACTTCTTAGCAGATTTCCCATCTTGACTATGGGGTGGGGACGTTTTTACATAGGATAGGTAAATGTTACTCCGCGCGACCACGACGACCCTACGGCTTCTTCTAGTCCTCGTCACGATAATCGTATGCAACGAAAAAAGTGTGACTGTTAAATTTATATTCAATACACATTGTCGTGTTGCAAGGCCAAGCAAGAAGACAGACAGCTCCGCGGTCGTCAACATGCCGGAAGATTATATTACGCTCAGGAGTGGAGCCTAGCTTCATATGGGTTTATTTCCCTATATCATCTCGGCATTGCAAGTTTTCTCTGTTGCTAAACTCGCAACAAATGTGTAACTACTGTATTGTAACACTTTTTTCTTGGGATAGATTCTGTTCCTGCGCCGTCGAACGGACTTATTCCGTTTTTTGGACCAGGTCGAAGTGCAGGTGGTCCCCCTGCGCCTGCTCCGGCGACCGTGGCTAATATGAATCTGCAGAACCTAGGCCCGCGAGCGCGACACCAGCAGCCACCCGCTGGGCGCGTCCCGAACAACAGCGTGCATTGTCTAAACCCAAACTTTCACAACTCAGCCTCCGGCGACGATGGCAGTGGCGGGAGCGGGTCAGGCGATGGAAGTGGTGGCGGCTCTGGCGACAGTAGTGACGCAGCATCCGTGGCCCCGCAACCAAAGACCGTGCCTTGGCCTTGGCCGCCGTCTGTACAGGCCGGCACGAACATGCAAGGCCCGGCTTGGGGCGAAACTTTTGGTGGGGTTCCCTTCTCCGGCCACATTCCCTACGACGTACCGAAGCACATGGTAGAGCCCTTCAAAGCCGACGAGGGCCCGATGAACAAGAAGCGGGTTGCCATCTGTCTTACGGGCGGGCTGCGGTCCTTCATCTTGCCGAATGTGTACAAGAGTCTTGGGGATAACCTGATTCAAAGTCTGACAGAAGCGCGGATTGCGGCCGGCGATGCGGATGCGAAGGTCGACGTTTTCTTCATCGGGTCGCTCACCCCCGCCGCCGGAAACGGGAACTCCCAGGTCCTCCTCTCCCAAGCCGACGCTCCGTCGACAGAGGACGACCCCCGCGTGCAGGCAGGCTTGGACTATTTGAAGTCCAAGCTGCGACCCCAGGAGTTCGCGAAGAAGCGAGTTGTGCGGGATAGCACCTGTGCGGAGCTGGCGAAAGTACTGCACGACCAGGGCCGGCTTCCGCGAAACGCGGATGGTTCGCTTCCCGAGCTACCGGACACACTCTGCAACGGTCGGTCCTACATTGGCGGACCGGCGGGCAACGGGGCATTTTTCATGCAGGTAATGTGGATCGACGCATGTTTTGAGGATGTGAAGCAGTACGCGGCGAGCCACAACCTCACCTACGACCTGGTGGTGCGCGCGCGACCGGATCTTGGGTTCCTAGAGCCGTTAGACTGGCAGGTATGCGGAGAAAAAAATGATACACCAGCAGTTGCGCGTTTGATTTTGTAAGAACCTCAGCGACAGCACCACAACCATAATATTCTCTGCGTGAGGACAGAGAAAAACTTGCAATTCAGAGATGATGCTAACAAGTACTTCTCACGGGAAATAAAAAAAACGGAAAAGACGTATGAGACGAGGCACCTGCTGCTGACGCTTAGCATATCACGCATGTCGACGAAGCTTGTCTGTATTCTTGCTTGATCTGCAACACATTTTTAATGTCGTGTAAGTGCAACGCTTTTTTTTCTTTGCATAGCAAGGCACCGGAACCGACTACCCGCTCGCCCGGGATTACTTGACCCACCCGGCCCGCTCTCCGCGCCACACTCATGCGATGCGGGGGTGGGACTATTTTTGGACCATGCCCTTCAACCTGCTGCAGCAATATCAGGCCGGCGTAACGGGTTGGTATACGAAAAGAGACCCCGCGACCGGTTTGTCTTTGTGGTCGGATAACCAGAACGGGAAGCTTCCACATCCGGACGCCAATATGTTTATCTACTTTGCCACCGTGTCGGTGAAGCGGCAGCTTCCGATGGTGCTCGTCCGGAGTGCGAGTGTCTGGCACAGGGACAGCCTCACTGGGTACCAAGACAATCACTATCGCGGACCTGTCTTCGCGCGCCTCCTACAAAAAGCAGAGCAAGCAGCGGCGGCAGCTTGGTGGGGCAGTAGCACGAACGCGCTGCCACCCTGGCAGCTTATGGGACAAGGACAATCTGCATAGAGGATATGGGCGACAATATGGATATGGTGGCGAGACACCATGACCGTAATTAAGGTTGTGGTCTGCTTTCTCGGTCGAAGTACAATTTGCAACGTTTTTTTGAGTCCATTTTTTTTTAGTTCGCTAGAAGAGCAGTGGCTCGTCGGTCCGGCGAGCGATGGTTTGTTGTTTCGACTCGCATTCTTGGACCCAATCTGCGAATAAAAAAAGCAAACTGGGGCCACGCATCTCTATCATGAGTGCTAATTTTTTTTTTTCCATGTTTTCGAAAATCACGTCTCCAAGTGCGGTAGCACAAGCAGCGCAAAACCGAAAGCGAAATCGGCAGCGAGATCAAAAATGAATACCGCCATCGGTCGTGTGAAAAAATCGACGATCCGGGAGAAGTGTGGAGAAGCATCGAAGAAGACCGAATAGTGTGTAGATCAAGATGTGAAAGTAGAGCGAGCACTACCCAAGTTTTGAACTTTTCTCCCCAGTGGCTCAGCGGAGGTTGATCGAAGCACTGCGGAGGCGGTAGTAGTGCATCGTTCTGAAGCCAGAGGTGATTGGGGGTCTCGGCTCACTTTCCCTCAGGCAACTCCCCAGGTCGGCTGGTTCACCACTAAAACGGGCGGTGTTTCTTCAGACCTAGGTGGTGACTGGTTGAGACACCGATCGCCAGCTACTTACAAGCAGGAATATAGATAGTACGCTAGACAGTCACTCGCTCGCCTAAAGAAGCGAGCACACGATTGAATTTTTCTCCCCACTGCGAAACGAACACTTCAGCGGAGCCCGCGCGTGCAAAGAACATAAGCCTAGCCGCACTGGCGGCAAGCCTCACGTGCACCATCAGAAGTGCAGTATTGGCCGTTCTTTGCGGTGTCTCACCATCAGAAGTGCGAACTGCGAGGAGCGGGGCGCACCGCCTAAAGTTCTAAAAAGCAAACACGCACTATAGATAGATAGATAGTTGGCATTTACGCAAATTTTTTTTCCATGCACAAAAGGTAGAGCATTCGCCAAGTGATTTTTTTCTACGGGTTTTGGTTTTTTGCAGCATCTGTGTAATTGGCAAAGTGATAAGTAAGCTCTTTGCTTTTTTTTTTTGGTGTGGCCCGGGTCCATCCTCGCCGAGGACAAGGTGTCAACCAGGTAGAGGTGGAGCCCTCGCTTCTGCGCGCGCCTCCAGGTGGAGGCGTGCACCTGAGTAGTCCTCGCTTCCTTTTTGTAAACCCACATGTTGGGCCTTCTTCTTTATTCTCAACCCATTTTCATATACTTTTAGCAGTGAGAACTCTCTTTGTGCCACCAGACCAGCAGCTATTTCAACAAGGGAGCAGCACGACAGCGACTATGTACGATTCAAATATATCATGAATTCTAAATGATCCATGAACTCCGACAAAGCGAGTAGTCAAGAGATGGGAAGTTCCTCTCATTCTACCCCGCTGCTTTTTATATATGGAGCGTACGAATCGCATCGTGCGTTCCGTATATAAGTAAGCGGTACAGTAGTTTTTCTTTTTTTTGTATGAAGGAACAAGAGAAGGTAAAGCACTCGCACTGTGTGTGCGTTGCTACAACACCTTACGTATGATAAAAGACCGTGTGTGTTGCTAATGTATGATAGAACACGCGTCTTCTTTATCTTATTTCACTTTGTAGCTTCAACTTTTTTGCCAAGGAAACGCATGCTATTGATTTAGTACTGCTGAAGATATGCGCCTTGATCAACATCTAAAAGTTTTAGTAAGAAGTAGGATTAGAAGACCATGAACACTAAAACTGATCGTGCTGGCCGTGAGAGGAAAGACGCGACAGGATAGTGGTGAACTATCAGACATCGAGCTCTTTCCTTGTTCTTCGTCGTCGTTCTTCGTCGTTGATGAGAACGGACACTACTTGAAAATCAACCAAAAACCGTGGGGGCAAGGGGCCTCGAGAGGGTCCCTGGATGCTGCAGGGGGCCCAGCGAGCCTCGTCCCTTTAGGAACAATCGACGTCGGTCCAGAGTACAGACAAAGTAGTGACGTCGTCCCCCTCACGCTCAACATTGACAGCGCCGCCGCAGCTCTCATCGTGTTGAGACGTTCCGTGAATTTGAAGAAAGTGAGTTTCCTGTTTGTTTCTGATCGTCAAAATTGGATGTTCATTTTCTGTTTTTGAACAAAAGAAAAAGGGATCAGTCCTCACGCGATCTCGTGGTGGTGGGAAAGCAAAGCAGGATGTTGTTTATGCGCTGACCACAGCGACAGTTGTTGTCTTCTACCATAGAAGTATGTATACAACAAAATGTGAAAATTACATGACTATACTACTTTCCAGCTTCCGCCATGTGGGTCCCCGTGGGCAGAAGTATCCACACACGCGCCGCGCCCATTTCTAGCTAGGGACACAAGTAGTCGCTCCTTCTTCATTATCAGCAAACTCTCCACAGACCGTGCTTTCAAATCCATACTCAGTTCGCTATGCTACAGTGCTTTTTTTTCAAACTTCCCTTTGGGATTTTAGTTTTCAATATACTGCCCTGCTTCACACTCCTATGTCGCTCCGAGAATGCCTCCTGCCGTAAAAATTGCATCTTCTTGAAATAAAGCTAAGCCAAGCCCAAGAAGCCAACCCTGATTGTTGTAACAGAAAAAATGCATTGTTAAAGCCAAAAACAAAATCCAGGATTGATCCTATGAAAAAAGTGCAAAAATATATATACCAGCACGACGATCTAGCAGGCTCAAACAGAATGAAGCACGACGCGCCATGTTGCGTGGAGCAACTCACTCCTGCGCAAAGTTCTGAAAATTCTGAAGAAAGTTGTAATGTTGCTCAACAAGAAACAAATTGAAATTACTAGATCGATCAGCAGAAATCGATAGGTCACCAGGATCTTTGTGTACCAGATGATCTAGTTGTCTGTTCTCCTGCTTTCGGCGCACGGTCTATAATTTTAGAAGTTCAAGTTTCCTGTTCTTATTCGCACATTGTATCGCAAGAAACAACGACTTCGCGGTTCTTTCACAAATCGAATTTGCCCATAAATTGATGCAGTGACCACCTGACAACATTAGTACGCAAAGGATTTGATCGCTTCTATTTTTCGCGATTTTTGCTTCATCTCTTCGCGATTTCTGCGTGCGCCTTAAGTCTTACCTTGCTCCTGTGTAATTTGTATGCTTATTTTCGTCATTTTTTTTGGATGTGTATGATAAGTTAAAGAAGAATCAATCACATTCTTCTATTGTTCATTTTTCCGTGGGAGATTTCCTTTTATGATTTTGGATCGATACACCGAGCCAACCCGTAGCAAAATGAGCATCTCTGAGGTGGAGGAGGAGTGCCTCCTCGTCGGGCACACTAGTAACGGGAAAGAAGTACGAGCGGAAGTGGAAAAAACGGCACTGGCAGAAGATGTCGCGGGACCATCGGAAGTAGATAATGCCGGAGCTGCAACAGGGTCGTCGGGCTCGGAGGCGTCAGCAACAGCAACGGCATCAACTTCATCTGCTTCATGCCTCCTGAGGTGGAGCCCCTCGCTGATTATCACTATCCTGTCGATCCTGGTCGGCATTTTTGCGGTCCTGGTTGTGTCTTTTGCGGTAATGTGGGGCCAAGAGCGAACCGAAGTCGAGACTTTGCATGCAGAAAAAGCCGAGCTCTTGGAGAGGATAAGCAAGAGCCCGGTAGTATCCTGTGTAAAAACTTTCCCACCCCAAATTTGTCATGCAGACCTGCATGCTTGAAATGTTTTCCATGCGGAGACCCATGAGAAGCTTTTTCTAGTTGTGTTTTGAGATTTGTGATGCTCAAATCAGCACGACAAACTGGATCTGTGCTGCTGCTGCACTAGCTAAACACGACTACATCACGGGCCCAAATTTGTCATGTACAACGGCCAAAGCTTGGTGATTTGTGTACTTAGCAGATTTCCCATCTTGGCTATGGGCGGGTGGGGACGTTTTTACATAGGATAGGTACGCGTTACTCCGCGCGACCACGACGACCCTATGGCTTCTTCTAGTCCTCGTCACGATAATCGTATGCAAAGAAAAAAGTAAAGTGTTACTGTTACATTTATATTTGAATACACATTGTGTTGCGCAAGGCCAAGCAAGCAGACAGCTCCGTGGTCATGCCGGAAGATTATATTACGCTCAGGAGTGGAGCCTAGCTTCATATGGGTTTATTTCCCAATATCATCTCGTCATTCTTTTTCTTGCAAGTTTTCTATTGTTGCTGAACTTGTTGCAAGAACAAATGTGTATGTAACTGTACATATAACACCTTTTTCTTGGGATAGATTCTGTTCCTGCGCCGTCTGATGGACTTCCTCCGGTTGTTGGACCAGATCGAAGTGCAGGTGGTCCCCCTGCGGCTGCGCTTGCTCCGGCGACCGTGGCCAATATGAATCAGCAGAACCTAGGCCCGCGAGCGCAACACCAACAGCCACCCGACAACGCGCATTGTCTAAACCCAAACTTTCATTCAGCCTCCGGCAACGATGGCAGTGGCGGGGGCGGCTCCGTGGCTCCGCAACCAAAGACCGTGCCTTGGCCTTGGCCGCCGTCTGTACAGGCCGGCACGAACATGCAAGGCCCGGCTTGGGGCGAAACATTTGGTGGGGTTCCCTTCTCCGGCCACATTCCCTACGACGTACCGAAACACATGGTAGAGCCCTTCAAAGCCGACGAGGGCCCGATGAACAAGAAGCGGGTTGCCACCTGTCTTACGGGCGGGCTGCGGTCCTTCATCTTGCCGAATGTGTACAAGAGTCTTGGGGATAAGCTGATTGGCAGTCTGACGGAAGCGCGGATTGCGGCCGGCGATGCGGATGCGAAGGTTGACGTTTTTTTCATCGGGTCGCTCACTCCCGCGGCCGGAAACCATCTCTCCCAGGTCCTCCTCTCCCAAGCCGACGCTCCGTCGACAGAGGACGACCCCCGCGTGCAGGCAGGCTTGGACTACTTGAAGTCCAAGCTGCGACCCAAGGAGTTCGCGAAGCAGCGATTTGTGCGGGATAGCAACTGTGCGGAGCTAGCGAAAGTACTGCACGACCAGGGCCGGCTCCCGAGAAACGCGGACGGTTCGCTTCCCGAGCTACCGGACACACTCTGCAATGGTCGGTCCTGGATTGGCCAACCTGCGGGCAACGGGGCGTTTTTCATGCAGGCAATGTGGATCGACGCATGTTTTGAGGATGTGAAGCAGTACGCGGCGAGCCACAACCTCACCTACGACCTGGTGGTGCGCGCGCGACCGGATCTTGGGTTCCTGGAGCCGTTAGACTGGCAGGTATGCTGAGAAGAAACTGACACGCCAGCAGTTGCGCGTTTTTTGTAAGTAAAGAACTTCAGCGACCACACAATTATAATAGCTATGGACTCTCTGCGTCTGCGTGACAGAGAAAGCCAAATCCTGCAATTCAGAGATGATACGTAAGAAGTGCTTACGGATATATAGAAAACCGAAAACATAAACATGAACATCACGTATGAAGCGAGTCCCCTGCTGCTGAGCATATCACGCATGTCGACGGAGCTTGTCTGTAGTCTAGCTTGATCTGCAACACGTGATATATCGCGTGTCAGTGCAACGTTTTTTTTCTTTGCATAGCAGGGCACAGGAACCGACTACCCGCTCGCCCGGGATTACTTGACCCACCCGGCCCGCTCTCCCGACCCCAATTCGGTGCGGGGGTGGGACTATTTTTGGACCATGCCCTTCAGCCTGCTGCAGCAATATCAGGCCGGCGTAACGGGGTGGTATACGAAAAGGGAACCCGCGACTGGTTTGTCTTTGTGGTCGGATAACCAGAACGGGAAGCTTCCACATCCGGACAGGAATATGTTTCTCTACTTCGCCACCGTGTCGGTAAAGCGGCAGCTTCCAATGGTGCTCGTCCGGAGTGCGAGTGTCTGGCACAGGGCCTGCCTCACTAGGTACCAACATAACCACTTTTTCGGACCGGTCTCCGCGCGCCTCCTACAAAAAGCAGAGCAAGCAGCGGCGGCAGCTTGGTGGGGCAGTAGTACGACCGCGCTGCCACCCTGGCAGGTTGTGGGACAAGGACAATCTGCATAAAGGCTATGGGCGGCAATATGGATAAGTACGGTGGCGAGCGCGAGACACCATGACCGTGTTAAGGTTGTGGTCTGCCTTCTCGGTCGAAGTTCAATTATTTGCGACGTTTTTTTGAATCCATTAGTTCGCTAGAAGAGCAGTGGCTCGTCGGTCCGGCGAGCGATGGCCTCTTGTTTCGACTCGCATTCTTGGACCCAATCTGCGAATAAAGAAAGCAAACTGGGGCCACGCATCTCTATCATAAGTGCTAATTTTTTTTTTCCATGTTGGCATTTACGCAAGTTTTTTATTCCATGCACAAAAGGTAGAGGATTCGCCAAGTGAATTTTTTCTACCGGTTTTGGTTTTTCGCAGCATCTGTATAATTCGGCAAAGTGATAAGTCAGCTCTTTGCTTTTTTTTTGGTGTGGCCCGGGTCCATCCTCGGGGAAGCTCGGACAAGGCGTCAACCAGGTAGAGGTGGAGCCCTAGCTTCTGCGCGCGCCTCCAGGTGGAGGCGTGCACCTGAGTAGTTCTCGTTTCCTTATTGTAAAAGCCACATGTTGGGCCTTTTTGTTTATTCTGAACCCATTTTGCATTTTCATATACTTTTAGCAGTGAGAACTCTCTTTGTGCCACCAGACCAGCAGTTATTTCAACAAGGGACGACGAGTAGCACGACAGCGACATATATCATGAACTCCAATGATCCATACTCTTACTTTTAGCTTGCAACGTAAATTAAGTATTTTTCTTTGCAGGAGGCACGACAGCGACTGTGTACGATTCACATATATCATTATCTTCTGAACTCTAGTGCGCAACACCATATATCGTTTTTCTTTTTTCTTTTAGTTTTGCACAGAACAAAAGGGTTTTCGTTACTCTTACTTTTTTACCTTGACGCTTCCTGCTCAAGTCCGGAGCAGAAAGAAGGGGACAAGACTCTGGAAGGGGACCACGAGAGATTCCTATCAAAATGAACTATATCACTTGCACTCGTAGTCTACGCAGATGATGAACATCATCTAGAGCAACAGCAAATTCAGCATCGACGTGTCGGGTCTATTACTTCAGACAGTGAGCAAATTGTAATGGGATGGCGCGTTAGAAATATTGACGTGCTGTTCTCACACGACTGCTGGGAAGCAGTAAAGTGAAAGGATCTACTACGCTTTTTTCTTGTTCCAATCGATCATCGTGTTGAGACGTTACGTAATACAACAGCATGATCTTCTGCTGGACCCTGAAGTAGATCATGAACAGAAACAGGCCAGAACAGCAGTTGGACAAAGACTATAGATACGAAGGATTTCATCATTTTCAGCATGTCAAATGACGCCAGGCACCAAAAATTCAGAGCTTGTTGATGTCGGTGGAGGAGGTGGAATTATAGATACGAGTTTCAATTTATTTAAATACTAGACGAGCTGAGGAGTCGTGGTCGCAGCGCGACCCCAATGAAAGTTTTTAAAACATTTTTTAACATTTGACGATCAACAAAAATCCACCAAATCGCTTCCGGATCAACATATCCCAAGATGAAAATACCACGGAAACTACACGAACGAAGACCAGATCCGGATCGGATCGAAAAAATGCACCTTGAGTTGGATCTCGAGCCATTCCCCCTCTGCCACAGTGTTGAGGTAATATTGTGCTCCGGAAAAATGGACAAGGTCACGATCACGATCTCACTTTTGAAATCGACTTATAAGTACGAAGGTGTAAGTACGGATTGTTGGTGCAGATTCTCCAGTATAAGTACCTACAAATAAGAATTCCTCCATTTGAAGATCCAGCGACAAAGAAATAGAAATAGGATACATTCTGCTCAAGAACGAGATTGATGTTGCATTTGGACACACGACCTAGACACGACAAGTTCTACTTCATCGCTCGTACCTTGCAGCTCTGGGGGAAGTAGTGGCAGTCTAAAGCATTGCTCAACATTGTTGAGCGACGTAAAGAACTACAAAGGAAAAATAGCTACAGACCTAATATTTGTAAGTGCATGTGAAGTGTAGTCTCTGCTGCCGGGTCGGTGATAGAAATAAGGTTGTTCCAAGAAAGTGAAAGACGACAATCTGGAATGCAGCAACGGCCGTAAATAATTATAATTATAGCTCGGACCACCACTACTACAACAAAATCAAAAATCCTCACGACCATGGCTCCGCGCGATCTGTTCGCCCAGTTGCCGGAGGATGATATGCTGCTCGGCGGGGCCGACTCCGACGCAGAGGGCTTTGATGCCGAAGACGAAGAAGACGACTTTTTAGAATTCAATGGCGCCGGCGGCGGTGAAGATCTTCATGACGGCTTAGGCTTTGCGGGGTTGTTCAACAACAACGCAAAGAGGAAGAAACCTAGTAGCGATGGTGTCGCATCAAGCACGAGAACTGGTACGAAGAAGATGAACACCAATTCCTTCTCATCTTCTTCGAAAAGAAAAAGGGACGAGGAGCAAGACGATGATCATGATTTATTCTCCGAAGAGTCGCAGCAGTCCTGTTTATCTTCGAGCGAGGAGGAAGGACTAGGACACGACGACGATGATGTCGCTCTTGCTAGAACTACGAGTGGTCCTCGTCGCAAAAGTACTAGACAACTGGGCAACTGGGACTACATTTCTGGCGGCGTTCTGAAGGAGCAGCAAGACGCCGGCGACTCGCTGGCCGTGAAGATTAAAAGGCGGTTGGAGATGAAAGCAGCGGAAGAGTTGGAGGAGTTGATGCCGGCCGAGGAAAATGAAGAAGATGAAGAACCTGTACTAGATGATAAAACTCCTCGTGCGGAAACCGAAACAAGCTGCGACCACGCAGTCGAAGATGACGGCCAGCCAGGAGAAGAACACGACAGCGGCGGCAAAACGTCTCGCGCACCTGCCACGAAGAAGAAGAGCACGACGGGCGGCGGCGCGGCAAAGGAGGCGTCAATAAATTGTCGTTCTTCATCGCAAGAGACAAAAGCAAAAAATGCACCTAGTACAACAACTGCGAGAAGAACTTCAGCTACGTGGTTGTCAACGCAAGACCAACAGCAGGCTCCAACGTCGACCTTGTTCGGCGACCTGGATCTGTCTCGCCCCTTTTTGAAGGCGCTGCAGGAAATGAAGTTCTACGAGGCAACGGCCATCCAGCGGGACTGCATCCCGGCGGCGATCAAGGGGCACGACTTGCTCGCGACGGCAGAGACGGGGAGTGGGAAGACGGCGGCCTTTCTGCTGCCCACGCTGGAACGAATCTCAAGGTCGCCGCACGTGGCCTCAAGAAAGCGGGTTTTTGTGTCGAAGGAAAAGGGATACAAGGTATAGAATACATAGTACGAGATTGCTGATTGCGATCATCATCATCATGAGAAATAAATGAGCTTATCATTTACACTATTAAAACAGTCGCTACAGCAGCCTTCATGCGACGTGGCACATATCCCAATGAAGAAAGCTCCTCTACTGCGGGCTGTTGGCGCGCTCAAGTAGTAAATAAAAAAGCACGTACATACAATATTTCGGAACCGCGTTTATTTCACCGAAAAATAAGATGAAAACAAGGTACGGAATAAAATGAATGAAACTAAATCAGATACAAACCGGTCGCGTTGCCACCAAGGCGTTGATTCTGTTGCCCACCCGCGAATTGGCGACCCAGTGCTACAGCATGTTGCAAGGTATCGCGAAGTACTCGCTCGTGACCTCGTCCCTGATCGCCGGCGGCTTTTCGCAGCAGGAGCAGGCGACGAATTTGAAGCACCAGCCGGACATTCTGATCTGCACGCCGGGCATATCAAATGTAAAAATGTCTGGGTCTGGAAGATTCCGATATTTGTTATGCAGTTTCTCCAAGCTCGACCAAGTCTGGAATGCAGGGCCTAGCATCACAGGATCTGCAGCCCCTTTGTGATGCCTGTTCTGCATGAGAAATGCCCCCTCAGCATGGAACTGCGTTTCTGCATGTGTTGCGTGTTCCTGTTCCGACCATGTGTCCTAGATCCTCTCCTCATGCGTCCTTCTCGATCTGCGCGCGCTCCACACACACTTCAATGATCACAGTAGTTAGACCTTAGTAGGGGCGAGAGATCCTTACATAATGTTTACTAACGTGAGGAGAAAACCTCCAAAAAAAACCTTCACCTTTTTTTTTGTTAGCGCTAGCTTTACTACCCTTGTAGAATTTAGACGCCGCCCCATACATACCGCGTCGCCTTTGTCGCCCTTTGCTGGTTTTCCTTTTTTTTGTACGGCAGCTGCTTTTTTATTTTTTTGTGGCGGGCCGGAGATCCTTTTGCGTAGGGCCCCTAAAGTGGGCAAATGGATCATGAAGAAATACACTCATGAAATGGCGCGACCGGAAAGTGGAAAAGAAGACATAGGGGGGAAAAGTAGACGCATGAAAGAGAAGACGCGGGGGGCACAGAAGAAAAGGGGTGCGGGGCACAAAGAAAAAAAACAGAAGAGATGGGCGGGGGCATGGGCTAAAGAACAAAAAGACAAAAACTGCAAAGGTCTGGGAGTTTGCATGTCGCTAGGCCTAGGTTTATTGGCAAAGTGGTGACTGGGTTGCTAATTTAAAGACTGCGCTAAAGCAGCACCCCCCTTCCCCAAGGGGTCCCCCCAGGGCGGGCGCGATGGCGGCTCCGAGTAGGCGGAGCCCTGGGGCCCGATTCTTCGGAAACGCATGAAAAAGGTGCGCGGAGTAAGGTCGGCTAAAGTGCCTGAAAGGGGTACGCCTCGGGGTTGTCCGTCATCGTGATAGGATCATCGGGTATGATCAGTAGACCCCCTGTATATTTTTTTAGCGCGCAACCGGCCACAAGTGTAAGACTCTGATCAAGTTTGTAAGACTAACCCTTCAAGGCCACACCGAAGCTCCACCTTGCTCGCGGGCTTGGATGGTAAGGGGGTTCTGCCACACGTAGCGCCCACTGGTCGTAGTTACGCGTAAGCAATCGATAGCGGTTTTGCGGCTGCGGTCGGGTGGTAGTTAGGAAGTGGATCGGGTATCCACCTAGGGGTATCGGCAGAGGCTAAATCTGTCCTAACGCCCAGGTATTGGCAGAGGCTAAATCTGTTCTAACGCCAACCCGCCAGGAGTTAAATGGTTACTACTACTACTAGCATGTCCAGAAATGAGCACCTTTTGCAAGTCACGCAACACAGATTTTTGTATGATGCGCAACATGCATCACAAGTTGCATCGTTCCAGACCCAGACATTTTTGCATTTGATAGGGCAGAATCTTGGACCACTTACTGAACACCCAATCCGTATGGAAGCGTCAGGTTTGAAATCCTCAAAGTTGAATAAATAATTTGTAATGCATAAAATGCGAAGATACAAAAAGTGACTCTATTGCAGAGGACCCAAGGGAGGCAGATTATAGTCCTGGCAAGGGTCAAAAGTTGGACTACTATCTAGCATGACAGAAGGCAGCTCTTTTGCCCTAAACCGCATGACAGACTCGCTTCCAGGACCGGGAAAATTTGCCATGCACCGACTACAAACTGCAGGCCTAACTGGCATCCATTTTATGCATGGCAAATTATTTTTTCAACTTTGTCGATTTCAAACCTGACACTCCCATAATCCGTGCACTTGGAAATGCTTGAAATCGTGGTTTTCGACGAGGCAGATCGGCTGTTAGAGATGGGATTTCGGGACGAGTACAATTTCAACTTCATCGCAATCATGCTTTGTTTTTTCAGCATAGAAGTCGCGCGCGTGCCAGACTTTCACTGATTCGATTCGCACCTTCAAGCTAGTACAAAGTTACTGTTAAAGTTAGATAAAGTTAACGAAGGACGCCTTAGAAGTTGCACAGCGCTTCGTCGTGCATCATGATGAGAAAAGAAACACTACCAAGATGATACGACTTTTACGTGCGTCAGGAAGAAACATTGCCTACAATAACAATACCGATACCCCACAACTAAAAACTCGTCCAGGTGCAAGGAAGTGCTGCGTCGGTGTTCGCACGGGCGCCAGACGCTTCTTTTTTCCGCCACCTGGAACACATATGGATGTGTCAGGATTGAAACCGACAAAGCTGAAATAACTTGCAATGCATAAAATGGATGAAAGTTGTGACCTAGTTTCCCAGTGGCGCATGACAAATTTGGGTAGAGCCGAAATCCAGTGCGTCATGCTGTTTGGGTAAGGAAGACGCCTGCTGTCTTGCTATTTTAGTAGCTCAGTCTCTACCCCTCAACAGGCTTACAATCTGCCTCACTTGCCTACTCTGCAAGACAGCCACTTTGTGGGCTGCATTTGTCTTGGTATTTTAGGTGCATTTTATGCATGACAAACTATTTCAACTTTGACGATTTCAAACCTGGCGCTTCCATAACACAGACGTCCAGGATCTCGCCTCCGTGGCGCTGAACAAGCCGCTTCGCATCGAGGCGAGCCAGACCAACAAGGTCGCCCGCACGCTGCAGCAGGAGTTTGTCGCGGTGCCGGAGGAGTCGAAGCGGGAGGCGACGTTGCTGCACCTGTGTAAAAACACGTATAAGAACAAGGGCGTGATCATTTTTTTCCAGACGAAGAAGCAGTGCCACCGCATGGCGATTTTGTTCGGGTTGATGAAGCTCAACTTCGCGGAACTCCACGGGAATCTGTCGCAGACGGAACGGTGTGAGAACGTGTCGAGGTTTCAAAACAACGAAATCTCCTATTTACTCGCGACCGACCTCGCGGCTCGGGGTTTGGATTTGCGGAACGTCGAGTGCGTGATAAATTTCGAGGTGCCCAACGAGGACGCGAAGTACATACACCGGTGCGGACGAACCGCGCGCATGGGCCGGACCGGGCAGTTATGCAAGAAAAAAACTGTGTAAGTGTAACTCTGTAATGCGGAACATGCAAGAGAGTTATGCCTGTCATGCCAGACAGCCACGAAGTCCTCTTTCCAGGTGTGTATTCCCTTACAAGCCACGCATGACAGGTTTGTCATGTAGAGCAAATCTGTGATGCTGTCAGCCAAACAAAGAAAGTTACACTAACACAGTTTTTTTCTTGGATAGCAGTCCGTCACGTTGCACTGCGGTCAGGAGGAGTACAGACGAGTGAAGAAGTTGGCGAAATTGTGCGCGAAAAAGGTCAACAGCAGTTCATCCACTGGGGAGGGAGTGGACGACAAGAATTGTGACGCTTCATCTTCTCCTGCGTCGGTTGTAACCAAGCGCAGCATCGACGAGTCCGCTTTGGACAAATTGGAATGGCAGATCAACCGGTTTCAACAGGACGTCGTCGAGGTGCTCGAAGAAGAGAAAACGGAGCGGGAGTTGCGACTCGCCTCCGTGGAGTTGAGCAAGGCCGAGAACCTCGAGAAACACAAAGACGAGATCGCGGCCCGGCCGAAAAAGGTGTGGCGGCTGACCAACAACGAGAAGCAGAAGCAGCGGGAGAACGAGAAGGAGATAAGAATGGCCCTGGAAAAGGACTCGAAGAAGGAATCGCGAAAGCAAAAGCGGATGCGGATGGACAAGGAAATGATGCAGAAGCAGAACGTCGCGAAACAAAAAATCGCGAAACGAAAAACGACCAGAGCAGCTGCTGCGAATGGAGGTTCTGGTGCCACCTCTGGTGGTGCCTCGGGGATGATAGGAGGAAACAAGAAGAAACCCGTTGCGAAGGGGAAAGGAGGAAAGAAAAATTCGCGGAAGTGATTTTTAGGCGGGACCCCGGGGAATTATAGATCGTGCTCGTGTGCAGCTTGGTTGTTGCATTTGCGGACAAACAAGCTTCAACTTGTAGCTCTAGGAGCAGAACAAGCACAATGCGCTTCGGCAAGAAAAAGCGGAAACTTAGAGCTCGCGCCTGCGTTTTATTGTGTGCTGATGTGCATCAACTATCACTATGTAAAGGAAATCATGAGTGGTCTGCTTTCGACACATACAAAAGTGTTCGGCATCGAGGCTCGCCTTCGACGTATCTACGTACGAGGTGATGTTCATCTTTATGGTCTTATTTTGCCGTGTGACAATAATGTCCCAAAGGTCCACGTTCATCTGTCTGTTGCTGTATTCGAGAGATGGAGCGTCAACAAGAGTGTGTGGCCACAGAATCCGTAGTAGTTCTTCAGTGCTGTCACGGACAAGTATATGTATAACGGTGGGAGTACGCGCTTCGGACGCGGCCCGTCCCGTTGTGCGGCATAATTTGATTTGCACCAACATTTGATGACAAGAAAACTGTCTTGGAACTGAGAAAAACAGTAAGTAACAACTACTTTCGTGGTCTCTTCGAGTACTAATTTCTTCACACAAGAACAACGCTTCCTCACCGGAAAGAACAAAGCTACCAGACCACATCAAGATGGGCCGCGTTTCGACGTTTTTTCCATCAAACCGTTCTCTCGCGTTGGCGACAGCCGTGGGTGCGGTCTCCCATCTGGTGGACCTTGTCCACTCGGTGGACGCAGCCTCCCCCCTGCGGACCCACGAGAACCAGAAGTTTTGGGACAAGCTGAGAGAGGGCACAGAAAACACCAGCAATGGAGGTGGTGCAACCGAACAAGAGGAGAAAATGGCGCAGCGGGAGAGGTTGTTTGACCGGGCGCTAGAGCTAGCGACGGCGCGCTCGTCGGGAAGTAGCTCCTCTTCTGCAGCTGGCAGTGGGAAAATTTTACCAGCAGAAGACGAAGAACGTGAATACGCAGCGGTGGTGGAAATAAAGTCAGCGAAAGATCAGGTTGAGAGCAGTCAAAGAACGTCGTCTCCAAGCACGACTACGGCCAACGAGAAAGACCAGGACAAGGACAGCGAGAACGGCACTATGAACCTGCAGACCACCGACCCCGAGATTGCGAAGTTGCTTCTGCAGGCCTCGTGTCAAATGTAAAAATGTCTAGGACTGGAAGAGTCATGCTGTTTTTGCATGACACAGAAGGTCTGGCATGGAAGCTCTAGCATCACAGGTTCCGAGAAGCTTCCGCAATGCCGAATCCGCATGACAAATCCCCCTTTTTGGTGACAGAAAGCGGGCAGCTTTTGCTACCTATGCATGAGAGATCTTTCTGTGTTCTGAAATGCGCATCACAAGTTTGTACTCTTCCAGACCCAGACATATTTGCAATGCATACCTCGGAACAGCTGCGCACCGCGTCCCACATCGTGTACCAACACGTGAATCACGTGGCACTCGCGGCGAAAAAGCAGAAAAACAACCTCCCCGTCCACGAGGAGTTGAGGCTCCGGATCATGAGGGCCAAATGTCGGAAAAAAGACTACAAAAATTTGCAAACTTCTTTTTTTCCCATGGCGAGGAACGCCACACACCGTGGCGCGTTGTGCTCCCTGGCTTCAAGTCATGCGTGGGCTATTTTTCCAGTTTGCTTCGCGATTCACTTCATATTTTAAGCGCTTTGCTGAAGTTCGCGGGCTTCCTCTCATCCCGATTGGAGGTTGTGTGGTGGGCGCAGTTAGTTTTCTATTCCGTTTGCCGGATCGACAACACCATCGACCCTGTGATCATATACAAGGCGCTTTCCGGTTTTTCCGGTTTGCCTTGTTGCTCCTTTTAAATTTACCAAAAAAAGTTCCCAACTTCATACCCTTTCAAAAAGTTTCCGTAAACACGAGCGGAGTCGGAAAGATTTTGCGAATGTTTCCGAGAGTTTTCGTTCTCTTTTTTTTCTCTTTTCATTTTTTTTCGCGAAAATCGATTTTTGTCATTTTTTGAATTTGGGTCTTTTTGCTCCATCGAACGCGTCATAGCATGCGTGTTCGAAGTAGGCGGCTTCAAAACCGCGTGGGCTTCTCGTTTCTTTCTCGCCTAGTAAAGTTTTCTTGTGGGTTTTTGCAATGTTTCTGCAATGACACAAGACCACACCTGGGCGGGACGTTTCCTTTTCGCTTTGCCATGCGCTTTCTTCCAAGTTGTTTTTTTGGCCGCTCTCCTATTGGGTGGCGGCCTTGTAAATATTTCGGTCTTTTTTCCAAGGCAGTCATAATCAGGCCTCGGCGCTTCAAGAGGAGTCCGATTGGATTTTGGATTCCAAAGCATACCATCCGGCCCCCTGGCGTTAACTGAAAGCAAGAAAACCAGAACGACCCACCTTGTTCGCATCTCAACACCACGGCCAAACGGCTCGCCTTGTCCCCACCTAGATTCGCCGTTCGCTGAAAGCGAGAAAACCAGAACGACCCGCCTGGTTCGCATCTCAGTCCATCGGCATCATTGCGAAAGCGGTCGGGGCATGCCTGGTATGCTGGGGAAAAATAAAAACAAAGAGAAAGAAAGCCAAACGGCCCGCCTCTTCCCCCTCTAAAACCACCGGCGTGCCGCCGCGGCCTCGTTGCCATGCTGCTGCCTCACGCGTTTGCGCGTTGGGCGCCTACGTAATCCGCCCGGGGCTGGCGCGTGTACACGCAGCCCCGATGGTGTGGGGCGCACGCCTTTTGTGGTGTGCATGCCCAGCATCACAGCCATACGGCTCGCCTTTTCCCCACCTAAGTCCCCCGCTCGCTGAAAGCGAGAAAACCAGAACGACCCGCCTGCTCTCGTCTATCTGCGCCCAGTCCCTTCCTGTTTCTATCTCGGTCGTGCCGGTTGCTTTTCTTGATAGTTTACGACTTGCGTCCTCTCTGTTTCTTAAGTTACAGCAGCGCCTTTGTTTCTAAAGTTATGATCGTGCTAGACTGTTACTAAAGTTATGGTCTACGACCATGGCAGCGACTTGCTCTCTGCGATCTACTTGCTCGTCGACCGCGATGGCAAAGGCGGCAGAGTCCAACGCGATCGCTTTCCAGGCAGTCATAATCAGATCGATTTCGGTCTTTTTTCCACGCGATCGATTTCGGTCTTTTTTCCAAGGCAGTCATAATCAGGCCTCGGCGCTTCAAGAGGAGTCCGACTGGATATTGGATTCCAAAGCAAAACTGCTGGATTACGAGGACGAAGTCACCCTGAAGAAGGACAAAACGGCCCGGATCCATATGAGAGTGGTGTACAACTCGAACTCTCCCTCTACCTCATTTGTGTTATGCAAAATAAAAATATAAATACTATTACTAAGTTATTCTATTCACCCGACAGCGACACCTTGTTCGTCAGCACTCCTTGCATCGACAAATTTTGGAACCTCGAATTATAGGACTACAATCCGCATGCGCATGCAGATTTGTCATGTGGAAGCCCCTTATTTATATTTCCTGCTGTTGCTTCTGCTTGTGTTGCTGCTCAGGCCCTTCAAATGAGGGGCAGCAGGGGGAGGTCTGCACACTCATAACCCACCAACTGGAACCATTAATGGAACCCGAAGTGGCCACCATGGGAGACGTTCTGACAAACTGCAGGAAGGGACGGGAAGCAGCGGGGGATGTGATTAAGTAATAGTTTTTGTTGATGATGTGTTGTTGTCATGCGTAGGGAATTTTAATGAATCGTTATCGTACTTGATTCGTCCTCCGCCTTCCTGATGAAAGTATCTTCTTCATGCTGCCTGTCAGGGTAGTGGCAGGAGGAGCATCCATGCGATTCTATTTCTAGCAAGAAACTGTAAGACCGATCTAAATCATACAGCCCCAAGTAGATACAAAAATAAACCCACCAGGCGCGACCTGTACCACCCGCGGGCCGACAAGGTCCGCGTGAGTAAGGAGGTGAAGGAGGTGGCGAGAGAGCTGCAGGACGTCGCTGGGGAGATCCGCATATCCTGTGCAAAAGTATCGTAGTCGTACTCGTATAAATGCATTACAAATTTCCTCAGCATGAGAGATAAAATTTGTAATGCTGATTTACCTTGAGAGAAAGATTTGTAATGCATGATTGCAATACCAATAGAATACGAGTGCGATGCTTTTGGACAGGATACCGCAGCGAATACATGAAGATGATCATGGGCTTTGCTAACGCGATATCAAATGCAAAAGTGTCTGGGTCAGGAAGAATGCAAGATCTGTCATGCATATTTCTCATGACCCATGATGCCTGTAATGCATGGCCTAGCATCGCAGACTTTTAGAGGGCTTCCAGATGCACCTTCCGCATGAGAAAACCCTGTCCGTGTAGCGCAAATTGTGCCCCTCTTGCTGGTCATGCAATACAAATTTTTGTCGAGTCCAAAAACAGCATGACAAGTTGCAATCTTCCAGACCCAGATATTTTTGCAGTTGATACGCGATCGTGGAAAATTTTTCGGAGAACAAACCGGCGCATCATTCCGCGGGCGGGATGAAAAACAATCTGGTAGAGCTACAGGTGAAGGAGAAGGAAAAAAGTTTGGCGAAAACGGATCCGGGTATTAACATTAAGGCGGGTGATCAAACGATCTCAACATCATCCGCAACCACGTCGAGTAGTAGTACACGGATCATTTCAAGGAAGACAAACAGCAGGGCCGCGGCGGGCTCAAGAACAAGGTCGTCGGAGACTTCGGAGGAGAAAACTTTGCCAGATGTGTATGCTTTTTGAGATCGATCGAGTCTCCTCGACCATGTGGTTTTTATATTGATCGGTGATTCTTATTTCGCGTTCACACAACAACGTACGACTACGATTAACAATTCCCTTACAAAAACATCAACCTCGAGAATACAGAAAGTTACTTGCACAGATATCTAAAGGGTGTTGAGAGCTCTTTCTTGCTCACTTCACCACACGATCTACATCAAACACAATTTCACGACCAATGAGCTCCATGCACTCGAAAGAGGCTGCTGCATGGGCAGCTCCATATCAACATAGAGATAGACGAGGACGAACTGAAGATGGAGCGAAAAATAACGTCAAAACGACCATCAAAACGCGTAGCAGGATGGATGCTGCTCCTGTTAGAAGTGATGATAACACAGTTTGTGGTCAACGTTCCGCGCTCCGTGTTGGGTACAACTGCTTTTCGAGGCCAGTACCACTGTTGCGACGACCACAACCAGTGGCATTTTTGAGTGCTTGTTCGTTGTTTCATCTCGGGATAAACTTGAAGCCGTCGGCGCGTTAATTGGTTTATTCCAGGTCAGCATCAGAAAAAGAACTGGAAAAGCATATAGCATTAGCATATTGCAAGAAATAGCAAGATGGATCTTCACCTTTACTGAGAAGCTTCTCAAATAGGTATAGGACTAAGTAGTATCACAATTTCACTGTGTTTTTCCAACTCACTTCGCATCTTCGGTGCAGTGACATGTTCATCTTGATCGGCTCTCAAACAAAAAAAACGTGTGACTATACTGAAAAAAATACTAGAAGTTCTCACTTTTGGTTTTGCCGCTGTGAAATTCGCATGAATCCCCATGCATATATAAAGATGAATAAAATTCGCCACTGAGCCACCGTCGTATTATTTATTTTCCCACTCAGATATTAGTCTGTCATATGTGATAAGGAGTTGTTTTTTCCAGCACTTGTATGCACAAATCCGATACAAAATTTTCAAGATGGTTTTCCTGCTGTCTGAAGAGGATTTCCACCGGCTTTCGAAGCCGATGGAAAAACGGGTGCGGTACCTGGAAGAGCAGGTCACACTCCTGACCAAGGCGCTCCACGACGCAAACCTGGTCGAGATTGGCTCGCCGAACGCGTGCGGAGTGGACTTGGAATTCATGGAGGAAAATGGATCATGTGCTGGGCTGCAGGACACCGACATGATATTAAGCGGCCATCAAGAGATGAACCACGAGCACAAAAAGATGCGGGCTACGGGTCGTGAAGTAGATGATATAGAAGTTTCCTCTTCTTCTTGTCGGAATATTACTTCTTTTACCGGAAAAATACAGAGGTGTGACACGACGACAACGCACACGACAGATATCAAGAACACCAAGAAAGCGGTCAAAGAGCAAGATGTAGTCAAAAACCCATTTGAAGAGGACATTGCGAATTTCAAACTCGACGACCTCGAAATAGAAATCGACGACGACGCAGAGGACGGGTTGGCGCTCAAGCCGCATCCCGCAACCGAGCTTCCCCTGGGAGGTGGAGACGCGATGAACAAAAATAACGATAAAAAACAAAAACCTGCGAACACTTCTAGAAATGCGGCGCTTCATCTGCCGGATCAGCAGAAACAAAACGAGGCCGAGGCGAAGCGCGAGCAAATATATAACCCTGACTCACCGGGGTTCACTCTCAACGAGCTAGACGGGATAGAGGACCTCAACACACGCCTGCAGCAGGAAGTGGAATATCCAGTGCAACAAATATGATGTCTGGGAGGTCCGCCTCTGGAACATAATTCCAACTTGTGATGCGGAGTTGTCAGGAGACGAGGAGGAGGACAAAAAAGATGTCCATGTTCGATTCAGACTAGGCATGGAAATAAAGCCTCCGCGGAATATGCAATGCTTTGTGTGCATTGCAATGCTGGGTTTTTTATAGGGTGCAAAAAGGGCGTGACAAATATGTTTTCTTCGGGAGGACCCAGACATGTTTGATATGGAATCAGGAGGAAGCAAATTGGGGGCGGAAGAACTCGCGAGTGGGGCAGCAGGGGTACAGTCTTTTACTTTAATGTATCAGTCTGGTTCTTCTTCTTTCTTCTTCTTGATAGTCGATGTTGGAGTAGCTGTCAGACTTTCTGTGCCGCTGCTTGAAAAAATTTATTTGTTCTATGCCACACACAGCCTGCCCGTCGGCGAGACGAGCATGGTGGGGGCAGCTCTTTGAGCACTTCTAAACAGGAAACAAACAAAACGGACGAGGGAAGCAATAAGTTGTCCTTCTTACCGTTTTTGAGCAAGACGTCCACAACAAGTGGTATGCTCCCTGGTACCGGCGTGTCCTCGTCCTCTTCCTCTTCTTCTTCATCCCGCGCGGGCCTCGTCAATAAAGGTGAAAATAAAGTCGACCTTCAGACCAGATCCTTCCAAAACAAAACCGCCAATATTAGAGAGAACATCAAAACGAGCAGTGCCAGCCGCCGGGATGTTGAGCAAGATCGTGGTCCTAGCGCTATCAAAAGTACGAGGGGGCGTCAGGAAGAAAAGGAAGCAACTGCTTTGAAGGTGGAGCGAAGTTCTGGTGGTGGCGCTGCTGTAATTTCCATGCGGGAAGGCGGTTTACCGAGCCAAAGAGTGCTGCTGCCCAATTCATCATCATCATCCCGAGGCTTAGCTGCTCGGCGGTCCCGGTCTGCGAGACGGCCTCTGCGGTCCCGTGAACGGACGGGCGGGACGAATTACCCGCCAGAGAGCAGTTCTAGTAGAACGACCAGGAGCAGAAGACCGGCGGCCCCACCAGTGGGTGTGAGCAGGTACGCAGATCACCTGTCCGAGCCGCGCAACAAACACAGAAGTCGGGAGGACCGCGAGCGGCGAAGACATTCGCCGATCTCCTCCCGGCTCCTGGCGGCGGAAGAAAGAAACAAACTGGTCGAGCTGCCCCACATGCGGACCCAGCGACCCATCTCCGAACGGGTTTTGGAAGCCGAGGAAAAAAACAATCGGAAAAACGTACGACCTGCTCAGAATTAAATGATACAATCCCAAACGGCATAGTTATAGACTCTTCCTTGATTTGAAGATTATTGTTTTTCATGAACTTGCGCTTTACTATACAAAGTTCGTGAGGCGGGTATTTATTTTGGCCGCTCCAGAACTTGATGTCCTGCGTATACTTCCTGTCGTGATAAGAGGAACGAGAGGCTGCCAGATCGTGCCTTTTGCTTTTTGCATAGATTTAGATAGGCTTGCGTTTTATTTGTCGTCACCTTTGAGGTTGTATTTGTCACTACACCTGAGCAGGTCATAAAACGTGGTGAGCTCTATTTCGGCGAGAATTCAGCTGGAGGAGGGACATCAACCACGGACTTCTACTATGAACTGCAAAAGTAGCGCACTAGTATAAATTGCATTACAAATCGGCTCAGCATTACAAATTAAATTTGTAATGCTGATTTCCCTGAACACCTAGATTTGTAATGCATAACTGCAATTAGTACGAGTACGATACTTTTGCACAGGATATCTACTTCTCGTGTCGACCGCAGGAGGTCGAGAAGTGCTTTGCGTTCTACTACACGAACACGAGCAGCTTCTGCTGCGGAAAGGAACGAACACGAAGCACAACGCTCTGCGTTGTTCAACACCAAAAATCCGCGGCGGTTTTCCCTCGAGAGCAGGAAAGACAAAGAGACACCCAAAACTCCTTCGAAGTCGAACAGTGAACAAGTTTTACAGGTGGTGGAGGCCACAGGCAACATAGGCATCATATGAACTGCAAAAATGTCTGGGTCTGGAAGAGTTGGAACTTGTCATGCGAATTCATTCTGGAATAGGCAAAAATTTATATTGCATAAGCACCAAGAGCTTCCCATTTATTGCCACGCAAATAGGGAATTTCTCATGCGGGATAGACATCAGGAGGCCTGCGCAAAACCTGTAATGCTTTTGCGTGCATTAGAGACCAGTGAGTTGCGTGATCGAGAAGATGCATGACAAACTCCTGCAATCTTCCAGACCCAGACATTTTTGCATTTGATACATCAAGTTTGAAGGCGAAAAAAAGCAGGACAAGAAGGAGGATACCAGACCACCGTACTCGATCTTCAGTAGCGGACACAACAAGGGCGGGCCCACTAACAAGGGGAATTATAAACCACCTGCCAAAGTCGTAACGGTGCTACCACCACCGTTTATCCCGACGAAAAACAAGGAAAGGTAGGAGCGAGTGGTTGTATGCATATGCCACCGCATCATGCGCTCATTTCTCTTTAGTAGTCTACTTCGAGCAATGAGAATGACATCAAACAACAATAATTCGGAGGTAGCACATTTCTTTATTACTTCTGCACCCAGATGATAGAGTTAGAGTTAGAGATAGAAGCTAGCTCTGTAAAAAGCAGCCTCACTCTGGTGGAGATGGTCCTCAACATGGACGCCGGTCGTCCTCGCGCACCATTTCTCCAGCTAGTTCTTGGGTTCCACTCCTTAGAAAAAACTCAACGCGTCAAAAATAAAGCCAATGAGTCAGAGTCGAGCGTGTGAAAGTTTGTGCGTTAATGACTGCGCTTCGCTTTTATCATGCGGTAGCGTAGTTTGAGGTTGTGGATAAGTTCTTGAGAGAAGCTTGGAGATTTGAAAATCGGGCCTTAGAAGCTTCTTGTTTCGCTCTTCTCGTGTCGGAAAGTTTAATATTTCTCGTAGAAGATGATACAGTCTGTCTCTGTCCCTCGTGCATCTCAATCATCAAGAAATTAAGCGTCGGCATTTTCACTTTGATCCTAGTATAGATGGAATTTGTTCCTTGCTTGTCAACATCTAGTGTTTTTTCTACCCCAGCGTCCTTGTTGTTTTTCTCTTGTCCAACATCGTCGTGAGGACAAGAGGTTCGCGTTCAAAAAAAGACATCATACATAAGTAGATTTTCAGCAGCAAGGAAAAATTCATCGAAATCTAAGATCGTGAAAGAACTTTAACAGCCATGCCTACGGCAGCCTCAAGTTCTTCCACTAAATTTCTTCTGTCGACTACCAGCGGCGTGCAAAGCAGCAGTGCTAAAAACATGCCAGCTGCGGGTAAGATGAACAAGACTTCATCCTCCAAGGCCGCACCTCCAGCGGGGAACAAGAATATCAAGACGAAGAGCAGTAAAAAGCCCATGCTGTCTGTGAAGGAAATGCGGGAGATGAAGAAAAAGAAGATGGTGGTGCGGAAAACCACCGCAGCGGCAGCTATGAAGAAAAAACCCGCCGCCTCTGGTGCAACTGCTTGGTATTGCGGACGACGGAACAAGAACACCCAGACAAAACAAGGGGAAGCGAAATCGAACAAATCGTCGAAAGGAAAGACGAAAACACATGCCAAAAAAGAAGCAACCGAGGAGGAAGAAGACGAAGAGGACGATTCTTCAGAAGACGACACAGACTCAGACGAAGACCCGCGGTTGAAGTGGCCCGCGCTGGAGTCGAACCCCGAGGCGTTCACGAGTTTCATGCACCGCGTGGGCGTCGCAAAGCAGTTATCGACTGCAAAAATGTCTGGGTCTGGAAGGATGTAACATGTGATGCGCATTTCGGAACACACAAAAATTTCTCATGCAGAGGTAGCAAAAGCTGCTCACTTTCTGTCACCAAAGTGGGGGATTTGTCATGCGGGTTCGGCATTGCGGAAGCTTCTCGAAACCTGTGATGCTAGAGCTTCCATGCCAGAGCTTCTGCGTCATGCAGAAACAGCACGACTCTTCCAGACCCAGACATTTCTACATTTGATAGCAGTGGCAGTTCCACGACGTTTTCGACTTGGACATGCTGGACCAGATTCCGGACGTCACCGCCCTGGTTTTGCTCTACCCGATCGTGGACGAAGAGGGCGAAGCACTCATGCCCACGGCGAACCGGAAACGTACTTTCTGTTTCTATAATTTCCGACAGAATAAAGAACTTTGTCATGCATGCCTGAGTCTAAGTAACCTGTGCCTGCTGTCTGTGCATGTTTAATAAGTAAGTAACTTGTGCGAATCCAAGTGATTCTATGACGCAATTTTTGACAGCATGAATTTTTACACGTGCTGACGAGTGAGACAAGTGATTAAAAATAAACTAACAGCAACATGCCTATGCACAAATGCTCTTACTTTACAAACAGGAGTGAAATTGTCCGATGACGCCCCCTTCTTCATCTGGCAGGGCGAAGACCTCGGGAACGCGTGTGGTACCATTTCCATTATCCATGCGGTTGCGAATATGGGAGTGTCAGGATCGAAATCGACAAAATCGAAAAGTTTGTAATGCGTAAAACGTAGGGCACATAAGGCCTGTGTTGGAGAGGAGGCAAATGAGACCGATTGCAAGCCTGTCTAGCCCCAAACATGTATTGCCAGAGTAGCATGACAGGCGCAGTCTTCTTTGCCCAAACAGCATGACAGGCTGGATTTTGATGCTCCCAAAATTTGTCATGCGGCGGTTGGAAACTGAGGCTCCAACTGGTATCGACTTTATGCGTCGCAAATTATTTCGATTTTGTTGATTTCGATCCTGACGCTTCCATAGCGAACTGCGAGCAAGTGGCGAAAACCGTCAAGAAAAAATCCGCGCTGAGCGAGTTCTTGGCGAAATGTAAAAAGATGACGCCTATCAAGTGCAAAAATGTCTGGGTCTGGAAGAATGCGAACCTGTTATGCGTGTTGCGGATCATACAAAAATCTGTGTTGCATGACTTGCAAAAGGTCTCCACTTCTGGCCATGCTGAGAGGGCATTCCTCATGCAGAATAGGCATCACCAAGGGACTGCAGAACGTGTGATGCTACTCCCTGCATTCCAGACTTGGCGGAGCTTGGAGAAACTGCATGACAAATCTCGGAATCTTCCAGACCCAGACATATTTGCAATCCATAACGCCCGAGGAACGCGGGAGTTTGCTCGACCAAGACGAAGCAATCATGGAGCACGTACTTTTTCGTGGTAGTTGTGGTCGTGAAGATCATTGTGATATCGATATGTTGTAGTTCCATGTTGTATGCAATACAACTGTCTACTTCGGCCTAGCTAAGAAGGTCTTGACGCACGAGACCGATTTGTATCGCAGCATTGCATCTTCAGCTGGCTTTTTTCTGATGCAGAAATAATACGGGAATCATGATACATGACCAAAAATACATCTTCAGGTTGCCGAAGTCGCTTGCGATGCGGAGTTGAACCAGACCGATTGGTACAAGTTGGTTGAGGACGATGATGACGACGACGATGACGATGAGGAGGATATTCTGTTGAAAAACGTCCCCGCCCCTCAGACTCCAGATGTTGCTGTTGGGAACTCTGCAACCCAAATCCAGGTTTTTTAAGACTCAACACGCATGACAATTCAAAGTCTCTGCTCGTACTATCTGTAGAGTAGTGCATCGCGCAACAAGTTCTCAGCAAGGGCAGCCGCAATTATACCTTGACATTAGAGCCATCTTCTTATTGTGTTTCCAGCATATCAAGTTCCAAAACGCGACTAGGGCGGATGTATCATGTTGCAAATGTTTCAGTAGATGCAAATCTGCCTGACACCAGCGCTAGTAGGGAGGTGGAGACGTTTTTACTTGGGATAGATGAAGACGAGGATGAAGATCCGGAGGTTGATTTAGACACCGACCACCACTTCATCACCTTCATATGCATCACAAAATTTGAATTTCGTGCTAGAAGTAATTGCCTAATTCGAATGATCCAATGATTTTTTGCTTAACCACACTAGCATGGAAAAGAAAAACTGAATAAATGAAAAAGAAAATTGCATGTGCTGTTTGATACCCCCTCCAATGATCGACATTTTCCATTTTGCACGAAGTACTATATTGCAATTGCCGCGAGTTGTGCGAAGATGTTTTTGCGCAGCATATCTCATCGAGAAAAACAACGTGATCTATGAATTGGACGGCCTCCGCAACATGCCACTTAAGGTCGGCACGACCAGCAGTAGTTGCAGCACTACCTCCTCTATCAAATGCAAAAATGTCTGGGTCTGGAAGATTGGAACTTGTGATGCTAACTTTGGACTCTAGAAAAATCTGTATTGCATGACCAGCAAGAGGAGTCTAGTTCGTGCTACGCGGGGAGGGCGTTTGTCATGCGGAGTAGGCATCAGGAAGCCCTCTCAAAATCTGTGACGCACGGCCGTGCATTGCAGAAATACTGGCTCATGCAAAACATGCATGAGAAATCTCAGAATCTTCCAGACCCAGACACTTTTACACTTCATATCCTCCTCATCTTCCAGCGCTCGTAGTACAACCACGTCGGCGAAGAACAAGTCGAATTTTCTCCCGGAGGTTGCGAAGATCATCAAAACCAAGTTCCTCAACCGTGCGCCGGAAAACATGCAGTTTGCAACCCTGGCGCTGGGCGGCAAGGAGAAATCATAAGAATTAGAAAACAAAATTCCGAAGATAGAATAAGGAATAAAAGCTGTATACTCAGTTATAATTCACGGTGCTTGCAGCTCACCATCTCGTCTCTGTCGCAGTTGCTGTGCCACTGCGCTACAATCTTTTCAAAGATGAAGATTGTTGGCGGGGGCCGCGCAGGTTTATTTTGGAAAAAAGGACGACCCACTCCAGAATCGACATCGAGTCGGAAAAATACATGAACAAACGAACAATCAGAATTACAATCAGTTTAAAAAGTACTCAATTATGCCTCCTAATCGTGAACGAACAAACAAAGGACGCATCATCAACCGCATAATGCAGATACTTGATTTAGATTTTGCTAATTGGCTTGCTAGTACTCCATCTACATGTGTAAAAAATATGGTCGTGCTCCATTCGTGCAATTATACCTCAGGCCCGAAAATCAAAATTCAAAACGATGAGCGCACAATTATTGTTTTGGGTAATGAAAGCCAAACTGTAGCTGCTGGGCGTATGGTCTGTTTTAGCAAGATTGTAAGGACCTCCATTACGCCCGTTTTGTAGTCCCACTTTTCTTGTGCCCCCTCTTGTACCATGCTACAAAAAAGGTCTAGTCTACTTCTACGCACCCGAGTCCAAGAACTACACAAAACGAATGAGCATTTCATGGAAGCAGGACTAAGTTTAGGTTTAGTTTGTTTTATGATCTCGCACTCGTTCCTAATAAATAGTGACAAATTCGTCCTGAAGTACTTACAATGATTAGACGGGCGTCTGGGCCTCATTTCCTTCTTCTAATATTGATGTGCTAATCGTGGATAAATGTGTCACTCGTGTTTTTCTTGCACCAGAACGAGGTGAAATGTTATTGTCTTGCTCTCGACCACCTCGACCTGGAGCACTACACTGCTGATGTAAAAACAAGGATCGCATGTACGTTGATCTTGTGCAAGACCTCTCTACATCAAGTGCCGTTGATACGGCAATGATGTGTTGAAGGTGCTACTACATCAGCAGCAGGTTCGTTATTTGTCTCCGAAGATCAAGCAGAACTTCGGTTTCGGTAGTTGCGGTCATGAAGATGATCCGAAGAGCTTTCTGTTGCTGTGCCACACTTCTTGGTGTCGTTTTCACTCTCGCAATCACAAACTACTTACACAACACAAGGTCTGTCCGATCATGGAGCGTGAGAAGTTTGAAGTCTTCGGTAATTTTGGTGTCCATCTCCATAGTTGTATCACTCCAACTCCGCTTTTGTCTGCTTTGCTCGTCGTCCGATCGGTTTTGCTCTGTAGGCCTCACCTTGAAGCCCTCGCTCGTGCCCAGTTCGGTTCGTTATGAATATCCGCCCTAATTACTTTACTATTGCTTAGTTATGTGTACAGGAGGTAGTGCCGTGAAGGTCATCCCTTGTCTTCGGTAGTCTTGTCAAGAAGATGAAGAGACCTAAAATTTCGGTTTGCTCAGTTTTCCTGTCAAAGTAATCGGTGTAGTTTCTTCACCATACAGTTTTCGTATAGCAATGAAGAAGCGTCGAAAGCGTGTATGTAAAAGTTTTCGTGCTTCATTTGCATTTCTCTTCTCCCGATTCAAATCTGCTCAGCGATGCCGAGATTACGGTTTTTTCGAAAACATCCAGGTCCTTCACCCCTTTAATATTGCAGTGTCCTCGCACAACTACATGACCAAAAGCTAACATTTTTTTTTTACGCCCCCGTCTGACGAAGGCGTCATCACTCCTCAAAGTACATAATTTTATTTCAATCTGACGAAAAGCGCCACTACCGCTAGAAGTGAGCTGAGCATTGCGATTGGGGCTTAGCACCAGCATATTCTCTTCCGATCTGAAAATGTGGAGCCATCTCCTCTACGCAGCTAAACTTTCCTTACTTCTCCCGCTCCTGTTCCTCGAAGCAGGCAGCGACAGTGGAGGACAGACGACGGTGCGCGCAGTGAAGGTTTCTACGCCTTCTGTTGACCAAAGTCTAAATTTGACTTCGTCCTTCTTTGAACCGACGTCGCACCCCGGGAATGAAGTAGTAGCAGTGCCAGGTCCCGCAAAGATGGACTGTCGAGATGGACAATTCCGCTCCGTGCGGCAGGCTCATGTGGGATCTTTTCTTTGTGGGATAGATGTGCATTTAAGAAATGTTGCTTTATATTTATACAAAGCATTCAAAAACAAAATCATCTTCGGAGAGTACGACTTCTGCAATTTTCTGTCGGAGGTCGCTCTCTGTGACGAACAAATTCTAGCTGATGGTTTCACCAGTCATAAAACTCTTCGTTCTGATAGATCCTGCATTTTTTAGTGCAGTTGCAGCCGCAGAGTCGCAGAGCAAGGCTCTCTCATTAAGCATGATGAACGCAGTCGGCGTTACTTACATGCACCTTTACTTGCTTGCGCAAAGCAACAGTGACAGGGCTCTCTTGATGACACTACATACCACTTGTATTTATGTAAAAACAAAGAGCCGATGAACAAGCTCATCATCTGTTTCACGACGTTGAAAGATTCCCACCTGACGCTGGTATACTGGGTGGAAAAAAACTGGGACGCGGTCTACCATATCAACTGCAAAGCTCTACTGTAGTTGATATGAAGTTTTCGTAGAAAAAATGCCGTATTTTTGATCTTCACCACGAACCAGTCGTCATGTTGAATGTGCCAAATAACTTAGGGCAATATGCTTGTATACTTACAAAAATATTTTTGCTATAGTCTTCCAATGAAAATGATCCTAAAGATGCGCGCTACCAGGGGCAGTGAATCAGCATTCTGCATTCTTTCCAACCACGTGAAGATCTTCACTGAGACTGAAATTAAAAACTATGTAAATGCTTTTAGTTAATAGTGCTAGGTCTACTTATATTATTTCCGACACTTCTGCCGGAAAAAGTTGACAGCTTTGCAGTGGATATGCAGAGACGTAGCGCACTTAAGGGGCAGTCGTCCCGGATATGCTCCTCCGGGTCCGGATCAGCACGCTAGCTTGGGATTGCTGCCTCCGGATATAGTTTGCCAAGGCAGCTACAGTCAAGCTTCTCGCGTGCGCGTGGATGTGTTGCTGGATACGCTGACCGGACTTGCCGACGATGCGCTACTGAGCCACTACAAAAGAAGCGCCGCACAGAACATGGCGAGATGGGCAGAGGAGGCTGAGATCAAGAACCGCAAGAAGGTCGGGACAGAGCCACTGGAGTTGCGCGTCGTTGAGGGCGATTCCCTGCTAGCGGCACGGTACTTCTCGCAATACTACGGCGAAACTTTCACGGTTTTGAACATGGCCAACGCAGAGAGGGTCGGGGGTGGAGTGAAACATGGCGCAGCCGCGCTATCAAATGTAAAAATGTCTGGGTCTGCAACAAAGCAACTTCTCATGCTAAATCTGAATCATGTAAAACTAAAAATCTGTGTTGCATGATTGCCAAAAGCTGCCCACTTTTGACCTAATCGAGAGGCAGTCAGTCTCTCATGCAGGACCACAGGCATGATAGAACGCTCACAGATGAATCTGTCATGCTATGTCCTACATGACAGACCTCGTTGGTCATGGAAAATAACCTGTGTGGCAACTACAAGTCTGGAACTCTTCCAGACCCGGACACTTTTGCAGTTGATACGCGCAGGAAGAAAACTTATTTCGCCGCTCGGACTGCTTGGACACCATTGGATCGGATGAAGTGGTATGCATTGCAAAAGTGTCTGGGTCTGGAAGGTTGCAACTTGTGATGCTGTTTTTGGACTCCAAAAAAATTTGTATTGCATGACGAGCAAAAGGGGCACAATTTGCGCCACACGGAGAGGGCATTTCTCATGCGGAAGGTGCATCAGGAAGCCCTCTAAAAGTCTGCGATGCTAGGTCATGCATTACAGGCATCATGGGTCATGAGAAATATGCATGACAAATCTTGCATTCTTCCAGACCCAGACATTTTTGCATTTGATAAGTGGTGCCGGGGCTTCCGCACGCATACACCCCCGAGTCCACCGCCTTGATCAATGGAGAGGGCGGAGCGGTTATTACAATGAAAAATGCCCCCTCCCCATATCAAAACGGAAATCTGTGATGCAGATTTGTGGTCACAAATCAGCTTTGTGATGCTAGAAGGCAAATGATGCGGATTGTAGTGCTGTCTAGCGTGGGAAAGCCTTGCAGCTCCAGGATGACAGGAGGCAGCTGGAAGTGGGAAACAGCATGACAGATTACCTGCAATTTAGGCCGCAGCTTCGTCTCTTGGCCTTCTAGCAATACAAGTCGATTTGTGTACTCAAATACAGCATCACAAATTCGCGCATCTTCCGTTTTCGATATGGGGTGGGGGCTTTTTTTACTTTGATAGCGGTCTACCTGGACGTGGACGACCCGCGCGTTTGCGTCAAGGGCGAGGAGGACCGGAGCGATCCTGTATCTATCGCAAATCTCATTTGTTCTGGGTCTTGCAAGGTTGTAAAACTTTTCGAAGGAACTCAGAATAGCAATAGTACATGACTCAAACCCGGTCTGTGATGCACGTTCTGAAACAGCGCTCCGTCTCTGTTATGCGAAAATGCGGACTCATCTCATGGTCATGGCTTGCCACGCGGAGGGACCCGCAATTGAAATTTTTGTACACGCAAGTTCAAAAGTTTGTGATGCTTGGCTCAGTAAAAGAATATTATAGGCTACTGCCTATTATGTGCAACTTTGCATAGAAGAGGACCCAGACATGATATTTGTTGTTGATATCCCCTGACCCTGGGATACAAGTGGTTGCCCTTCGACGAGGCCTTCTTGTGGTATGAACTGCGCGCTGCAGCCATAGATTTACCAAAACGTCTAACAAGTTACGGCGTCAACTATCAACAGCAAAAGCAAAGCATGGAAGAGCGCATCCGCGCCCAGTTTGCTACGCTGAGAGAGAAACGCCAGAAGTTCGCCATCCTGTCTGCCTTCGGCTGTGGGGCGTTCGGAAACCCTGCATTGGATGTGGCGCAGCTCTATAAGAAGGTGATTGACGAAGAGCAAGCGAAAGACGCTTTCTTCCACGGCGGCGTCATCATCTTCGCAATTCTTCCTGATCAAAACCCCTCAGTAAAAAACGAACTTATATTCGCGCAAGAGTTGCTCGGGGGTAAAAGCGCAACACCGGACAAGTTGGGAGATCCGTCAGCGCTGGCGGAAGCCCCGGCTCTAGGAATTGCAACTGCGCCTCCAGCAGTCATGGGTGGGGTTGCAGGCGAGCCAGACGGGCGAGAAAGTCTAACGTCGACCATGGAGCACAATTGTGCTTCCGCGAAAGTACGGCAACGAAAAATACATTTTTCGAAGAAACTCTTTTTGCTTCCGCATATAATTTGAGGAGACTTCTTCAAAGGCATGCAATTATACCAATATGGCAGTCGCAGAATATAATGAATAGGCCAGCGTGAAGGTCTAGAGGCGGCTTACTAGTAGTTAAGTGAATAGTCTGAAGACAGAAGGAGCAGATGATCGGTCCCAGGAGCAGATACCCGAGGAATCCGTAACGCAGCGCGCCACTGGTGCTGCGCTGCCTATGTTCTGTCTTCAGACTAGCTATCTCGGAAAGCCTTTACAGATGTAGATGTTGTCTGCATGCATTGCCTTTTCGCCGCCAAATTTCTATCTACTTATTGCTATATGGTAACTGACCTGACCAAAAAAAACTGTTTTTTGAAAAATAAAGTATTTGCCATTTCCATAGTAAGGCGGATTGGTTTTAAAAAAGTGGAACCGGGCGTTTTAAGACAAAAATGGCGAATCAGGAACACCGTCGTACCCCGGCTACGCCCCTCCGACAGGATGGAACATCCAAGCATCTTGCGATGACCTTGCGGGGGAAACGACCAAAAAGATGAACGGCGGCCACAAGTTCCGGGTGGATGTGTTGGTTGATACCTTGAGCAAGCTTAGCGAGGACAACGGGAGGCTGTTGCAGACGTACAGGGCAAACGCGGAAAGCAACATGAGAACGTGGGCAGAGGCAGCGAAGACAAGCGGTCGAAAGAAAGCTGAACACGCCAAAGTAGACATCGAAGTCATTGAAGGAGACTCGCTGTCAACGGCACGGTACTTTACTGAGAAATACGGCGAAATATTCACTGTGTTGAACATGGCCAACGAACAATTTATCGCACGGAAATCTTTTACGATCATAGCACGATTGTATGTGAGTACATCGAGGTTATGGGCGCAATGAACTGAGTATAGCAATAGCTATGAATATTACAAGGGCATATGAGATATAGTGATGTGCGTGTGACTTTAATATTCGCAAAGTCTATCCTTCGTGTGGCCCTACGGTCGTACGCCCATCACTCTGCTTGGGGTCTTCACACTTTGATGGTAGTAAGTAGCGCCTTTTCGATCTTTCTCCGAAGTATTTTCAGAATCTCGCGCTGAGGCTGAGAATGAGATGCAAGTGGTCGTGCGTAAGATTTTCCGTGCGATAGCCTTCGTTGGAGGTATGGTAAAGTATGGCACTGCTGCGCAGGAAGAAAACATCTTTCGTCGCTCGGATTGCTTGGATTCGCTTCGGAATGATCAGGTGCAGCCAGGAGACATGGACCGGTATAACGACAAAACCCGGAGCCGGATAAATGGCTCTCGTGGCAAGGTCTACTTGGACGATGAGCATCCTCGGGTGTGCGTCAAAGGACCGGAGGACATCAAGAATACTCCCGGCGGCCGCGTAGGCGGGTACGAGTGGTTGGGGCCCGACGAGACCTTCTTGTGGTACGAAATGCGCGCGGCTGCGAAGAGGTACAAGCCCAACGACCTCGATCCGTCGGCCCCTGACCCAAGCGAGTGGCAGCCCGAAGAGGCTAAGCAACGCATCCGGGCTCAATTCGCTACCTTGTCCTTGAAGGAAAAAAACAAAAAGTTCGTGATCCTGTCTGCCTTCGGGTGCGGAGCCTTCCACCATCCGGCTGACAAGGTTGCGCAGATCTACAAAGAGGTTATTGCCGAGCAAGGCGATGCTTTCAATGGTGGGGCGCTCATTTTCGCGATTTTGCCGAGTGGAACGAAAAATCACAAGTTGTTTGCACAAGTGCTAACGCCTGACAATAAAGATCCAGTGGCATTGGAACAGCTGGAGCCGTTGTCCGGACCAGCAAAGCTTGCAAAGCCACCGACCCCGGAGAAGCCGAACCCTGCCCCAGGTACTACTGCGACACAGCGTCTGGAACCACCGCTTCCGGAACAACCGCTGCGGGTCCCCGCCAGGGACGGTAAGAACGGGGCAGTATTACCGCCGGCGCCAGGCGTGGTCTCCACAGCAGCAGCAGCAGCAGCAGCAGCAGCTGATGGAGCACAGCCTCCCCCTCCCGCCCCGAAGATGGGCCATGGCATCGCAACACCACCCCCGGGCCCCCCGGGAGGTGCAGCACAGCCCCAGCCGCTAGGATCAACAGGCACAGCGTCATCAAGCGTTCCTCTGCAGGGACATCAAACCCCGACTGCACCGACAACGCCGGCTACAGCACGACCTGCGGCAACACCGTATGCACCACCTGGAGGAGATCAACCGCCTGCAGCTGCACCAACTCATAAAATAAGCTGGCGCACCCCTGGGGAGCTGGTCGTGGTGGTGCCCCCGCCCCCGCCGACTTCCGCGGCAACACCACCACAACCTGCACGGGTGCGAGTGGGCAACCTCCGGGGAGCGACAACAACGACCACCGGCCCACCCTTTTCTTGTGCGGGCTGTTAGTTACTGAGACGAGTACCCCTTGTTGGAAACTACAGAGCGCTGCCTCTTTTTTATTGCAATTCCATTGCTATACCATTACCAATACCTATACGAGTACACGTATGATATTTTTTTTTGCCGCAAATTGAATGTTAGATTGATAATGTGTTGATCATACAGCAAAGTAAAGAAAGTAAAGAGATACGTAAAAAAACTTTTTTAAGATTACAAAAACATCGTGTGCCTTTGTAACATCTCTTCATTGCTTCCCAGGACTCTTGAATAACATGTAGAGCTCTGACAGTTTTCCCTCAGAAGAAATAATTTCACTATAGATCATAGTTCCATCGTTCTTGTTGACGCCTATTATTTTGATACGAGGACATCTCCAATGCTGAGTCTGGTCCTAAATGTGTGACGCGGAGGTGTGAATCACTGGACAAAAATTCCGAAGAAAACTCGGACGTAATGGATCCATCGCGTAGACGAAACTTGCGATGTATTGGATTGTTTTATGATCTTGTTCTTGGATTTGGTCTCGTCGTGTCTTTGGCGGTCCACAATAATGCAGTAGCTTGTGGACTCGTCTTCCTCCGTCCCTAATAATATGCAGGTTTGCTGGTCATTGATTCAAAATCAAAAGAAGGCCATGAATAAAATCATCATGATTTGCATCGTTAGTCGCCTTCTCACACCGGATCCAGAGCGCTGAAGAAGAAGAGCTTTCTGTGTGTTGCTGTGCCACACGACTTCTTGATGTCGTTCTCACGCTCGGAACCACAAAATACTATACACAACACAAGACCTGTCCGATCTTGGAGCGACGTGAAAAGTTTGAAGTCTTCGGTGATTTTGGTGTCCCTAGTTGTATTCTATTATTCCATGACACAGATTGATAGCCGCGGCGGAAACAGAATGCATTTGCGAGCGATCTTTTCGTGTACAGTGAGCATTTTTATTTAATCGAGAACGGAACAGGATCAAACCTGGACCATGTCGGAGTGGCGCCGAAACAATTTCACACGATGTTCGAGTGTACATCCGATGGAGAATAGAAAGATAGAAAAATCAGAATAGACCACTCTCGAAGAGCGTGCACACCAACTCAGTTAGAGGGCAGCGGGGCCATTTCCTTTGCTAAAAAGTGGCTAAATTTTTCGGGATTTTTTCGAAGCGTGTCGGCCGAGGCGTTGCGTTAGCCTGACCGGCTGAGCCCCGCCCTCGCAAGTGGTGCGCCGCTTCCTTTGTCTGGCCCGCCTCGCCTGGTTTTGTTTCTTTCGGCGGGCCATAGGGGCGATGGGTTCGCTGTGTTGTCTGTTGCCGCCGGGTGTTTTGTATTTGCTAGCGGGCTATGTTTTGCAGTTTAGACGTTCGCCCCGGTTTCTCTTGGGGTGTGGAGCCTTACAATTTTGGCACGTTTCCGCTTGGTGGTGCGCCGGGTATTTTGCGTCGCGCAAAGCATCCGGCATCTCGGGCACGTGTTTGCAGGTGCTGCGCGCAACCTCTGGTCGGGCGTGTTTGGGTTTGTTTGTGTTGTCACCTCGAAAAGCCGCGGCGGGCGGTTTCTGTGGTGGTGCTCTGTGTCGCGCCGTGTGGCGTGTTATTTCTCTTCTTCAGGCGAAGACGGCCGCCGCCCCTTTTTTTTCCTTTGTGTTCGGCTGTGGAATTTTAGAAACCAAGACGCCCGGGTCCTTTCAAATTTGCGGAAATCAGCGCCCTTTCCCCGGCTAAATTTTTGGCTAAATCGGCTGACTTTTCTTTCCTTCCCGAAATCCCTGTGGTTCCGCATTTTGCCGCCGGCTAAATTCGGCATCGCCGGGATTTCCGAAGTGAATCCCGGAAAATTTAGCCAAGATTTAGCCGACCGATTTAGCCGACCGATTTAGCCGCATAGATTTAGCCGACCGATTTAGCCGGCCGATTTAGCCGGCCGATTTAGCCGACCGATTTAGCCGGGATTTAGCCGCATGATTTAGCCGGTCGCGGAAGTGTAGCAGGGAAATGCAGAAACCCGCTGCGGATGGGATGTGGGCCAGCCCATAGATATCCAGGACCCGCGCAGACTTTCGCCGGCCCCGGCTTCCGTTTGGGTTTTCTATCTTGGGCCCGAGGGTTTCCGTCTTCCGGTATTTCCTTTCCGGGTATATTTCTCATTGGGCATGGGGTTTCGCATGGTTCCGCGCGCGGTCCATTCGGGCCGCCACGCAACAATCGCAGGAAGCTCCTTGGGGTTTTTGCTTTCTTCTACCCGCGCCGCGCTGGCTTTCTCTTTTCTTCCGGCGGCAGCGCCGTCGGGGCCGCTTCTGCTTGCCCGGACTTTTAAAAAATCCCGAAAAAATTAGCCAAAAAATAGCGGGCGAAGTCGCCCCAAACCCTCCAACTGATGTTTTCTTTTTTTTTCGATGGATTGAGTCAGAAGATTTTTGAGATTACATTTTGAAATCCATATCAATATATCCTATTCTGAATTTGACAAGATTTTGGATTAAAATCTATAGGATATATCAATGAATTATTTTAATTTCAAAAAAAAAAATATTCGGTGAAATTCTTTCATTTCAAATATCGAATATGAAATCCGAAAAATTTTTTGGAAAAATATTCGGATAATTATCGATAAGATCCTGAATTTGGATGAATCTTCAATGATGGATTCATTTATCCTCGATAGAAGATGAAAATGATGATAGAAAGAAAAGAGATAATCTCGGATCGGATCATAGAATATTCTTCTTATCTGAGATGATCTCATGAAATCGATACATGATTTTTTTTTCAATATATATGGAAAATTACGAAAAATTCTTAGAGAAATAATTATGAAAATCATTCAAATTCTCTGCAAATTTCTTAAAAATTTCTAAAAATTATCTATTCATTTCTGAAAATTTATGAAATGAAATCTATTAAATAAAAATTTTCAAAAATATTTTTTTTCGAAAAAAATGTCTATTTTCCATCAACAATCCAGATCTTGGGATCCAATTGATAATTTGGGATCTCGGATTATAAATTTTCGAAAATAAAAATTTGAATTTTTTTCCACAAAGAATCAGAAACAAAGACTTTCTAATTTTGAAAATTTAAAATAATATTTTCCAAAAAAAAAAGTGATCTGTTTAGATCTGATGAATTTCAATTTTGGAAAGAATATCTATGGGATATCAGATATATGAATTCGATAATGATGAAGATTATTGTCAATAAGAGATTTAAAGCGATGGATCTATCTTTATATTATTATTATCGAAGCCCTACTGGGGTTTGTGCCCGAGGTGACCACAACGAATGTACGAGAGCGGAAGGTTTGGGCATTTTGCTAGAGTTTAGGCACCTTTCCTGGCTCAAGCGTTCAAGAAGTGTCCACCGTCTTTCTTTGCTTGTAGTCGCTTCCCGCAGCGCACTACGCTCGACGGTATCGGTTAGGTTCAAGCGCATAAAGTGTTTGGCACGCTCGTTTTGTTGCGAGCCCTACATTGATTCCCGGC